TTGCAAACAAAACAAAATAGACTATATATATATGTGTGTGTGTGTATAGTAGATTATATAAAAAAAAACATGACAGAAACTGCGAATGAATGGAGTTAAACGCCCACATGTGATGAAGAACACGTGAATAAAATTGACTGTCTGCCGACATGTCTGGGAAAAGTGAATTACTCCAAACGTTATATAATTTCATACAGTAAAAGTCGTGTATTGTTATCCACATTTCAGTGATAAGGAAAATAATTTAAAAATGTTTCACTATAATTTTTTATATGTGCCTCTATATAGAAATTATTTATTTATTTTGAGTTTCAATATTTTTATCAATTTTTTTTCATTAATTAGTTATTATTTTTATTATTATATTAATTTTAATTAATTAATCAATGAATAAATTACAATTAATTAGAGATTAATATATTATTAATTAATAGTAATTAATAAGAAAATCAATAAAAAAAAATACTGAATTTCAAAATAAATATAATTTCTGTAAAAGCACACAAAAAATTAGTGAAACGTTTTTAAAATATTTTCCTTATTTTAGTTCATTGAAATTTACATTAATTTAAGAGATCAAATCTGTTTGATCAGCAGTCGGTAAAGCAGATTTAACTTTTTTTTCTAATTTAGCAATTATTCTACTGGTTTTTAGTGATTTAGAGATTAGGGATTTTAAAATAACAACTAAATAAAGAAATTGTGGATTTTTAATAATATAATAATAATAATAATAATAATAATAATAATAATAATAATAATAATAATAATAATAATAATAATAATATTAGCTGTTTTCCCCCTCTTTTTCTCTCTTAAAATGGAAAGCTTTCTCGAGGGTCTTCTTTTACAACCTGTTTACGATACTTCGCATTTGTTCAACTTTTTTTTTTTTCTTTTTTTCCTCTCATAGCAAGCAAGAAGCTTTTCTTAAGTTCCTTGACGATCTTACTTTAAGCGTGCACACAAATATTTTTAATAGTCAGGAACTAATTTTAAGGGCAAACAATAGAATCAACTTTTTTTTTTTTTTTAAAAAAAATATTATTTCTCTTTCTTGGAAAAATATTCCTTTCAATTTTTTTCCCCCACAAGTTGTGATAAAAATTCATAGAACTAAATGTATATTTATTTTTGTTCTTTTCTTTTTTTGTAAATTTATATTTCTCCTTTTTCTATGAAAGTTAAAAAAGTTAAAAATGATTATGAATGTCGATATTTTTTTTTCTATTTTTCTATGACTCTTTATGTGTTTAAAATATAAACAAAAAAGAAAATTTTTTTTTTTTATCTTTTATTGCAGGCAAAAAAAGGAAAATTGAATATAAAATATAAATAAATAAATATGATGCCCCATCAAGAAATGGATTGAAGTAGCAAAAAATTATAGGTTATGTTTATAAAGTTTGGTTTTAAAGTACATACATTAAGCCTTTATTTTGATTTTCCACAATTAAAAAGAAACTTTTAAATACACCGAAAAAAAATTTATTTGATTCAAATACTCGATTACTTTACTATTATCAAATAAATATTTATTTGTATCAAATAATTATTGAGATGGTTTTTTTTTTCAAATACAAAAATTATATTTTTTTAAATACAATTTTTATTTAATTCAAATAAAAATTATTTCCTTCATGTAAATATTTATTTGATAATAGTCAAAATTAATCGAGTATTTGAATGAAATAAATTTTGTTTCAGTGTAAAATTAAAATTTTGTAAACATAACCTAAAATGTGTTTGCTTCTCAGGTGCTTTTTTTTGAGCGTGTCACAAATATGGAATATAATAATAATAATTCGCGAAATTAGGTTGTAAATCATAATAATATGAGAAAAGAAGTCAAACTTAAATATTACAGTTAATGATAAATGGACCCAGTAACCTGTTTCAATTTTATAGACACACGAAGGTTTTTCTTTTATACATATATTGTATTTGAAAATTTATGTCCCGGAAACATTATTCTGTTGGAGGATATAAAATCAACCCCCCCCCCTTCCCTCCTCTCTATTTGACCTTTTTTTTTCTTGATACACTCTTGGGTCTATTCTGCGCGACCTTTTGAGAAAATATATTTTCAAGATCGTGACTATATTCCATTGCTGAGGATTCAGTAGCTCAGGTACAACTCTCGTGATTCTTTGTTACCAAGGAGCAGTAACATCGTTGAGCCAGGTGTTTAGGATGATGGCAATTGGGATTTAGGCGCAGGTCACACAACTTCTCTTTTAACTCACATCAAGTGTATTTATAAACGATTTTTTTATTAACTCTTTTTTCATTCATTTAAACAACAATTTTTATTATTGATAATATAATAATAATAATAATAATAATAATAAAAATTATTTTTATTATTATTATTATTATTATTATATAGATTTCTCCATATAATACCGACTTTCAACAATATTGCCAACATATTTTTCTCTCGAATTTCTAATTTATTTCTGGAATATTATGCTGCAAGTTTAGAATATTGAGACAAAGTTGTTAATATTGCGGCAAGTTCATGTGAGTTGAGAAGAAATTCTTTTATGGCTGAAAATATTAAAAATTTCTTTATATTTATTTATATTTGTTATTTTTTTGTGTTATATAATTGGCACTCGTATACTTGTAAATTTTGACAAAATTCCTAACCTAAAAAATTCTATTGTATTATTTATTTTAATTTTCTTAGTTTGTAATTTTGTATCGTACAAATCTAGAAAATTCGATTAAAAATATTGTATTAATTAAAATAAATAAATATTGAGGTTGTTAATTTATTACACTTGCTAATTTTTGTTTTTTTTTTTTTTTTTTGTTTTGGTGTATACAAATTGGAAGTTATAAACATGATCGGAAACAAATTCTTTTTTTGCTCGCACTCGATATATGTAGTTGAATTTCAATTTGACTTTGGTATTATATGTATGTAGTATAAAATGATAGAACAAGTTTTCCCAACAAGCAACTCCATAACTATCGCAACAATTTGTAGCGACTCACACGTTCTTCGAGTTTCAGTTCTTGGGCATCACATCGTTATACGATCGTCGATAGTGCGGCTCGGGGAAAATAGTCTCCATTGAGATTGAAGCAGAAAATTCATTCACTCATAAATTTATAATATATACTTTAGAGACGTCGACGACTGATTTGAAATTTCTCGATTTAGGATCATCTAAGTTGAATTACAATTTTTTTTATGATTCATTATATTATTTTTATTTCTTTAATATTCTAAAATTGAATTAAATTAATTTCGAAATTAAATCTGCTTGTTAATTTAATTAAATTCCAAAAGTAAATTGAATTTCTGCGGAATTAATTCCGAAAATAAATTGTAATTATAGTGTATTGAAATTGGAACTTTTTTCCCTGAATTGAATAAAAATTAAATTTATTCAAAAATTTAATTGTATATTTTTATTCAATTTTGAAATTGAATTAAAATTGACTTAATTTCAATAAGTGCATTAATATAAAATGTAATTATGAAACCGAATTTGAAGGAATTATTTTTTTTTTATTATTAGTAAAGAAATAAATTTCAAAATTTTTCTAATCGCGTTTTCAATGAAATTCTAAACACACTGATTCTGATGGTGTTCGTTGCATTTTGATCGAGAGAAATATATCGCGTTCCATGTTTGAAGGGTCTTCGACATCAGGGACGACTGGAGAGTCACGTAGACACTATCGAGAGTGTAGAGAAGATTGTCGACCCCGCATTTAGTTGCCTATTTCCTAGACACTTTTCTACGCCTATGTTTATAGAGGGTTGTAATTCGAGTCAGAAAAAGAAGGGAGAGAGAGAGAGAGAGAGTGGGGCAACAGTGGGCCACCCTAGGTAGGGCTTTTGGCTATATACCTGCGAAAACTTATTCAGTTTAGGTTTAGTGCTTCTGCTGCTGCTGTTGCTGCTGCTTGTCTATCGCCCTCGGTTTATAGTTATAGTTATAGTTATGAGTGAAGAGCAACTCAAAATTCGTTTTTCGACATTCCATTGAGTTAGTTTCAATTTTATCTAATCTTAACTTAATAAAAGATATACATTTTTTTCCGGAGGGGATGAGAAAAAAATGTATATTTTTTTTTAAATGGACTTTAAAAAGTGTCGTTTGCATTACAATATAATGTGGTGGGGGAAGAGTGAGGAGGTGAATGTGTTGTGATCCACAAATTCAAGAACCACTTCTCAACATTAGATTTTAGCTTCCTAGTTTCTATTCGGCAGCTGTTTCAAAAAATTCGTTTCCTGTTTCAATAGTTCCGTTTTTGCATTGTGAGAAATTCTTCCAAAGCATCATTATTATCATTATTATCAATATTTTTTCAAAGATTTAATTTATTCTCATAAATAGTTTGAAATTATAGAAAATTGTGTTTTTTTTTTTTATTTTAGTCAAATATTTCTCAAGGGGGAAAAAATGTATATTATAATATTTCGAATTATTAGAATCAGTTATTTAAATGTTTTTTGTAAAATAAAAAAAATGTGATTTTTAATGTGTTCAGTAGTTTGAAATTAATTAGTGGATAAAAAAAATTGTTTTTAAGAAGTCATCAACTTTTTCAGATCATTAGTTAGGAATAATTTTTTTTTTTGCAAAATTATTAATATTACTATTTTTATTATTATTACTATTATTATTATGATTATTACTATTATTATTTTTATTATTATTTTTTTCAATAATTTAGCTTCTTTGAGAATAAATTTAAACGTAAATTATTTTTGCAAAATCATTAATATTACTACTTTTATTATTATTATTATTATTATTATTTGTATTATTACTATTATTATTATAATTTTTATTATTTTGTTTAATAATTTAGATTCTTTGAATATAAATTTGAACTTAGTTATTTTTTTTTTTTTTTTTTTGTCAACAAAATAGGAATTAGGAATACTTATGTATGAATGGACTTTGGTTCGTTTATTATTAAATAAATAAAATAATAATGAATAATTCAAAATTTTTTTTTTTTTTTTGCAGGATGGATGTACCATGTCGTTGATTGCCATCTTTTGGGTATAACACTTCCGAGGCAGCATAAACAAAATATTGCTATTCAGTGTCTTCAAAAGTCCATAGAAGCTGAACCGAAGAGTGGACAAAGTCTTTATTTATTAGGACGTTGTCTTGCTGCTTCTGGAAAAATTCACGAGGCCTTCATCGCTTATAGGTAAATTAATTTTTATTTTCTATTAAATAAAATTCATGCAAAAAAAAAAAAAAAAAATTATTAAAATAATAAATTTTATTGAAATTATCACAATATTTACGCAATGAAAAAAAATAATTGGCCTATTTATTGATTATTATAAATTGCTATTAAAATATGACAAAATTTATTTGTTTTTATAATTTTTAAGCCAACAACATTTATGATAAACGATTAGAAAACAAATTATTTTTTAAAACGGAAAAAAATAATTTTTAAGAAAATATTGAGACGAAAATAGAGAATTTTTCATTGAAAAATAATATTTCTTTAAAAATTGTTGATGAACGTCAGTAATTGTATTAATTAATTTATTAAATGGATTTTTTTTTTTTTATAAATATTCCTTACAAAATTAAATTAAGGGTTCAATTAGAAGTAAAATGAAAATTTTTATTCTCAAGTTATATAGTGTATTTCTATTACAGAAATTTTATATAATAGCCACGTAATAAACGATAATAATAAATGAAAAACATAATCGATTTTGTAAGAGAAAATTGAAAAAGCGTCGTAATAATTTTGTTATACTTTGACGATAATCAGAAAATTAATTATTTATATCTAAATTATTAATAAAAATATTAATTTTATTGTAGAAATTCAGTGGAAAAGTCTGAAAGTAATGCAGATACCTGGTGCAGTATAGGTGTACTTTATCAACAACAAAATCAACCAACAGATGCACTTCAAGCTTACATATGTGCAGTACAATTGGATAAATCACATTCAGCTGCGTGGACCAATCTTGGAATTTTGTATGAAAGTGTCAGTCAACCCAAGGACGCATTAGCTTGTTATATTAATGCTTCAAGGTAATTAATTTTAATTGTATAGTCAATATTTTCCTGTACATTTATTTATCATAATATTTATTCGAATTTATATATCTATTTCATATTTATATTGTACTCGGATATATATGTATATATTTTTTTCATATATTTTCAAACATATATTTATTGTTTTATATTAGTTTTACAATCGAAAAAAATTTTTATTCGTTAATAATTTTATAAATACAGGCCTTGGATTATAAGACTTTTTCGACTTTTTTTTTAAAAAAAAATTTTTAACAAAATTTACGTCAATTATTTAACAAATTTTTAACTAAAATTATTCTCTAAATTAATTATTTTCAATCATTTTAATTGAAATTCTTCACAAATTAAATTTTTTTAAAACTATTTTTCAATTAAAAATTTTATGAAATTCAATAATTGATTGAAATTTCTATAAAAAAAAATAAGTAAATAAAATTATCGAAAATTTCAATTCAAAATCACTTGAAATTCAATTATTTTTAAAAATTTCAATTTAAAACAAAAATAAAATTCTTCACAAATTCAATTTTTTAACACTATTTTTCAATTAAAATTTTTATGAAATTCAATAATTAATTGAAATTTCTATTAAAAAAAAAAAATAAGTAAATAAAATTATCGAAAATTTCAATTCAAAATCACTTGAAATTCAATTATTTTCAAAAATTTCAATTTAAAACCTTCTAAAATTTTCAGATTAAAACTTTATGAAATTTAATCATTTCAACTTTAACTCTTCCGAAATTTAATTATTTTTATAATATTCTTCGAAATTCAATTATATGAAAGCATTTTTCAATTGATAAAAATATCAAATTTCTAAAAATACTGCTAAAATTATAATTTTTGAAATTTTTAATTCATTTTTTTGCTTCTAAAAATTATTGTCTTAATTTTACGATGCTGAAGTACGCAACATTTATGGTCAACGATTAGAAATCAATTTTTATTTAACACGGAAAATTATAAAAATTGTTTATCTAAAAAAATATTTTTTTATAATTTATTGATTAATAAAAACTAAAAGAAATATTTTTTTAGGCAAAAAATAATAGAATTTTTTATTTAAAAAAATTATTTTTTAAAAATCGTTTATCATAAACGTTGCGTATTTCAGCTTCGTCTTAATTTTTTATAATTGAAAACCTTTTTGAAATATTTTCATTTGTGTCAGGAACAAAAATTTTAATTCTGACTAAATTAGGTAAAAGAAAATAGAATTTTTTTGACAACCCTAAATAAATTATTCATCAATAGAAATCACAAAAAATTGTCAAATCAAAAATCAATTGAAAGTTCAGTTATTTTCAAAAATGTGAATTGTAAATATTTGAAAATTTAATTAATTTTTAAAAATTTTATCTAAAATTATTTGATATATAAATTATTTTAAATTCTATAAAATTTAATTATTGTCTGAAATTTAATGGAAAACTATGCAAAAATTTTAAATTCAAATTAATTGCTTAAATTAAACTTGAAAAAATTTTAAAAATGGAACTTTAAGAATTTTTTTTTTTTTCAGAAATTTGTACTACTTAATTAAAATTTTGAAAATTTGTCTTAGTTCGATTTTGAAATATATTCAAAATAAATTTTCATGATAATATTCTCATATAGAATTATTCATATTAAGGAATTAATAAAATTAATTTAATATCTAATAAAATAATAAAGTAAAATATTTATTAACTATAATTAAATTTAATTAAAATAAAAAATTCTACTTTTTTTTAAATATAAAACGACATTTTTTGCGCTTTACAGTCGATCCGAGGCTTGTCAATAAAATTTTAATTTATTTTAAAACGATAATTATTATAATAATGTAAAAATTATATTTTGTACGTTTTGTAATTTAAAGAGAAATCATTGCTCTCTTGGATTTTAATTTTTTATGAAATGTAAAACGCACGTATTTTGATTATACATTGTAATTTGAAACTGGACGCATGAATATTCTCCACATTTTAGACCTTTTGAAATTTTCGATGGTGTCGAATTAAAAATGATCGAATTTTTATTTAGGTTAATTATATAAAGCCAATTTGAACCAAATTTTCATATCGAAGAATTTTTATTGAACTGTAAATTCTGTATTATTAGAATTTTTATTTAACTGAACTTTTGTATAGCAGATTTTCGACATTTCATTAATTTGGTATACAAAATGTATAAAATTTAAGCAATCTTTTAAGATATTAATTTTTTTTAAATGGTCATAATTTATGAAAAATTGGTTTAAAATTTATGATGCGCTCTAAAAAAAAGGGATCTTAGAAGCAAACGAATTATAGTTTAGGTTTACATTAGTTTTACCTTGATTAAAAATTTTTTTTTTACTTTTGTAAAATTAAAATCAGTTTTTATTAAATATTTTTGATGTAATGAAGACTTAAATATCAATAATTTGTATTGAAAGTTGATCCTCTTTGTGTATTTTCACTTAAATTTTTTAAAATATAACCTATAATTTTCTGTTTCTAAGGTCCCTTTCTTCAAAGCGCGTCACATTTGTTTTTCAATTTTTAAACTTAAAATTTGTCTAATCTTTAAAATTAATACCATAAAGTCAAAAATTACGAAATTTACAACAAAATCCACATCTATTTTTCTTCGTTTGATATATTTTTAATAAAATTGTAATATTTAAAAGCATTATTAGAAAAATAAACCATGATCAGAGTTGATCATTTCACGTAGAATGTCCCATTTGTTAGTATTTAGCATAAATTTTATATGTGAATTAAATATTAAATAATAGCTGATGAATTATATTAGTAATAAGTTTAGTGATATTTAAATAAATTAAATTTATATTTATTTATATAAATTAAAAATATGTTAATAATAAAGAAAAAAATGTAATAAAAAATAACAATAAAATAATGTATTTAAAAATTAATAAAAATAATAGTTTATAATAGTGAATAATGTGATAATTATTTGATTTTGTTTTATTTTACACAGAGGCAATAATAATACACCAAATTGCACAAATTCGCTGATAAACATCGGAGGAGCTAAATCTAGTGGTAACGCTTCGATGAACCCATCTCTTCGGCAGCGCATCAATTTTTTGCAAAATCATTTGTGTCAAGCCCCAATGCCTTCCGTTGCTACCACGTAAGCAAAAAATATTATTTTTTTACTTTGTTAAAAGTACATAAATCAAGATTGAATATTTATTTAATGAAAAATGCTTAAATAATATTAAATTTTTTTTTCATTTTAATTTGTAATTATTTATTCTTATCAATTCTTCTAATTAATTATTATTAATAACTTAAAATTATCCTTTATTTTTGAAATAAATAATTCAACTTTTTTACTTTTATTTTCTCTCATTTTGTTTATTAAAAATTTTAAATTTGTAATAATTTATTTATAAAATAAATTAATATGTATATAATTTTTTTTTTTTATAAAAATTATTACTAGTGCCTTGGATTTGTAATTTTTTTTTTTCTTTATTAATTATAGAAGACGGCAATTGCCGCCAATAGATGAAGCTTGGAATCTGCCTATTAGTGCAGAAATGTCTAGTAGACAACAGCAACAGCAGCCAGCTGCTGGAGGTCCAGGTTGTAGATACGGTGGTACACCGGCACATCCTCCACCTCCTTATCCTCAAGGACAAGGACAAGCTGCTAACGTTAAGAGATTTAAGGTACACACACACACATGCACAATTCGAAAAAATATTCAATTATTTTTTTTTTCCTCATTTCGAATTTCAATGAAACAAACATGTATATTATTAATCAATATTGATTGAATTCCTCATTTGTTTAAATAAGAGAATCGACCAAAGGACCGAAGGATGAAATACTAATTGTGGTCAAACTGATCCCAATGTAGCATAATATAAGTGGTTAAAAATGAGGTCAAATTTTTATTTTTTTTTTGCTATTTAAAAAAAAAAAAATTAAAAACAAAGTTTTTTTTGAAAATATTTCAAAATTATTTTTAATTTTGTTAAAATATTAGTGATAAATTCAAAAATTTTATTTCAATCAAAGTTGTCACAAGTCAGGCAAGTAAGGAAAAAGTCTTTTTTTGTCAGGAAAATTTAGAAGAAAATTTCTTTTAGATTTTTTCTTTAAACCTTTAGAACCCCCTTTCTTAAAACCTCTTAAACACAAATTTTTAAGATTTCTAGTTATTTCTTTTTTTTTTTTTAAATACGACATTTTTCGACTTAATTTAATAAGATGCAACTTTTTCTACTTTTCATACAAAATGTTTGAAATAAAATTCGTCGCTAAATTAATTATTTTCAATAATTTTAATAAAATTCTTCAAAAATTAATATATCTGAAAATATTTTTCGATGAAATATTTTAAAAATTCAATAATTGTTTGAAATTTCTAAAAAAAAACCAATTTCAGCAAATAAAATAACAAATTTCAAAATCACATAAAATTAATTTATTTCCAAAAATGAGTCGCCGGAAAGTAAAACCACACATAAAATTCTGACGGCCATGTTAATTCAATGGGAGTCAGAATTTTATGTGTGGTTTTACTTTCCGGCGACTCAAATGTAAACTTAATAATTTCCATCATAACATTTTTTAATTAAACATTCTGTAAAATTTAATTATTCACAGAAATTAAAAAAAATCTTTAATTAAAATTTGAAATCTTTAAATTCAATTACTTCTAAAAAAAATTTTAATTTAAAACCTTCTAAAATTTTCGTTATAAAAATTTCAACTTTATCTCTTCTAAAATTCAATTATTATTAATTATCTTTTTATTTTTTTTTTAATTCAATTATTTAAAAAAATTTCAAATAAAGACAAAATTTCTAAAATGATGTTGATTTTGCAATTGAAAACATTGTTAATTTTAGTCATATTTGCAATAATTTTAATGCACATTAATTCATTTTTATTAAAATGAGTAAAAAAGTGTATGCAATATTTACTTTATAAAATGAATTCAATTGATTTCAAACTTTTGTGGTATTAAAAAAAAAATGAAATTCATTTCAATTCTTTCTACTCTATGGGAATTAAAATGTCTATATGAATTTCTTCAAGAAAAAGAATAAAAATATAATATATACAGTTAAATTATTTTCAAAATAAATAAAAATCTGAAAGTTCGAAACGTTTCGAAAATAACAGTTTGAATTCAAATAGATAATAATTGAACGGTATTTGTATTATTTTATTTTTTTTTCAATCAACCCCCTTTTTCCCAGGATAGCAACTCGACAAATGAAGCTGCCTTGATAATTGATTCTTTCACCCTCTATAGTAGGAAAACACGTTTTTTAACTTCAAATTATTAGATTTTTATTATAATTCATTAAAAATAACATTTTTTTTTGTCAGGGAAATTGAAATAATTTATTCTTGTGGCAACCCTATCAATATATCAATTAAACGTTTATTTTACTTCAATGTTTTTGATATCTGTAATTTATATTATATTTTTTTTATTTTTACAAAAACCCATCTTCTCATTTTTTGCTTCTTAGCAAAAATTATATATAAAACTTTACAATTTCGTTTAAAATGATGAAATAATGTTATATAATAGTACTTAATATACTCTCTAAATATGAATCAGTGAAAAAGTCACTGGTCTCAAATCAGTCGCTAAATTCTAGCTATTTGAATCAGTGGTTTTCACTGACAGTTAGTGACATTTCACTGGAGAATCAATTAATTTGACTGAAAATCAGTGAAATGTTACTGATTCAAATAGCTAGAATTTAGCGACTGATTTGAGACCAGTGACTTTTTCACTGATTTAAATTTAGAGAGTATTCATATATATATAGGAAAAAAGAATACGGAAGAAATATAGTTTAGTAATATAGTAAATTAGAATTGCCACTGTTTGGAAATATTCCTGAAGGTAGTATATCGATCATCAAGAATGTTTAGATTTTTTTTCTTTTTTAAAATATCAAGAAAAGAACAATTTTTTTTGATTAAATTATGAGAAAAGAAAAATTATAACATTCTAAAAAAAAACTATTAGGAAGGCTCACAATTCTTTTGCTTTCCAACTCTTCAATTGTTATGAGAAAAGAAAAAAAAAAAAATTTTTAACTTTTTTTTCAAATTTAAAAAAAAACGTGAAAAATTGCGTTTTATTTTAAATTGAAAAAATTAAGTTTTCTCGAAACAATATATATATATTGAGAAGTAGATGAAGGGGCAAAGCCGACCTAGTTTTTTTTTCTGTAACATAATAATATTTTGTTTATTTTTTTTTTCATTGTATAGACGGGAGATGATGCCATTTCGCCTTGTGGACAACAAAGGCCGCCTTCATTTTATTTAAGCCCTCAACAATTGCAAATGTTACAATGTTTGCAACAAAATCAAGGCAGCTTATCGCCCCAGCAACAAGCGCTTTTGGCACAATTACAACATCAATACAGAGCAATGCAACAACATCAACAACAAACGAGATTGCAACAGCAACAACAACAACAGCAACAACAAGCAACGCCACGAGGACTTCGACCTGGTCAACCTGGTTATCCCGCGAGTTTTACACATTCCCAGCCAGGACAACCGGGTGTTATTAAAAATTATGGACTACCTCAACAACCGGTAAATTATTTTTTATTTCAAAAATATTTTCTTTTTATATACTTTAGACTTTTTTTTTTTAACAAATTTTCGTTTGAAATTTTATTTGATGAATTTTTTACTTTTCTGAATTTTTCATTTAATCTGAAATTTTATTTATTTCAATTTTCATTTGTCGAAAATTTCATTTACTTGTATTTTCATTTTTTCCAAAACTTCATTTTATCTGAATTTTCTTTTATCCAGGCCTCAGATTGAACGACTTTTTCGACTTTTTTTTACAACATTTTTTTAAAATAAAATACGATGCAGCTTTTCCAAACATTTAAATACTTAACAAATTTTTTACTAAAATTTTCCACTATATTAATTATTTTCAATAATTTAAATAAAATTCTTCAAAAATTCAATTATCTGAAAATATTTTTCAATTAAATATTTAAAAAATTTAATAATTATTTGAAATTTCTAAAAAGAAATGAAACAATTTCATTAAATAAAATTACCAAAAATTTCAATTCATAATCACATGAAATTGAATTATTTTCAAAAATCTAAACTTAATAATTTAAAAAAAAAATTAAATTATTAATATTATTATTATTTTTTTTCTTTTATTATTTTATTATTATTTATTTAATCTAATTTAATTTTTAATCAATTATTAAAAACATTTTTTAATTAAAAATTCTGTAAAATTTAACTATTCACAGAAATTAAAAAACCCTTGAGCAATTACAAAATTGAATTAATTTAAATAAATTTAATTCTTTTTATTAATATTTTTTAAATTACTTTATATATAGGTATATTTTGTATTAATAATTAATGCACAAAATTGAAATTTAATTTTTTTCTACAAATTTCAACTATAACTCTTCCAAAGTTCAATTATTTTTAATAATTTTAATATTTCTTTAAAAAATCAATTATTTAAAAAAGTTTCAACTAAAAACTGTAAAATTAAATTGTTTTCAGCATTTTTTTTTTTTTGTTTAGAAATTTGTCCTACTTAATTAAAATTTAAAAAATTTATGTCTTCGATTCTGAAATATTCGAAATAAATTTTTTTTCCAATATTTCTATAGAATTATTATTATTATTATTAAGGAATTAATAAAATGGATTTAATATCTAATAATATTAATTATTTAAAGTGAAATACTTATTAACTATAATTAAATTTAATTAAAATAAAAAATTTGACTTTTTTCGGAATTTAAATCGACTAAAACGACTTTTTTTTGCACCTTAAAGTCGATCCGAGACCTTTAATGTCAATCTTTGCTAATCTTTTTTTATCCTTTTCAAATTTTTTAATGAACTTCTTCGATAATTTAATTATTTAAAAATAATTTTCAAATTAAAAATATTGAAATTTAACAATAATTAATAATTAATAATTAATTCAATTGATTTGAATTTGTATAATAAATTTTTTTTTTGTTTTTATTACAAAAAATTTATATTTTATACCTTGAAGAGGTTTTGAATTTTTTTTTCCAAAAATTGACTCTCTATAGATAAATGAATTTCAAAACAAATTACAAAAAAATATATGTGTGACTCTAATTTGACTGTTTTTTTTTCTTTCCAGCAGGGCGGAACTGTGGCACTCCAAACTGGATTTTCCGACTCAACAGTTGGTTATAGTCCAGCGGCAACTGGAAACACTCAACAACCAGCAGGCATGCCTTATAAATCGGCCTCTGATCCAAATTTCCCACCACGTCAACAAACACCCGGTCAATACAATCAATATCAATCGAATCAATATGGAAGTCAAGGTTTCACTCAAATATCATCAACAACAAGTTGTTATCCCGAGGGCTCAGCGGCAAATAATAAAGATCTTGGCGTAACTGATCAAGAGCTTCAAGCGCTTCTTTCACAAAAGGACATTGCCACAACGTTAGCTGAGGATTTACTCAAACATTTTGGTTCCGATGATTTAGATGAAAAGGACGTTGTCTCACCAAATATTATGAATAATGGCACACTAAGTTCTGGTCCATTTTCCCCGTCAAATTTAGAAGACAGCAATGAAAAGGTAATGTTGGTGAAAGATGTGAAAATTGAAAAAACCGATGACATTGTCATTCAACCCACATCAACGTCGAATATTGTCATTGACATAAATAAAGGAATTAAACAATCAATGACTGTTAAATGTGAAGCAACATCGAGTACAAATAAAGTTGAATCAGTGTTGAAATTTGAAAGTCTCTGCGAATCACAACAGGAGCAAGAATTTAATATTGAAATGGATTCAAAGGCAATTATTGAATTATCAAAAGGTCAGGGTTTAAAGGGCGTACCAAATTGTTCAATATTAAGTGATCGTTCACCGCCTCCTGCACCGCCCGATCCACCGAGTCAACGTTTAACAAAAGAACAATTATTACCCTCAACACCAAGTGTTTATTTGGAGAATAAAAAAGATGCATTCAGTCCACAATTACAGGAATTCTGTTTAAAACATCCAATAGCTGTTGTTCGTGGTTTAGCGGCAGCATTAAAACTTGATCTTGGTTTATTTTCAACGAAAACATTGGTTGAAGCAAATCCCGATCATGGTATTGAAGTGAGAACACAAATGCAACAGACGAGCGATGAAAATTGGGATCAATCAATGGGTCGTCGTGTTTGGGGTTGTATTAGTCATCGTAGTCATACGACAATTGCAAAATATGCGCATTATCAAGCGTCGAGCTTTCAGGAGAGTTTAAAGGAGGAACGTGATAAATCGCAGGGTATACATTCGTCAAATCTATCGGATTCTGATTCAAAGGATAGTACGGGCGTTGTGAGACGTAAGAAAAATTCATATGGCGTTGTTGGTAGGCCGGCGTCAAAAATGTTGAGATTTGGAACAAATGTTGATTTATCGGACGAGAGAAAATGGAAGATACAATTGCAAGAACTTATGAAACTTCCAGCATTTGCGAGAGTTGTCTCGGCTGGTAATATGTTGAGTCACGTTGGCCATGTTATTCTTGGTATGAATACTGTACAATTGTATATGAAAGTACCTGGTAGTCGAACTCCTGGTCATCAAGAGAATAATAATTTCTGCTCAATTAATATCAATATTGGACCCGGTGATTGTGAATGGTTCGCAGTGCCTGACGCTTATTGGGGAGTGATATGTGCTTTATGTGAACGCAATAACATTAATTATCTTCATGGAAGCTGGTGGCCTTCACTTGAAGATTTATATGAGGAGAATATTCCTGTTTATAGGTTTTTGCAACGACCTGGTGATCTCGTTTGGGTTAATGCCGGTAAGTTCTTTTTTTAATTTTATTTATAAATCAGTCAAATTCACAACGTTTATGATAAACGATTTAGAAGAAAAAATATTTTTCCAAGCAAATTATTATTATTTTTTTTATTAAAAAAAAATTTTTTTCCAACATTTTTTGATGAATAATTTTTTAGAAAAAAATTTATAGACAAAAAAATTAGTTATTATTTTTTTGAGTGAAAAAAATATATATATTTTTTTAATCGTTGATCATAAACGTGAATTTCACCGACGGAATTTATTTATTTATTTATGCAAATAACGATAAGAAAATGAAATAATTTATTTTACAAAAATTTTATTATTTCAATCAGTTTCAAATCATTGAAGACAACTTAATAAACTTGACATTTCCTTGAATATTTGTTTAATTTGAAAATTATGAAATTTTATAAGTAAAATCTTCAAGTTGGCCGCAAGTCAAGAAATTTTGTAAAAAAATCTTCAAAAGTCGATAAAATTTTTATTGAAAGAAACCACAAATTGACAATTTGGACTGATTTTATACTAATTTGTGCTGCAAAAAAATTTTTTTTTTTTAATAATAAATTATATTTAAAATAATTCAAGAAAAATATTTTTAATCCAGAAATATTAAAAAATAATTATTTTTAAAAAACAAATTTTTATTTACGAAAAATACAAATTATTATAATTTTAATATTCAAAATTACGTTTCTTTCCTCAGAAATATTCAAAAACAAATTTTGTGCTGAATTATGCTTGTCAAATACATGAATAAACAATTATAATATTTACGATAAAGTAAAAATTTTTGAAATAATTTAATTCAAAAATAAATTTTTTTATTCAGAAATATATATTTAAAAAAATTATTATTTTTCAAAATTTAATTTTGTACTGAATTTGCTTCTTGAGCACAGAAAGAAACAATTTACTTATAATATTTACGAAAAATAAAAAAAAAATTTCAAAATAATTCAATATTAAAATTTGAAGAAAAATTTTTTCACCCAAAAAAATTCAAAAAAAAATAACTATTTTTAAAAAATAAATTTTGTGATAAATTCTTGTGAACCAAAAGTTCTGAACGTTCAAATGAACAAAATATTTTTTTTTAATCTATAAATTATTAAAAATTATGATGGCAATTTAAAATAAAACAATAAATTAAACAATTATTAAATTAATAACTTCTTTTTACATATTTAAAACAATATTTTGTAATCAAATTCTTACTTAAAGAAGATGTAAAAAAAATTTCGTTCATTTGAACGTTCAAAACTTTTGGCTCATGAATTCTTCAAGTGCAGCATAATTTATCACAAAATTTATTTTTCAAAAATAATTATTTTTAAATATGTCTGAATAAAAAAAAAAATGTACTTTTGTATTTTAAAATTGAATTATTTTCAAAAAATCTTAATTTTTCATGAATGTTTTATTTGTTTCTTTTTCTGCTCGACTAGCGAATACAGCACAAGATTAGATATTGAAAAATAAATTTTCATATTTCTGAATAAAAAAAAAACAACTTATTTTTGGATTTTAAAATTGAAATTTTTTGAAAAATTTTGAAGTTATAAAAAATCTTACATTTGATTCTTCTTGTCCTAAACGAGCACAATTTAGAAGCAAAATTTATTTTTTGAAAACAATAATTTTTGAATATTTCTGAATAAAAAAATCGATTTTGAAATTTAAATTTGAATTATTTTGAATAATTTATTATTAAATAATTAAATTTGTTAGTCAAGGAAAAGTCGGGGAATTTTATTTATCGAAAGGGGCTAATTTATTTTCTAAAATTATTGAGAATTTAAAATATTATGCTATATCATGGAAAAATTAAAAACATTTTAAAAGTTATGAAATTTTTTATATATATTGTACTTAAAATTCTGCAAAAAATGAGAATTTATCTTATAATTTACATTATTTTTCATCGGCAAATTTTATTTTTAACGCTTCTCTCAAATGATTGTGAAGAATCAAATAGATTTTTGTAAAATTTAATTGCAGATTTTTAATATAATTGAATTGTTTAAAGAATTTTATTAAAAATGTATGTACTTATACTTTCCAAGAATTTGAATGGAAAAATATGTAAATAATTGCATTGTACACTTATTAAAAATCATGATTTTTTAATATTTAAAAAAAAATTCAGATTTAAAAGTATTATGAATTACTGCTTTAAAGGTGAATTAAGAAAAAAAAAATTTTTTTTGAAAACTTTGAAAAGGCTTGAATTTTATTTTATTTTTTTTTTTTGAAAAGTTGTCAAACTTTTTGTATTCTTTTTCTTAATAGATTTAATAATTGTTGAAATTTTAGAAAATTTTTCGTATCAATATATATTTTAATTAAATTATTTTGAATATATTTTCCAGGTTGCGTACACTGGGTACAAGCAGTTGGTTGGTGCAATAATATCGCATGGAATGTTGGACCATTGACCGCTCGTCAATACCAGTTGGCTATTGAACGTTACGAGTGGAATAAATTACAATCATTCAAATCAATAGTGCCGATGGTTCATTTATCTTGGAATTTAGCTAGAAATATAAAGGTATCAGATCCACGGCTATTTGAGCTTATTAAAAATTGTCTCCTACGTACAATGAGACAATGCTGTCTGATCCTTGAATTCGTTAAAAGTAAAGGTGTTGAGGTCAGATTCCATGGACGTGGAAAGAATGAGGCCTCACATTATTGTGGACAATGTGAAGTAAGTTATTCATATTTTTCTATTTATATTTTATCTGAAAATTTATTTTTTTTAATTCCCTGTAAAAGTTTATAATTATTTTTCCAATTTTTTTTAAATTCAATTTTCCAAATAAAAGAAAGAAAAAAATGAAATTACAAAAGTGAATTTTTTTCATTTCAGATTGAAGTATTTAATATATTGTTCATACGCGAGCAAGAGAAACGTCACGTGGTACATTGCATGGATTGTGCGCGAAAACAAGCGCCATCATTAGAGGGATTTGTCTGTTTAGAAGAATATAGAATGCGTGATTTAATGGATGTCTATGATGGTTTTTCATTGCATACAACGTTATCAGCTCCGGCTTCTCATTCAGTTCAAACAACTCAATCCTCCTGAGGTTACATGCAACACAGATATTTGGACTACTTGAGTACACTTCAATAACTTTAGTGGTACGATCTCTGTAAATATTTCTCATAAAAAAAAAAAGAAAGAAAATAAGCATCCTTATGTACCTGAGAGCTACAACAGAATTTCTCTTTTTTATTTATCAAAAAAGAAAAAAAAAAGAGAGACACTGTATAAACGCGTCCGCACAGGAGTAATTGTTACACAATTTCACTTTTAGATTTAGTAACAAAAAAACAAAAGATGATGAGTGTCATTTGCTCCTTAAAACGCGATTTCAAAGTTACCCGTAACTTGATCTAATTAGTTAGTTCTAATTGTACAAAAAGAAAAGAAAAGTTTTTTACAAAAAAACGCTTAGTATAATTCCTTAAAATATAAGAAACGGACTATATCTTTCGATTCCTGTGACAAGTCCGCGAGAGAATGTGAAATATTTTTCCATAGCTCTTGGGTACCAAATTTTTTTTTTAAATTCTATTAACGAAAGAGAAAGAGAGATCTCTTCGGGCATGTAACACAGGAGTAAGAGTATACCGTCTAACAAAGTGATATTTGAACAATTCACCGTTTTTCTGAAAAATCTTCGTATTTTTTTTTTTTTTTTTTTTATTATAAAACGGTTAGCAATCACAATTGTAACATAAAAAAAATGTGAGTATTTAAAATTTTTTCTACTACGCAAAAAAAAAACTAGTATAATGTTAGATAATATTTTTTTTGAGTTCTTTATTGGCAATTTTCAGAAAAAAAATCCCAATTGCCAATAATTTCTAAAATTTTGAACTCAATGAAATTTTATTAAATCATTGCTAGATAAATTTTTAAATTAAACAAAAATGTTTCATTGAAATATTCGTAATTTGAAATTTTCAAATTTGAATATTCTTTTTAGAGTGAACTCAAATTGTTTTTAAGATATATTTAAACGAATTTCATATATATATATTTGATATTCAAATTCATGAATTTAATACTATATATTTATAGTTGATTTTTTTAACACTTAAGACGATAATCCTAATATGTGATACAAAAAAAAAAAGAACATAAACTTTGTACAGAAGTTTTAAAAAACAAATTTCTTTTTATAAATTTAATCAGACTTATAAAGTACTTATTCACTGTAATTAAATATTTCTTATTTATATATACGCATTTCAGAAAAAAAAATTACTTAATCTTTACATTTTTTTTTTTTATCATTTGAACGTAAAACATCCTCATTTTGGGGATAATTTTCAAAAATCTCAGGGAATTAAAAATTCTTCAATTTTGTAAATAAATTTTTTTTTTAGTTTTCTCAAAAAATTTCAAGATTGAAAATTTCATTACTCATTCAATATTCAATGAAATTAATTAATTTCACATTTACCAAATCTGCAAATTCTCTGTTTTTTTTCTTATTGTTTTCTCTATTGTGTATATGTATGAATTTTAAAAATTCGATCAAATGCTTTTTTTTTGACTTTAAATGACGACTTTCAATTAATATTAAAAATATAAAAATAAAGCATCGCTCACTGCCAAATGATTTAAAAAAGTAAAAAAAAACATGTTCTAAAAATCACGATAAATTTAATAGAAAGTCGTGAATTTGTAGCTACTGTTGATATTGTTAAACTAGAATAAAATAGATACAAAACTGCTCAAAAAAAAAATTGATTAAACGGTTATACGTTATTATTACTTCAAAAGGGTTAAAATTTAAAATTGAAAAAATTGTTGTACATTTTTTTCTGAAGACATTTTTTCCAAAATTCTTAAAAATTAAATTTTTTATTAAAAAAAAAGTATTTTCTTTAAAAAAAAAAATTTCTTTTCGAAAGTTAAAAAAATGTCAATTTCAAAAAGTATTTGAAAAAAAAGTTAGTTTTAGAAAGAAAGAAAAAAAAAAAAATTTTTGAAACAACTTCAATAGGGTTATTGCACGAATAATATGGATAAATATTTTAAATATTTATGTGAATAACAAAGCAGGATTTAGAAAAAATGTGTATCAACTCTATCGAAGATGGAATTTGCAAATTTGGACTTTTTTTTACTCTAGGTATAAAAAAAAATATATATTAAAATCTCCTCAAGTTTTTACTTCTAAATATAAACATAATATATTCAGATACAATTTAGAAAAAAAAAAAAAAAGAAAACGAAAAATCTTGTACATAAAAAAAAAATTGTGCATTAATTATTTTCTCTTTAAAATGAAAAAGGAGTATTTTTTTTAAACTTCTATTTCCTGCAATGATAGCGTAATAAAAAATATTTTCCTTTTTCGTCAATTCGCTTAAATGTAAGAGAAATATAAAAATTAATTTTGATGATATTATCATCAAATAGTAAAAAATTTTCGACTAGAATTTTTATACAAAAAATTCATTAAATGAGAAATTGACAAAAATTCGTTTAGCGATAAATTAATTAAAATTAAATTAATTTTCATAGTAATGAATTTTGAGTGAAAAAAAATTTAATTATCTGAATTTTTTTTCTATCATTAACTTATTATCGTAAATTTTAATTTCTCATCAATTTTAATGACGATAACAGAAAAAAAAATTCTTTCACACGTTAAATAACGTAACCGTGTCTAAATTATTTTGAAATAGAGAAAAAAATGCAAATTTTTTTTTTTTTTTGAAAAAATATCTTGAAACATTTTTTCATATATATAAATATGTAAAACAGTTTCCTAATTAGAGTATAGTTAAAATTAGCAATACGCTAGCTTAGAATATTCGAAAAAAAAAATAATTCAGAAAACTATTTTAATGGCATGAAATGATCTCAACGTTATGATATTGATAGAAAACTTACAATTTCTAACAATATTTGGGACTGATATATGACAACTTCGATTATGATTTATAATAAATTATGTAAAAAATATATATAGATATAAATATATATAAATATATATATATATATATAAATAAATATATAAATAAATATTATATTTAATGTAAATCGCTAAGAATTTAGGGACCGAGATAGAACTCGTAAGCTCGTGAGAGCTTTTTTTGGAATGCATGCGCGAGAAAAAAATGTGTATTTGTGTGAGAGAGAGAAATGATTTGATTATTTATGCTGCTTGTATTATATACAAAAAAAAATACGGCTAGAAGTCGTAATTAGCTATGATTGTGTAAAAAAAAAAAAAAAAAAAAAAAAAAAAAATTGGTCTAATTTGCAGCATGAATGATCCAATAATATTCTGTGGTTAGTTAAGTTTATTAGGAAAAATTCAATTAGACGCTGTGACTTTGTTATTTGAACATTGCGTTTCAAGTAATTCTTTATTGTATAGTTTAAATTAATTTTAATTCATAGAATGCATTTGCAAATGCAGTGAACTACTTGTTTTTGCCTTTTTTTCTTTTTTTTCAAAAAAAAATAATTTTTGAATCATTTTTTTTTTTTTTTTGTTTTCTTCTACAAATGTAGTTCTCAAGCTTTTCAAGTGATTCGCAGCATCGAATATTGGTTTTATTATATATATACATATATATATATATAATAGTAATCATTGAGTCGAGTTGACACTTGTATATTTTTAATTTATTATTCAAAATTTATAGCAATTTTTTTTCTCTCTCTCTCTTTTTTAAATGTGATTCGATTTGTTTTATAATAAGCAACAATTTTTTTTTAGTGATTCAGTTTCAAAAAGACTGTTAAAATTATTATTATTATTATTATTATTATTATTATTAATTTTTTGGAGGGGAAAAAAATTATTGACAATTAGTATAATTATTGAAATTTGAGAAAATTCTCATTTTTTAAAAGTAATAATAAAAAATTGATTTCAAATTTGATTAAAAAATGAAATCGGAATTTTTTTTTGTGACAACCCGACTTTTACGATTAGCTATTAAGTTTCTTTTCCAAATGTTAAAGAATTATTTACTCTTTTTTGGGAATTAGAAAAGAAAATAGATATTTTTTTTTTTTAAGAAGAAAGTGAACGATATTTACACAATCGCTAGGATATTAAACAATGGCCATAAAAAAGAATGTAACAAAAATCTTGTATTAACTTCTCGTAGAGGAAGAATTGTATTTTGATACAGACACAGAATTTTGTACAATTGAGAATTAAAAAAAAAAAAATCTGCCACAAAAAATCATGAAATGAAAAAAAAAACACTATTTTCGCTATAATAGTATGAATAGAATACAAGAAACTAAAAAAAAAAAAACAGAATACACAAAAAGGCTTGAGTTGTATTCTAAACACTTCTTCATAAAAATAAATCGAATTACGCGGAAAAGCAAAACAGAAATGTATTTTTTTCGAATGATAAAGATATAATAAAATATTTTTTAAATTAATTTATAATACATATTAACTCCCGTGTAGGCGAAAAAAAAACAAACAAAAAAGTAAACTGAATTTCGATGTGAGAACGTTCACTGCCAAATTGTGATACACAAAAAAAACCACCTTTTGCAGGTGCGTTTCCCTTATCACCGATCGCATCGATAATTAATAAAAAAAAAAAAAAAAAATTGGAAAAGAAACAATATTTTCAATATACGGATATAAATTTATAAAAAAAAAATAAATAAATGAATAAAAAAAATATCGATGCCCTCGGATATGTGGGAGGCGGCTCCTTAATTATAAGCAATTATAATTTTAACATTTAGTGAATGAAAAAAAAGAAATTCGATATTTTTAAACAGGTCAATTTTACTGTTTAAAAAAAAAGAACGTCTTTGGACCGCCTCTAGCGCTCTTATCTTATGTGTACAGTGCCTTTGTAATCTAATATCTTCGAAAGAAAAAAAACAAAACTATTAAATCTTCTAAGGATACGTAAATTTGTCGCGGTCTATTGAGAATTGAGGAAAAAAACAGTTTTTTTTTTCTTTTACATTCTTCGATGATCCGATGTTGTTTGTATTTATAGAAGAAAAAAATTAATAAATTGAAAAATCTTTCGAAAATAAAGGTGCAGTCCCCTTTGTTAAGTGTCGCGATTCTCATCATTATTAAATTTTAATTTTTAATAATAAATTAGTGTATAGATTTTTTTTTTCAACAAAAGAAAGAAAGAAAAAACAAAAAAAAAAAAAAAAAAAAAGAAATGTATCGTATATACATAAAAATTGTACAGTCGAGATCTAATTGTAGCTATTAGTATTATTCTTATCACTATTCCAATTATGATTTCTGGTAAATTGTAAGACATTGTGTTTACCACTAAATAATGTAATATACAGTTATACAGAATTCGTTTTCATATTTTATAGTTTTCAATATTTGTCCCTTCTTTTTATTCTCAATTTGTGAGAAATTCCTTACTTCCTATCCTCATTTTTTTTTTTTTTTGGAAATCAAGTCAATCAACTGTTAAATTTTATATAAAAATATTATATAAATTATGATTCTTTGAAATGAAAAATTAATTAATAAATTGAACAGTTTTTTTTAGTACTTTAAATGAATTACAATATTTATTTATATAAAATATGTGACGCGTTGAGAAAAAAGTGACCTTAGAAGCAAATGAAATATAAGTTATGTTTACGACAGTTTTACCTTGATTAAAAGTTTCTTTTTATTTCTGTAATATCAAAATTAATTTTTATTGATTATTTTAGATATAATGTTAACCATCATTGATTAGCATTAAATGTTGATCGTTAGGGTTATTATTTTTAAAAAAAATTACCTACATAGAAATCTACATTACCGACTGATGGCAAAACAGTTTTTTTGAAAAATGAAAATATTAAGAATTACCTAAATAGAAATCTACCTTGCCGACTGATTGCAAAACATTTTTTGGAAAGATTAAAATGTAAAAAATTACTGACACAGAAATCTACCTTACCGACTGATGGTAAAACAGTTTTTTGAAAAATAAAAATATATAAAATTACCGACATAGAATTCTACCTTACCGACTGACGGTAGAACAGAATTTAAAAGTGGAAATATAAAAATTACTGACGCAGATATATGTTTTACCAATAGTCGGTAAGGTATATTTCTATGTACGTAATTTTTTATATTTTTATTTTAAAAACGATTTTTACCATCAGTCGGTAATGTAGATTTTTATGCCGGTAATTTTTTATATTTTCATTTTTCAAAAAACTATTTTGCCATTAGTCGGCAAGGTAGATTTCTATGTAGGTAATTTTTTATATTTTCATTTTTCAAAACAAAAACTGTTTTACTATTAGTCTGTAATATAGATTTCTATGTTGGTAATTTTATATATTTTTTGCAAATGTTTTTACCATCAGTCGGTAATGTAGATTTTTATGCCGGTAATTTTTTATATTTTCATTTTTCAAAAAAACTGTTTTGCCATCAGTCGGTAAGGTAGATTTCTATGTTGGTAATTTTATATATTTTTCTTTTTCAAATGTTTTTACCATATTGTTAATTTTTTAACCATATACAGTGAACCCCGTACGTATATCAGATTTTAAGGGAGCAGGAAAAATATTCGATGTAAGAAGTTATCCGATATATCCGGGGAAGTGTTATATCCAAAAAAAATGTCCATTTAAAGTGTTTTTTCTTATTAAATTAGAACTCAATGGCATTACAATATTAATAATCTATAATTATCTAAAGTACGGATATTAAAAGTAATTATTATACGAATTATATGATTTTTCTAAAAATAGGCCGCAACTATAATAAAATTAATAAAGAATTGGCACAAATAGTTTTTTTTCTTTTTTTTTTTTTTTAGAAAAAAATGGGTGTTAAAAATTATAATCAACATTTACTTTAATATAAATATAGATAAATTAATGAATTAGTATATTATTTTAATATTTACTATCATGTTTTACTATATTATATATATTACAAATTGCCTACAATTAAGGCACATTCACGCAACTTACAATTTCACTGAGTATCACGGTATTATTATGATTGGAGATTTTCAAAATATTTCGCCACATAAATATTTTCTACACTATACTTCAAATTTGAACCAAATAATTGAAAACCACAAAAAGGATGAATAACTCCATAAGAATTAAATTCTTTTTTTCTCTCTTTTAATCTCCGCAACGTTACCTAAATTACAAAACAATCATTATTATATTTATTATTATTACTATTAATATTAATATAAATTATGATTTATTAAATATATTAATAATAATTAATATAATTTACAATAATACAATTATTATTATTATTATTATTATTATTATGAAAGAAAATGAATTCAAAGAAAATGTTCATTACCTGAGACTGCCAATTTGTTTGCGTCGTGCCTGCACCACGCCATAAACGACGGCGGCTAAACTTCGACAAGTACTTCTTTGCCTTGAAGCTCCGGCTTGAAGTGTTCCTTTTCCAAGAACAAAATGCGTCTCCATTGTACCTTTTCCTTTGACTTCAATTAAACCCCGTTTTTTCGTTTTGTAGCCTCTAGACTCGAGAAACTAAAAAAAAAAAATAAATTTAAATTCAGAAAAATTATTTATAAATTAAATATAATTATTAATCAGTATTTTCCTTTTATTTATTTTTTAATTTTTTATTTTATTTTCTAACTTTTATTTAAAGATTCGACATTTTAAATTCTTAATAAATTCCATTTAAATATTTTATTAATATTACTATTATTATTATTATTATTATTATTATTTTTATTATCATCATTAAAAAATATTATCGAATCAAAAATGTGACAGAGAATAAAATTTACAATTAATGATATTTTTGAATAAATTTCCACTTCAATTTTGGAAGTTTTAGATCATTTTCAAAATGGAATCTTAAATAACGAAAAAGGGAAAAAAAATTCTCTTTTTGCCATGAATATTTGGAATTTTCTCTAAAAGAAAATAATGATTCACAAATAAAAAAAAAACAAGTAGCATGCCATATAGAAAGAAAAAAAAATATACCCTGGCTATTTCACTGGGTACTTGAATTTTTCCCATAACACCCGTTGAATCCATACGAGATGCTTCATTAACAGTATTTCCCCAAATATCAAATACTGGTTTTCTTGCACCAATAACACCACCAACCAATGGACCACAACTAATTCCAACTCGCAAATCAAAATTATTAAAAGAATGAATATTCACGTCCTCGAGACGCGATCTCATTGCCACTGCATAGTCAACTAATCTACATAAATGCTCCATATCGTCCATATTCTTGTCCTGTAGAAAAAAAAAATTAACAAAAAAATTCAAGTAAATTTTCATTCTCTTAAAATTGTTTTATATATTATTTAAATTAAATTAACCAACTCTTACATTGTGACATGGACTTAATCCCGATGCTGCCATATAAGTGGCACCAACAGTTTTTACTTTTTCTATACAATGAAAACAATTTTCGTCCAATAACTCGTCAAAATCGGCTAAAAATGAAAATTTTAAATTACTGAAATGAAATATTATTTATAATATACAGTAAAACCCCCGTATATCAAGTCCGCATAAAATAATTCCCGTCTATATCGAAAATTTTTTCTGGTTCCTTCGAATTCGATATACGAGGGTTTTTACTGGATTTAAAAAATTTAATTAATTTTTTTTTTTTTAATTATTTAAATTCTCCCTGTGAAATTTTTTTATATTTAATTTTTATTACTGTCAACCGGGGGGCATTCTGCATTTGTTTTTCCCTAACATTTTCGAATTTTGTTCTTTTTTTTTTATAAAAAATGTGAATTCTATTTAAAAAAAAAAATTGTGATACATAATAATTTGATCAAATGATAAATTATGTTAAACAAACATTGCAAAAAGAGCAATTCAAATTTAAAAAAAAAATTCAATAATTACATATTTTTAAAAGTTTTAATGAAATTCTTTTTAAAAATTCAATTATTTTCAAAGCTTTCAATCAAATTTTCTGCATAATTCAATTATTTTCCAGAATATAATTTAAATTATTATTATTTAAAAAAAAAAAACTTAATTATTTCATGATTTTTAATAAATTCTTTGATATTTGAATTAATTTTTAAACTTTTCGTTTAAAATGTTTTTTAAAAAAATAGAAAAAGTCAAATTTGTTAATTGCAACTCTTTCAATATTGAACTATTTCTATTAAATTCATATAATTATGTTATTTATAACAAAAAGTTAATTCAAGTACTTTGCAAATTTTATCCCGGCGAAAAGGAGTTGATTGAAAAAAACTAAAATGATACAAATATCGTTCAATTTTATCAACCATTTGAATTCAAAATAATTAGCATTTTAATTTACATAGAGTAGAAAGAATTGAAATGAATTTAATTTTGTTTAATAACACTTTAGAACTAGTATTAAGACAAGCATGACACAAAATTTTTATTATAATTTTCCCTGACTTCCAGATAATATTTTGTGTTTTTCCCTGACATTTTCAAAGCTTTCAATTAAATTTTACAAAATTTCAATTACTTAGAATTTTACGATTTTTTTAAATTCAAATTTTATTATAAAATATTGTTTTCTATATCCAAATTAATAATTTATTAAATGTTTAATGAACTTTTTTATTTTTCATTGGTGTAGTAATTTTCAAAAAAATATTTAGACGAAAAATTGATTTCATTCATCTGAACGTTCAATATTTTATAAATCAGTATTATTGCTGACAAGTTTTCCTATTTGTTTTGTTGGTTTAGTCAACATTTTTGTAATGTAATTTAGTACTTAATGTACGTAAGGGCTTTTTTTTTTATCTTTTATGGGCCCGTTTATATAGAAATAAATAAATAAATATTATTTTATAAAATTTTAGCCCTGGTTGACGATTAAAAAAAAAGAATTATATTTTTAAAAATATAAAAAATAAACCTATGATCTCATTTAACAAGCGAATGCATTCCATTCCTTTGTTCACATCTTCCGAATAAAATTCCGTGAAATTTGGTACACTCGCAAACATTACTCCGACTTTATCACGTGATTGTGAATACAATTCCTGCAATGTAAAATAAAATTATTTATCTTTGTTGATGCAGAATTTTTTTTTTTTTTTGATTATTTACCTCCGGTGCGCGTTCCTGAGTCAAGAAATGATTAGCCACATGATCAGGTAAAATATTTTTAAGCAATTGCATATTATTATGTTTTGATTCAATCATATCGGAAAGTTCTCTTTCGGCCTGTTGTTTCCATAGAAAATCCAATCGTGACGTAACTTCAACGAGACGTCCATGATATGTCACCATTACCAGAAAAACAATGAGAAAAATGAGAATTTGTGCTGCCAGAGGTATCGCCGTTCTGTAATTTATTTTTGTTATTGTATTTTTTTGGAAAAAAATCTGATAATAATTTGTATATTGTAATAATATCTAGGAAATTATTATAGATAAAAAAAAGAGTTTTTTTGAACATATTTGTCAAAATTTAACACATTTGAATTATATTTGAAAAAAAGTTTATGTTTTTAAAATTAAAATTGGGTAAAATGAAAAAAAAAAGAGAGCCAATGTTACGCGGTATTCCCAAGTGGTCACCCATCCAAGTACTAACCGCGCTCAATTGTGCTTAACTTTGGTGATCAGACGAGAACCAGTGTTTGCGATTTTGTATACGTTTATTAATAGCCAAAATCAATATAAATACAGTATTTATAATAAACAATAAATTCTATTACATATTATTCTAGGACTTACTGGCTAATACATTGCACTCGAAGTCGCGTACATTATTTTATGCCCACGAATGCATATATGAGTTAGTTATTTTTCTTTTATTCATTATATTGTTAATTTCATAAAGAAATTATATCATTTTAAGATTTGATATCGATCAGAAAAGGCTTGAAAACTGATCATTAGTACTTTTATTTATTTTATGAAAACGATAAATTAGAATAACCTGAATAAATTATTATAAAAAAAAAAACTAAATTTAACAATAACAAGGAATAAGGAGAGAGAAGTAGAAAAGAAAATTAATTAATCTAAGCTAGCTTATGAACTATTGATATTTACAATTGTTAATCGATGATGTTCATTACAATAATTAGTGATATTTTATTTATTAGGTTTTTTTTTTTTTTTTTTATGATATAGTTGTTAATAAAATAATAAACAGTAGTATTTAACAATATTTACATATATTATTGCTAACGCTTTTTATTATTATTATTTATTTATTATTTAAAATTGTGTTTAAAGTGATAATTATACATAATTTCGTAGTATTTATAATTCCATAGTTTTTCTTTTTAATTATTTTTTATTAAATAGAAAAAATATTTATTTATTTATTCATCTAACCAAAAGTATTTTTTAGTGTTTTGTCTGTGTTTATCTTTTATTTCTTTATTTGTAATGAATGTAGTGAATCTCCATTCTTCATTGGGTATACTTGTGTCTAAGTGTTTGTCGTACAGAAACGATTTCTTCCTAGCATTTCTTTTATAATGGTATATAACAGGGGCACCATGGGTGTCCTGTATATATCCATTTTTGTCCAGGTAAGGAAACGCTTCTGGAGGGACAAAATTAGTTTTTATTACATTTTCAAAGTAGTTATCCTTTGGGTAGTAAATTGAGTAAATTAAGCTATTGTTAGTTACCTTGCGTGTACTTGCAAAGTAATTTCTTGTGATTTTAATTATTTGTGTATCAATTTTATTTATATTCGCTAGGTTGTAAATAATTTTACTTGATATGTATTTCTGATAGTTTGATTCGGCTGATCTATATTTTCCTAGACATACTCTTAGGCATTTTCTCTCGAATACTCTAATTTTTTCCATAATGGATGCACTCAGATTATACCAAATGGGACACGCATATGTTAGTATGGGTCTAATGAATAACATGTAGCACATGAGTTTTATTTTATAATGTAAGTGTTTATTATACATTAATCTTCTTAATTTGTTAAATACCTTTTTTGCATTTTCAAGTTGTATGTTAATGTGTTTAATAAAGTAGAGTGTTTGGCATATGTTAAGTCCTAAGTATTTTACTATTGTCTTATTTGGTACCGGTTCACCGTCATCTTTTCTTTCTTTTATTTGGAAATTCTTCCAGTGTTTCCTAACATTTCTATTACTTTCTGAGAGAGGAGTTCTGAAAAAAATGGTTTCGCACTTGGAGACGTTCACTTTTAATTTCCATGTGTAGAGATAATATTGCACATTTTCAAATAGATCTTGTAATATTTTTTGAATTTCTGACGCTTTTTTACCTATAACATAAATAATCATGTCATCTGCAAATGCGATACCTTTTTTATTTTCATCTATGTTTATGTCATACATTTTTAGTATTTCATAAACATAGATGTTAAATAATATCGGGGATAGAACTGTTCCTTGTTGGAGGCCATTTTTAACTGCGAACTCTTTGTTCAGTATTATATTACCGTCTGTTATTACGAATTTTTTGTCTGTTATCATGTTTTTTAATAATTTAATTAAGTGTTTTGGAAATGAATTCTTTAGTAATTTAAATATTAATCCTTCAGTCCAAACAGTGTCAAAGGCTTTTTCGAGATCAATTAAACAAGCTCCCACATATTTTTTATTATTGAGAGCTTGCGTAACATCTGACATTAATTTATTTATGGCGTGGATTGTAGAGTGTTTATGTCTAAATCCATATTGTTGTTCTGGAATAAGGTTTTTTTCTGTGCAAATTTGTGTTAGTGAGACTTTTACTACTTTTTCAAATATTTTACTAATATTTGGGAGAAGACTAATTGGTCTAAAATCACCTGGTTGTGAACTATTTTTTCCTTTTTTTGGTATAGGAATAATTTTAGCTTTTTTCCAATTTTTGGGAAAATGACTGTTATTAAGTATATTGTTAAAAATAATGCAGTAATCCTCTATTATTTTGTGTGGAAGATTTTTTAATACAATGTTGGGAATTTCATCAATACCGGTTGACTTTTTATTATTTAAGTATCGAAAAATTTTTGTTAATTTATAACCTGAAGTGAAATAGTTTGGAATTATTTCGTCCAATAAGTGAGTATCATTTGCGTGTAAGTTGTTACTGAAGTTTACTATTGTGTTATTGTTTATTCTATCATTTTCAATTTCTTTTTCTAGTGTTACAATTTTATCACGAATTATTTTGTTAAGTTCTTTTCTTCCGTAATTTGAAAATTTTGTGTGTGTTTTTTTAAAGTGTGTTCCGATTATTTTGAGTTTATCTTCGTTGTTGGAAATTAAAAAATTATTATTGTTGTCAATAGGTAAGTTTTGTGTAGGTACGTTTGATTCTTGTAAAAGGGGTTCATTTTGATTGTTAATTTGAAGTTGTGGTATGGAAATTGTACCTTTTGTTCTAAATATTTTATTTACTTGAGGAAACATATTTTTTGGATCAGTAGCAGGAATATTTTTTATTTTTTCTCTCCAATAATTGTTAATAGAGTTAATGTATTCTTGCTTAAGTAGGGCTTTTAATGCTATTAATTTGTTTTTTAGGAAATTTAGTTCTCTGCTATTGTGTGTTTGAAATTTTTTATAGATTTTGTTTATTTGTGTTATTATTTTACTTTTTGCTTTGGAAATTTTTTTAATAAGAAGTGTTTGATAAATTTCCATGGAATTTTTTATTTTAATTTTTGGTAATGAGGAGCTCATAGCCAGTATTATACATTCGTTCATGTCATTTAAATATTTATCAATTTCGTCGTTCGTTAGGTTTCTATTGTTCGATATTATAATGTCATAGTTTTGGTCTAAATTATTTTTAAATTTTTCCCAGTTAGCCTTTCTGTAATTAAATTTATGGTTATGTTCTGCTTTTTCTAGAATAAAATCAGTTTGCGTATCGTAAGTTACATTTAGGAGAATTGCATTGTGATCGCTATCATATTGCAATGTTTTGAGTCTGTCAGTATTGTTGTATTTTTTCACGTTGAGTCTGGAGTCTAGAATAGCTAAATCTAGATATGAATTTCCTCTGGGAAATGAGGGTAGAGTTGAGGTGTATAATTTAATTTTATAATTCATTTCGTTGTCGTCTATCCATTTTCGTAAAAATGTTCCTCTAGTGTTAGAATTTTCGTTTGCCCAACTAGTGTGTTTAGCATTTAAATCACCTGTTATTATAAAGAAATTGTCAGGCTCGTCTAAGTTGAGAGTTTGAAATAATTTGTTAATTTCTTGATTAAAATTTAATCTGTTACCATATGCAGCGTAAGCAGATATTATGAAAAGTCTTTGATTGTTAGGTAAATTGATTTTTATGATAACAGTTTCAAGGTTCTGGAACTGTTCTATCTCCGATAGAATTATTTGTTTAAATTTATATTCTTTCTTAATAAGTATTGCTACTCCTCCACCTAACGTCGCGTTTGGTCTGTCTTTTCTGATGACTGTATAGTCTTGAAAGTCTATTTTATGGATTGGGTTTAATTTAGTTTCACTAAGTGTCATTATATCTGGGTTGTTTGTTTTTAAGAAATTTAATAGGTTATTTCGTCTTTGGTTTGTTATAATGGAGTTAACATTTATGGAAATTATTTTTAAGTTTTTCACGTTGATAGTGTTAGTTGAATTTAAATTTGCGTAATTATTCATTATGATTTGAATCAGTTAATAGTGAATATAAGTTATTAATTCTTTCGCTATTTTGATGAACTAATTGTGTAACTTTAAGTATTTGTGTGGTTAATTTGTCTAGGCTTTCTTGTAGGTTTTGTGAGTTGTTTAATGTTTGTTGTTTATTATTAATTGGCTGATTTATTTGTTGAGAGTTGTTTTGTAAAGTGTTTTTTTGTAAGATGTTTGAATAGGAAGTTTCTGTTGTAAAATTATTGTACATGCGTTCTTTTGCAATTCTATTCTTTTTTATTGCTTCTAATTTTTCTTGTAATCTATGCTTTAATTCTATTCGTTTTTCGCATCCTCTATAAGAGGCTGGATGGCCGTATTTTTTACATGTTACGCAGTATACTTGTTCTCTTTCTTTTACATTCGTTGGTTCCGGAAGCATACAATTCCCGGGAGCATGATTTTCGCAACATTTAACACATCTATAGTCTAACTGACAATTCGAAGCTACGTGTCCCAATCTTTGACATTTTTTGCATTGTATGCTGTCATACTTCTTTAGTTTTTCCCACCTGATTACTTGATAATTGAGATATTTAATTTTGTGTAATAAGTTCATTTGACTATTTGGAGTCAATTGTACTAGATAAAAAGGTAAGATTTTATTTTCTTTTTGTGATTTCGGGGTTGTAAATCGAGAAACTTTTAAAAATTGAATATTTTCAGTATTATATGTTTTTAGATTTAAAAGAATTTCCGCGGGATCGGTATTTGAATCTAAGCCTTTTAAGAGAAATGATTTTACTTTTTCTTCTTTTAATGTGTACGTAAAAAATTTTGAACTTGTAGCTTCGAGTTGTGTTTTTACATTTTTAAAGTCTACAGCATTTTCTGTATATAAAGAATGCTTATCTTTATTGATTTTTTTAATGTAAAAATTTTCAATTCGCAATTGTTCTTTCACTATGCTTACCGTTGCTGTTTGGTTCTGGCCATAAATTATGATTGGTGGCGGCTTGCCTGTTGTACCTTTACTGCTGGTCGGGTTGGTCGTTTTATTGGGTGTTGTTTGTTGCTGTGCTTTAAGCTGTTTACTGCTCTCTGGGTCCGTGGGATTAGAAGACGTTGATGGCGAATTCTTTTTTCCATTTTCTAGATTTTTTGGGCTTTTATGGTCTTGGGAAAACCCCGCTGCTTGGTTTGTTGATTTTACTTTTCCTGGTTGAACATCTGTTTCCATTTCATTAATGGTGTTCTTATTTTGTAGTTTTTCCAGATTTTCAATCCTTGCAGATTGTTGATGAATGGTTTGTAATAATTCTTCTATCTTTTTTTGTTGATATATATTATTGTTAATTATTTCTTCGTAGTTTTCTATTGAAATTTCCATGTTTTTCATGTTGTTTTTTTCGCTTGAAGGTGTCAGTGTTTTTTGTGGGATTGGTGACTTATTGTCTTGACTTGTGTTTGGTTTATCGTAAGGTTTTGTGACCTCAGTTTTCTTTAAGGAGCTTTTTTGCACTTTTAGTTGCGATTTTGGTCCTTTTTTTTCTGTTAAAGGTGATTTTACACTTTTCACCATGCCTGTATTTAATGGAATAAATGATAATCCAGACACATTTAATAATTTTTGGGGCGATTGGCCCCGATTTTCACTATCAATGTTTATATTTTCACTATCACTTATTTCATTCAAACTGCGCGGTATTCCGGCGTTTAACGATCGCGCGGGCGCGAAACTCGGCCTATGTATTCACAGTGAAATGAACGTTGGCTGAAATTTATCTTTTCACTAGTTGGGAAAATGGTTTCAGAATCTCTTGGGGGCGTGGTTAAGACGCATAATTATCATTGTCTCTCAATTCGGATCTAAAAGTTATTTTTGATGATCAAATTTACAAATTTCAAAAGGCAAACAATATAAAAATTCGTTTATTAGAATGTGAATTTACTACAATTTTTACTATATACTTAAAATTATTAATTAAGGTTATGTGGTAAAATTTTTCTATTATTTATTTTTTATTGACTAGAATTTTTAATCACTCCAATTTATTTATTTTTTTTTTTTTAATTACTAGCGACTCCGACGGCCTTTTTCCGTATCCGTCCATTCAATTTAATTTTCAATTTATGTTTTATAATTAATTACAATTAATTTATTAAATATTTAATAAATTTAATTATTTCAAATAAGTGCGCGCTATTTTGGCTTGGGCCAATCAGATGATTTCAACTCAATATATACGTTATGTTCGTTTCTGATTATTCATATTTGACAGCTGCAAATATTTTAGTAATTTTTATTAAAAACATAACAATTTTTTCTAATAGTGGCCCTGATATCCGTCGTAAGCTTTGTGTCTTGCGGTGATTTTTTTCATTAAAAAGATTGCAACATCTACTTTTATATTTCTCCGACATTATAAGGAAATCTGACATTAAAAACTTTTTCCTACATTAAAAACCTTTGAAACAAAATAAAGTTTCGATTTCTGTTTCGGCGATATAAGTGAAACAGTTGAGCGACCTCGAGTCCTGTTTGAGCATGCACATAGCGCAGCGTGCGTGAAGCTTTCACGTGGAGTTTAAAAATTAATTTAAACTTATTTAACTCATCAGGCCCACTTCAAAACTTTTTGCAAAATATTTATACTATTTCTAAGTTTATAATAAAAAAAAAAAAAAATTTGGAAAAAAAGTGGCCCAAATTAAAAAAAAAATTAATCTGTTTATAAAAAATTGTCATGTTTTTAATAAAAATTTGCTAAAATATTTTTTTTTGTTAACATTATTCAAAAATTGAGAAAGAACTAAAACTTTTCCTCTCTTGGCAAATTTTTTCTAAATTCGATAATTTCAGAGTTATAAGGCATTGAAAATAGGTCTACTTTTAAAAAACTAAAATTTAGATAATTCGTAATTAAAAAATTTGTCCACTTATAAAAAAATACGTATTCATTTTTTTTTCACTAAAGAATAAAAAAAAATAATTTTGAACGAATTAAAAATGTGAACTGAAATCTGACGTGGAATCACCCCATATGAATATTAAATAAATTGTTTAACTATTTATCTGAATACTGAATACAAATTATTAATAATTTGTTCAAATCTGTGTTTTCCTAATAAATCCTTTAAAACTAACAATTTGTTTTTCCTAAGATACCTTTTATTTTTGTGTCCGAAGGGCGTGCGTATGTTAAAGATTTAACGTTAATTTTTAGAGATTTAAATTTGATTTTTGATATATCAGTTAAATGACTGATACAGTTAAAAACTCATTTTCTTTAATTTCCAAAATTCGTCTTTAAGGCCATCCGGGGAAAATCCCTAACCTAAAAGTGTTTTCCCTTGCGAGATATTACTCGTAAATAATTTGAAATATTTTGTTCGGATTTGTCGGATTAATTAGACGAGGGCGAGCTGATTTAAGAATCATCTCCATTTTTACAAGTAATTTTGTAAAAGAGTATTGAAAATCGTGGTTATAAAAGTTGGATTTTTGATAGAAGTGGGAATCTATGTGTCAGTGGCCCAGAAGGTGGCGCCAATTCTAGCTAATTACTCCACTTTAAATCTTTAATAAAATAATTTCCTCACAATATTATTGCAAAAATGGAGAAGAGTGATGAACTCAGTGACCCTTCCTCTATTATTCCTCCAAATGCCAACTCGAAATACTTTATCCTTTAAAGATGAGAAGAAATTTACGAAACCCCTTTTTGCCAATGTTTAAACATTTTTTTCAATAATTATTTATCAAGATTATGCAAAATTCCGAGAAGAGCCCACTCCCAATAGAGTACCTTCCTCTATTATTTCCAAAAAATTACAACCCAAAATATTCTATCTTTTTCAAATGAAAAGACAAAAACCATTATTTTCTCCCGGATGCCCTTAACAAGTAGTTTCGAAAGAGAAATTTCTAAACTTTATTATTGTAATAAAAAATTATTTTTTTTTTAATATTTAATTAGTATAAAAAATTTATTTTGAAGGTAATAATATATTTATTATAAATATCTCAAAACACGTTGTCTCCAATTTTGACAAAATCTATGTCGAAAGAAAGCTTAAATATTCTATTTTTTTAATTTCCGTAAAGTTTGTAAAGGACATTTTAGAGGATTTTGAGAAGTTAATTAAAATTCTCAAACGTCTCATAGATAAAAACGGGTTGAAATTTGTTAGATTCACATTCTAAATAAACGAATTTTCATATTGTTTGCCATTTGAAAATTTGTAAAGATCAAATGACTTTTAGATCAAATTACGAGGCGGACAACAAGATAATTCTGCATCTCTCAAAATTATTCGAAAACATTCGATAACTATAGTATTTTTTTAAAATATTTTTTTAAATATAAAATAAAATAATTATAATATCAAACGAACCTGTCATTTTCTTCATAACTGGCTGGAAATAAATCTGGATATATGATGAATATCAAAATTGCATATATCAATACAATGACACTTGCCAGGGCAGTTTTCACCAAATAATATAATTTCAATGAAGAAGCTAATGCTATTAAACACAATATCCAAGTAAAAACTATGTACTCGGGACGAATACAATTTTCTCCTTTTTTATAATTCTCTTGTAAAATTCTCAAACTACTATCATTATCTCTTGATGTGGAAAGAATTTTTCTCATCGGTAAAAATGATAATTCTTCGGTTTTAAATTTTTTAACATATTTCCTCTGATGTCTTAATGGCTCTGTGGCTCGAAAATTTTCATATCTAATTTAAAAAGAAACATCAACTATAATAATATTTTCGAATAAATTTACAGTTTATTTCTTTAAGTCCAGCCTTCGAAGTTTATTTATATATTAATTAAATTTAACGAAAATTTAAATTAATGTACATTACCTACCGGAAATAGTTTCTTCTATTTGAACTTCGTGGAAAGGTATTTTTATTATTATTATTATTATTATTATTATTATTATCGAGAAATCCCAAAATAAGAGATTTTTTTGAATTTTCTCTACTATCAATGTTGGATATATCTGAGGATGTATCATCATCTTCATCTTCATCATCATCATCATCATCATCATCATTAGTGAAGGCAGTTTCGAGGAAGCTTAAAATAAGCTTGTCTAGGCCAATATTACCATTTTGTTGTGTAGAATTTTTCATTGATTCATTATTGAAATTAATTAATAATTCTTTGTGACTTCTTCGGCCATTGGGACAAGCAACAACACTAATAACTGATGTAAATGCCATCAAACTTATTAAACTACAAATAAACATTGTACGCCGTTGTCTATTGTGAACCAATGTTGAGGACAAATGCTTCAAAAATGTTGGCAAAGATTTAAATTCATCGGCCATTACTAATATTGATGACGCAATTAAAATTAACGTCGTCATTAATAGCGATATCAGAAGAATTATACAACTGAAAAATGTTTTAAAATAAGTCAATTATAATTAAAAACATTTATTATAATTTAAAAAAAATGTAATACTAAAGGTTATAAAAATATAATAAATAAATATATACAAAATATAATAAATAAATAAAAGTTTCTTATTTTCAAAAATTAAATTTGTGGATATTAAAAAAATATATTTGAAATAATAATAGAGTATAAAAATTTAAATAAATAATTATCATCATATCGATAATTCTTACTTGGGTAAAATAATTGCCTGGCATACAGCAATGAACAACCAAATGACGAAGCAACAAATCATATTTGATTTGAACATTTCCTCTCGCATTTGGCAGAACTGGAAAAAAAAATTTTGGTAATTTTATCTTATTCAATTTAAATTATGTTTAAAAGAATGAAATTATAACTTCTTTTCTTACCTTTGATTCTAAACTTTCATCATTGTATCTTAAAGTCCAAGTATTTATATTAGCAGATCTCATTCGTTTATTACTAGCAAATTCAATTCCAATGGTTCGTGTTCCTTTTTGACTTCCGTCAGTTGATGCAGACTTAACCATTTTTGCATTTTCATTATCATCTTCTAAATAATCTGATTCTAGATTACTGACGGACGTTGCGCTGTTTAACTAAAATAATGAATATAAATAAAATAATTATTAATAATTTCATTATAACAATTAAAATATATTACAAAAATGAAAAGAAAATTAGTAAATTAGAATTTTTAGGCCTCGGATCAACTTTAAGGCGCAAAAAAAAGTCGTTTTAGTCGATTTACATTCAAATAAAATAATAATAAATAAATTCGATAACTTTTAATTTTTAATTAATTATTTAATTTCAGAAAGTTTTAGAAATAATTAAATTTTAGGTTTTGAATTGAAATTTTTGAAAATAATTGAATTTTAAGTGATTTTGAATTTTGTAATTTTTCATAATTTTATTTGTGAATGAAGAATTTATTAGAAATTATAGACAAAAAATGAATTTCAAAAGTTTTTAATTGAAAAATTTATTCAGATAATTGAATTTTCGACGAATATTATAAAAAATCATTAAAAATAATTGCATTTTGGAAGAGTTTTAGTTGAAATTATTAAATTTCAGAAAATTTTAGATGGAAAATTTTATAAAAAATTAAATTTTAGGTTTTAAAAAAAAGAAAGAAAAATGATTTTGAATTGTAATTTTTTGTAATTTTATTTGCTCATTTTTTAAAAAATTTTAAACAATTATTGAATTTTATAAAATTTTTAATTGAAAAATAGTTTAAGATTTGTAAATTTGTGATGAATTTCATAAAAATTGTTGAAAATAATTAATTTAGAGAAAAATTTCAGTTAAAAATTTGTTGAATAATTGAAATAAAAAACATATGAAGAAGATCTACATTGTATACCAAAAAGGAAGTATTTTGTTTAAAAAATCTAAAAAAAAAAAAAAGTCGAAAAAGTCACATCTTATTAAAATAAGTAGTAAAAAGTCGTATTTTCGAAAAAAAGTCGGAAAAAGTAAAAAAAAAATGACGTATAATGCGATGCCTGAATGTCCTTTAAAATTAGAGAATAAAATTCAAGGTTTTTTCATGTTTTTTGAAAAAATGTCATGAATTTTTAAAAATTAAAATATAATTTAAAAGTTTAATTGGATTAAAATTTGATTTTTTTGGCAATTTAGTATTTTAATATTTAAAAATTTATTGATCTTTGAAATTGAATTCAAAATTGAATTAATATTTAATAATAATAATAATAATAAAAGATACAAACGTTTTCGAATGGAATTTCCGGTGTCCAATCAACACCAATATCATCTTCAACAGGTGGATTGCCAGCTGAATTGTTGACCGCCAATGAATTATTGACTTTGAAACTTCGTTTCCCTTTATCCTCCTCGGACCAAATTTTTGGTCTTGACGAATGTCGTCGCTTTGTTCGTTGTGGCTCAGTTTGTTTAATCAAATAAGTCACAACATCACGATCTTTTAAATAATTATCACGTTCTGTTCCATAACCAGGTTCAACTTCATAGACACCATCCAAACATTCCAATGTGTCCGCTGATATGTGAACTCTCCTTCAGGAACAAATTTTTTAATAAGAGCACTGCTAAAAATTTTAAGTCTTAAGTATTTCAATTAAAAATCTAAGTTTCTTCTATTTTTTTCTAAAAAAAACTTGTTACAATCTCTATTTATGATTTCACATATAATTTTTATGTAATATATTTCAATATTTTTGTATAAAATTTTAATTAATAAAAAAACCAACAAAAGGGTACATTTTATAAATTTTTTCTAAGTTTTCATTATTCTTAACTAAAATTATTTAAAATTTTTTAATTCTTGCTACAAAATTTGATTTATAATCTCTTTTATTATTGAAAAAAAAATTCCCTAATAAAATAAAATAACAATTTCAATTATTAGTAGAGGTTTTTTTTTTTTTTTTATAATTTACCCTGGAATTCCGCCACTTTCAAGATGATTGGCAAGTGTAACGTCATAAGACCAGACATCAAATTGCCATTTTCGAAGTCCCAAAACTCCGCAAAGAACTGATCCACTATGAATTCCTATCCGCATATTTAAATCTACCTGTTAATTAATTATTGTTTGTTGTTGATAAAATTAATTTTATTTCAATTTTATTTTTCAATAGTTATTAATAAGAAAGCAAAAATAATTTTTTACAAAAAAATATGTTATTCAAATTAAATTAATTAAATAATATCAAAATGAGCAGTACGTGAAAAAATACCTATACAAAATCATATCAAAATAACACAAATTATTTTTGACTATAAAAAAAAATTACCAGAATAAATAATAAAAATATGAAAAAATATATTAGAAAATTTTTTTTTTTTTTTTTTTAAACTCGAAAGAAATTAAAAATTCAGTGTAGTAAACGAGAAACATTGGGAGTGAAAAAATAAAATTTATTTATTTTTTTAAAAATAAATTGCGTGAAAAATAATAATTTAAAAAAATTACCTGTGTTGTATATCTGACATCTCGAATTGCTTTTATCATATGCAATCCCATTTCAACACAACAATGAGCATGATCACTTCTTGCAGTTGGCAAACCAGAGACACAATAATAGCAATCGCCCAAAAGTTTTATACGTAAACAATGATTTTCATTAGATAATTTGTCAAAACGAGCAAATAAATCGTTTAGTACTTTAACCAATTCCTGAGCACTGCAGTGACTAGCCAAAGCTTAAAAATTATTCAAAACTTATTAATACATATATAAAACTCAGTTTTAATTAAATAATAATTTTTTAAATATATAAATAAATCGATATGTAAATTAATTTAATTTTCAATTTCATTAATTTGTTAAACATTTTTTTTTTTCAAATATTCCAAATACTTTTTTAATTTTCATTCAAAAAATAATAATCATATGTAAAAAAGTTTGTTTCCGAGTCACTTTTTTTCAAAAATACTAATTTTGAAATTATTTCTCAAACCTAAAATTATATTCTTTCTAAATAGAATTATTTCAGTACCGTTAACCGGGGCTATAAAAAATTAATTATTTAAAAACAAAAAAACTCAACTATAATTCCACGAAATAATTCTCAGATTGTGAAATTAATTTGAAAACAACAATCTCAACAGTAATTTTTCCAATGTTAAATTAATTTGAAAATTTTCAATTAAAGATCTTTGATTATTCAATTATTTTCAAACTGATGAATAAAAATTAAATAATTTAATTGTTATTTTCAAAAATTTCAAGTTCAACTCATCAAAAAATTTAATTATTTTTAAAAGTTTTAATTAAAAATTTTTGATGATTCAATTATTTAAAATAATTTAAATTAAAGCTTTTGAAAAATTTTATTATTGCCTTAAATTTGTAGAAAAAAAAAATTATTGAAGTATAAATTTACAAAAAAATTTCAATTTAAAATCACCTGTAATTCAAATATTACTGTTAATTTTGAAAACTTCAATTATTTTGATACATTTTCAAAATTTTTTTACATATTTGTGTGCTAATAATTGTAAAACAAAATTTGTCGATTTTTTTGTTAGAAATCAGAAATTGAGTAAAGTAATATTGTATGAAATTGAATGAATTTTTACAGTGTAAAATTTTTTTCATATTACATTAAATTCTTTGGATTAAATTTCTCAAATTTATGGCAACTTTGTATTAATAAAAAATAAATAATATTAATAATTTGAACATTCAAAACTTTAGGCATATGTTAAATGTGAATTCAGTTAATGAATTCAAGTAAATATTTAGATAAATATAGTTGTATTTTGTGCAAGAAATTGCAATAAAATTGTCTAAGAAAATTGGTATTTTTTGAAAATTCGATATAAGTATTTGAAAATCTGTTTCATTAAACTTGAGTTAAATAGAAATTCTATCAAATCAGAATTTAATGAAATAGAATAATAAAAAAATTAAATTAGGCTTATTTTAATTACATTTTATACAATTCTGCTAAATAAAAATTTAATAATTGTTAAGTCGATACCATGCGTCCTTAGAATTACCCCGATTGACGGTATTTAAATTAAAAAATTCCACAGCGTTGATGGGTAAAACTGTTTTATAATTTGTAAATAAATTTGGATTTATAGAAAAAAAAATTCAAATAAAAAATATTAATACTATAAATAAAACTTTAAAATCGTTACCTACTTAATTTAAATTTCAATTAGAAATAATAATTATTATTTTCTTTATTTTAAAGTCTATATATAACTATACTCACCAGTGAATCCTTTAATATCGGCAAAAAGTATGCTAACATTTTCATATCGATGAATGTAAATCCTGTGAAATTGATTTGGAGTAAATGAAATTGTCCCACCTCTTGCAGTTTCCCTCGCAATGTCTCGAATCATTTCCTTGGCGACAAAATCCGGTAGAACTGTCAGAAGAAGAAAAAAAGAATCAGAATAATAAAAAATAAATAAATTGCGAGGTAATTTTTTTTTTTTTTTTTTATGAACATTATAATAAAGTTGCGAGAATTTTCAAAACAGTTATTAATTGATTTCGTAAAAAAAAAAAATTTTCTCCCTAATGGAAATTAGTTTTTCGAATTTTTTTTTTCGTTTTTAATTAAAATTTTCAAACAATTTTGAATGAAGAAAAAAAAATTATCCTTTATTCATGAAAATTTTTTTGCAAATAAATTTGTTTTACAAATAAATGTCAAATCATAGGAAGTAATTTAGAATAGATAAAAATCAAATCAAAATAATATAATAGTAAAAAATTAAAAACAAAATTCAAGAAAGAATTTTCCGTTTTTTTTTTTAAAGAATATTTGTTACTTTCATGGCAAATTTTTTTTTGCAACAGACATGAAAGTAGTAAAAGCATCGCCTTGAAATATTAGAAATAGAATTATACGTCAGTAATTGCAGTTAAATAAAAAGGGGGAAAAAAAATAGTATAAAGTGTATTGGTAAATATTATTGTACACAATGTGAATCTATTTCCGGCGTGGGATCAATGTGTGTGTGTGTATGAGAATGAGGTTCGAAAAGATGTATATGTATATGTATCGCAAGAGTAAAGGTATAGTCCTTGGAAAAATATCTCTAACGCAATCGACTGAAAATGTCTAGTGACCCTTTTGACACACGGATGAACAGCTTGCACGGGCCAATAAGCTCCTCTCTCTGTACCATTTCTGTTCTCTTCAGCAACATGTTAAATCCACACATAGTTTGTACAATCTATAAAAGTCTATATAAAAAAATTCCATACACACAAATACAATTCACATGAAAAAAAAAAATTAAAAAAAAAAAAAAAAAAAACAACAATTTCCTATGAGGGAAAAAAACATCATTTAGCGTTGACCTGAGATAATTTCATAACATCATTCTATTGATTATGGAAAATTATATAAAAAAATAAAAACCTTTAGTTTATTATTATTTCTTATATGAAATTCGAAACAAATTGTTTTCTTTTACAATTCGCATAAAATTACTCACCAGATAAAAGAAGTTTTTCCTGACGATTATTTTCATTTTGTGTTCTTTGTCGAGTTTCCATTGAACGATGTGTCTCCAAAAATGCCTGACGTTGTCCTCTATCAGTCAAATATTTCGTATACATTCCTGCTAAATTGACTGCAAAGTAGAGAAGAACATTTGTCGACAGCATTCGTACAATGCAAACCAAGTCCTGAAACTGCGATAAATAATGATTTATTTCTATATTTATTCTATTTTCTGCTATTTTCTAATATTTTCATAATATAAAATATCTAAATATGAATATATTATTTTCTAAAATAATATTTTATAAATAATTTTTTCTTAATTTAAACTTGTATTAATTTTTTTTTTTTTATGAATTTATGGAACGCATGATTATGTTCTAAAAATCATTAGTTAGAATTTTCATTTTATGGAATTTCATTTGTTAAAATTATTATTGAGCCGAATTTTTATTTGTTCGAATTAGTATTTCGCAGAATTTTCATCAAAAACTATTTTCTACATTACAGAATTTAAATTGCAAATGACCGAACAAACAAACGACAGAAAGATTTCGGCGCAATTTTAAAAAGTAATCAATCATAATTTTATGGATAATATTTGATTGATTGATTTTTAAAAATTGCGCCGAAATCTTTCTGTCGATTGTTTGTTCGTTCGGTCATTTGCAATTACGGACAAATGAAAATTCTATCAATTAGAAATTCTGTTGAATGATTTTTTTGTTAAGTAAAAATTCTGTTGTATGAAAAAAATTTCTTTAAAATGCCTATTATTCTAAATGAAAAATTCGAACAAATAAAAATTCTGTGAAGTGAATTTTCGGTTATATATATAAAAAAAAAAAAAAAATATTCTTCGGCTCCAAAATAATTTTGACAAATGAAAATCCATAAAATGAAAATTCTAATCAATGGTTTTTTAGAACATAATCATGCGTCCCCGATTTTATTGATTTATTTTAAAAGGGAAAAATAAAATTTTTTTTTCTTTTTTTTTTTAAAGTAAAATTTGAAATTTCGAGGGCACCTTGATAAATTTTGAATCAGTTGCCAGAGTTATCATAGCCATGAAAATGTGTGTAAACGCCGTTCCAAATCCGGCAAGAACACACCATCTCAAAGGAAGTGGAAGCATCGCATAAGGAGCGTAAACGATTAGCAAAATATACCACGTTAAACGTTGTTGAGTTGAAAAATCTAGTCCAGCTACTATGAAACCTGAAAATAAACGTGACATTTAAAAGAAAGAAGAATTCTTTTTTTAAAATATTGTAATTATCGAAGTATATATAAATGTGTCGCAGTTTCTGTGCAATTCTTGCACAGTCAAGTCAGAGAAATCTTTTTGAATAAAAAAATACGACATTTATGTTGAAAAAAATGAACTTACAAGTTTTATGAGTAATTCACGTAATTTATAGATATTTAAAGAAAAAAAATTAACACCCCGTGAAATTAAAACAAAAAGCAAAATGAGATATAGTTCGAAAATAAAAATTCGATAAAGATTATAATTCTTTAATAAATTTAATAAATACCTATAATTATTTGTTTTCTTTTTTTGTAAAGTAATACAAAATCATTTAAAGTTTATAAATTTACAGAATTTATTATTTTATAAGTATTTTTGCAATTCTGAAATATGTGACTATTAAATAAATAATAATTATTTAACAAAAACTTTGGGAGTTTTTTTTCTTTTTTTTTTTTTTTGAAAATTATACAACTGAATCATTTCAAAGAAATTAATTTAAATTGTAGTTTTAATTGTTGTCAAAAACATTTTTAGTGAATTTTTTTCAGAAATTTTATATTCTTAATTTTATCAACTTTCTATTGATTTATTTTATTGATAAATTCTCTTAAAATTACCTTTTTTTTTATACGTATATTTTTAGACATTCGTCAATATATATTTGATAAAAGATCTATTAAATGAAGATACGGTTAAGCGAGCATAAGTTTATAATGAATCATTGAGAACTAACAGAGCAGAATTTCAATTAGTAAATAAAGTCAATAAATGTTAGAGTTAATGGAAGATCGAAATAGATATATATATTTTTTATAAAAATAATTTTAAGTTAAATAAAAGTTTTTTATTAAAAAAAAAAACTTATGGAAACAATTTTTGTCAATAAAAAAAATTTTTTTTTTTAGATTTATATAAAAAATATTTATGAAAACTTAGAAAGAAAAAATTTTCCCATTTTTAATAAATCATTGAAATATTTTAATGGATTTATTAAAGATTTATTTAAACATGTAAAATTTTTTTTTAAATCAATAAATTTTTTTTTTAAAACTAATTCTGCAAAAATATTTTAAACAATTATAGTTTTTTTTTAAATATCGTTAAAACAAAAACATTAAAAATTTTTTTTCAAAGTTTAATAAAATTAAAAAACTTGAATGAAACTCAAATTGTGTTGTAAAAAATTATTATTGTTCAAATTCAAAATTTTTTAAATGCAATTATTTTTTGTAAAATCTATTCTGTTTAGTTTCATTTAAGTGTATAGGCAATTTTTTTTCAATTAAAAAAAAAATCTTAATTTAAACATTTTTTAGAAAATAAAATTTTTTTTAGAAAATTTTTCAAAATTTGAAATTTTTAAAGATTTTTATTTTTGAATGCTCATTAAAAATGCATCAACATTAAAAGTTTTTTTTTCGTTTTTGGGTAAAATAAGCAAATTTTTAAAAAAAAGTATTTTAAACGAAAGTTGTAGATCTCATTGAAATGCATTTTTTATATCCCATATATTTTTTTTGGAAAATTTTGCATATTTTACCAGAAAAAAAGAAAAACAGTAGAGAATGATGTCAAATTTTTAGACTTTTGAATTCCTGAAAAAATTTTTTTTTTAATTCTTCTCTCTAAATTTTATTTAATTACTATATTAATTAATATTTATTTTTAAAATAAAAATTTCATTAAAAACTAAAAAAAAAAAAATTTTTTGTTGAATCTAAAACTTTAACATCATTTCACCAGTAACGAAAAAAAAAAGAAATCTATAAATGTATCTAACCTTGGGAATTTATGAGAAGCCAGGTGAAAATAGAAGCCCAATATAAATAATTGTTGGGGAAACAACGCCACCATCCTAATGCACAAACTATTAAATTAGATACCATACAGCAAACCGTCCAAGATAAAGACTCGACGAGACCATCGGTGTTGTTTTTCTTTCGCCACAACCATATCGACAAAAGTGCTATCTGAAAAATAGAAATTTTTATTCCAATTCAATAATATATTTCGAAAATTCAATTTCAATAAAGGGGCACTGAAATTTTCAATATTTTCACATTTACCATCGAAGGTTTTTTTTTTATTAACATTTTTCTTTTTTTAATTTTCCATTTTTCCAGCGAATTTTCAATTTTTTTTAATGATTATTTATTTTCTTGTCACTCTTTCGCAGTGAAAAATAAAATAACAAACATTACCTCTTTAAAAAAAAAAAAAAAGAGGGAAAATGGGAACATTTTTAATTATTGCTTATAAATGAACGAATGTGGAGATTTTTTTTCCAGTCCCTTTTGTCGGTGTTTTTTTTTTTTTTTTTTTTTTTAATACCTTCAATCCAAGATCGACAATGTTGAGCATTATGAGTGATTTCTGCCGTTGTCGATTCGAATAATGAAGAAATGATTTTTCCATTTGTTTATTGTGAAAGCTGTTGGTGAGGGACGGACAAAAAATGCCCTTGTAGAGAATTCCTTTCTTAAAGACATCTACAAAAAATGGTCCCATAAATTGACTGCTTTAAAAAATTTAATTTCAAATTCGTACCCTATAGACGTTTTTTTCCCTATCTCATATTTTTCGTTTTTTGTTTTATATTACGTTTTTTTATCCTCATTATTTTTTGTTTTCTTTTTTTTCTTATACAAATTTTGTTTTCTTTTCTTTTTTTTTCCTTATAAAAATTTTGGTTTTCTGTTTTTATCTTATAAAAATTTTGTTTTTCTCTTTTTTTTCTTATACAAATTTTGTTTCATTTTTTTTTTTTTTAAATAAAAATTTTGGTTCTTTGTTCCCTAAGTTAATATAATTTTATAAAAAACGTGAAAAAAAAATTGAAATAATTTCGCAATTATTAAAATTAATTTAATAAAAAGAAAATAATATTTGATATTATTATTAAATTGTTACCTTGTTGTATTTGAGCTTCAAGATCCTTCTCTTGTGTTTTTGAGGTGACAACTTCCTCTTCATTTGAAGTGTCGACAATTTCTTTTGTTTTGTCATTTAATTCCTCCATATCAGTGTCTTCGGGAACAGTGGTTTCCTTCCGACTTTCCCAAGCTGCCAAGCTTTCTCTTCCTAATCTTTCGGAGGTCAATTTTTTTACTGCTTTAATCCATAACTGTTTTCTTGGTGAAATATTTGACCTAATAATCGATTTAAAATCAAAATTTGTAAATTTATCAACACAATTTATGAATTTACTGTAATTTTTTTTTTTTTTTTTTAATAAATAAAATTCAAAAATCAATTTAATTCCAAGACGAAAATGAAACAAAAATTACTTGAAAATAAAGAAATAAAATTGAAAATATCGAAAAAAAAATGAAATCTAATTTTTCAAAATAAAAAAGTAATGATCGTTTCAAATCTTTTAATTCTCATATCTTTCATTGTTAAACGTCTAGAGATTTTAAAATACTTTTCAAAATGTATGTAGTTAAAGAAAAATAAAAATTTTTATTTCTTTTTCTATTTGAAATTTAAAATCGTTTAGCATTGAGACAAAAAAAAAAAATTTTCCCAATTTTTAAAAATAACCAAAAACAAATAAACTTACTCATTTATCCCAGTGATTTCACTGTCCAGCATCATAGTCCAAGTCTGTTCTGTAATCATTATCCCTCGTTCACTTAATGCACTCCGTGCACTTAAGTAGTGGTCATTAAAAACGCGATCGCTTCGAATCTCTTCATTTCAGACTTCTTTATTTATTTATATTTTTTTTTTCAAATTATTCTCACCTATAACAATGCACTTGCATGACAATAAAAGATCTCAAATTTTTCATTTGACATCAAAATATTATGACACACCACAGCTGCTGATGAATATATATAATATATAGACATTGTCAAGCTCGTGCACTTGTTATAACAAAAATTTTTTTTTTTTTTTTTCTATTTTTTTCTATTTATTAACAAATAGAATTTGTGTAAACATTTATAATATCATACAAACATTATCAAAGAAAAAAAAATACATTTTATAAATATAACATCGATTTTGAATTTGACAATAATTATTTTTAAATACATTAAAAAAAAAAAAAAAATTGTAGTTAGTATAAAATATTGAATGGAACATTAAATTTGAATTTCATTCAATGAACATTAATATTTAGAAAAAAAAACAATCAAAGCAAAAAATTCATACTATTTTTACATTAAGATAGATATAAAAAAAAACATTGCATCGCAATTTTAATTGAATACCACATATAATTTTTAAAAAATGATTTCACAAATATTCAGAATAATTAAAGTCTAACGATAATTAATTAATCGTTTATTTAAATTTTACAAATTTACTTTTGCAGACTTTCAAGAAAAAAAAATGCAGACGAAGAAGTTTTCATGATAAACAATTTTTCTATTTACCATTTTTTTCTACTTTAATTATTCTTGCGAACAAAATTTTTATTTAACTTGAACAACTTTTAATTATTATTATTATTATTATTATTAATCATTATATAATAATTAATAATAATAACAATTGAAACGAGATTTATTAATTTATTATCTAGTTCATTATAATTTATTTTATTTTTTTATTATTTATTTATATATTATTATTACTTATTATAATAAAAATATTTTTTTAAATTATTTTTGAAGATAATTTTAAAAATACATCGTTTATAATAATTGATTATAAAAATTTTATTATATCAGTTATATTACGACTTTTTAAACTTGGATTAAAATAAAAAAAAATATCTTCAAATAAATTTTCATCGAAATGATTTAAAGAAAAAAAAAATTAAATTTTGAATTTTTTGAAAAAACTTTTACAAAATTGAGAAAAGAGAGAAGAAAAAAAAATTTCGAAATGATTGAAATATTATTATGTAGGAAATATTATAAAATACGAGACTTTTTTAATATTTTTAATAATTTATTATTGTCAAAGAAATATATGTATTGATAAAATATTTTAAAGAAAAGTGATAATCAATTTTTTTATATTCACAATAGCTTCATGGTACAATTATTTTAAAAATTAATTACTAAACTCACCCTTATAAAGATGTTATTGATTTTTTTTCATTTCATTGAATATTCAACGGTAAAGTCTAATAAGAATTTTTTAATATATAAACAAAAAGTGTGTTTTTGTTGAAAGATTTAAAAAAATAATTGATTAAAATTTATTTTTTATTTAAATAAAACTTTACAGTAAAAGAAAGCGACTATTTTTTTTTATTTGCAGTAAAAAAAGGTTTTTTTTTTTTTTAAATTGAAATTTATCAGTAAAACAATGACGTTTATCAGTTGATAGTAAATAGTTGGAATATGATATTCATTCAAGTCAAAAGGTGTGTAAAAAAAAAATTTATACAGTTTTTTAAAGTTACCATATCTCAACAAACTTGAAAAAGAAAATATAAAAATTTTATTTAAATTAATTTCAAGAATACAAATATTATTAAAAATTGAAAAAAAACTAATTAGACATCAATTAGTGTACAAATATAAATAAAATTAAATTAGCAATGATAAATAGAATAAAAACAAAAATAAAATGATATAAATATAATTGAGAATAATAGTGTCTCATAGCACGTTTATAGATAAATTAAACATTTATAAACAAATTACAAATATATAAACAGAAAAGTCAATGCACTCAAATCAAATTATTTTTCAAAAATATCCAAAATGATCTATTAAATTAAAATTAAACATTTTTTTTCAAATAAAAATAATATTCATTTTATAAAATATAAAAAAAAAATTTAATAACACATGGTAAATGACCTTTCGTGCATATAAAAATAATAACATCGATGTAATTGAAATTAAGAAAAATGCATTAGACTGCATTGTTATTTTTAAATTCAAAAATAATATTACGCAAATTATTATAATGAAAATATATTCCAACTATTTATGACATATTTATTTATTGGAAAAATTTATTGAAAATATTTATTTATTTAACATTTATTTATATCAGTCTCTAAAATTTATTCCTTCAAAAAGGAAACTTAGAAAAAGAAATAAATTTGCTTAAATTTTATTTTATTAAAATTCTCATCTCTTTGAATATTTCTTCAGATTTTTTCTAAATCTGAATTTTTTTTTATTTATAGTTTTCAAAATTATTTTGCCGATTTTTTAAAATTATTTTCATGCTTTTTTTTTACATTAATGAGAAAGTATTTTTTTTATAAATTTCAGTTTCTTTCAGTTTTTTTTTAAATATATCTTCTTTGCCTTATGAATATTATTGAATTCTTCACTCTTTAAATTGTGTAAAATCTCATTTAAAAATAAAAATTATTTTCCAATTATTTTAAATATACACAAATATTGCGGTGCAAAAAATAAAAAATAAATTTGAAACACAAAGATAAATAAACATTCACACAAATTTAAATAAAAAAAAAATGTTTCAAAATAGAAATACAGAAATAACAGAGATTCGCAGATCTACACGATATTTTATAATATAAATATATATAATATTAATATAATAAACAATTAGAAGTAAAAATTTATCTAAAAAAAATAAATAAATAAATAAAATAAGAAGAGAAATAGATAAAAAGTAAATAAATTTGTTATTTATTACTTACCGAAAAAAGCAGGAGATGAAAGAAATATCCGAAATAAAGTGAGAGATTATAAAGATGAATTTATCTCTCGTAAAGTGATGTTGCTTTTAAAAGGTACAACCGCGAAACTTCCGAGGTGGCGAATATTTCACTGATCTGACGTTCTTCTACCCCCTCTCGATCTTTTATATGAAAAGAAGGGATGTCACTCTGTGGGATGAAAAAAAAAAAAAAGAAAAAAAATATGAGTTGATCGCAGTACACTGACCACTCACAGAATAATAGTGCTCAGCTAACAAAGAGTGAAAACTAAATTGGAAGACTTACTTTCAGCGCAGTGATCCTTTCAAATTGATTATTCAATCCTTTAGAAAATTATTATAAATTAACATTTCCCTTAAAAATCCATTATTAATGTAATTAATTCCTCTTCTGTTCTTTCAAAATCCAATATCTACATTAATTAATTCATTTTCTCGAAGAATTTAATTTCATCTTTCCTGTAAAAAAAAAAAAAATAAAATCAAACAGTATACCATTTTTTGTTGGTATTCGTATAATTTCAAAAATTAATTTCAAAAAATTAAAGATACTTATCTTTAAAAATTTTTCAAAAATAATGCTTTTTTCCATCAAAAGAATCAATAAAAGTCTTTGTTCCACTTTCTGAAATTTTTCTTCATAAAATATTGAAGTAAACTTATGATTCAATTGGGAAAAATTAAAAGAAATTAATTTTTTTTTATATTTAAGGAAGTTACCACTTTTTTGACGGTTTTAAATTTTAATTATCGCAGGAAGTTCCCTTTTTTGCATTATTTGGATTTAGAGTTTTAATTTGAATTTTTTTTTAAAAATTGAATTTCCATAGATTTTGTTAAATTTCATACAATAATTTAATTTTACAGAATTAAAAATAATCTTTTAAATAATAATTTTAGATAACCCTTTTTTTTTAATATTTTTTGAATTTTTGAAAATTTAGAATACAGATTTTTGAAAAAAAAATTGAACTTCAAGTAATTTTTGATTGAAATTTTTCCTGATTTTTGTTGCTAAAAAATTTATTAGAAATTACAAATAAAAATTGAGGTAAAAAAGTTTTTAATTGAAGAATATTATAAAAATTATTAAAAATAATTGAATTCCTGAAGAGTTATAGTTAAAATTATAAAATTTCAGAAAGTTTTAGATGAAAGATTTTAGAAATAATTAAATTTTAGAAGATTTTAAATTGAAATTTTTGGTATGTAATTTTATTTGCCGTTTTTTTTTTAATTTTAAACAATTATTGACTTTCATATAATTTTTAATTGAAAAATAATTTAAGATAAATTGAATTTGTGAAGAATTTCATAAAAAATTATTGAAAATAATAATTAATTTAGAGAAGAATTTTAGTTAAAAAAATTTGATAAATAATTGAAATAAAGAAGATCTGAAAAAATCCTGCATTATATACTAAAAAAAGGGGTATTTTGTTTAAAAAATTTTGTAAAAAATGTACAAAAAAAAAGTCGAAAAGTAACATCTTATTAAAATAATTCAAAAAAGACCTATTTTTGAAAAAAATCAAAAAAGTCGTTTAATCCGATGCCTGGTCGCATGGAAATTAAAATTATTTTAAAAAATACAATTTATAAAATGGTCAAAAATTATTATTTTCTTTTTTTTGATTACCACATTTTTTTATAACTCAAATAATGCAAAAAAAAGTATAACTTCCTGCGATCAGTGAAATTTAAAGACGTCAAAAAATAAAGGTGGTGCCTTCCCTTAATAAAATCAAAAATTAATTAAATTTCAAAAATAAGGGATCAAAGGTGAATAATAACAACAACAGAAAAATTAAGAAATAATTAATTTATTGGCACTTATGTAAAAAATAAACGTACTTCTGTGTATAATTAATACATAATAAGTGCTTTTTTTTCATCTCGAGAATTAAATATCTCTTCTTTTATCATCTGTTTAATTAATTTTTTTAAAATATAAAATGTTAACGGTTTTTTTTAACACGCATAATATTAGAAACACAATTTTCTAAAAAAAAAAAAATGAAATAATAATTGTAATGAAAAATAAAAAAAAAAAAAAAGAAAAGAAAATACTTTCAGGCACCGCCTTTTCATTTCGACTATTAAATAACTAGTAAGTCTTTTTCAAAGACGATATACAAAGTCTTCAAATTAATGGAACTAGGTAAACTTTTTACTAAATTTTTCAAAATAAAGGAATATTTAGTCTTTAGTTCATTTTTAGTCATATTTAAAAATTATTCAATGACGTTGAATGGGACAGTCAAGTTTACAAAAGTTGGACGTTCAATTCTTCCATCTAAATTTGTTTCGTTATTTTTGTGATTTAACGAATTATGTTTTGGTTTTTTTTTTTTCTTATTGACTCTCTCACGTTAAATGTGAGATAGAAAAAAAATGAATAAATTAGATGTCATGAAATTAGTTGACGATTTGTTACAAATGTTTTTTTTTTTTTTTTTTATCCATTAGAATCAAATTATCTTTTCTCGATTGAATTAAGATAGGACTCTGTTCTTTGCGCTCGTCCTTCTTGTATGAAAACTTCATCAATTTCAATGTTATATTCATTTGAAACGTCAGTTAATGCCAAAGAAAGGACAATTTCATCACCATCTTTAATAATATTTTTAACTGTTGCCACAAAATCCTTTCCCTCAATTAGTTCTTTAAATCTTACACAGTCTTCTGCTGCCCAATCAACATTGATTGGTTTCACGTCTGTAGAGACAAAAAATTATTTAATTATCAAAGACAAATTTTTTTTATTGAAACATTTTATTATTTAGGTACCTAGGTGGTAACTTTTTTCTAAAAAATATTTTCTAATCCTTTTTTTCTAAAAAAAAAGCAGCCATTTCTGATGAAATCAGTTTTCTAAAAAATTGTATTCTAACAAGTTTTGATTTCTAAAGAAAAGTTTTTTCTAATAAAGTTCAATTTTTAAAAAATATTTTTAAATTTTTCTAAAAGTAATAATTAATTTTTGAAATGTTTCTAAAAATATTATAATTTTCAGTCACATAATATACACATAATTTGCATAATCATTATATCGAAACACAATAGTATTCAATTTTTTGCATTTTCAATAAGATCTTTCCCCCATCCCCCCCTTTGCTTAACATTGAAAATAATATAAAAGAAAAATTTCCTTTTCTACTTGCAATCAGTTCTATGACCATTTTGTTAATTTGAAATTTTGAACTTGAAATTTTTTTAAATCAAAATGACGCAATAAATTTTGACACCACGAATTTTGAATAATAAACAACTAATCAGACTTCTCCAAATTTGCTGGCGAATAAAAAAAAAATATTTATATTTTATTTTAAGAAGAAATATGATTTTTTGATAAATTAAACCTCCAAAATAATGTAAAAAAAATTTTAAATGAGACTTTAACGTCAATTAATATATGAAAAAGATTTTTAATGTGAACTAAAAATAAATATTTCAGCAAAAGTTCCGTGAAACATGTCAACATTGCATTTTTTTTAATTAAACGTAATTTGGCGCGAAATTTAATAACTGCTACACAAAAGCTTTAAATAAATTAATTTCTGACGCCACGTTTGTTTATCTGACATAAACTAGATAATTTTATAATAAATGCAAATACATTTTTTTTATTTCATACGAACCATATTTTCAAATTTTTTGTCACCGCTAATAATGTTTTTTTTTTTTTTTTTTTTTGTTAAGCGTCATTGCGAACAAAATTTGTAAAAAAAAAATATATTTTTTTAGAAAATTCAAGTTGAAAGTGTGTACTTTCAAGTAAGAAATAATATTTTAAAAATAATTCTTCTAGAAAAAAAAAATTCTTGAAAAACACCTTTTTTTTGGTCTTACATGTGTTGTTTACCCCCTTAAATGGAAAATGAAATAAAATTTTAGGAAAAAAAATTAAAAAATTACCTGCAAGTTTTGCTCTTATAGCTTGATATGGCAGCTCAAAGAATTTGGAAGTAAGTGGTAGCAGATTTTTTAAATTGACTAAAGTGACTTCACCATAGTCACAAAAATAGACAGTGACCATCATTTGAGCTTGTAATTTATTAAGAACTGTGACTCTAGTTCAAAAAAAATTTCATTAGTATTGCTTTTCAAAATAAATAAAAAAAAAAAAAAAAAATGATACTTACCGATAATAATAATTATCAGAATGTTTAACACAATACAATGAACCTTCCTGAATATGATCCATTGTTAATGGTTCACCTGAATAATTTTTACATTCTTCGTATAATTGATTATTCATTGTCTAGAAGAAAGAAAATGATTTAATTATTATTATATTTTAGCGATTTTAAATTTTCATGGATTTTGAAAAAGAAAATTAATAATTAAAAAATAATGCAATTTTTTAAAGGAGCATTTAGTGATAAAAAAATTTTAATTTTTCTTACCAAATTTCTTAAAAAGTTTTTTTTTTTATATATAAACGATAAAAACTAAAAAAGAAAATAATATAATGTTTAAAAAAAATTAAAATAATCACCTCAAGTACCCCTTTGGATTCATAGGGTTGAACAATAAAATTTCCTGGATTACACACCATTTCAACGTGAATATCGTAACGTTTATTCACTTCTGGTATTTCCGGTTGTCGCAAACTTTTTTTATTTCTTACATTGACTTGATCTGTTGATCCATAACGACTCACCGATCTCTCGCTACGTTTTCGTTCTTTCACATTATTATTACTATCACCATTTGCTCTAAAATTGAATGATTTGAAGAAAAAAAAACAAGAAATTAAAATACAATTTAAAATTTCGGAAAAAAAGAATGATTTTAAGTAAAAAAAGAAAAAATATTACTTCTTCAATACAGCATCCAAGAGAATTGTATTATTAATTGAAATAATTCCATTATTTGGCTCTTGACGCTTAAATAATTCAACGACAGGTAAAGAAGTTTGACCAGTGCCTAATTGAACTACTTTCATAATTAATGGTTGATCAGGAGGTGTAAGCTCTCGTAATCTATTTATTTTTTCAGTATCAAACGATAATAAACTAGAAAGTTGCACCTCAACTGCCTAAAAATAAAAAAAATATATATATTAACTCAAATTCTTAATTAAAATTTTTTTCAGTACATTTAAACAAAATTATACACTAAATACAGGCTTCGGAGTTTAATAGATTACTAAAAAAAAAAAAAAAAAAAAAAAAAAAAAAAATTATGAAAAGTATCCCCAAAATTAAAAAAAAAGTTTCAAAGAAGTAAAAAAAGTACTTCAAAGCCTGTAAATACTATAAAATTAAATTAAAATTCAACAGAAATTAAAATAAATAAAATTGTATTTGTAACTATTACTTACTTGATCAGGGAATATGTTTAAAACGTCCGAAAGTTTATTTAGATTAATTAAATCTGTTATTTTTATCGTCATCGTCTCTCCAAAATCGACACAAACAGCGTCGACTTCATTTTTTAAATAATTTACATTTATAACTCTCACTCTGTACCAAGATCCATTTGGCGATTTTGCAAGATAAAATTTCGTTAAATTCAATGTTGTCGCAACGTATTGACTACAATCTTCACTCAATTTATCAACGACTTTATTCATCAATTCCGTGAGATAAAACAGACTGTAGTCTTTAAATTGAACATAAACATCGCCACTGTCACTGATATGTGAGACATACACTTCGTGAAGACTTGCCTGATAATTAAGAAAAAATAGAAAAAAAAAAATTCAGTTTAACATTTCTTAATTATTATAAATAAATTTAAAATTTATAACTTCATTTTTTTTTAAATTGGATTTACTCACCGTTTTTAATTTAGGTCGTTTAATGCAAGTTTCGACAATTTCAGCGGCAATTACTTTATTTAAATTGATATCATCTTCTCCACGAGTGTCGTAGAAAATAACGGAGGGCGTTCCATCGTCAATATTTTTTACCTCTACGTAAAATTGTTGTTCCAAAAGATGATTGGAAATTATTTTCTTTGATCTTTCACTATCAAAAATGTTTTCCATTTCGATTAGAGAAAATATCTCTAATTCATTAAGTGATAGACAAAGGGCCTAAAAATAAATTATTACTTTTAAATTTATTCACTTTTCGTATTCAGTTTAACAAAAAAAAAAAAGTAAAATTTTTTATAAAATATAAGAAAATAAATTTTAGAGATTTCAAAGAAAAGGACAATTTTGAAGATAAATTTGAAAAATTAAAAAGAAAATGAAATAAAATCATTTAATTTTATTTAATTTGAATATTCTCGATTTAAAATTTTATTTTGCCCAATGAAAAATTGTTTTGATTTAATATTTTTTTTTTTTTCAATTCAAAACAATTAATTTACCTGTGCTGGAAGATCGCAAAATTGTTTGTCCAATTTATATAACATGCTAATGTCACAAACTTCGTCATCGCCAAAATCGATGAAATCAACTAAGGCTTTTTTTAATTCCAAGTTTACATCAAGACATCGAACACGATACCATTTATTCTCTTGTTCACAAAAATATGCATAATACATATCTTCTTCACAAATTGACAATTTTGTTGTTTGCAAATTTTTCGAATAAAATTCATCCATTGCTGTACACATTTTTTCAAACTTTTCCTAAAATTAAAATTAGAAAAATCAAATTTTTCGAGAAAAAAAAAAAAAAAAATGAAAAGAAATATTAAAATTTTTAATCTCAAAATAATTAAATAATTTCTGATAAATAAACAATAACTATGTACATAATGAAAAAAAGAATGCAAAAATTCAAATAATGAAATTATGAAAAATATTCTGAAAATAGAAATTTCAAGAATTGAAAAAATCACGAAAATGAATATAATTTTTAAAACAAAATTAGGTAAAATTATTCTTAAAATTAAAAATAACTATCCACTTAAATATATAAATATTTATAATATAAAATTGATGAAATAATGAAACTTACGCTGTAATCTGCACCAACAATTTGAACCATTATTTCGCTGGTTGAATAAACAAATGTGACATGTGTCACCCAATATTGATCCTCAGGAACATTTAAGCTTCCCGGTGAATGTCGACCATTCGAATTTATTCTCATTTTATTAAATGGCGACAACGGAGCCAAATCTTGTTCCTGCAAACAAATTAAAGAAATTAATTAATTGAAAATTCAATATTCACCAAATGTGTAATCAACTTATAAAAAAAAAAATAAATAAATAAAAACACTTGGAATTTATCAAAATCAAAAGTTTTAACAATTTATTGAACACTAATCAATGAAAAATCAAATATATGTGAAAATAAGCAACTCGTGCAGAAAATGAAATAGAAAATATATTTCTAAAACATCATGCAACAAAATATATATATTTATAAAATTACAAATTTATTTATATATTAATCAATTTTAAAACTCTTTTTAGAATTTCTACATTTTATGTAGGCGCAATACTTACTCTTGAAATTTTTTTTCTCTCTTTTTTTTTAGGGAAAGCACAATAATTTAAATAATTAAGATAGGAATCTTCTAACGTTAATAATTTAATTAAATAAAATTTATTACTAAAAACAATTGAATACAGAAATAATTTTTTATGCAAAAATTATTCCTGAATTTGATTTATCTTTATTTAAAAATAAATTTTTTTAGAGTATAAAATAAAAGAAAAGTCAGAAAAAAGGTGATTTGCAAGTAAAATACAAAAAAATTAAAATGTGAACACCAAAGTAGTGAAAAATAAAAAAAAAAAAAAGAATATTCAAATTATTGCACACAACAAAAACATATGTAAATCATCATAATCATCATCATCAATTTTACATATCTACTCACATGTGAGAAAAAAATTTTAATTTGTCACTATGAGGAATTGTTTTTCTATAACGTGTATTCGAATATTTTTGAGAACATGTTGAAAATGCCACTTGTCAAAAACATGAAAAGAAATTGTTAAAAAACACTTTTAATTTGACTTTTTTTTTTTGCCAATTTTTAAGTCGACTTAAAGTTTCAATTTTCATTAAAACTTTTAATTTATATAAAAAGGGGCATTCCATGTGAGATTTTCTCACGTAGAATGCTCTGTATAAAAGATTTTTCTTTAAAAAAAAATACAATTCTTCTAAATAAAAATAAAAAAATAATTATTGAAACTGTAATTATAATACAAAAAGTACTACTATTAAACATTAGTAGAGAAAGGAACTTTTATGCTTTTCATAAAGACGAAAAATTCTTTCAAAATTTAAATATATATTTTCAAAATTTTTAATTAAATTCTTTAAAAATTTCAATTAATTAAAAAATCTGCAATTAAATTTAACAAATTTTCATTTATTTAACATCCTTGTAATTTAATATTTTCAAAAATTTAATTATTTTAACAATTGTAATTTTAGAACAAAATAATTCTAAATAAATTCTTCTAAAATTAAATTAGTTTTGAAATATTGAATTTCAAATCATTTAAACTATAATGTCAAATCTTTCAATTGCAACTATTTTAAAAATTGAATTTATTTATATTAAATCAAAATAATATTATTTAAAAAAAATTTACTGATTTTAAAATTTTATTTATTAAAAATATTGTTTTTTAAACATTGATTTTAATTATCAGAGAATTTATTTATTTAAAAAAAATTTGTATTGAACATTTTTTTAAATTAAATGATATTAAAAACTTTAATTGCATCTCTTCGAAATATCAAATCATTTTCAAAATTATAAATTAAATTTTTTTTTTAAATCCATAAGTTTTTCATGCATTTAAATAGTAAAAATTTTTAAATGAAATTCATCGGGAAATTTTATTGCTGTAAAAAAAATGAACTGATAATCTTCTAAAATTTAATTATTTTAAAAAGTTAGTTATTTAAAAAAATTTTTTAATTAAATATTCTCTTAAACTTAATTATTGTATAACTTCAAATAAATTAATTATTGTATTTTCTGAAACACAATTTTTTATAAATAAAATATTTTAAAATATATAATATTTACGAAAATACTTGAATATGCAAAAAAAAAAATATTTGCAAATTGTAAAAAAATTTTGTTAATTATTACTTTTTAATAAAGATCTTAAAACTAAAGAACATTTTTAAAATTTATGCTTCTATGCTCAAGCATAAAGTTCCTGTCTCTAAACATTAGGAAATAATAACTCAAGTCGACTTAACATTCAAACACACATACAAATATTGTATAAAATGTTTATAAAAAAAAAAAATGATTACCTCTATTGAATTTGGAACAAATCGGGTAAGAATATTCGTTCCATCCACACCTCTTTCTTCACTAATTTCTTTGCACTCATTTATAATTTTGTCAATATTATTTGGCAATAGTTCATTGTATTCTTCTTTATAATATTTAAGAAGTTGAGTTGTAAAAACTCCCGTTGAGTGTTTATTAATAATTTTTAAAATTCTTTCTTCAATTAGTTTAACATTTTTTGTCGTTGGAAGAGTACACGTTTCATCTTTTCTTTTTAATTCTTTCAGTGCAACATCAATAGCCATATTTTTAGCCTCTTCTTCCGTTTTACCACTATTTGGATAGCAAGAATAATTATTCTTGCCCACCTATATGTGAAATGAAAAATTTTCATTTTATATTCCTTTCTAATTTATTTAAATATATTTTTCTGAATGAAAAGAAAAAAAAAACTTGAATAACTAAAATTATTTTACGTATTATCAATAAATAAACAATAGAAAGTACTATTTTTCCTGAAGAAAATGCACTAAAAAATATTAATTTTTATTAAAATTAAAGTTTGTTTTTTTAACGAACAAAAAAAAAAACAATTTAATATAACTCACCATAACCGAAGCGAAGAAGCTTCTATGTTTTGCTTTTGATATTTTATAAACGGGAGTCGTGTAATTAAGATTATGAGCAAGTAATTTAAGCTCTTCTTCTGGTGTTTTTGGCGCAAATTCTTTAAACGGAACTATGGAAACAGGCTTTAGCTGTAAAAAATTATTTTTTTTAAAAATAATAAATACATACGCAAACAATACAGTCATAAAATACGTAAAAATATATGGCGAGAGCTATAAACTAAAAATTCAAATCAAAATTTACACTCTAAAAAAATGACAGATTAGAATTACACTCCGTAGATGAATTTTACTCTTTATGGATTAAAATGTCCCAGTCTGTAAATTTATAATCTCAGAGAGTTTGTTTACAACCTGAATGTAATTCTAAACATGCGACATTGTAATTCTAAAGCGTTTTCGAGAAAAGTGTAAAATTACTGCGACCAACGTTGGAAAAAAGTGACAGCGAGATTTCTTGTGCCAAAAAAAAAAATTATTTTTCCAAAATTTTATTACCCAAAAGTTTTGAACGTTCAAATGAAGGAAATATTTTTTTAAAATAAATAAATTATTTAAAATTATCATATTAATGTTAAATAAAACAGTAAATTAAACAATTATTAAATTAATAATTTCTTTTTATATATTTAAAACAAAAATTTTATAATAAAATTTGTACTTAAAGAAGTTGCAAAAAAATAATTTCATTCATTTGAACGTTCAAAACTTTTGGTTCATAAAATTTTAACCCGAAATAATTTTTTATTTCAGAGAAAGTTTAAAACCACAAAAAAAGTCCTTCACCCACATACCCTTAAGATAATTGAATTTGTGAAGAATTTCATTAAAATTATTAGAAATAATTAATTTAGAGAAAAATTTTAGTTAAAAATTGTGACGCGCTCCGAGGAAAGGTACCTGAGAAGCAAAAAATTATAGGTTATGTTTGTGATTTTTAAAGTATGTAAAAATACACAAAGGGAATCAACTCTCAATATAAATTATTGGTGTTTAAATCTTCATAACATTGAAAATATTCAATAAAAACTGATTTTACTTTACATAATAAAAAAAATAAACTTTTAATTGAGATAAAATTACGACAAACATAACCTTAAAATGATTTGCTTCTTAGGTACCTTTCCTCAGAGCGCGTCACAATTTGTTAAATAATTGAAATAAACAAGATTTGAAGAAGTTCTGCATTGTATACTAAAAAAAACATACAATTTTGTTAAAAAAAATTTTTTTTTAAATGTCAAAAAAGTCGAATTTTATTTTAAAAAAAAGTCGAAAAAAGTCGTATAATCCGAGGCCTGTACCTGTGTTTTCATTAATGTTTCAAAAGAATCCAAGTGGAAAGAAATATTAAAATTAATAAAAATAATTAAACTTTGGAAGTTATACAACTTTTTTCTTTTTTTAGTCACTCGTAGATTATAATTACACTTATTTTCGTTTTTGTTTCATTAAGAAATTCGTAAAATTGTCTGAGCTGTCGCGAGTTGAAGTCAAAAAAAAAAAAAACAATGAAAATTTTCTTTTTTAAAAAAACAGTTTTTCTCTTATATTTCGAAAACGGAAAAAGATGGAAAATTTCTTATTAAGAAAAAAAGATGAGCAATCGAATTCTGTATAAGAATATGCTCGATAAATATTAAAATTCGAAAAATGAATTTTGAGTGTCCAGGGGACTTCGTTTTCCGGTCGAAAAAATTTACGTGCCCTTCAAGAATCCAGCGGCTCATATTGTAAAAATTTATTAAATTTCATAAAATTTTGAATTGAAAAATAGTATAAGATAATTGAATTTGTGAAGAATTTTATTAAAATTATTGGAAATAATTAATTTAGAGAAAAATTTTAGTTAAAAATTTGTTAAATAATTGAAATAAAGAAGATCTGAAGAAGTTCTGCATTGTGTATTAAAAAAACATACAATTTTGTTAAAAAAATGTTTTAAAAATGTAAAAAAAGTTGAATTTTATTAAAACAAGTCGAAAAAAGTTGTATAATCCGAGGCCTGTACCTGTGTTTTCATTAATGTTTCAAAAGAATCCAAGTGGAAAGAAATAGTAAAATTAATAAAAATAATTGAACTTTGGATGAGTTATAATTTAAATTATTAAATTTTAGAAAGTTTTAAAAATAATAAAATTTTTAATTGAAATTCTTGGTAATTTTATTGGATGATTTTTTTTTTAAATTGTAAAAAATTATTAAATTTCATAAAATTTTTCATTGAAAAATAGTATATAAGATAATTGAATTTGTGAAGAATATCATTAAAATTATTGGAATTAATTAAGTTAGAAAAAAAATTTAGTTAAAAATTTGTTAAATAATTGAAATAAAGAAAATCTTAACAATATCTTCATTGTATACTAAAAATACGTATTTTGTTTAAAAAAAATTGTATTTTCGAAAAATTAATTCAGAAAAAGTCGTATAATCCGAGGCCTGACATTGTAATTTAGTTAAAAAAAAAAAAAAATCAAATGAAATAATTTGTCTCTACTTACAGGTTTAAAATTGTTTGAATCGTCTCGTTCGTAATTTTCCACATTCCTCATAATTGGTAAATTAAATACTGTTCTATTTTCTAATTGTGCATTATTTTCAGGTGTCTTCCAAAAAGCGAACACTGATGGACGTGCTCCATTTGAATGTGTCGTCGATGTAAATGAATGTGAACCATTTACATGTGTCGTGGACGTTGACGGGCGTGTATCATTCATATGTGTCGTCGATGTAGATGCACGAGCATCATTTAAAAGTGTCTTCATTGGTGATGAACGGCCACTATTTAAAGGTGTTGTCGACAAAGTTGGACGAATTTCAATTAAATTTGTTCTAACCACAAATTCATTTCTCTTTGGTTGATTAACAACAAGTCTGTCTTGTAGATTGCTTTTTGCTCTTTCAGGTTCAATAACCCTCAATTTGAGGCCCCTCGCGTCAGTATCTGATTGCTGAAAGAAAAATATAATACAAATAAAGACAAATAAAACAAAAACAAAAAAAAAAAATTGTAAGATAAATTCTTTTAATTTACCGTCGTAGGTCCCACTGAACCATAATTAGTATTTTTTCCATAACTGAAAAAAATGATAATATGTATACAATTGAAAAAATAAATACAATTATACATAAACAATGAGACATTTCATGTGAAATTTTCCTTAAAAAAAAAAAAAAAAAAAAAAAATTTCGAATATATGCAAATATATTTATTTTTTATGTCGATGAAGTTTACAACGTTTATGATCATCGATTAAGAACAAAAAATATTTTATTATGCAGAAAATAATTATTTTTTAGACGAATTTTTTATTTTCAAATTAAAATTTGACGGATTTTTTTTTTTAAATAAATTTTTGAATTGATAGAATTTTTATTTGACCGAAATTACAAATGGCCAAACAAAAAATCAATTTTTTTGATAATTTCTTCAGTTTATTCGACCATTTGTAATTTCGGACAAATAAAAATTCGGTATCTTAAAATTTCTATTAATTAAAAAATTCGTATAAAAAGAAAATCTGTCAAATTAAAATTCTCTGAAATAAAAAATCATGTAAATTAAATGACTGTAAAATAAAAATTCGTATAAAAAGAAATTCTGTCGAATGCTAATTTGAAAATTCGTCTAAAAAAATAATTATTTCTAATAAAATTCTTTAAAATGAAAAATTCTAATTAATAATTTAATTTTTTTTCAAATTTACTAATCGAGAAATGTTAGGAAAATTTTTTCAAACAAAAAATTATAATAATTTAATAAAGAAAAATATTTTTTCTGACTATAAACGTTGTAAACTTCACCATTAACGTTAATTTTGATATAAAAATTCGAATAAAATTTCAATGAATAATAATTTTTAGTAAATGAAAATTTTACATAAAATATCTCTGTATAAAATTATTTTTAACAATACCTTCATTTTATTTAATTAATAATCTATAATTTTGTACCTGCTTTTACTTCTTGAATTCTGATTTGAAGAAGAAGAAGAAGAAGTCGGTCTCCTAGTACGCTGAGAAATTTGATTTCTTGAATTATACGTTGAAAAAGATTGCCTAACAGGTCGAGTTGGTCGATTATAAGCATGTGCAAGTCTCTATTTAAAAAATTTGTTTTTGTTTTAATTATTACTTTGTATTTTAATAAAAAAAATATTTAATGTTTTTTTTTTTTATTTAATTAAATTACCTTTTTTGTTTTCTTATCGGTTTTTTGTCCCTGAACAAGTTTGTGAATATGAATAGTATTTGCAGTGGGTAATACTTCATAAAACATCTCATTTCCTTTTTGAAATTTTCTCAAACCTGGTACTGTATTAATGAATTCTTCTAGAGTATTAAAATTAAATCTCCTAAATGGAATTCTCTCTCCAATTACATCTTGATAGTCTTCTAAAAATATCGAATAAAAATTAATATAAATTATATAAACAATGTGCGAAATTTTTTTATTACAGATTTTATTTATGTTTTTTTTTTTTTTTTTTTTTTTCTTCACTTACTATTGAGATTATGAAGACTAGCGCCTCCTTTTGAGGACAATAGGCATGCCCTCACATTGTCGACTACTTCGTCCATTTTTTCTTTGGACCGAAGTGCCGCGAATAAAAATTTATACACCCAATCAAACAAAGAATTTCTTTTGAATACGGTAATAAATTTATTTTACTCGATTTCAATCGCCAAATTTTTTCTGAAAAAAAAAATATATATTTTTAGTTATTTTAATTTTGTTATTAATTCTTTTTTTAAAACTCTTATCTTAATTTTTATATATTTATGAATATTAGTTTATTAGAAATGTTTTGTCCCACAGTGTATTTCATTAAAAAAAATAAAAATTCATAATAATTAATAATTAACAAGTAGCATTTGTGAAAAATATTTGAATATTTTTCTCCGCAGTTTTTAAATCTTTAACTAAATTTTTCAACATTTTTATTTTCAATTTATGTAATATTTACGTTGAATATTTTTATATTCTTTATTACAAAAATTAGTCTAAAAGATATAATTAAAAAAAAAAAAAAAAAGAATGCTACTAATTTTACAAAAAACTATTTTGTTTCTATGCCAATAAAATTTTCTAATTCCAAACAAAAAAAAATATTTACTCAAAGTGTTTCTACATTAAAATTTTGCCATTTTGGAGAACTGGCTTGTTTTAAAATAAAAATGGCAAATAATTAAAAGTGACATTTTATAAATATTAATTTTTATAACAGAATTATTTTTTACTTCTGCAGATGAACAATTATTATTATTATTATTTTATTTTAATGTAAATTAATATAGGTACCTATAACAAATATTTTTCCATCTACATTTATTTATATTATTATTATTTAATAAATTTTTTATTTGTAAGCAATTTTTGATAATAGTTTTTTTTATTATTAAATAGATTAAATGATAGTTTTTATCATTAGCAAGTGAAATATTTTTTAAATATTAATTTTAACAATACAAAAGAATAATAATTTCATTAAAAAAGAAAGTTAAAAGTTATTTTTGTACTGCTGCATATGAAAAATTATTTTTTTATTTTATTGTTAATTTTTTTTACTTTCGGGTAGTTCAAAAATTTTTTTTAATACTAATAATAATAATAATAATAATAATAATAATTTGTTAAAACAAATTTTTAATCATATTTTTTAATTTTTGTAAATCAAAATGTGTTTTTAGTTTATATTTCTATAAGTGAAGAAAAGGATCCTAGCAATTATAACAATTATTTTGTTGAAAAAAGTTATAAAAAAAATAAAAAATTTATTTATTTTTATAAATAGTGTTTATATACAAAAATGTCATTTAAAATTTTTTTGTTTTAAAAAGAAATGACAAAAAAAAAAATAAAAGCCAAAAGTTCTGAACCGTCAAATGAACAAAATATTTTTTTCAATCTATAAATTATTAAAAATTATAATGTTAATATAAAATAAAACTGTAAATTAAACAAATATTAAATTATAATAATTTCTTTTTAGATATTTAAAACAGTATTTTGTGATAAAATTCATACTTAAAGAAGTTACAAAACAAGATTTATCCATTTGAACATTCAAAACATTTGACTCATAAAAAATTAACGGAAAATAAACAAACATTAAATTTTGTTAACATAAAATTGACGATTATTTATGAAATAAGGACTTAATTAAAAATTTTAGTTTAGGTCTCAAAATTATTGTTTAAAAAAAAAAGTTGAATATTTTTAAATAAATTAATTTCAATTACAGTTTATTATTGAAGTAAAAAGAATTTTATAATTAAATTTATTATAAATTATACAATTAAATAAAATTATCAATTTATAATGGCGCTAAAAGTGTGTAAAACTGATTTATTACAGTAAAAAAAAAATGTAATTTACTATTAATATAAATTTTATTTTAAAATATATAGTAAATTAAAAAAATAGCCTAAATTAAAATTTATAATTTAGATTGAAGCTGAGATTAGATATGACCAAATTTCTTTTATCAAACACAGCTGATATCATTTTTCAAAAATATGACATTAATTTTGCTGCAAAAAAAAAAATAAAAAAAAAATTGATATTAAAATCAATTAGTTTCAATGTCCTAGAAATACGACAATGCATTTAATTTAGAGAGGGGAACACACGTTTAAGAAGTTGCTTTGACAGGTTTCCCACTTACTGACCTACAAATATTGTGATTTAAATTTTCATAAATTAAACATACATTTTTTTTTCATTACACCTTTTGAATTTATTACATTTTTTAATTTTAAAAAATTCAAAACAATTAATTTAATTTTATTATTTATTTACTTTTTATAAAAATTCTTATATTTAATTCATGAAAATATAAAATTACTGATATATTTAATATAAATTATTAAACAAGTCAATGTCAACTATGCAAGATAATTTTCAACTAAAAAAGATTTTTTAATTTTATTTTTACTTCAAATTTTGTGTAAAAGATAAAAAAAATATAAAAATAAGTTTTTAAAACTGTGTAGGAAGATAAAAAAAAAAAAAAAAAATTTACATATAATAAACATTCTTTTGCTTCTTATGACTGCCAATGAAAAGTAACGGCCCTATAACCGGTGTATTTTGTTTCAAATAATACTTGTGACCTTTGCGTGACATCCGGCGCGCATTTTCTACGTAATCTAATTGTAACGAAATAGAGATCAGATTTAAATTTCATCTGAATTTTGAACAAAGAAAGTAATCTAGACTAAACATATTAAATTACAATCGAAAAAAAATTCAAAATTTGTTTTTATAATTTTTTTACCCCTCAAATTAGTAAACAAACAAAAAATATCAAAAAATTTAATAAATAGAAAAAAAAAAAAAATTCTACACGAAATTTCCAGTAATTTACACAATTTTCTAATCCTTGATTTACAATTCGTTATGTGATTCAAGGCCTCAATTACGTGGACAGAATATAGAAAATATAATTATTATATACTTTATAATTTTAAACAAAATAATACATTAGGTATTTAAAATGTTGTCTCATTTTAATAAATACTAAATAATAAACACTTATAAATCAAGTATACGAATTTAATAATAATAATAATAAGTGTTAAATAAGCTATATAGAATTTTAATTCCTCGCCTACTTTCTTCAAAATTAAAATTTATTTGAATTATGTGTATATACATAAGAATTTATTAACTACTTTAAAATTAAAATTTTTCCAGAATAAAATTTTTATTATGACAAAAAATACATTCTCGTACAAATTAATTATTACACATAAATTATTCTTAATTTGATTTCTGGAATAATTTATCTACACAGGTTAACAATTTAGATTTTTAAATTATTAGAAGTTAACACGATTGAATAAAACAAACAAAAACAAAAAGCGAAAAAAAAACAAATAAAACAAAAAATTCTTTAATGAAATTATTACGTTTATAAATAATTAATTTGAATTTAATTAAAAATAATTCCAATTTATTATTTAAATAACATTTAAATAATAAGATTCAAATAGAAAAAGAAAAACCTGACCACACCTAACCTATGATCCATTCAAACATTTTGTTAATATTAAACGAATAAAAATTAATTTAGAGATACATTTAATCGATGCTTTTAAATACTATTATTCAAAATAAATTGCAATATATCATTCACCGTTTCAATTGTATTAAAAAAAACAAAATTATGACAATAGAATGAAAGACAAATGGGAATAATTTGCAATATTGTAGCTTTTACATACCAATAAATCCAATGGAATTTCACTTATTATGACAACACACAACAGACACACAACCTACTTCTGCAAAAGCACAAGAAAGAATGCGATCGGCAAGCACTGGATCAGACGAGAAGAGAAAAGATTAGAGTGAGTGAAGGAATAATAATATAGAAATGTGTACATATATATAAAATTCGAACGATGCCTATGGATGGTACAAGAGGAATTTGACAATAATTCAACACTTTCTGATATAAAAATTATATTAAAAATCTTATAGTTTACAATTAATTTTGATCTATTCTCTATTTTTTGTATTGTATTAAATAAATTCTTAGATTTACAAATAAATAAACATTTCTAATTATTTTAAAATGCTATTGAAATCGAAAAAAACAATGTTTACTAAATGTCATGTTTTTTTGAAATCTATTACCATTGGAGTACATATTTTCAAATAGATGGCAGCACTAATCAACATTCAAATATAGCGGCGAAATTTAAAATTATAATTTTCATTTTCAATTAAAAATTATTTTGAAAATAATCTAAAATCATAACTTATTACAATTTGTATATAATTTCGAATATGATTTTTTCTTCTGTAAAATAGTTGGAACACTAATTTAATTTGCAAAGATTCAAATTTTCGTTTATAATTATTTTAATACATTTTAAATTAATGTGCTTCGTGTCTTACAAAAACTAATAAAAATTTGAATAATTTAATTTAATTTATAATAATTTAATAATGCAATTTAAAAATATTAATATTATTTTAATATTAAATTTCGTAATTAATATAATTGATAATTTAATTTTTTTAAAAATAATTTTCGTACAAAAATTGAAATTTTATTTAACTAAAAATATTCAAGAACTGTTTCATTATATTTCAACGGTTGCTGTTAGAACCGTGCTTCGAGAAAAAATAATTTCTAACGAAGATAATGTGAACATTTATTAAATACGGTCGAACGTAATCGTCCGTAAATCCTTATAGAAAGAAATTTTTAGTTTCGTTAGATTTATTGACAGATCAAATATATTTTTTTTTAATCATGATTTTTAATTAACCAACTTTTAGATTGTAAAAAAAATTATTGTACAAAATTTTTTTTAAATAAAAATAAAATAAATTAAACTCTTTTTTTATAGTTAAAAAAAATTATCGAGTAAAAATAATTATTTTTAAAATCACATTTTTTAGGATTGTTTTCTAAAAAAATATTTTCTTAATTAGGTATTTAAAATAAATAAAAATTAAATTTCAAAATTTAACAAACTTTTTGAATTATAAAAAAAAAATAAAATAATAATAAAAATATAGAAAATACATTTAATAAATAAAATTTTCCAACAAAGTTAATCAAATTTAATTATTTTTACTATTTATTTTCATACTGATAATTAAAAAAAAAAATTAATAATTATAAAAAATATTGTTGTCCTCAATTAATCACTTCAAATATAAGAAAATTTAATTAATCCTTTCAATCTAAAATAATGTTCAATTAAATAAATAAAAATTTGATTAAACAAAAAATATAACTGTAAAAAAATTTATAAATCTAAAAAAAAAGTTTTCAAATTTATAAAATTTAAATTATTAGGGAAAATCCTTAGAAATTTACCAAAACTAAATAAAATAAAAAAAAAGGACCGACCTTTTCTGTTATTTCTTTTTCTGTCACGAAAAATTTGTCACTCATGTTAAATTTATTGCTTTTTGAAAATTTTCCGTTGACGGAAATATTATGGACTCTTTATGAGTTGAGCGGATTAAAAAGGGACACTTAAGAAACTGAAAACCCTAAACAAGGCAATAAATATCGACATTAAACAGACGCACGCGTTTTCAAGAATTTCCCATTTACTATATTATTACTTTTTTTTATTTTTTCTTTCAGAATAATCAACACATTGCCAAAATAAATATTTCTATTTTATTAACCGAAAAACACGTGTTTTGACAAGTTTTCTCATAAATATTTGAGAAAAATTTTCATTCATTTTATTTTATGAAAAGAAACGGAAAAAAAAATAATAATCCTCTGCAATATGGGAAAAATTTCGAAAATTTTTTTGAAGCAAAAACTAAACACGTGGAGCTAATGAAAAAAGAAAGTATTTTAATCTATATAATATGGTCAAATACACGAAACTTTTAACTTTGAAAAAAAAAAAACAAAAAAATTCTTTTTTTAATTTGCAGGCACATTGATGTCACTTTGTATACACGTTTAAGTACATTTTAGCACTACAAATTCATATGCGTGATTCATTTTTAGCTCACGCCGTCAATGTTTAACTCTTTAATGTTAATAAATTACATATAAAATTGAAAAATTCAACTTTTTTTATTATTGATATCGGAGTGGTTTCCAAAGTATTTTTGTCCTCTGAACACGATTCTGGCATCCAAATTTGCTTAACATGTCAGAATTTTGAGAAAAGAGGGGGTAAAGACTCCAAAAAAGTGTTTTCAGCATATTCTTAACTTAATAAAATTTATTTCACTCAAAATCCTTAAGCGGCGTTTTTGTGTTCAAATATATGTATGAAAATGTTTCGATCACACCATAGATTGACCTGTTTAAAGCAAAAATGCAGTTGTGCCTTTCAAAAATGTATAAATTTAGGGGAGACCGGGGTTATTTGGCGCACTTTTTACTCTTTGTTGTGTAACTCACTCATTTTTGCTTTTTTTAAAAAGTTATTAATAGAAAACTTGTTGTAACATATCAGCTTTAATTAAATAAAAGAAAATTGAAATATATTTAATACTTTTATTTTTATACCACTTTATTTGAAGCTGTGCAAAGCGAGCCAAGCAACCCCGGCCCGGGGTTGAGTGGCGCAGGAGTGAAATTAAAATTAAATTATATGATTTAAAGTTTAAATAATATAAGACTTAACAAAATAAGTCTTGTACTGTAATTTTACAATAAAATTATTATAAATATAAAAATTAGAAAATTTCATTTAAATTAAATGAAATTGTAAAATTATCAAAAAATATTTTTTTTTTTTTTTGATAATAACGCTATAAATATTTAAAAACCATTATTCGGTTAAATTTTTTGAATAGGATTGTTATTGGTGCTTATTAATGTGTAAATTTCATATAATCAATTTCATTTTATTAATGTATTTAACGAAATTTTCAGATAACCGCGCCATTTAACCCCGAATGTACTTTTGAAATATTTATTAATTTTTTATAAAAACTGTTAATTTAAATCAAAAAATTTTTTTTGTAATAACAAATGTATAGAGCTCAAAACTTAATATTTGAGCTCTTCTAAAATTAATTTTTTAATGTATCACAAAAAAATGAAGAGATTAAAAAATTACTTTGGAGTGCCAAAATCAGTTATTTTAATCTATACTTCACAATAATTAATGAATATTAATGAAATTTTGTACAAACTTACAGTTCATCAAGTACTTTAAGCAGAATAAAGAGGAAAATTAAAGTAACTTAACACTTTTGAATAAACTCAAGTGCGCCAAGCAACCCCTGCGCCAAACAGCTCCGGTCTCCCCTAAATGAAATCACGATTTTTATTATCATCTTTAAATTGTTGCCACATGAATACAATTAGAGGCACATTATTGAAAAAGGTCTTAAAATTTTTGTTTTTTCATCACCTTTTAAGAAAAATGTATTGAACTTTTATTTTTATCCAACGCCGTAATAGATATTTTCATAAGAAGACGTTCAATTGAATTTTTTTAAAATGTGCTATCACTCAATCAAACCTTCGTATTTTTAGTTTTAGTGGTGGCACACTAATGGGATAGTGAAAATTTTTTAACAAAATATGTCTGTTAGATATGTATTTTCATAGTAACTGAAGTGATATTTTTTTTTTTACACTTTTTAACTTATAAAACTAATTGTCAAATAAATATTTTGTTCTAATACTGTACATAAATGTTCCTTTGTATATAATTTAGCAAAAAAAAAAATGATACCCAAAGTTTTAATTTAAAATAATTCAGATTTTTAAGTGTTCGATTCAAGAATTACAAAATTCGTGGATTTGCGCCCATATTTTCATTTTTATGATAATTTTGAAAAATTATATAATTTTAATCTTTAAAATTTTTATTTTTATGATAATTTTGAAAAATTACAATTTTAATTTATCGGAAAAAGAATTCCATACATCAATAACAGGCCTCGGATCGACTTTAAGGCACAAAAAAAGTCGTTTTAGTCGATTTATATTCAAAAAAAAAAGTCGAAAAAATAGATTTTTTTTATTTTAACAAAATTTAATTGGTTAATAAATAAAATAAATAATAAATATTAATAAATAAATAATAAATATTAATAAATATAATAATAAATAAATAATAAATATTAATAAATATTTAATAAATATTTTACTTTAAATAACTAATATATTAAATTCATTTTATTAATTCTGTAATAAGAATAATTCTATAAAAATATTATCAAGAAAATTTATTTTGAATATTTCAAAATTGAACTAATTGTAAGCCAAATTTTCAAAATTTTATTTAAGTAGAACAAAATTTCTAAAAAAAAATTCTTAAAGTTCCATTTTTATAATTTTTTCAAGTCTGATTTAAGCAATTTATTTGAATTAAAAATTTTCTCATAGTTTTTGATTTTGATGGTCAAAAAAATTTCAGGCAATACTTAATCAAGTTTTACATAATTCAATTTCAAAAGATTGTGTTAAATTTCAATGAGCCAAAAATTTTGAACGTTCAAATAAACGAAATATTTTTTTTTGCAACTTTTTTAATTACAAATTTTATTACAAAATATTGTTTTAAATATCTAAAAAGAAGTTATTTAATTTACATTTAATTTTACATTGACATTAGAATTTTTAATAATTTGTAGATTGAAAAAAATATTTTGTTCATTTGAACGTTCAGAACTTTTGGCTCAATATAATTATAATAAAAGAAATTTTAAGTGATTTCTGTTGATTAAGAATTTATTAGAAATCACATATAAAAATTGAATTCCAAAATTTTTTATTTGAAAAATGTTTTTAGATAAATGAATTTTTGAAAAATATTAGAAAAATTATTAAAAATAATTGAAATTTTTGCAAATAATTAAATTTCAAGTGATTTTGAATTAAAATTTTTTTGTCATTTTAATTGCCAATTTTTTTTTTTTTTTTAATTATAAACAATTATTAAATTTTATAATAATTTTAATTGAAAAATAGTTCAAGATAATTAAATTTATGAAGAATTTCATTTAAATTATTAAAAATAATTAATTTAGTGAAGAATTTTAGCATTGTGTACTAAAAAAAACGTATTTTGTTAAAATTTTTTTTTTTTAAATGTAAAAAAAATCGCATTTTATTAAAAGTAAGACGAAAAAAGTCGGAAAAAGTCGTATAATCCGAGGCCTGCAATAAAATAGGTTTTAATATAAAAACTAAATTGAATAAGAAAATTTTGAGTAAAATAAGCATTCATTGTCCAAGAATATTTATCGAAAAATAAATATTATTTTTATTTTAAGAATTAGTAACTATTCATTTTGGGGTAGTCCCATATTTTTCTTTGATTTTATGATAATTTAAGAAATTTAATATTTAAATGCATTCATAATCGTAATTTATTACTCGGAACAATATTGTCTGATAATAAAACAATAAGGGAAAATGTCAATATACCTTGAAATCGTAGAAAATTGCCTTTATTTATATACTAGCAAAATTACACGCGCGCAAGCGCGCGTCCAACTTTAATTGCACTGGTTATTTTAAAATAATAATAATATTAATAATAATAATAATAATAATAATAATAATAATTCTGCATCAGTGGAGTATTAAATTAATAATAGGTATATTTCTAATTTTCACGTTATCATTTATTTATACACAGAAAAAAATGAGTTTGATGTTATATAAATAAATAAATTAAAGTAAAAATTTTAAAATATAAATATTAAAATTTTAGAAATAAATATTTTTGATAAAGTCAATGTTCGATGAATTTTTTATAATCTTTCAAATTACAAAAAATTAGTTATGCTAAATATTTTTTTGTATTTTCTATAAATATTTCGTTGCAAATAAAAATTTTAAATTTATGTTTTTTTTTCAAAAAATTTAATTAACTGATAATTAATAAATATTAAAAAATTATGTAATCAAAAAGAAATTTAAATTAACTGAAAATTATTAATTATATTTTAAAAAGTAGTAAGCAATTAAAAAATATTTAAAAATTTTGAAAAAATAAAACCTAAAAAAAATTTGTAATGTTTTAAACTTTAAACTTAAATTAAAAATTAAAATCAAATTGAAAATTTTTTAAAAAAGCAAACTATTTTTATATTGTTTATAGATAAAAAAATATAACAATTTAATAATTAATAATAAAAACAAATTAATAATAATAAATTTATGAATAATAATTTATAATAAATAATAATGAATAATGAAAAAATAATGAAAGATAAATAATAATTATAAGTTAAAATGTTCTAATTATCTGTAATAATCATTATATTTAAAAAAATGTATATATAATATAATATATTTATAAATAATAATAAAAATTATATTATAATTGAAACTTTTTTTTCTATAAATACCAAGTAGGAAATATACTGGTGCTGCACACAATGAACAATATTTTTCTTTTACTTTAAACTGTCACTTAGTATATGACTTAATTAATGGCGATGAATAAAAATATCCGTCGTGTTAACCATAAAATATTACGAAATCAAGAATTGTCAAAATTTTAGAAAAACAAAAGGAACAAAATACGACTAACTTCAAGTGTGGACAGACGGAATGAATGAATGAATACGGAAATTATTATAGTTAATTCTTAATCCTACAATATTTCAGTTCCCTTTTTGTCAAAATGCATCTACAAAAATTGCCTAATTTATTGTTTGTTTTGCTAGGATTAATTACAAAATTTATTTTTGTAAATTAAAATAAAACTTAGAAATTAAAAATTCGTCAATATAAAAGAATATATATTTCAATGTTTTCATTGTTCATTCACATTTATGATAAACGATTAGAAAAAAAAAAAATTATTTTTTAAGACGAGAAATTTTATAATTTATCTAAAAAAAAATTTTAATTATAATTTATTGATCAATAAAAAATTGCAAGAAATATCTTTTGAGATGAAAAATTCACAGAACTTTTTACTTAAAATAAAGAAAAATATTTCTTTAAAATTAATTCATAATAAACAATTGTGAATTTCAGCATCGTGTTCCATTTGATCGTACAAAATTTGATTATATTTTGCACGTGGACATAAATTCGTTACAGATATATTCAATTTGCTAAATTATTTTAAAAAAGAATTAAACTATTTTACTTTAATTGCAAAATTAATTCATTTCAGACCACGTGGCGATAAATATCTTAATGTAGAATTATTATTATTATAAACTTTATTAAAACAGCATTAACTAAAAAGACAAGAAAATTGATTTCGATATTTATTTTTAAAATTCGAGGGTGAAAATGAATAATATAATACCAAACACACATTTCTTCCCACGTGACACCAAAGAAATATTTTTTGCACTCACGAAATATTAGTCTCAATATTTAATTTCTCTTACCTCTTTTTTTATTCTTCCGCAATAAAAAAAAATTTCAATCGTCACTTCGCGTCAACAAGTATGTATATTAACACCATGAAAATGTACAATGATCTTCTATTTCTTTTTATGTAAATAACTTTTAGCATAAATAGCCACACGAGAGTGTCGAGAATAGTCAACAGAATATACAAATTATGCGCACTTAAACAGAAACGGAAACTGCTTGTAGAAAAACACCGGAAATGCGATGTTGCCAAACTGCATCAAGAAACGCTTTTTAACGGCGAAATATGATGTAATCTGATTGGTAAATACGAATTTATTTCTTGATTCAATTGAAATAGTAAATATTTTAGCGAATACTACATTTTTCCACAATGTCTATAAATTTAAAATGTAATTACTCGTTATTTTAAACAATTAAAAAAAACATTAAGTCACTTTATTATATCGTTATGAAAAATAATTTTCAAATAAATCATGGAAACTTCCATCTTATTCACCAATTATAAACATTGATTAACTAACCTCTTTGACACTTGAAGTTAGAAGCACATGATTTTGAATTTTTTGATTGGTTGTAAAATTTCAGCGGCAAATAATTTGAATATAGAAAAAAATTTAAAAACAAGTTTTTTTTAAATTAGTTTATGAAAAAGTTGAATTTAATAAATAAATCAATAATACACGAAAAAAAAGTGTATTAAATACACGAAATAAAAGTATTTTATTTTTATTTCTATCTTTTGTATCAGAAATATTAAACTTAAAAAAAAACTTGTATATAAAGTTATATTAAAATTTATTAAATGTATTAGATTTAACTAATAAGTTAAAAAAAAAAATTTTTAAGTTTAGTATTTGTGATATCAAAATTTCGCTTTTTCACAATTTGTCCTACAATTTGTAAAATACTTTTATAAAATTTGATATGTACTTTCTTTCCGTGTTTTCCGATTTTTCATGAAATTTCAGTGGCAAATAATTTGAATTTTTAAAAATAACTATAAATTCAGTTTCTTTTTGAAAAAAAATAATTAAAGTTTCAGACAAATTTAATCAAAAATTTGAATTTATTTTAATTTAATAAATAAATCAATGTTAATAATTCGCCGATTGATGATGAAATTTCAATGTGGAAATAATTTGAATTTTTTAAAATAAAATTTTTTTTATAAATTCAGCTTTTTTTTAAATTAACCTTTCAGATAAATTTAATAAACCAATATTAAGCATTGTCAAGTTTTTTTTACTGTAATTAAAAAATTGGCTTTTATATTTATTAATATCGAAAAATATACAAATCATTAAATTCATCAATTACTAATAATTATTAAAAATATATATATATATTTTTAAAAAAATACAAATTAAATTAAATACATATATATATATATATATGTATACCATATGTTTTAACTGAAATCGAAAATTTAAATAATTTTTTTTTCTAACGAACAGGGAATATACATAGAAAAAAACATCGGAATATTATAATTTCAAAAATTTTTTTTTATTGTAATAAAAATGAAATGTCAGAATTTGTGAACAGAAGATTAATAATAATAATAATTGGAATAATAATAATAATAATCGAATTGACAAAAAAAAATTGAACAGAAAGAAAGAAAGAAAGAAAGAAAAAATTACTCCTTCTTTGATGAAACTGCTTGCTTGGCTTGATGAGCCTGTAGCACAGCTACAGCTTCCTCGACTTTGGCCTTCAATGACTCACCATGCTCAAGCATATGCAGTAATTCCGAATTATCGATCTCCAATAGCATACCAGTGATTTTGCCAGTGAGTTGTGGATACATGCACTGAATCAATGGGAAGAGACGTTCTCCTAACATTTGTTTCTGTTCTTGTAATGGAGCAGCTGCCAACATAGAAGCAGTCAATGGTTCCTGGCCTTGAATGTGAACCGCTTGCACTGGAGGTGCTTGTACTGGAATTGGCATTGGTTGTGGAGGATTACGCATATTTGCTGTATATTTATAATTCGATGGACGACTTTGAGGTGATACTCCAACCGCTGGGCCAGCCATCGAACGTCCTTGCATATTCGCACCACCCACTGCTTGTTGACCTACAACAACAAAAAAAAAAGGAATTTTTTTTTTATTTTCAATTACAAAACTCCCAAAATTACACCCACTTATTTTCCATGTTCAAAATATTACAATATTATTTAATTAAAATTTATTTACCATCACAGATCAATTTAGTTTCACTATTTTATTATCATTAAAAATAAATAAATAAATTTTTTTTTATAATTTACCGAATTTATTAATATTTCAAAATAAATTCTTAAATAAAAATTTATTTTCAAATTTTTGAAATAATTGAATAATTGTAGATAACCTTTTTTTTGAATATAATTTAATTTTCCAATCTTTACAAAATTGAATTGAAAATAATTGAAAAATGCTTTAAAATAATTGAATTTTGAAAAAGTTAAAGTTGAAATTTTTAGAAAATATTGAATTTCAAAAGATTTTGTTAAAATTTCAAAAAATTAAAAATAATTCATCAAATAATTTTAGATAACATTTTGAATGTTAAAGTGTAAATAAATAAATAAACATTTTTTAAAAGTAACTGAATTTTCAAAAATTGACAATTCAAATTTTTTGAAAAATAATTAGTAATTAATAATAATAATAATAATAAGTGATTTTTTTTATTGAAATTTGTTGAAGAATTTATTAGAAATTACAGACAAAAAAATTAAACTTTAAAAATTTGTTGAATTTTGCAAAAATTATAGTTGAAATGATTAAATTTCACAAAGTTTTAGTAGGGAAAATTTTATAAATAATTAAATTTTAAAAAGTGTTAAATTGCAATATTTGAAAATAGTTTAATTTCAAGTGATTTTAAATTCAAATTTTTGGTCATTTTATTTAATGAGTTTTTAAAAAATTTTAAACAATAATTGAATTTTATAAAATTTTTAATTTGAAAAATAGTTTAAAATAAAAATTGAATTTAAAAAGAATTTCATTAAAAAATTAATGAAAATAATTAACTTGGCGATGAATTTTAAAAATAATTAAATTCCATAAGGGTCCAGAGATTTTTAGAATTAATCAAATTTCAAGAGATTTTGTATCGAAAATTTTTGTTCTGATTTAATTTTTGAAAAATTTCTTGAAAATTATTGAAAATCATTAATTTTGCAAAATCTGTTTAGATTTGCAATTTTCAAAAGAATTGAATTTTGAAAGAGCTAAGTAGTTAAGAGCTTAGTTTGTACTAAAAAAAAAAAAAAATAAATGTCAAAGGTTGGAAAACTTGAAAACTATTTTTACCGCGACAACAATTTAAATTTACCGTATTCGAAAGTGTATTTTATTGACAAACTTTCTAATTTGAAAGTCATGTCAATCTAAATAGTAATTAAATAGAATCGAAAACTTCTAGCTTTCTTATAATATTGTGATTACAAGTATTTTCAAAACAAATATATTAATTACTACATTAATTTAAAAAAAACGCCTTAATTAACAGTATTAAAGAAGCCATTCATATAGAAAATTTCATTCTTTCCTATTTTTTAAATTTCAATAAAATATCGTTAAATTATTAAATTATATTTCGTTAAATTTTGAATTTTATTGGCAAATAAAGCTGAAGTTCACAATGTATACGATCAACAATTACATTACGATCCCAAGCAATTTCTCTGAAGTCTTATCAGTTGTTCTTTAATGTGAAATTTAAATTATCTCGTCGAAAGGAAAAATATTAAATTTTTTATTTTTTAAAAAAATGTAGTTTGAAAAAAAATTTTATTTAGAAATTTAAAAGTTTTAGAAAAATTTAATTTTAATAATCAAAAGTTTTTCAACACAATTTTCTTTTTAGGAAACAAATTTCAGTAGAAAAATCATTTTTTTTTGAAATTTTTTTTATAGAAAAAGTGACTTCCTACCAAATTCTATTGTAATAAAAAAAAATTTTAACGTTTTTTAAGAAAAATATTAATATTTATAATTTTTAAAGGTTATAATAAATCGTTTAAGATACAATGAATTTAATTTAATTACAAATTCATATTTAGTCTAAAGGTCAAATTGTATATATACAATTTATCAGTGATATCAAAGAAATCAAAAATATTAAACAGAAGACTATGCTTATCGTTTCTAATCATGATAACATAAACAAAAATTATACGTTAAATCTTTCAATCTAATATATAATATCAGATGAAAAATAGCTGACATCTTGTTTAGATATATAAACTAAAATATTTTAAAAATTTATTTCTCCAATCAAATTAATGAATTTTTGAATAAATAAATTAGATCCCTATAAACTAGTTTTTTGTTCAGTTAAAAATATTTCTTAAAATTTATGAATTTTTGATAAATTAATTATTCAGGGTGGCCAATAAAATTTTCGAACAAAATTCGAGGCTTTTTCAATTCTTGTATTCTAGTATTAAAACAATAATCATTAAGAGAATTTAGGCCTCGGATCAATTTTAAAAGCGCAAAAAAAGTCGATTTTTTTTTATTTTAATTAAACTTAATTAGTTACTAAGTATTTTATTTTAACTAGCTAATGTTATTAGATATTAAATCAATTTTATTAATTCCTTAATTTTAATTAAGTAGGACAAATTTCTAAAACAAAAATTCTAAAAAACAATTCAAATTTAGAGTTTTTATTTGAAACTTTTTTAAATAATTGAATTTTTAAAGAAATATTAAAATTATTAAAAAATAATTGAATTTTGGAAAAGTTTTAGTTGAAATTTTTAGAAATAATAAAATTTCAAACAATAATGAAATTTTACAGAATTGAAAATAATTTATAAAAAAAATTTTAGATAACATTTTTTAAAAGAAATTAAATTTTCAAAGACCTGCAATATTCAATGAAATTTTTTATGATTTCTGTTGATAAAGAATTTATTAGAAATTACAGACAAAAATTGAATTTCAAAGAAAATAAAAAAAAAAAAAAAAAAAAAAAAAAAAGAAAAATCATTTAAAATTATTATATTTCAAAAGAGTTATAGTTGAAATTATTAAATTTTACAAAGTTTTTAGATGGAAAATTTGAAAAATAATTAAATTTTTAAAGGTTTTTAAATTGAAATTTTTGGTAATTTAACAATTTGATTGTCAGTGTAATAAATTATTTTAAAAAATAAATATCCTTTTTAGGAAATTTTTTATAATTCAAGGTTTTGTTATAAAATTCAAAAAATTTTTCAAGAATTTCAAGGTCCGCATGGACACCTTCAATTAGTTATAAAATTTGTTTTCATAAATTCTTAATTTTTTCTAGAAACGTTTTACTTCAAGGTTGATAAAAAATTTAGAACAATTCATCACATGTTTCAATTTAAAAGAAAATCAAAATGTGAATTGAAAAAAAAAAAAAAAAAAAAAAAATTCAAGGCGAATTCACTTTTTTTTTTTAAGGCGTAACGAAATTCACATCGTTTTCCCGGTTTTCAAAATTCGATAGCCACCCTGTTATTAGATTTAAACAAAAAATTAACAAAACCTTGAGAAAATTTAGAGAAAAAAAAAAAAAAAAAAAAATGCAAACAGTCTGTTGAACCCTGTAATTTTTTTTCCTATTTCCTTGAAATTTTTCATGACTGTAAATAAATAAAAAAGCAAACACTTACCAGTAATTGGTCTTGCAGAAAGTGTATTGCGCATAGCGCCCGCTTGAGCAGTTGGTACACGTGGCGCAGCTCTAAACTGATTTTGCATTGTTGCAAAACCAGAGCCTCCAGTCTGGGCATTGGGTCTAACTTGATTGGGTTGAGCTGGCCAACGTGGTGACGCACGAATTTGTGCCATTTGCGGTCCATAGAAACGTTGCGGTTGTGGAATTGTTGGCACAAAGTAACTTCCAGTGCCTGGTTGGAAAATTTGTCCCATTTGTTGCATACGCATATTTGTCATACGTTGCATATATTGTGATGCCAAATGTGCTTTACGATCTTCCTTACGTTGCGCCAATGCAACATAAAGTGGCTTTGAACCAACAATTCGTCCATTCATTTCGGTGACTGCTTTCGTTGCTTCTTCGGGCAATGAAAAACAAACGAAACCAAAACCTTTACTGCGTATTTCCTCCATCATAACTTTAGCCGATGTTATTGTTCCGAATGGAGTAAACTCCTTACGTAAACGTTCATCATCAATTGTATCATCTAAATTCTTTACATAGAGATTAACCCCTTGATAACGATTGATACGTTCAATTTTCAATTGTTCAAATTTACGTTTAAGCTCCTGTTGTCGTTCGGCTTTCTTTTGAGCGCGTCCAACATACATTATTTTACTCTCAGAAATTTCACGTCCATTTAATTCAATAACTGCTTGTTCAGCTGCGTCAGGATCTTCAAATGCAACAAAACCGAAACCACGTGATTTACCGTCATCTTTACTCATGACTTTATGACTTGTGATCGTGCCATATTTTTCAAACATGTCCTTTAATTTCTCATCGCTCATGTCTTCGCCAAAATTTTTCACATAAACATTCGTGAAAAGTTTTGCTTTTTCCCCAAGTTCCTTTTCACGTTCTTTACGTGGAATAAATTTACCAACGTATACCTGTAAATAATTACAATTATTATTTTTTTTTTCCTTAAATGGAAATTATTTAAATGCCTCGAATCAACTTTAAGACGCAAAAAAAAGTCTTTTCTTTTTTTATTTTTAATAAATTTAATTAATATTTTATTTTTTAAATAACTATTGTTATTAAATAATTGAAAAGTTTAAATTGGAAACTTTTTTAAATAATTAAATTTTACTCCCGTTTATTGAATAAATAAAAATAAATATATATTCTTTGGTACAAATAAAAAAAAAAAATTTCAAAGAAATTATTATCGTTTAAGGTCATGTAAAAAATACATAAATAAAAATTATTAATTGTTAGAATTAAATAAATAATTTTAATTTTTTAAATTATTTTCTAGTTTCTTGAAGGAAAAAAAAGGAAAAAAAAAAAACTTACCTTTTTTCCATTCAACAACATTCCATTGACTTTATCAATTGACTTATTGGCGGCTTCTTCAGTCTCGAAATGTACAAAGCCATAACCTTTTGAGGCGCCAGTTTCATCCTGAGCGACTTTACAACTGAGTATATTTCCGAAAGCGGAGAATGTATCATACATCGCCTTATTGTCAATATTTTTGTCCAAATTTTTAATGAAGACATTACCAACGCCCGATTTTCTTAGCGATGGATCACGTTGAGACCACATTATTCGAATTGGTCGGCCTTTGATCATGTCAAAATTCATGGTATCTAAAGCTCGTTCCGCTGTAAAATTAAATACTTATTTTTTAATTTTTATTTCTATTTTTTTTTTTGTATAGAATTGTAATTGAATTTTTTTTTAATTACACTAAAATTAAATTAAAAAAAAAAAACAAACAAACAAAATTAATTACTACAATTACTAATAAATTTTTTTAAATTATTTCACATATTCCTAAATTATTTCATCATACACTTCGGAAAAATAAATTAACCTAAGGTTTCTGCTGACTCAGTTTTTTTTTTTTTTTAATTTCTACGGTATCTGATTCACGTTTTAATAGCAAAACCTAAAAAAAAAATTAAAAATATTTTTAAAAAAATTTTTGACTTCTTTTAGTTTAATAAAAATATTAATAACTTGACAAAAATAATTTTAGAGGAAATTTTTTTTTTGGATTTTTAAATGAACGAGAGAAATACAATAGAAAAACTTTATTATTATTATTATTAATTTACTATAAAAAAACAATTTACAATATTTATCATCAGGTTTTTACGAGTCAATCGATGATGAGTCATTGGAAAAAAAAGAGAGAAAGATAACAATTGTCTTCAACAACAATTAAAGACAGAGATAAAAAAAAAAAGAAATAAGGAAAGTATACGTAAAATATTCCCAACAAAATAAAGTTAGATTGATAAAATAAGGAAAAACTTCATTATTCATTTGGAATAAAATTTTCTTTTGTCAATAATTTCAAATGTAATTTCAATATTATAAAGACAGAAAAAAAAATTTTTTTTTATCAATCTTTAAATAATAAATTAATTTTAATTATAAAATTTCTAAAATAATGTAAATTAAAAATCAATTTTAATTTCTTAAAAATAATATGAGAAAAAAAATTAAATAAATTCAGCCATAAAATTGATTATAAAATAATTGAAATTAAAAATTAATTTCTAATTTAAATATATTACAACTAAAAGGAGAAAATTTGTTTTCGATAGTAAAGAAATATTTATCTTCATACTGATAATTAACATATTTATTTGATATAATCGTGTCACTTTAAAATTATTAACGTGTAATAAAAACAAAAACGTGTTTACTTGAAACATTTGAAAATCAAATGCCACGTATTAAAACCGTTAACATATTGTTTTCATTTTACATTCCATAATACTCGATATTATAATGAAAATAATTTATTTCCAATTGAAACAAAAATTGAAAAATACATTCACTTTTCAGTGTATTATAAAATAAATGCAAAACATCTGGAAAATTGAAGGGTATACAAAAAAGAGAGAGAGAGAGCGAGAGAGAGAGAGAGAGGGGGGGGGAAAGGGGACGTGAAATACGTTATGGAAAATTTTTAACAGATGTTCGGAGCTTGGAGGGAAAATTTTTGCCAACAGCTGGATGAAATAAGTTTGATGAAAAAAAAAAAATTAAGAATTTCATGGGATGAAAAGGTACTATAAGAGAAACGGTATGTCTGGGATGCGTCATTGAAATCCAACCCAACCTGACTCGTTGAATTGCAGTCTCGTTTGTTCCTTGTGCAGAAACGTAACGTACGCTCACGTTATAAAATTTAAGGGGAAGGGAATCCAATATGGTAGCAATGAACGAATAGCACGTGTCAAGTCTGGTTAGAAGTGTATAAATGAAATTTTTACAATTCTATGGGATATAATTTTTTTTCTTCTTTATAGAAAATTGAATAGAATAATTTAATGGAATATAAAATTTTATAATTACCATCGACCGGTTGCTGAAAGTTGACATAAGCATATCCTAGCGAGCGTCGTGTGATCATATCACGACAGACGCGAATTGAAAGTACTGGGCCAGCCGATGAAAACTTTTCGAAGAGCATCGCCTCGGTGATATCCGCATGGAGATCGCCAACATAAAGTGAGGCCATAGGATAGTTTGGTGCTCCAGGATTCATTTTTTTGCTTTTTTTTTTTTCTTTTTTTTTTGATTTAACGTTTACTTTAAAAAAGTTGTATATATAGAATACAAAAGAAATTCTCCTGTTGATGTCTCTTCTTTTTTGACTTTATTTATTTTCCGGTTTTTTTTTTTGTTTTTCTTTTATCACGTTTTTCGCACTTCTTAACACGCGTGAACGAAAAAATCAACGAAAATTATATATTTTTTTTTTTCACTTTGTATTTTTTGTTCCACACCTTTTTTTTCTCGAGGTTTCGCGGTTTTCGGCTACGATTTTGCGATTTTTTTGTTTTGTATTTTTAAATGTTTTTATATTTTTTTTGGTTTTTTTTTTTTTAATTAATTATAAGAGAGTTAATCCACGACTGGAAGTGGGTTGTGTGACCTATTTTAAAGGTAAAAAGGAGACACAACCTCACGTGAACACAACTCTACTCTTAATGAGGAAGAGGCGTCGAAAGAAATGCGCTCCACGCTTATATAGGAACCACACTACACATCCTGTTTAACGTGTATACGCGATAAAATATAGTTCCATCATACTTCCGATTGTAATAGCAAATTTTATTAATTTATTATTTATTTTTTGTTTTAAATATTAATTTAATTAGTAAAAAATAGATAGAAAATAATAACGCATTCTAATTATGATTTAATATTGTTAAAATGTAATTTATTATTGTTTACAATTATCTTCATTTGGAACATTTTTGACTCAAGTGGTTGGGAAATAAACAGACGGCCATTTTGAAAGTGAACACGAAATTTAAATGGAGAAAAATTCTTTAATATTTACAAATTTAAAAAAAATATAATAGTAAATAATTAAGTAATAAATATATAATTTTTAATGAAAAAAAAAACAATTAATTAGTTGATTTAATGAATTAAACGTTAATTTAGTATTTTTATATTTTTGAATATTTCTAAATCTTATTTTTCTCGCTTTTTATAAAATATTACTATATTTTTTTATAAATTTAATATTTTTTTATTATAATTTTCAAAAATGTATGTGTTTTTGTGAGTTTTTTTTTAGAAATATTTTTTATCCACTGAAGTTTAAATTTTAGCGCCATTAAATTGGTTGACTGACGTCAGACACAGTGGAATTTTCAGTAGTGGAAGAAAATCCACGGGAAAATCATTCGGAATTGTAGTTGATTTTTATTAAAGTAAAACATTTGTTTTTAATTGTCAAATAAATTTACTGAATCATGAACAAGCCAAATTTGCTGTTCGGTAATTATATTACATTTCAAATTTCGTAATAGTAAATGCAGACAGTCATTTATGTCACTAAATATTCAATTGTTTCGTTTTTTTTTGGGGGAATTTGTCCTTACGTAATTTATAACGATATTGTTTTATTTTAGGTTCAGGTTTTAAGAAATGGGCATACAATTGGTCACGATTCAATCAATATGGTAATGTATATTGTTTTTCTTATAAATATATAGATAAATATTGCTAAGAATTCAAAATAAATTTAATAGTTTAAGTGAAACATAACCTCATTTTTTTGCGATTAAAATGTTGGAAAAAAGAAATTAATTTTTTAAAAAACATTTAACTGTAATTATTTTAATAAAATTTTATTTAATTTAATATAATTTCGTTTTAATTATGTAATATAGTGTATTTATCTTTATTTTGAATATAATAAATCGATTTTCATCTTTTTATCAGCTCTCGAAATTTATCAGCCAAAAGTTTTGAACGTTCAAATGAACAAAATATTTTTTGTCAATCAATAAATTATTTAAAATTAACATGTCAATGTTAAATAAAACAGTAAATTAAATTAGTATTAAATTAATAACTTCTTTTTAGATATTTAAAACAATATTTTGTAATAAAATTCGTACTTAAAGAAGTTGCAAAAAAAATTTTGTTCATTTGAACGTTCAAAACTTTTGGCTCATCGAAATTTACGAATTTTTTTAAAATAAAATACTACTTTATTTAGTATACAATGCAGTTATTTCGAAATTTAATTACTTAATAAATTTTTAACTAAAATTCTTTGCTAAATTAATTATTTTCCATAATTTAAATAAAATTTTTCAAAAATTTAATTATTTGAAAATTCAATTATCTTAAATTATTTTCAATTATGTAAAATTTTACAAAATTCAATTAATATTTTCAAAAATTTCAATATTTCTTTAAAAATTCAATTACTTAAAAAAAGCTTCAATTTAATTATTTTCAGAATTTTTTTACCATTAAAACTAAAAAAAAAGTTTAAATGGAACTTAAATTTTTCTTAATTCGGTTTTAAAATATTCGAAATAAATTTTCTTGATAATATTCTTGTTTAATTATTCTTATTCTTATTCTTATATTATTCTTATTTTCAGGTTTAATGCACGACGATATGTACCATGAGTTCAATCCCATTGTTGTTGAGGCATTACGACGATTACCTCAACATATTAGAGATGAACGTAATTTTCGTATTTGTCGGGCAATGCAATTAAATTGTCAAAAATCAATTTTACCAAAAGAACAGTGGACTAAATATGAAGAGGTATATTTTATTCATATTTAAAAAGAAAATAGCTTTTATTATAAATACGCGCAATATTGATTACTGTGACAAAAATAAAAGGCGTATAACGAATTTAAATAGAAAAAAATTATTCTTTTTTAATGAAAGACAAAAAAAAAAATTCTATTTTATTTTACAGGATGTAAAATATCTTCGACCATATTTAGAAGAAGTTGAGAGAGAAGAACGAGAGAAAGAAGAATGGAATAAAGATTAGAAGAGAAGTATCAATTATTATATAGTATAACAAAAAAATTAATAAAATTATTACGAATAATATTTGTTTATTTAATTTTTTTTTTTTTTGGCATTAATGCCACAAAATCGTTACGATCTTCGTGTATTATTATATAAATAATTAAAAATAAAATAAAAATTCTTTTGGGTTAAGAAAATTAAATGTAATTTACTTTCATATTTTTTTAATTATAAATTTTTATTTTTACCCTATATCTCGTCAATATGAGAAACTGAATGTCTGAAACAAATGAAATCTGTTTTAAGAGATTCTTTTATGTTTTTCTTAAATTAATTTTTCAAATAAATTGATAAATAATTATTGAATTTTTTTTTTTTTTAAGATTCTTTTAATATTTTGTCTTATTTATAGAAATATTATTAATTTTCATTAGAACACGAACGGTGAAATTATTTTTATATACATATATAGCAAAAAGGAGGAGAAAAAAAAACAGAAAAAGAGGACATATATAATAGCAAGTCCTTGAATGACCTTGAAAATGATTGCGCTTGCGATTTCAATGCCTGTTTCGATAACTGACAAGTTTTCTCACAACACATGGCTGTTTGCAAAAATCGAAAGAAAGTGGTGCAACTAGGAGCATTTGTGGTGTTGCTGTTCAAGAAAATAATCATCAATAAATTAAGGCAAGTTAAAAAAAAAACATATATACCTTATCATTTTTTTTTTAAATATATTAATTATAAAATTTTAATTAATTTTTTAAAACTACATTAGATTTTTCATAATTTAAACTATGTCTTGAAATTTATTTTTGTAAATAAATTATTTCTTTAGGTCACCAATTATATTATTAATATACATAGTAAAATTGAAAATTTTGAAGATAATTTTAATTATTTTCATTGAATAAAATTTTAATTTGTCCATTTGGATATATTTTCAAATATTTAAAGATAATAATCGCAATTATTTCATTGAATAATGATAATTCCAATTATTGAACTGAAAAATTGATAAAAAAAAAAAGATTTTGTTACAGCTTTTTTTTGGAATTTAATCTAAAAATTTATTTTTAAATTAAAATTTAAAAAAAAAATGTGTACAAAAATTTTGAGAATTATTTTAACTCGAAAATTCTTCGTCTCAACTCAAAATTCAAACAATTGATTTTAGAAAACTGTTTGTAAATTTGTTCAAAATGAAAAGTTTTTGGCAAAAATTTGAAAATATTTTCCATAAATAAAAATTAAAAAACTTTTTATGAGAAAAATTGTGGAATTGAATAATTGAAGATAATTTCAATTATCCAATTATATTAATAATAATAATAATTATTGATTATTATTATTATTATTGTTATTCAATTATTGATTATTATAATTATTTTTTAAACAATTTTTATTTTTAAAGATTTAATTTGAAAATTTATTTTTTAATTCAGTTTAAAAAGAAAAAATGTGTAACAATCTCTTGAGAATTATTTTAACTCAAAAATTCTTTAAAACATTTGATTCAACTCAATATTCCAACAATTATTGATTTTAGAAAACTACGTTTATAAATTTGTTTAAAATTAAAAATTTTTGTCAAAAATTTGAATTATTTTCTATAAATTAAAAAATTGAAAAACTTTTAAGAGAATTGAAAGAATGAGAAAATTTTTTATTTGAATAATTTGAAAATAATTTCAATTTTAAATAAAAAATATTAATAATAATTATTAAATAAATATTATAAAAATTATTTAATTGAAATATTAATAAATAAACTTTGTGGTAAATTTAATTTTTTTTTTAAATTCAATTGAAAAATTTATTTTTAAAATAGAATTTTTATAAAAATGTGTAAAAATCTTGAAAATTATTATAAACTTAACATTTTTTTTTAAATATTTGTCTCGACAATATTTCAACAATTTTAGAAAATATTTTTGTAAATTTTTATAAATCAAAAATTTTTTTTGCCAAAAATGTGAATTAGAAAATTATTTTCCATAATTCAGAATTGAAAATTTTTTAAGAGAAAACAAAATGAAAAATTGTTTTAAATGCTGCTTTTCAAGCTGGAAATTATCTAATTATTCTAATGAAATTAATTAATTTTTTTCGATCCGATGTCTATATATTAAAAAAAAAAAAAAAAAATATTTTGTTAAATGAAAAATTGATTTTTTCGATTGCGAAAAAAAAATTTCAAAAAATGTTAATAAAATTTGATTACAAAAAAGTTATTTAAAAAATGTTTGTTAATTAACTTTTTTTTTTATATACAGACCGATGACGAAACATGTGATTGAATGTAAATTTTCATTGTGTAAATAGAATTGAACGAGTCTTTATTTCGCGATTCTAAAAATATCCTTTTGATTTATACGAAATTTATTTTATTTCGACCTCCAATAATTGATGATAGGATGTGATTATTGTCAATTAGGCCCTCACCCATTATTAATTGGGCTAGTTTGTTGTTGTTGCATTTAGCACACTTTACGCAATGTCTGCGATTAATACTCATTATTCCTCCAACGTTTTTCCAAGTAAGAGTATTACACATATATTTGCTGATCGATCTATAACGGAAAATACCAGGAATATATATCCCACTTTTATATAGACAAAATCCTACTTGAACTCAAATTCTCGTTTCACATATACCATATTGCGGATAAAAATCATCGAGCTCAACAATCATTGTTAGTGCTTCAACATTGATCTTTTACATAAGAGTTGAACATTTTTTTTTTTTTTTTTTTTAAATGTGCTGTTGTTTTCAAAATAGAAAAATTTAATTTATTCTCTTCGGGAATTTTTCATTTACAATCAAAAGTCAAAGTTTATAAATTTTGATTGAATAAAAAACGTTTGTTATGAATTTTGTTTTTCACGAAATTTAATACAATGTTAAATTGTGGTAAACAAGAAAAATTTTACTATTTTGACAATCTCTGTTTTTTGATGTGAGTTTTTATTCCAGTGAAAAATTTATATATTTGTAGTTTCTTAATGCAATAATTTAATGTCGAGAATAATTTTTTTTAGAGAGAAAAATAAAAAAATTTATTATTGTGAAATTATAATTTTTTTATTATGACTTTTTTTTTTATATTTTAAAAATATTTTACAAATATAATAATATTTTTACAAATTTTCAAGCTTAATTTGTGAAAAAAGAAAATAATTTCATTTTGAACAATTTTTAACTTTGGAATTTTAAATAAAAACATTTAAAAAAAAAAATAAAAATTTCAATTTTCTATTGAAAACTTATAAAAAATAAAAATTGAAAAAAAAACCTCGAAGAATTAAGAAACGATTCTCAAATATAAGGTTATGTTTTACCTAAATTTTTTACATTTTTATTATTTACACTTTCACTACTGTGGCACATTTCAATTGTAAATTTTTCTTTACATGTGAAAATATGAATTCGCTATTATAATACAACTTTTGTTTCGATTTTTCTTTAAAAAGTAATAAAAAAAAATTGCGAAAAAAAAATATTCAAATAAAAACTTTTTTTTTTCCTATTTTCAATAGTGCCAACTATTTTCTCTTTTTATTCCTCAACTTCCGGTAAATTTGGGGTCCGGTGGTGGGCCTGATTATATTGGAGCATGCGCAGTTTGACGCTTAAAAAATAAACATCCCTTTCGGTCCAGGAGTGAATAAAAAAAATAGCACTTTAATACCGCGGAGAAAAATTAACAATAGTTCGCATAAAATCGATCTATTATTTATGTGTCACATTGTTTTTTCAAAGAAAACATCACATCAAACGATTAAATAACGTTTTTTTTAATTGTATTCGCAAAACTCATTCCATGTGCGGTTGGAACGAAAGAAAGAAGAAGAAGAAGAAGGGAGGGAGTCGATCAATATTTCACCCCTCACTAGTGTAATCATCGAAAGTGGCACCCCGCGTAAACGTTGTGAAAAGATTTTTCTACTTTTGTTTAGTATAGGGGATAAAAGTCGACATTGTCGGTTTTAATTCCAAAAGAACGTTATTAAAATTCATCATATTTACAAATATCGGCCTCTCATTTTTGAAAATATAAAGTTGTTCGTTATTCGAAATATTGTCTGCGACCTGTCACTTTATTTCCTTTTTTTTCTGGGGTGCAACATCGAAAATTATTCAACGAGCCAGAATTGCATCATTAAACATCGACACAAAAAAAAAGAAACATATTTATAAGTGCTAAAAACACATTCCAGAATAGAAATGAAAATATCTATGGTAATATTTATATTTCTAATTTTTTGGAATTTTATTTCGTTTTCTATTTTACAATTTAAAGAACTGTTGACATGGTGTTTATCATTGAGAAAAAACCTATTTTTATATTCTTTCCGCCGCAAGTGCCAGATTTAATTTTCGAAGAGCTTTCACGTGGCGCAACGCATTTTTCAGGCGTTATTTCCTTTTTTCATTTTAGTGTCATGGGAGGAATAAAATTGTAAAACCACGTGTCATTTAACTGCAATTCAATTATTGGGAATTCGAACATTTTTTTTAAACTATTTTTTGGTGTTGAAAAATATTATTATTTTTTTTTTTTTTAAATATTTATCAAAGTGAGGTGTAACTGTTTAAAATATTACTTTTATTCCTGTTTCGACCCCTAACCTTTGTTTCTTAAATAATTCTGAGGTTCAAGGTAATAATAGTATTTAAAAAAAAAAAATTGCAATCGATTTTCTTTTTTTTTTTTAATTTTTGGCTTGCTATTAATATTGCGATTATTCTTTTATTCTAATTGTATTTTGTATTTGAATTTTTATTTTCAATATGTCTATAGTTTTATTAATTTTATAATATTCAAAATAAGTGAAATTATTTTTCAATCGAAATTTTTTTTTGGGAAAAATTACTTTTTTTCTAAATCAACTTTTATTTTTTGTAAAATTTTTAAAGTTTCTCTAATATCTATTGCGTAAGAGACGGAAAGTCGTCCTTGAATCAAATTCAAAGCTTTTATTTTCAACTTCTAATAACGATTTCAAATATTTAATGTATTGGACTCTATAGATTCACAGCTTTACACGAACAAAGTTGCAACTTTATTTATAATTGCATTTCTAAATTAAATGATTAAAAAAAAAAAATTCATTTTGTATTTTTTGCATACAGAAAAAAAGTATACATATTTTTAAAATTTTCATTGCATGGAATTTCAATTATTCTAATTACAGGCATCGGATTTTACGATTTTTCCGACTTTTTCCGATTTTTTTTCAAAAATACGACTTTTTTCGACTTATTTTATTTATTTATTTATTTATTTATTGAAAATATATTTTAATAAAATGCGACTTTTTCGACTTTTTTTTTTTACAAAATTCTTCAAATCTTCTTTATTTCAATTATTTAACAAAATTTTTCACTAAATTGATTATTTTTAATAATTTTAATGAAATTCTTCACAAATTCAATTATCTTAAACTATTTTTCAATTAAAATTTTTAATGAAATTTAATAATTGTTTATAATTTTAAAAAAATTAGCTAATAAAATTACCAACAATTTTTAATTCAAAATCACTTGAAATTTAATTATTTGCAAAAATTTCAATTATTTTTAATGATTTTTATAATGTTTTTAGAAAATTCAATTATTTAAAAGCATTTTTCAATTAAAAACTTTAGGAATTCAATTTTTGTATGAAATTTATAAAAAAAATTCTTCATCAACAGAAATCACTAAAAATTTCTCTTATTCTAATTATTGTCTGAAATTTAACATAATCTTTTGAAATTCAATTATTTTCAAGAATTTTCAATTTAAAAGTTTCTAAAATTCAATTATTTCTAAAATTTTCCATCTACAATATTTTGAAATTTAATAATTTCAATTATAACTCTCCTGAAATTCAATTATTTTTAATGATTTGTATAATATTCTTCGAAAATTCAACTATCTGAAACCATTTTTCACTTAAAAAGTTTTCAAATTATTGTATTTTTGTCTGCAATTTCTAATAAATTTTTTAGTAAAATCATGAAAAATTTTTAATTAAAAATCACTTGAAGTTCAATTAATTTAAAAAATCTAAATTGTAAATCTTTGAAAATTCAATTACTTTTACGAAATGTTATCTAAAATTATTTGATAAATTATTTTCAATTTTGTAAAATTTAATTATTGTCTAAAATCATTTGAAATTTAATTAATTTATTTGTTTAATTATTTCTAAAAATATATTTATCAGTTGTGTAGAGATTATTTAACAAATTTTTAACTAAAATTCTTCACTAAATTAATAATTTTTAATAATTTTAATGAAATTCTTGACAAATTCAATTATCTTAAATATTTTTCAGTTAAATTTTTTATGAAATTTAATAATTGTTTAGAATTTTAAAAAAAAATAAGCAAATAAAATTACCAAAAAATTTTAATTCAAAATCACTTGAAATTTAATTATTTGCAAAAATTTCAATTATTTTTTAAGATTTGTATAATATTCTTCGTAAATTCAACTATCTGAAACCATTTTTCGCTTAAAAAGTTTTCAAATTATTGCATTTTTGTCTGCAATTGAACTTCAAGTGATTTTTAATTAAAAAATTTTGATGATTTCACTAAATTTCAAAAATCAAAACTGTAAATCTTTGAAAATATTCAATTACTTTTAAAAAATGTTATCTAAAATTATTTGATAAATTATTTTTAGTTCTGTAAAATTTAATTATTGTCTGAAAATTAACAAAAATTTTTGAAATTAAATTCTAAAAATTTCAACTTTAACTCTTACAAAATTATTATTATTTAAAAAAAATGTTATTTAAAAATCTGTAATACTGAATTAATTATTGTAAGAATCTATTTTGACTATCAAATTTAAAAACTATGACAAAATTTTTAATTGGAATAAATTGTTTAAATCAGACTCTAAAAAATTATAAAAATGGAACTTTAAGAATTTTTTTTTTAGAAATTTAGAAAAAATTTTCTAAGACAAAATTATTTAACTATTATTATTATTTAATTATTTATTTAAAATTAATTTTATTAACTTTAATAAATTTATTTATATTATTGTTAATATAAATGTTTTCGAAATATTAATTGAAAAACAATTTTCAGATGAGGATAACGCAGCGGTTAGCGTGCAACCACGCGAGGAGAACATTCCTAGAGATTAATTCTAAATTCCAAGAGAATAGTTTAAAGTTGAAAAAATTCATTGACACAATATACACTACTTGTTAACAAAATCCAATTTATTTTGTAAATATTGAAACCCAAAAGAAGAAAAAAAAAATGAAAAGATTACTCGAAGACGGTGCTGCACCGAAACACTACCTCTGTTTAATCTGTACAAAGCTGCAAAAACAGAATTTAGAATTTTAGAAAGAAAATAAGAGAAAAAAAACATAGATATATATTCGCATATTGCTAAATGATTATATTCTTAATAGTTATTTATGTATGACATTATAACAAATAAGAATTTTCAAATAAAGAGTGTATCTTCCAAGAAAAAAAAAAAGTAAAAGTTCACTCATCGTTACTATATTATTAAAGACAAGAGTCACAAAACAATCCACAGACGAAAAGTGAAATCAGCTTTGTTTTAAACTTAATTGTATAAGGGTTTGAGGTTTAAGTTTTTATATTGCGGAAGCTCAAAAGTACAATAAAAAAAAAAAGGACAACAATGACTGAAGCGTACGACAGTAATTTGATTTGGATTGTCGTTATAGGATTTCTTGTAGCGTTTATCCTGGCGTTTGGAATTGGAGCCAACGATGTTGCAAATAGCTTTGGAACCAGCGTTGGCGCTGGTGTCCTTTCAATATTTCAAGCTTGTATCCTTGCAACTATTTTTGAAATTGCGGGAGCTGTTCTTATAGGATACAAGGTAAAATTTCCTTTAATTATTACAATTTTTTATTATTTTTTTTTAGTTTGCTCATCATCTCTCTGACTCTGCATTTCTAATTTTTCAATTTTAATTTTTTTTTCTTCTTTTTTTTCAATATTCCTTATTAATTAATAAAATACAGGACTTGTAGCTTTTTAAAAATATTTTCCAATTGTTTGTTTTTCAATTTTTTTAATACTTTTTATAATTTTTTTTATTTTTAATTTTTTTTATAAATTTTTTTTTTTAATACGTCTTATTTAGTATACAATGCAGATCTTCTTCAGGGTTGCCACAAAAATTTTATTTTTTTTTCCCCCAAATTTTTTTTCTAATTTCTAGTCAGAATTGAAATTTTTTTCCTCACCCTAATAAAAAAAAATTTTTCAGAGGTTTTCAATTATAAGAAATTAAAATAATAAGTTTTAGAAGCAAAATTTTCCTAACTCGTCTTTGAATTCTCAGACCCGTGACAACTATGTTCTTTATTTCAATTAATTAACAAATTTTTAACAAAAATTCTTCACTTAATTAATTATAAATATTATTATCAATAATTTTAATGAAATTCTTCACAAATTCAATTATCTTAAACTGTTTTTCAATTAAAAATTTTTTAAAATTAAATAATTATTGAAAATTTGTAAATAAAATGACCAGGAACTTTCATTCAAAATCACTTGAAATTCAATTATTTTCAAAATTTATAATTTCACAACTTCTACAATTTAATTATTTCTAAAATTTTCCAACTAAAACTTTTTAAAATTTAATAATTTCAATTATAACTTTTCCGAAATTCAATTATTTTCAATTATTTTTATAATATTCTTTAAAAATTCAATTATCTGAAAGCATTTTTCAATTAAAAAATTTTAAAGTTCAATTTTTGTCTGTAATTTTTAATAAATTCTTCAGCAACAAAAATTACAGAAAATTTCAATAAAAAATTACTTTAATTTCAATTATTTTCAAACATCTGAATTGTAAATCTTTGAAAATGCAATTATTTTTAAAAAATGTTATCTAAAATTATTTTGAAAATATTATTTTCAATTCAGTAAAGTTTAATTATTGTCGAAAATTTATCAAAACTTTTTGATATTCAATTATCTCTAAAAATTTCAACTACAACTCTTCCCAAATTCAATTATTTGTATTGATTTTTATAATACTCTTCAAAACTTCAATTCTCTGAATGCATTTTTTTTATTTTTTCAATTTTGGAAATTCAATTTTTAAATCTTTGAAAATTCAATTATTTTCACAAAAAGTTAGGTATCTAAAATTTTTTAATAAATTAATTTCAATTCTGTAAAATTTAATTATTGTCGAAAATTTAACAAAACTTTTTGAAATTCAATTATTTCTAAAAATTTCAACTGTAACTTTTCCAAAATTTAATTTTTTTTTAAAACTCAATTACTTAAAAAAGTTTTAAATAAAAACTTTTAAAACTTCAATTGTTGTCAGAAATTAAAAAAAAAATACACTGAAATTATATTTTTGAATTTATCATTGAAAATATCCTGAAATTGAATAATTTCTAAAAAATTTTAAACAAACTATTCGAAATTCAATTATTTTTGAAATTCTAATTAAAAATCTTTTGAAATTCAATTATTTCAGAAATTTTCATTTAAAATTAATTTTTTTTTTCAATAATATTTTAGTGAAATTATTTAAAAATTCAATTATTTAATTTGTAATGTAATGTAAATCGACTAAAATGACTTTTTTTTTCTTTTAAAAAATCGATTCAAGGCCTATAATTATAAAAATGTAAGACAATAATTTTTAGAAGCAAAAGTTTGGAATTGAAAATTTCAAAAATTATAATTTTAGTTTGCATTTTGAGAAATTTGATATTTTTCCAATATTTTTCATATAAAATTCCCTGACTTTTTCCCTGATCCATGGCAAGCCTGAGGAATTTTTGTTTTAGAAATTTGTCATATTTAATTAAAAAATTTTTTTTTAAAAATCCTAATTCTCATTCGGCCTAAATTCTATTTCTTATTTCGCCTAATTTTTATCAGGTCTAATTCTTACTTATATCCAGGTGAAAATAATTCGTACGATTTTCGCACCTGATTTTCGTGTAGATTACGCACGAAATTTCGATAAATAAATAAAGTTTATGGCAAATAAGAATTAGATTAAATAACAAATTAGACCATATACGATGATTGTGATAATCGAATGTAATTTAAATTTTGAAGAATTTATTTTGACTCCTCAAATAAATGCCACATGTCTGATATCATTTTTAATTTTTGATAATATATATATATATATATATATATATATATATTGTATTTAATTGAAAGAAAAATAAAATTTTATTCTCCAGGTATCAGATACTATGCGTAAGGGGATATTAGACGTTTCTTTGTACGTGGGCCACGAGAAGGAACTGATGCTGGGATCATTGGCAACATTGGCTGGTTCGGCTGTCTGGTTATTGTTGGCAACTGCCTTGCGACTTCCAATTTCCGGTACGCATTCTATCGTTGGCGCCGCTGTGGGTTTCTCTCTTGTATGCAGGGGAACGGCAGGGGTATGTAAAGGCAAAAAAAAAAAAAAAAATTGCCTCAAAAATTTAATTTCGAATTTGATTTGAACTAATTATCTTTTTTTTTTCCTCCGATTTTCATTAATATAGGTGAAATGGTCTGCTCTAAGAAACATAGCAGCATCTTGGTTTGCGAGTCCCCTTCTCAGTGGCACCGTCTCAGTAATTATATTTTGGATTATCAGGAAGACTGTGTTACTGTCCAATGAACCTTTAAAGCAGGGTCTAAATATTTTGCCTCTCGCTTATGGCCTTACTATTGCTATTAATATTCTTTCTATTGTGCACGATGGACCGAAACGTATGTTTACTCTTTTTTTAATGAAATATTGAAAAAGAAAAAAATTATTTCAAATTATCAGGTCTCGGATTGACTTTGAGGTGCAAATGAAGTCGTTTTAGTCAATTTACATTCCAAGAGAAGTCGATTTTTTATTTTTAATGAATTTAATTGGTTAATAAATATTTTATTTTCAATATTACTATTGTTATTAGATATTAAGGGAAGAGGAACAGCTGAAATTTCAACCTTTCAAAATTAAGGCTGTTAAGGTTTTCAATTTTTTTTCTGACAATATTGAATATTTAAAATTGTAATATACTACGGGAAATTGAAAACAATTAATTCATTAATAATTTTTTAAATAAAACTCGAAATTTCAGGTTCTAAAACAATTTTAAAAAAATTGTCACCTCCAAACCAAACCAATTATATTTGGTTTAAATTTGATCAATTATTCCTTAAAAATTCAACTTCTTCTACAATTTTTATTATTTTTTATCAGTAATTTTTTATAATCTTTTTTCATGATTCTGAACAATCAATCGTATGGATTTTTAAAAATTTTAATACTTTCAAAAAATAAAATTTCTAAAATGGTCAAAAATAATTTTTTTAAAATTTTGATTATTCACAATAATTTTAGATCCCAAATAATGACAGAAAAAAAAATTGACACATTAATTTCGATGAGTTGAAATTTCATCGGGCCCTCCTCTTAAATTAATTTTATTAATTTTTTAATGAGAATAATTCTACAGAAATATTATCAATAAAATTAATTTCGAATATTTCAGAATCGAAATAAGACAAAATTTTAATAAAGTAGAACAAATTTCTAAAAAAAAATTCTTAAAGTTCTATTTAAAAAAATCTTTTTCAAGTCTGATTCAAAGAATTTATTTGAATTTAAAATTTTGTCATTGATTTTAGTTTTAATGGTTAAAATAATATCGGAAAAGAATTAAGTTTTTACAGATTTTTAAATTAAACTTTTTATTAAATAATTGAATTACAGAAGGTTTTAAATTTGAAATAAATTTTGTGCAAATTTAAACTGCTGTATTTTTATTTTTTAATTTCTGACAAGAATTTAAATTTAAACTTTAAATTTAAATTTAAATGTAGAGTTTCAATTTGTAACTTTTTTTTAAAAAAAATTAATTAAATTTTTTAAAGAAATATTAAAATTTTTTTTAAATAATTCAATTTTGGAAGTTCTAATAAAGTTTGAAGTTAAAATTTTTAAAAATAATAGAATTTTGGAAGACTTTATTAAATTTTAGACAATAATTAAATTTTAAAAAATTGAAAATAATTTGTCAAATAATTTTAGATAACATTTTTTAAAAATAATTGCATTTTCAAAAATTTACAATTCAGATGTTTGAAAATAATTGAACTTCAAGTAAATCTTTATTGAAATTTTCTGTAATTTTTGTTGCTGGAGAATTTATTAAAAATTACAGACAAAAATTGAACTTTAAAATTTTTTAATTGAAAAATGCTTTCAGATAATTGAATTTTTGAAGAATATTATAAAAATAATTGAAAATAATTTAATTTTGAAAGAGTTACAATTGAAATTTTGAGAAATAATTGAATTGAAGTTTCAAGATTTTAATTCATAATAGAGTAGATAAAAAAAAATGTTTGTTTTTATAATTTTTAAAAAATTTTGAAATTTGATATAAGTAAATTGTTCGAATTCAAAATTTAGGCATTATTTTTACAATTTGAAATAAATTTTTGCAAATTTGAATTGCTGTAGATTTTTTTTTAATTTCTAACAACAATTGAAATTTTGAAAATGTTTATTTAAAACTTCTTTAAATAATTAAATAATTGAGTAACAATTGAAATTTTTAGAATTAATTAAATTTCAAAATATTTTAAGTACCAATTGAATTTTTGAAGAATTTTATTAAAATTATTAAAGTAATTAATTTAGCGAAGAATTTTAGTTAAAAATTGGTTAAGTAATTAAATTTTAAATGAGCTGCATTGTATACTAAAAAAATTTGTAATTTATTAAAAAATTTTTTTGCAAAAAAATGTCGAAAAAGTCGCATTTTTGAAAAAAAAAATTAAAAAAATTCGTACAATCCGAGGCCTGTAAAATATATAATTGATAATTATTTCAATATATTGAGCATAATTTCTATCTCTCTCTCTCTCTCTCTTTTTTCCAGTTTTGATGCTGGATAATATACCATGGTGGGGAAGTCTAATAGCATCATTAGGTATTGGCTTATTGTCAGCTGTGATTGTTTATATATTTTTAGTCCCATGGGAGAGAAAGAAAATTCTTTCATCACACAATACTATTGGAAGAAATGCCGGATTCAATCCAAGTGAATCAAAAGAAACAACGGCATTATCGGTTATTGTTGATGGTGGTCAAGTAACAAGTAACACTGAAATGGCAAGTTTGGATGCACCAAAATTAAGGGGCAACAATAGCGCGAGTCCATTATTAATGGCGGCTGGTGATGCCGATGGTGGTACAGGGAATATTGATATGAATGATGAACATCCAGATGTATCGAAATTATTTTCATTTTTGCAAGTATTAACTGCTGCTTTTGGTAGCTTTGCACATGGCGGAAATGATGTTAGCAATGCAATTGGACCATTAATTGCATTATGGGCTATTTATGCGGAAGGTTCGGCGAAACAAGAGGCAGAAACACCATTACTTATTTTACTCTATGGTGGTTTGGGTATTTCAACGGGACTTTGGATTTGGGGTCGTAGAGTTATTCAAACATTGGGACAGGATTTAGCTCGTATTACACCCACTACAGGATTCACAATAGAGGTATATATATATATATATATTTAATGATACAATATTGGGACGCATGATTTTGTTTTAAAAAATCATTAGTTAGAATTTTCATTTTATGGAATTTCATTTGTCATAATTGGATTGAAAGTTTATAAATCTTTAGAATATTTAACTCAACAATTTTTCAAGAATTGACCTTGAAAAGCTATTTTATAATTTGAGTGAAAAATATTTTTATCATTTGAATTAAAATAATTTCCATAAATTGGACAAAAAATTTTTATTTATTAAAATCTGTCTTTTATTGAACTAAAATCTTGAAAATTTTTCCAAGTTCAAATTTTGAAATAATTATCAATTTTTTAATTTTTTTAAAAAAATTTTTCATTGTTCCTTACGAAAAATAAATTTTCAACAATTTTAATTTTTTCAAAAAATTAAATTTCTATAGATAGTAAAATTTTTTGATGATTTCATATTATATTTCACCGACAGAATAATTGAAATATTACCTACATTAGTGAATTCTGCTTTTTCTTAATTAATTAAATTAAATTTCTTTTGCTCTTTTTTTTGAAATTTAAAAGTTGGAGCAAATTTTATAAAAATCGATTACTCTATTATATTATAAAAGTGTTCATAAAAATTTAAATAATATAATTTCTTCAATTTTTAATTTTTTAAATAAAAAATTCTTAATATAAATTTTAAAAAGTTTATGTCAATTTTATCATTTTTTTTATATATATATATAGATAATTAACACGTTTGTCTTGAATATTTTCAGAAATTTTTATTTTTAACCCTTTGCAGTACACATTTTTTTAAATACAATATTTATGATCAAAGGAAATAAAAAGTAATTTCTTTTACTTTTAAAATAAAAATAAAACAATATTCATTGATATTTTCTTCCAATAGATAAATAATTATTTTAATAAATTTTTTGACATTTTTGAACAGGAACAAATATAAATACGACATGTTTATTAATCTATGACAATAATAAACATTTTAATATTTAATATTTTCCAAAATTTATTAAAATAATAACAATAAATTTTTTTTGTCTAAAAACCAGAATTTTAAAAACGATAATTTACTGGAGTAAAATATCAAAAAAATATTGATCCCCAGATCAGTTTACTTTTTAGAAGAAAAAAAAAAAAATTTTCTATACAACTTATTATAATTTTTTGTTTTTGTAAACATTTATCGAACGTTTCTCAATTAACAAATTTTTAAAATCGAGAAAAATTTTTATATGCAAAAAAGTTTTACTATTTTTTGCGTAAATTTTTTTTATCGTTAATCTGAAATGTTGTAAATTTTACCGACTTGATTTTTATTTTAAAAATAGCAAATATAAAGTTATACGAAAAAATCTTCTATTATATTAAGTTAACAAATTTCGAAAAACGACACCGACCCCGTGACCTCGACACCGTCCTTGAAAAATCTATTTTCAATTATTTTCAAATAAATCAAAATACTTTGCATATATGCTTTTAGAAAATCTTACAAACTATTTTTATGTAACATCTTTTTTCAATTTTAAGATAAATTTTATACAATATTAATAAGATATTAATTTAAAATATAAATTATAAATATAATATACATAAACTACAATAAGTAAACAACAATAAGTACAATTTTAACCGAGCGAGCGTTAGCGAGCGAGGAATACATCGCTAGTTTTCAATTAAAATGAAAACTATAAGAATTTTGCAAATACCGCAAAAGGTTATTTAATAAAAATTGTAAAAAAACATTTTTTGAATTAAAATTATTTACTTGAAATATAAAAATTTGTTTAATTTGACAGGTAGGAGCTGCTTTAACAGTATTGTTGGCAAGTAAGGCTGGTTTACCTGTGTCAACGACTCACTGTAAAGTGGGTTCCGTTGTTTGCGTGGGCTGGGCATCACGTGGTGGTGAAGGTGTTTCATGGAAACTTTTCCGAAATATTGCCTTCGCCTGGGTAGTCACTGTTCCAGTTGCGGGTTTGTTATCAGCAGGCTGTATGACAATTTTCAAAGAAGTAATTAGCTACTGATTTTTCACCGTACTAAACATTTTTTTAAATCGTTTTTAGCAAAATACCATCCAACGCTACTGTTGTCAATAATAATTAAGAAATAAATATCAAAAAAAAAAAAAAGAAAAGAAAAGAAAATTGAACAAAAAAAAATGAAAAACTTCATGCCTCTATTATTATACATATATATATATATATAATTTGTAATCGTTTCAACATTTTTAAAGATATTAAACATTATTTTAACTTAAAATCTTGTTTCTTTAATAATTTTTTAAAATTTATATTCCATTTTTTCAAAACAAAGGGATCGTTATAATTTTTTTTTCTCCATTCCCAAGTTTCCCTAACGACGACTTGTTGACAAATAAAAAATCAATATTGAACAAGTTGAACTGTCAAATTAAGAAATGAAACTTGGTTATTTACTGAATGTTGATTGAGAAATATTTTTTTAAATCCCAAAATTGATTAATTTATCAGTTTTTATTTTTATTTATTCGAAATGGAGGATTTACCCTTTATTCCAGGATACACGTTTCAAAATCCAGCGGTATGTCCAAAAAAAAATATTCGTTAGAAAAAAAAAATTGAAATAAAAAATTTATTGTAACCGCAAAATATGAAATAAAAAACAAAATATCATCTTAGATCCAGGATTACAAACTAAAACAAAAATTTGGATTTTCAAATGGAATACGAGTGATACGTGATTCAGATGTTGGAATTGGTCCAAAATCAATTGATGCTGTTTCCAGTGCATATGCAACTGAAAACAACACCGTATAGTGCATATTATTATTATTATTATTATTATTATTAGAAGATTCTATTCAATTTTAATTGGCAAAAAGATTAATTTTATAATTTTTTTTTCGTTTTTTTTGTTTTTTTTTTTAGTTACGATCCATCACTGACTTATGGACGAGTTCAATTCTATCCTTATCGACAATTTGTACCACATTATACACTTTATTCACAAAAATGTTTATCATTTAAAGGATTTTTTCGACAAAAAGTTTTTGGCTCTCAAAATGAACATTTTCGTATTCGATATGTGAATATTATTTATTATTTAGAAAATGACACACTATCGATAATAGAGCCAAAAATTGATAATGCTGGATTTAATCAAGGAACATTAGTGAGAAGAGGAAAAATTACTCGTAATAATAATAAAGGATTTTATCATTGGAAACATTTAAATGTGGGAATTGATTTAGGTAAGATTATCAATTTTTTTTTTATAAAACTTTAGAAAAAAAAATCTATTTTTAAATAATTATATATATTTTTTAAATCAAAAACTCAATTATTTAATATAATTCAATTTAGTAATTGAATTGAAATTAATTTACAAAAATTGCATCATTTAGAAATTGTTAACAGTTTTTTTTCATAAATAACAAAAAATAATATTTTGAATACTATGATTTAAACATTTTTCATTCAAAATGGAAAACAAATATTTTTTTTTTTAAATTGTGCATTAAAAAATTTTCATGTTCGATTATTATTTTTTATTTTAATATTAATAAAAAATAAACTCAAATAAAAGAATGTGAAAATATCAGTTTGTTTTTCTACATATTTCCAATTTTCAATTGTAAACATTTTTTCATATACAATAAAAACTAATATTTGAATACTGATTTGAAAATATATTTTTCATTTTTAATATTTTATTTATTATTCTTAAAAACTGTCGCAAGTAATTTACCTAAATATTTTTTTTAAAAAATCAAATTTTTCGTTTTAATTCCACAAAAATTTTCCGGAAAATATCAAAATTAACAAAAATAGCAGGCCTCGGATTATTTTTTCATTCCTTGATAAGAATAATTCTACAAGAATATTATCAAGAAAATTTATTTCAAATATTTCAAAACTGAACTAAGACAAATTTTCAAAATTTTAATTAAGTAGGACTTTATGCAAAATAATTCAAATTTAAAATTTTTCCATAGTTTTTAGTTTTAATGGTAAAAAAAAATTTCGGAAAATAATTAAATTGAAGCATTTTTAATAAATTGAATTTTTAAAGAAATATTATTATTAAAAATAATTAATTTAGAAAATAATTTTTATTAAAAATTTGGTAAATAATTAAAATCAAAAAAGAACTTATTAAAATAAATCGAAAAAAGTCGTATTTTCGAAAAAAAGTCAGAAAATTTTCATTTTCGAAAAAGTCTTCTAATCCGAGGCCTGACATTATGATTATAAAAATAAAAATTGAACAGGTAAACAAAAAAGAAAAAAAAATTAACTTCACATTTTCATATTTTTAAATAAAAAAAAAAATTAATTTTTAATTAAACAAATATAAGTGTGAGCAATTTTATTTTTAACTCTTTGATTTATTAAAAATTTCTTACTACGAGAAACGTTTGCGTTAAATTTTGGATTTATTTTACCTACAATTCGCTTTCAATTGTAAAGAAATTGTAATTTTTATTAATATTCAATTTTTAATGTATCAAAATTAAAAATAATTAAATTTTCACTTGCACTGACATTTTTTTAAAAGTTTAAATAATTTTTTTTCTCTCTGAATAAATTCAGATAATAATAATTAAATAAAATTTAAATATTTTAAATAAGAAAAAGTCTAATAATGAAAAAGTAAAACAAAAGAAATTGTTCTTTTTTATTTAAAAATTTATTCATGTGCCTAAAATTTTGAACGAAATAATTTTTTTTGGTCTATAAATTTGTTAAAAATTACTACAGCAATGAAAAAATATTTAATGAAATAATTAATAAATTATTAATTTATTTTTTAATACAGAATGAAATTTTTTTTTAAATAAAATTTAAAGTTAAAAAAGTATTAAACAAATTTTACGTTTATCTGATGAGCGTTCAGAACTTTAGGCACATAAAAATTCAAAAATATATAGAATTTTGTTCCCTCGATATTTGTTTGTCCATTTCTTTTTTATACATCTAAAAATAACGTCGATGAACTTTATGATCAATGATTAAAAATAAAAAATATTTTTCACGCAAAAAATAATAATATCTTTTGCTTAAAAAATTTTTTTTTTTTTAAATTTATTGATCGAGGTAAAAATTTTTACAAAAAAAAAAAAAAACATTATATCTAGGCAATAATTTGTATAGAAAAATATTTTTTCTTCTAAATCGTTGTTATGATCATAAACGTTGTAAACTTTACTTGACTTTAAAAATTGCATTTTAGAAATTTATGGAGTTATTTATCACACCTATGATTGCGATAAATTTACCAAAGAATTTATGACGAGTCAAGGAATTGATATTGGTGACAAGGAGGAGCCGCCAATTGATCCTTATATTTTAAATCGATCAAATCAATTGAAAGCCGCCGCCGCCGCCTCCTCCTCGTCTTTCACTAGAATCAGTGAAATTGAAAACGATCCAAGAAGACGATTTTTTCATTACGATGGAATGGTTCTATTGTTCGATGCATTATATGAAGATGATTTTTATCAAATTCTTTATTTTCTAACAGACAACACAATTAGTGTTCGAGAAATTCATCGGCCAAACGATGGCAAAGATCCCGTAACTGTGTTTCTCAAAAAAACACGAGTTCCCAAAAATTGGAAAGACGTTCCCGGTTCATATCCAGGAATGTCACTTGAACGTGGCGATTACGAAATTGTGGAATATTATTCACCAAATGACTTAAAGGTAATATATAATGAAAATAAAGAATTCAATGGACAATCAAAATAGAATTTAGTTCAATTTCACATTTTTTGTATTTATGTATAAATTTTCTTCTTTTTTTTTAATTAAGGAAAATGAAATTTTCGTTCTTATTAGGTAACATTTTTTTTTTCCTGATATTATATTTAGAATCTAAAACTGTTTCACATTATCAAAATATTTAAAAAGAAAAAATATATTTGACCACTTTAGAAATTTTATTCAGAGTTGGCACAAAATTTTCATTTTGCTAAAAAAAATTATGATAAATGAAAATTCGATCAAATGAAAATAAGTGACGCATGATTATGTTTTAAAATTATCATTAATTAGAATTTTCATTTGTCATATAATTATTTTTGAGCTGAATTTTTATTTATCCGAATTAGTATTTTGCAAAATTTTAATCGAAACGATTTTCTATAAATTACAGAATTTTTATATAACCGAAAATTCATATGAAAGAAAATTCTATGCAAAAAAAATTCTACCCGAAAAAATTCTTTAACCCCTTCGCTGTGTAGCAGAAATAAAGCTTCCGTGCCCCGTATGTGGTAAAAAAAATTTTTTAAAAAAAAACTTGATGTTACCATACCTAAGAATACCCATTGACAAGTTTATCGTATTGTGTCTACTTATTTTTTTCTAGATGCTACTATAGCGGTCATACACACTGGTGGCACGATATTTTTATGCCTCTATAGAGGTCAATAACAGTGAAGGGGTTAAAAATTTTTAATGAAAATTCGAGTAAATAAAAATTCTGAAAAATAAAAATTCCAACAAATAAAAATTTTGTGAAGTGAATTTTCGGTTATATAAAAATTCTATAATATAGAAAATTGTAGAAATATAATTTTTGGCTGATTAAATTAAATTTTTTTTTTCAAAATTGTCGATGAAAAATATCAAAAATTGTGGAAGAAGTTCAAATTTTAATTTTTCCTTAAATTCTATTACAAAATTTGTAAATAAATAATTTTTTTTCTAAATTTTCATGACGTAGCAATCCTTCATAAAGTCGAAAAATAAATTGTCAACCTAAAACAACGAAAATTTTCAAAAATATAGTGTTAGACTAACTTTTATTTAGATTACAGGCATCACAGTACCTTTTATCCTCAAAAAGCTGAAAAGGTGAAATTTTTTTGTTTTTGATGATGTTTTTTTCATAATTTTCGATAATAATTTTTCTTTTCTAGCAAATAAAAACTAATGTATGATATAAAATTTCTTTGATTTTTCGAAAATATTTTAAAAATGTAGTAAAAAAAAATAACGTAAACAGTATCTAAAAAATTGAAATTAACTCTAAAATGTAATTATTCTCAACACCAATGTTAACAATTATTGAAAATTTTTTTATTTTTTTGGTGTTAAAATAATATTTACAATATAATACAACTTTATATGTATGTTCGAAAATAAAACGAAAACAAATTAATTATAAGGAGAAAAAAGTTATAAATATATAAATTTATATAAAATAATTTCTTGAAACTCTATGAGAAGGACTAAATAATTGTAAATAGCATTTTGATGCCAAAAAAAAAAAAAAATATTTATGCACAAACGAAAAAAAATTCCTAATTTATTAATAAATTCATTAAAATAAATTTTTGCAAAAATCGATGAATTTGGTTTTAAGAAAAGTCCCATTTTAGAATTTTATTTTTAATTTTTTAAATCTTGATCATAAACCTAAAACATGCTAATTTGAGACTGAATAAATTCTAAAACTAATTTATTAGAATTTTCATTTTCTAGAATTTATTTACTTTTAGCCGAATTTGAATTTGACAAAATTTTTAATTTCTCAAATTTTTATTAGACTAAATAGTTATAGAATTTTTTATTTTACAGAAAAAATTTCTTTCTAGTCAAATTTTCAATTGTTTGAATTTAAATTTTAAAAAATTATTAAAATTCCGAATTTTTATTTTTCTGAATAAATATCGGGCAAAAATAATTTGGGCACAAATTTTTAAATAAATCAATCATAATTTCGTTGAAAAATTCTGATTGGTTAATTTTAAAATTGAGCGCACAAATTTTTTTCCAGATATTTAGACAATAATGAAAGTTTTGTAAAATAAAAATTCAAATGAATAAAAAAAAATTCAGCTATGAAAAAAATTTTTTCTAATATTTTTTCTGTAAAATAAAAATTTGTACAAATAATAATTTTAACAAATTCAAATTCGATAAAATAAAATGTCTGTAAAATGAAAATTCGTTTCAGTAAACAATTCTGTAACATATAGAAATTCGGTTAAATATAGGATTTCTGTTAAATAAAAATTCGAATAAATAAAAATTATGCTAAAAGTAAATTCTAGGAAATTAAATTTTAAGAAATTAATTTTAAATCTAATTCGTTATTTGTCTCGCTAATTTAAATATTGAATTCAAATTTTATGAATGTTTTAAAAATATTTACCAAGAAAATTCCACTTTTTTTTATCACAAAAAGGTGAAAAAGGTGACAAATAAATAATTAAAATAGGTATAAAAAGGTGAAAAGGTGACTTGTGATGTATGCGATTATTAAATATTAAATGATAATTAAATCTGATTAATTTAATAAAATAATTTTTTAATTTTATAAAATTAAATCATTTTTTTTTTATTATTTAATTTAATAAAATAAAATTAAATAAATCAAATATTCTAAAAAATTTAATTCAAAATTTTCAAATCACAGATTGGAGAAACAATTTCAATTTTTGAACGGCAATTCTTTCTTTTTGATTGCGATAATTTTACAAGAAAATATTATTCTGAAATGTTGGGAATCATTCAATCGTCACGCATAGAACCACCATCATTAAAAAATAGAAAATCTCTAAACTATAAATTGTCGTCACACAATTATGTGCCATTGAAAAAAAATACAATTCGTCAAATTTTAAATTTTCCCCAAAAATTGCGATATTCAATGAAAATGGATGCCGTACATCCTGAAGATGAGACACGTATTTTTATTTTAGAATACAATTTAAGTAATGGTAAAATACAAATAAACGAATGTTGTAAACCAAATTCTGGCCGAAAAGGTGGAATATTTTTGTCAGCAAGACAAATTCAAAAACCCAATGCCAATATTGACGATAATAATTATTATGGTCCTGAGGATTTTTACATTGGTGCAAAAATTAATGCATTCAATCATTATTTCATCATCACTGGAGCTGATTTATTTGTCTATCGATATATTGAAGAAAATTTGGAAAAATTTAGTGAAAATTTGAAAAATAATATGAGAAATTATTTTCTACAATTAAAATTAATTGAAAGTGATGTGAAAAAAATTGAAGACAATAAAAATTTTGATCTCGAACCATTTAGAGGAGAAATTGATAAAAATTCTTATGAAATGGAAAATTGTTTGAAAACATCTGAAAATCAAGTTGAGGATCAAGAAAATGTATTTTTAAAATCTTCAATGCCAATATGTGACAATTTGAATCAAACTGAGGATCAATTTAGAGATGAAAAAAATAATAGAGAATTACGATGGTCCGATAAGGTATAGTGAAAAATAAATGTAATTTAAATTTCTGAGAATAGAAAATTTCTGTAAATTTTTATTTTTTTATACCTTTTTTTTTTTTGAAAGATTTATAAAATTATCTTCAATTTACTAGATTGAAATAAATGAAAAAAATCCAATAGTCGATAGTCCAAAAGAAAATCTCGGAAAAGAGAAAATAATTAACGAGCCAGATTATTATTTTTCTGATCGTAACAAAAAATTCCAAGTAAGTCACTCAATAATTCTATCTGTTTCTATAAATAACTTTAAAATATTGATTTGCCTATTTTTCAACAAGGCAAATCAATATTAAAATTCAAAGAATAATTTTTTTTTATCCACTTCATTCAAAGTTTTACAATTTTATCACTTTTCATTTTTTATATTAAAAAAAAATCTCTTCAACATTGATAATTAAATTTTTTTTCCATTTTTGAATATTATTTTTTCATTTACCAGTTTAAATTTAAATTACCTATATCAATTAAAATAAATTTAAAAAAAACATTAAATATAAGAGAAAAGAATTGAGAGAATAAAATAGAAAATTGAAATTGATATATACTTTTTGAATTGTCAGCAAAACTGATTTTTCAAACTTTATAACACTTTTACAATAATTATAATTTTTTTTTTTTACATTTTTTAAAATGTTTTTTTTTTTTAATATAATTCACTGAAATCAATCTGGCAAAAAAAAAAAAAATGTTCCTATTTCTTTACAGATGGGCCAATTGAATTACGAAGAGGCAACGGAACCGCTAAAATTAAAATTCCCAGCACCGCAAGAGAAATTCGTTAAAACTCCAAATTTCAATAATATCTCACTTGTCCGTGAAACTTATAAGGCACCTAAAGTGTCTTAAGAAACTTCATTTCGCATTAAAAACAGGAAAAAAAATTCAGCGCAATATCTTGCAATCACTTGTAAAAAAAATACTTACAAAGAAGAAAAAAAAAAACAAATTGTCACTTTCATATAAAACACCATCTGCTTGCGTATAAATAAAATCATCCCTCAAATATCGATTTTGCAATTACAAGCTTCGTTTTTTTTTGTGTTTTTTTTTTTTTTTTTTTTTTAGTAATTTACAACAATTTACATTCTCGTGCTTCAAAAATCATTGCAAAACAGAGGCACAACATTTTCTCAAGAACACCGGGTTAGAGAGCAAATATCACACATTAAAAGAAAATAAATTTCTCAAGTTTATACTATAATCTTGAATAAAACAGTTAGAAAATAAAATAAATTTTGCTGAATTATCATTTTATATTATATTTCGACTAAAGTCATTGGCCAAAAAATTATGCAAAAAAAAAAAAGGAAAAAAATAATTTAGTAATAGTGCTTGGGGTTTACGCATAAAGCTGCTTCATAACATAACCTTAAATTACTAACTAAAACCACGTATTTTTCCGTAATTTTTTTTTTTTTTTTAAATCACAAAATTTGGAAAATTTATTTTTTTAGACTAAATTAATTTTAATATAATATTTATTTATTTTAATCTTACACAAAAGAAACCCTTTAAGAAGGTTCAACTCATTAACATAACCTCAAACTAAAAAATTGTTTTTAACAACAAATAAAACTATAAATAAAATTAATTTTATCAAAATTTGAAAGATTCAGTTGTACAATTATCAAGAAATAAATTATTTTGCGCAAAAATTTGTAAATTAATAATTATTTCACTTTTTATATTTTTTGTTTAAAGTTTTTATGCAATTCTTACAAACAAATAGCTTATTTTGCTCTTTGAATGATTTTCTACAATTCTGTTTGTTGAATTTTTATTAAAAATATTTTGTTCAAAAAGTTAATATAGACAAAAAAAATTTTTATATTTTTTAAACAAAACATTATTTTTTAAAAAAAACCCAAAATCAAAATTTTAGAAAATCTTTTAAAGAGAAAAATGAGCCACTGTTTATAAAAATTGGATAAAAACCCAAGAAGCACGTAATATATCCTCAATATCAAGGTAATATTACACGAGAGATTCGTAATATAACGCTGTAATATTACAGTAATCTTACAGTGATCTTAAAATGTCCGCCTCAAGGTAATATTACCGGGAATATTACTGTAATATTAACGATAATATTACAGTAATATTACAGACTGATTTGAGTTATTCATAAAGCATAAAAAACATAAATATATTATAAGTCAATTTGGCTTGTTGGTAAAACTCTGGACTCGTGTGCTTTGAGTTCGGGGTTCGATTCCCTGGATGGGTAGATTTTTTTCGTAAAGAAATGGTCCCATAATATTACTGTAATATTACCTTAATATTACGGTATAATATTACTGCAATATTACTGTAATATTACCTTAATATTAGCGCGTAATATTACAGTAACATTACCGGTAATATTACCTTGAGGCGGACATTTTAAGATCACTGCAAGATTAGTGTAATATTACAACGTTATATTACGAATCTTACATGTAATATTACCTTGATATTGAGGTAATATTACGTGCTTCTTGGGAATTAGAATTTGTTCAGTAACTTTTAAGAAAAAATACAAAATGTTTATTAATTATTATTTAACAACAAATTTTAACTAAAAATAATTTTTTTTCCAAAATTGTACAATTGGATCTGTCGAATTTGGATGTAATAAATTTTAAATATATTTTTAGTTTTGTTAAAAACTACTTTTTAGTTTGAGGTTATGTTAATGGGTTGAACCTGCTCCTTAAGGCCAAGTCCAAGTCGAGTCAGCTGTTCCTTTGAAGTTTCAATGGAACAACTGACACGACTTGGACCTGGCCTTAAGGGTATGTAGGAACCCTCCCACGTGATATAGTATGGAAAAATGTGTTTTAGTAGTATACATTTCACTCTAAAATGAGAAAAGATTTTTGTCTAAAATTTTAAGGGATGATAGATTAGGGTACAAAGAATCTCGCTGTTCTCCGAAAAATACATAATTTTGAGTTAAATTATTAAAAAATGATGTTTAAAAAGTGGCATTTTTAAACGAAAATGAAAACAAAGATGGCGGCGCATACACAGACGTTTCTTGAGTGTGTCAATGCTCCAGTAAACAGCGCCAATTCGAGCAAGTGGCCGCTGAATGAACTATGATATAATACATTATTTTACTATTTATTGCTTTATTTTTATTATTTTTGCATTAAGTTATAGTAAATGAGTAGAACAGCAAGATTCCTTGTACTAAACAAAATCATTTCTCCAAAATTTCAATCCGAAATCATTTTTTATTTCAGAGAAAGTTTCAAACCACAAAAAAACGTCCTTTGCCCCACATACCCTTAAGAGTGCGTTCAATTGTCTTTGAAATTCTTTGGCAAAGAGGGACCTTGAATTATATATCGCCCTATAAACACGGCACTGAATGTAAAAATGATAAACATTGATTTAAAAACACTTTTTTTCTCGAATTATGGACACTTTTTATAAAATCAGCCAACGTACCAAGATTTCTTATCTTATAAATTTCCTAAAACCGAAAAATTTCTCAAATACATGCAAAAACGCATTCGTAAAATAGGATAGTAATATAATTTTAACTCTATTTCGTCTTGTCGCCGTCAGATGGCAGAAGCATGCAGTGAGCACAAAGTCGCAGCTGTCATTATTATTACTTTTCTATTTCCAAATTTGCGATCACGTTTTTGCATGGATTCAAAAATCTTTTGGATTTAGGGATAATTTATAAGATAAGAAATCTTGGTACGTTCTAAAAAGTATATAACTATTTTCAAATTTAATTGAATTTAATTTTTATTTTATTTTTGTTGCGCGTTAAAAAGATTTTATAGTTTGAGGTTATGTTACGGCCATAATCCTCCTTAAATATATAATTATATAAAGAAATTTTAAATAATTACTTTTGTGTTTAACTTTTTGAGAAATAAAGTCAATTTTCCATAATTAATTTTATGTTTTACAGAAAAAAAGTAAAATATACAATCATACAAAGTCAGGAATTTTAGGTTATGTTATTGCAGAGAATAACACAAACAAAATTCTGAATAGCACAAATTTATCGGTGTTTTCAAGTGACCAAAAATAATATTTTTCCTCAAATGAATTTGAGGTTATATCGCAAAAATCTCGAAATTAAAATAATTTTATTACAAACTTTGTAATCAATTAAAATATGAATTTAAAGTATAAAAAGTGTGGAAAACTCACTTCTTCAAACCGTTAAAAAATATTTATTGTATTACATTATAATTTATTATTAAAAATTAATAAAAATGTGATACGGTGAAGAAAGGGATCAAAGAGAAAAAAAAATTGTAGGTTATGTTTATGAAAATTGCAGTGAAAATATATATATATACAAAGATCAATATAAACCATTGATGCTGCAGTCTTCATTACATTGAAAATTTTCAATAAAAACTGATTTTCATTTTACAAAATAAACTTTTCATCAATATATAGCTATATAAAATTTTTTGCTTCTCACATTTCCGCTCAACAGGATTTGCCCACCACTCTAAAGTAATAAAAGATATTAGAAAAATGTTTATATTTACGTTTCTAGTAAACAAAGGTCAACAATTATTTATTTTAATTATGGGTTTGAACACTGTTGAGCGGGAGTAATTGTCCCTTTCTTCAATCACAAATAATATTTAAAGATATGAAATAAAAGATAAAATATGTTTTTCACTTGTCAATATAACCATTTTTTTTCAATTATAAGAAAATGGAATTATTAAATTAAATAAAAACTTACCAAATAATCTAAAGAATTGTGATGAATTTCTGGATTTTCTTTGCACTTTTCTTCATTTTACTTAGAAAGAAAAAAAAAAAATTTTAATATAAAATTAACACTTTTTGTTGATGTTTGCTATTATTTGAACGTTAATAACCTTTTTTTTGAGAAAACATGAATAAAAAAAAAAATTATTAGACTTCAGGAATATTTAAACTGTGGGCAACATTTATGAAACTTGAGTACTTGATTTTATGCGACTCTTAGAAACGGAAAACTGTCAAGGAGTTCGAGAAGTAGGGGGGAGAGACGCTTGGTCTATCAAGTTCCGTACAAATGGTACAAATTGAAGGGGGCAAAGGGGGGGCTTGTTTGAAAAATTAGCAGGGGCGAAAAGGAAAAGTATAATTTTTAAATTTTATTATCCCTAATTAAAAAAAAAAAATTATATACTATTTACAAAGCTATTTGGATTTTTGAAAAAATTTCTTCATAATTATAACCTCAAAATACTTTTCTTTTTTTTTCTTTTTCGTTTTTTTAAAACGTAAATTTGATATGGAAATTCCACTTTATTTTTCTAAAGCTAAAACACAAAATGTATAATTATATAATTATTACAATTATACTAATGGAAATTAATTTCATAATTAAACGTTCAAAAATATTGCGAAAATCAGAAAATGACAATTTTATATTCTTTTTTTTATTCTTATTAAGAAAAGGGAGCATTGAAAATTTTCTTTGTTATTAAACAATTTTTTTTCATGGCATAATTTAAAATTTACAAATATTTTACACTATCAAATTAAAAAAAAAAAAAAAAATTTTACCTTTTAAAACATTTTTTTTTTTTTTTGAAAAAATGAAAACAATTTTAAATCCATAAGATTAATAAATTGATACCCTAAAGTAACAAAAAATTTACTGATAGAAAGAAGAAAATTGGAAAGAAAATCTCAAAGTTCATAGCAATATTACTTACTTATATTTTTGCTAAATTTAAAAAAATATTTTATCTATTATTTCATATTTTTAAATACTTATATCAATTCATAATAATATAAAGTCGTTCTGAATATTTTTTTTTTCCGCTAAATTATCTTTTTCAAAAATATTTTTTACAGTAGTTGAAAAAGTGTAATAATTTTCTTCTGCTTTAAATTCATATTTTACAATAAGTGACAAAATTTTTTAACAAAATTCTTTTCATTTTCTAATTTTTTAAATTATTTAAATTTAATTTAAATAATTAATTTTAAAAATTTTGATTAAAATTTTTTTGAAAAATTATTTTAAAGACAACTTTAGTCGAAATGAAATATAATGAAATGACACTAAAAACAATGAAAAAAATCAAAAATTCTTTTTCTCTTTTTTTTACTATTTGCAAAAGCGCGTGCGCTTATAGCATTTACTTTCCAGCTTGGAAAATATTTTTTTTTCCTGATTTGCAACTAACACTGAGTTCACAATTATTATTATTGAAAATGCTTATTAAAAGGCCATTACGAATTTCATTTCTCGCATTGATTATTATAATTTAGCACAAAAAAATTTATTTTTCACCATATATTTAATTTCAAATATACGGTGATAATTAAACATAATGAAAATAATTTTTTAATGACAATTTTCATTAGTGCATTCGAAGAAATAATTAAAATTCTAATATAAAATTCAAAGTTTACTAAACTTTTTATTATAATTTAATTTCAATTAAATTTGCATATCAATTTAAATGTCTAATTAAATTAAACAATTATCCAATTACAATATACAGTTAAATCCAAACAATATCATGTAATTTGAATTTAAAAATTATAATCATCAAAATAAAAAAAAAAAAATTACAATTTACTCGATAATTGTAATAATTAATTGTTCTGGAAAAAAAGTAAAATAGCAAAGAATTAAAAATTACATAAATGTTTTTTCTTTTAACCCTGAAATTCTGACACACCATAAAAAAAAAAGAAAAAAAAACTGCGAGAAATAAATAATCGTTTTGTTGATAGACAACGGTTTCATAAAAAATCGATAACTAGTCTCACTCAGTCCGCAATAATTGAACAAGTGCTACAAAAGTAGATATACAAAAATATCATAGACTGTGGAAAGCATTTTTCTTCACATTTTTTTTTTCCCTTTAAAGCGCAAAAATGCCGTCAGGTATATTATAAACTTTAAATATATTGAATCAATTGTAAAATGACGTAAATTTTCATAAAAAAAAAAGAAAACTGATGCGGAAGGGAAATTTAAATTATAACGGGTTTGCAAAAAAATAAACAAAAAGATAAAAAAAGAAAAGAGCATTCGCTTCTTTTTTTTTCTCTAAAGATCTTATGTATGTGATAAAAATAATAACAGATATTATTAACAAATATAAGAATAATTAACTTATCGAAATTCTCATGAAAATATTACAATTATTCTAATTGTCGTCATTGCCAATTTACGTGTAGAAAAAAAAACAATCGTAGAAAGATAAAATGAAAATATTGTCAAAAAATAAATTCTTTTGTCTGCATATATTAAAATGAAAACAGCAAATTTTCAAAAGCTGATAAATTCAATTTTTCAAAAAAATTGAGATGAAAGTAAATTTAATAATTTAAGGACCTTAAAAATCGCTTTTTCACTGTTAAATTTCAGAAAAAAAAAAATTTATTAACAAATTTTCAATTTAAAAACTTCTTGACATAACCAAGATTACTTATAATTTTTATTTTTTTTTTTTATTAAAAAAATATGCGTCCCGAAAAGTCTATTGTTTCAATTTCTCGAAATAAGAAAATATGGATTTATCAGATTTTGAAAACTTGCTCCTCATTTTAGCAGTGCATTATTTTTTTTCTTTCAACATTAATTAATATTATTTACATATTAATAAAAAAAAAAATAAATTTATAATAAATTAATTAATTTTAATTTTAAAAAATGAATGAATGAATTAATTACGTTAAAAAAAAATAAAATTTAATATAAAAATTAATTTCCTTTTAAATAATTTTCATAATTAATTAATGCTAAATGTCTCAATTTCAAATATATGCTTTTTAGCAGAGACTAAATAATGATTATCGAATCCTTTCAATGACTGTTCGGATTTTTTTTTTCTTTTTTAAATTATTCATTGGCATTGTAGACACTTTAGTTACCGTAATTAAATTCATAATTAATATTATATCAATTTGTATAATATTATTTATAATTCAAAAGGTAGACAAATAAATTATGGTTAAAAAATATATAACCATTTTGACAAATATAATAATAATTTCTGTTATTATCCATTGATTGAATTTCTTCATTTTTTTATCTCCGTAATTAAACTTATAACGTTGTGATAATTTCCTGCATCGCTTTTATTATTATTACTATTATTGTTATTAATATTTATTATATTAATAATCGATAATCGCAGGCACCAGATTAAATGTTCATTTGGAGTTTTGAAAAAACAGTATAATTAATTCAAACGACACTCGCATTATAATATCGCTCTTGCATATTTATAGAATTTCTTTAGTTTCAACAAAAGTATGGTCAAGCATTTTACAAGAGTAAGTCCACATAAAGTTTTTTTTTTTTTTCTTGTTTGTTCCGATGGTTTTCAGCAACTTTCCATACAATCCATTTTTTTTTTTGCTTTTATTATCTTTTCTTTATAATTATTTATTTATCATTTCGTTTCTTCTTTATTTCTTTTTTTTTTTTTTTTTTTTTTTTTTTTAATTTGAACGTTTGTTAAACACATAGTAGCACGTTAAACACCACACTTTGCGCCCCGTACTGAGTCTCTCACGTTTCCCGTTAGCCCTTGTGTAATTCAAGTCAAATTCTTGTTGTTGTTGTTGATGATGATGTTGATTTTGTTGTTGTTCGTAATAATTATGATTATAGATAATATTTACCAAGTTTTTTGCAACGCTAATTATCGTACGGATTAATCGTTTAATTAAATGGAGTAGCGTGGACGTCTTCGGTCCAATCACAACGAATTGAAACCTCTCGTCATTCCGGGAGTTAAGCGAAGGAATAAGTAATAAATTGATAATTAGTCGTAGCATTTTTCCTCGTTGCCATTTATTATTAGCCACAATTTTAAATTTTGATGGAATCTGTTGCTACTGACGAGGACCACCTCTGCCTCTGCCACGATTGTCACGTTCCTAAAAATAAATAAAATAGAAAAGAATTACAAAAAAAAATTGCATTCTTTTTTCTTTTATTATATTGTTTTGTATTCAATTTTACATAAAACTTTTCCTTTTTAATTTACCAGGCCTCCGATTGACTTTAAAGCGTAAAATAAGTCGTTTTATTTGATTTACATTAAAAAAAAAAAAAAAATCGAAAAAGTCAATTTTTTTAATTTAATTAGTTAATAAATATTTTATTCAAAATAACAATACAGAAAAAAAATTATTTCATTCAAATAATCGGTTATTTGTCTATTATTAAATAAATGTTTATTTGTATTAAATACATTATTATTTGAGTTAATTAAATTGGTTTTTGTTTCAAATTGTTTCAAATACAGAAATTATTGGTACAAATAGAATTTGTTTAATTCAAATAAAAAATTATTTGGTTCAAATAAATACCTATTTGATAACAGTCAAGTAACCGATTATTTGAACTATATAAATTTTTTTTTCTGAAAATTATTAATAAGATATTAAATTAATTTTATTGATTACTCAATAAGAATAATTCTATAGGAATATTATCAAGAAAATTTATTTCGAATATTTCAGAAACGAACTAAGACATTAAATTTCAAAAGATTATAAATTGAAATAAATTTTTACAAATTTGAATTGCTGTACATTTTTTTACATTTCTGTGCAACAATTGAAATTTTGAATTCTTTTATTTGAGACATTTTGAAATAATTAAATTTTAAAAAAATATAATTGAATTTTATTGCAGTTGAAATTTTTAGAAATACAAATTGAATTTCAAAATAGTTTGTTAAATTTCAGACAATAATTAAGTTTTACAAAAAATTATTGAAAATAATTTATCACGAAGCTGAAGTACGCAACGTTTATGATAAACGATTTTAAAAAATTAATTTTTTAAAATGAAAAATTCTATAATTTTTCGCCTAAAAAAAAATATTTCTTGTAGTTTTCATTAATTAACAAATTATAAAAAAATATTTTTTAGGCAAAAAATTATAGAATTTTTCATTTTAAAAAATTAATTTGCGTACTTTCAGCTTCGTTAATTTATCAAATAATTTTACACGACTATTTTTAAAAATAATTGAATTTTCAAAGATTTACAATTCAAATTTTTATAGAAATAATTAAATTTCAGAGTTTTCTTTTGGAAATTTTAAAAGTAAACTAAATTTTACAAAAGTTTTAAATTAAAATTTTTAGAAAAACTTCATTGAATTTCCAACGATTTCAAATTGAAATTTATGAAAATTTTAATTGCTGAAATTGTTTTTTCATTTCTGTGAATAAATTGTTAATTTTTGTCGTGCAAATTTTGTGTATTACTCTATATTTGACAGAATTCATAGAGAAAGAAATATTATGTATACAATGATGGAATCGATTTTTTTTTTTTTGTATTTTTCTATGTCTACGTTTAAGATTGCGTTACGTTATAATTATTATTTAACACAAGAAGTATTGATTAAATAATTTGTGAGAGATGCTTGTTGAGAGATGAGCATTAAATGAGAGCAAATGAGAGTACGTTTTAGAGAATTTTCAATTAAAAAATGTTTGTAATAATTAATTTTTTTTTAAGAATTTGATGGAAATTATTAGGTATTAATTATTAAATTTAGTTTTTTGGAATTAATTGAATTTCATGTGATTTTGAATTGAAATTTTTGATAATTTTATATGCTGAATTTTTTTTCTGTTAGAAATTTCAAACAATTATTGAATTTTTTAAAATAATTAATTAATTAATTAATTTTTTGTTAAACATTTGTTAAGTAATTAAATTTTGCAAGAGCTGCATTGTATAAAAAATCATATTTTATCCGAGGCCTGTTTAGGGTAAAATAAAAATTCTTTTTTAAGTAAAAAATTAAAGAAATAGATATTTCATATCCTTTTCTTCACATTTTTATCCTTTAGTAATAAAATCAATATAGAGGAACTCGATAGAGTTTTTTTTCTTATATATATATAGGTTAGTAACAAAAGTAAATTTAGAAAATTAAATATCAAAATTTTATATTAATTTTCAATGACACTGAAGTTACCAACGTTGAATCGACGAAAAGAATTTTTTTTTCCTCAGATTGAATATTTCCCCGCCTTGGTTAAGGATTTTTAGTGTTTAAGGATGTATTGGGGACCAAAATAAAGAAGTTTAAATTTAAAAAAATTGGTTCTTGGCCTTTAAACTAAACTGAAAACGAAAAATTCGTTCGTTGATTCGTCGAATCAACGTTGGTAACTTCAGCGTCATAATTTTCATGGCACATGATAATCCTACAAAAATCATTAGTAATTTTTCATTTTAAAGAATTTTTTATTAGATATAATTATTTTTTCAAAGAATTTTCATTTTTCGAATTAGCATTTGACAGAATTACTTATTTCAAACGTATTTTTACTTAGCAGAATTTTTTGGATATCGAATTCTTGTTTTATAAAATTTTTTTCTCTATCCCAATTTTTTATTTAAAAGAATTCGAATTTAACAGAATTTTTATTTATCATAATTCTCATTCATCGGAATTTTATATGATTTCTAGAATTTACAAATTTGAATCGCATAAAATTCTATTAAATGAGAATTCTGCTAAATTAAAAAAATTCTTTTAAATAAAAAGTTTGGTAAAAAGAAATTTCGTATAAAATAAAAATTCTGCCAAATCAAAATTCGGTACCTAAAAATTTTATTTAAGTAAAAATTTGTTTAAAAAAAAAATTCTATCAAATGCTAATTCGAAAAATAAAAATTCGTTTAAAAAATAATTATATCTAATAAAATTCTTAAAAATGGTAATTCTAACTAATGATTTTTTTGAGATAATCATTTGCCTCTAATTTTTATGAAGAAAAAAAGAAAAAAAAATAGTTTTCGATAAAAATGCATTATTATTGGATAAGCAATTTGAATTGACCTTGAAATTGAATTGAGAATGATTCGAAGAGTCACTTAATTTCATTTAATTCTAATCTCGCTGTAGGAGACTCCATATATATATATATAGAGTGGTAAACAGTAAATGAAATAGGTTTATGATTATTATACATAAATGTAGAAATAAGAAACATTATCATTGTCTTCAATTTTGAAGAATAGAATTGTTATTAATCAGTCCGGAAAAAATAATACTCAAACCTACAAAATGTGATTAGATATTAAAAAAAAAAAATTATAACATACATCCAGAGAAAAGATAATATATTTGTCTCAGAGCCAAATAAATATGTATTTGCGTGACAAATAAATTTTATTTGTGCTAAATTAAATTTTTTTGTAAAAATGATCAGATTTAAATAAATTATGGTTTATTTACTTCAGAAAATATTTCTTAACATTATCATCGTTGCGATTTTTAAACAAGTACACTGTTTTTTAAAAACGGTTATTTGTTTAATAATTAATTTTCACTTTTATTAAACAAATAACCATATTTAAAAAACGATGAATTTTTTTTAAATTCTAGCGATGACAATGTTAAGAAATATAAATATAAATAAATAATTTTTGTAAGTTTTAAATTTTTGTTTTTGAAAATTGGTATCTTGTTTTTTTTTGACGAATATTAATAAAAATATTTTACAATATTTCAAATCCTCTGAAATTCAATTAAATTCTAAAAATCTTAATAGAAACTAATCGAAAATTTAAGTATTTCTAAAATTTTATCTAAAATTCTTCGTTAAATCAATAATTTTAATAGTTTTTCAAAAATTTAATTATTTAAAAAAATTTTTAATAAAAAATTTTCTAAAATTCTAATATTATTGTTTAATTTTTATTTAAAATATCAGAAGTATATGAATTTACAAAAAATTGCAATTTAAAATCGCCTGAAATTCAATTATTTCTAAAAATATAACCTGTTAATCTTGAAAAATTTAATTATTTTGATACAAATGAAAATTTGGCGTCTTAAAAATTCTATCAATTAAAAATTCGGAAAATTAAAATTCGATGAATTGGAATTTCTGTCATTTAAAAATTCAAAATGACATAAAATTCTGTTTAACTAAAATTCGATTAAATTAAAGTCCCCTTTAAATAAAATGTTATGTAAATGAAATAAAAATTCAGTCAAATGAAAAATTTGGAAGCTAAAAATTTGTATGAATAGAAATTCTGTCAAGTGCTAATTCGAACAGATTCGAAAAATGAAAATTAGTCGAAAAAATAATTATTTCCAATAAAATTCTTTAAAATGAAAATTCTAATTAATGATTTTTATGGGATAATAATGCGCTCCCTAAAATTGTATTTCCGCGATATTGAATTTTCTTCAAATATATAAGTTTTTAAAAATAAATTTTTTTTTTTATAAAATATTAATAATTTGGATACAGAACAGCGATTCTTTGTTACTAATTTTGAGCTCTCCACAAAATTTTAGCTAAATCTATGAAATATTTTTTGAAAAAAAAATTGGGACGCATGAATATGTTTTAAAAATTATTGGTTAGAATTTTCATTTTATGGAATTTCATTTGTCATACTATTATTTTTGAACCGAATTTTTATTTATTCGAATTTTTATTTGTCAGAATTTTTATTTGCTCGAATTTTCATTTTATATAATAGGCATTTTAAAGAATTTTTATTGGATAGAATTTCATTGTATAGAATTTTCATTTTATTCTTTCAGATGAATTTTCATTTGTTCGAATTATTATTTGATATAATTTCCATATAACCGATTTTTCATACTACAGAATTTTTCCTGAACCGAAAAATCATTTAACAGAATTTCTAATTGATAGATTTTTCATTTGTCCGAAATTGCAAATAGCAGAAACAACAATCGATTTTGGCGCGATTTTTAAAATCAACTAATCACAATTTTATGGATAATTTTTGATTGGTTGATTTTAAAAATCGCGCCGAAATCATTTTGTCGATTGATTGTTCGGCCATTTGCAAATTCGGACAAATGAAAATTCTATCAATTAGAAATTCTGTTAAATGATTTTTCAGTTCAGGAAAAATTCTGTAGTATGAAAAATCGGTTATATGGAAATTATATCAAACAATAATTCGAACAAATGAAAATTCATCTGATAGAAAATTCTATGCAATGAAATTCTATCTAATAAAAATTCTTTAAAATGCTTATTATGTTAAATGAAAATTCAAGCAAATAAAAATTTGAACAAATAAAAATTCTGTGAAGTGAATTTTTGGTTATATAAAAATTGTGTAATACAGAAAATCATTTTGATAAATATTCTGCAAAATACTAATTCAAACAAATATAAATTCGGCTCAAAAATAATAATGACAAATAAAATTCCATAAAATGAAAATTCTAACTAATGATTTTTAGAATATATTCATGCCGCCTAAAAAATTTACATATGTGAAATCACAACCTTAATAAAGTCGAAAAAAATGTCCTAAAAGAAAATTTCACTGTTACCTCCCCGTACTCAGACAGCACGTAAACTTGCAGCAACCTTGCTGAATATCCCATAAAAATCATTAGCTAGAATTTTCATTTGTAAGAATTTTATTTGACAGAATTTCTTTTTAAACAAATTTTAATTTTTCGAATTAATATTTGAGTTACTTACGTTGTAAATGAAATTTTATTTAAAATAATTTTTAGGTATCGAATTTTAATTTAACATAATTTAATTTTAACGAATTTCTTTGTATCCACCTTTTATTGAAAAGTATTATAATTTTACTCAATTTTAATTTATCAGAATTCTCGTTTAACAGAATTTTAGTTATATTCGAATTTTTTAACGTCAAAATTATACAATTCGAATCACTAAAATTCTGCTGAATGCGAATTTTGATAAAATAAAATTGGTTTAAATTGTAATTCTATAAAATAAAAAAATTTGGTAAAATAAAAATTATATTAAATTAAAATTCGATACCTAAAAACGATGTTAAATAAATTTTCGTTTACAAAGAAAGTAATTCAAATACTAATTTGAAGAATAAAAATTATTCTAATTAGAAATTCTATCAAATGAAATTAATACAAATGAAAATTTTAGCTTATGATTTTTATGAGATAATCATGCGCCCCCAAGCTTGCCGCGAAATATTTCCAACCTTGCACGGCAAACTTGCCGCAAGCTTAGTGTAAGCTTCAAATGTCCCACCCAACCGAAAGCTTACATGGTAAGCTTGCCGAAAGATGGCAGTGTAAGGTTACTGCAAGATTGAAAAATAAGATTATCGCAAGATTGCATGGTAAGCTTACCGAAAGATTGCAGTGTAAGATTACTGCAAGATTGCAGAGTAAGATTATCGCAAGCTTACTGAGCAATCTTGCGATAATATTATTGTGCAATCTTGCAGTAATCTTACTCTGCAATCTTTTGGTATCCTTACCATGCAAGCTTGGGTCAGGTGGGACATTTGAAGCTTGCAGTAAGATTGCGGCAAAGTTGTTGCAAGCTACGTGCTATCTGGGTAGAGGGAAAGTAGAAACATACTTACTTTCCGATGATCACGTTGATCGCGCATATCACGATGATCTCGCTGATCACGAGGATGTGGATGATCACGTTGATCGCGATGATCACGTTGATCACGTGAATGGAGATGATCCCGTTGATCTCGATGTTCACGTGAATGAGGATTATGATCGCGTTGATCACGTTGATCTCTTTGATCGCGTGGATGATGTTGATGATGATGATGCTGTTGCTGCTGATGTTGTTGCTGCTGTTGATGATGTGAATGTCCATGCTGATGATATTGATGATGTTCACGTGACATATCATTTGAATGTCCACCACGATTTCGATGATTCGCCGATGGATGATGATGATGATGATGCTGTTGTTGTTGTTGTTGTTGTTGTTGTGATGCCGACGATGATGACGATGATGATATCGCATTAACTGGCACTTTACGTTGATCCTCTTCAGCTTGTCTACGTTCATAATGACCAAAATCATCAAAAATGCTAGTTGAATGACGATAGGTATGCAAAATACGTAAAACATGAACGCCCTTTGCATGTGGTACCTCTTGTGCGTCCCTTGAATTAGTCACTTGTTTATTTTCATTATTCTCTAGCCTAATATGACGCAATTGTCCATTTGGTACGTCTTTCACATAAATCCAACGCACACGAAATTGTCCCTTCCATTTGTCCTGCGACCATACTGAACTATTACTTTGATAATCAACTGACGAGACCATTTGTGCCATACCACAAAAATGACCCGAACCATTAACCGAAAAGAATAAATAAAGTGGTGCACCCTCGCGATTTGCTTCTCTGAATGCTTGATCCAATCGTTTATTACCATGCTCGGTACTACACCAAATTTCATATTTTATCGATCTGTGAATATCGTCCTCGGAATATGATTTAATAACAAAAAATCTTGAACCTGGAGCTATTTCCTCGAGTTCTATTGGATTGTATTCATTTTTTACTTTTAGTTCATCGAGAACGGGATTTGCGATTTGATTGATTTGCGGTTGTTGCTGCTGCTGTTGTTGTTGTTGTTGTTGTTGTTGCTGCTGTTGTTGTTGTTGAGGTTGATGATGAGAATGTTGTTGAGGAGGTACAGCAGGAGGAAGAGGAGGTGGCTGATGATGCTGTAGTTGCGGTGCCATTTGATTTTGCGGCGGTGGAGGACTCGTGGGCTGTCGATTCCAAACAGGTTGGGCAGTGGGATGATGGGGTCTTTGTCTTTGAACAGGTGGCTGTGGCGATGGCAGTGGAGGTTGCACTTGCGGTGGAGGTGGTGCCTTTGGTGGTGGCATGGAAGATTTCCCCTCACCCCATGTGCCAATGTCCATATTATGTTTACCGGGTACAATTGGCGGTGGTGGCATTCCGGCCTTTTTCTTCATTCCCTGCGTTGACGACAGTGGTGGCACTGGCTTGGCTGGTTGACTCGCGACACTTGCCCATGTAATTTTTCTCGGTTCCTTGGGCTCTGATTTTTGTTGATTCGCAACAATTGACTGCTGCTGCTGCTGCTGTTGTTGTTGTTCTTGACGTTGTGGAATTTCATTTATTGTTAAACCCTGAACACTTTGTTCGATTCCTTTCATCTCACCTCCGCTCGTAGTTTGATACTGATTTTCACTAGCGCGCGACTGCTGTTGATAATAGTCTTCGTAGCGCGCCTTTCTCGGTGTACCCCATGCATTAAAATCGCCATTGCCGTGAAAATAATTAAATGTCGGCTGACCGAATGTTCCAAAACCACCGCCAGCATTGGCTGAAAACATTCCATCCATTCCATAGGCATCGTGACTTATTTGACCTCCATAGCCAGAGAGAAATGCAACTGGATCAGTGCCATTTGACCATGTCCCATCGCCGGCGCCAAATGTTTGATAGGGAAACGATGTTCCTGCATAATATGACGTGTAGGGATCGCCTGTGCCAATTGGATAGCTCGAGTGATGTTGTGTATTGTTACCACCTCGCCATGAATCAAATCCAGTATCTTCTGCGCCCCCATGTTCTCCTTGTTGTTGCTGTTGTTGTTGCTGCTGCTGCTGACGATGCTCCTTGGGACCATTACTTACTGCAGCAAACAAAAAAATCATACCTCGTCATTTTAACATCTGTTAAATACTTCCTGACTTCAGTAAAATTCACAATATGTTTATTGATCTCTATTATGAAAGTCTACAACGTTTTATGAGTCAAAAGTTTCAGATGAAGGACATTTTTTTTGCAACTTCTTTAAGTACGGATTTTAGGGGAGCACACTGAAAAAAAATTCTGGTTATTCTAACTAGAATTCTGGTTAGGGTATATTTAACATTGTGATTCTGATTAGGCTAACCAGAATTCTGGTTATCTTAACAAGAATTCTAGTTAATGCAACTAGAATTCTGGTTAACTTAACTAGAAAGTAATGTTAAAAATAGCCTAACCAGAATTTTTTTTCAGTGGCATAATTATCTCACAAAAATCATTAGTTGAAATTTTCGAATTTTTCGCAACACTAACCTCTAAAGTTAAATTTTACACACCGAAAATTGTGTGTAAAGTGATTTACTTTACATACTGAAATTGACTTTATGCACCGAAATTTTTCTTACATAATATAAGGATTGTTTTAGACCATACAAAACCATAAAATTAAAAAAAGAACTTTACTTTTAAATTTATACACTCCTGCTTAATGATATTTTTCCTGATCTTCGTTTGATTTATTCAATTCTATACAATCGAAATTATTCTAATAGAGAGTTGAAACTCTTCATAATAGGTACTTAACTTTAGAGGTGGGTGTTGCAAAAAATGTTGTATGATACACGTGCGTAAATCTGATTATACGCACTTGTATCATAAATAACTATTATTAGATATATTTAATTTTTAGAAGAATTCTTATTTTTCGAATTTACATTTGACAGAATTTCACTTTAAACAAACTTACAAACCTGAAGTACGCAACTTTTATGATAAACAATTTTTAAAGAAACCATTTTTTAAAATGAAAAATTCTATAATTTTTCGCCTAAAAAATATTTCTTGTAGTTTTTATTAATCAAGAAATTATAAAAAAAAATTTTAGGCAAAAAATTGTAGATTTTTTCATTTTAAAAAATTATTTCTTTAAAAATCGTTTATCATAAACGTTGCGTACTTCAGCTTCGGACAAACTTTTACGTACATAATTCTTAAAACACCGAATTTTTATTTGTTCGAAATTGCAAATGACTGAACAAACAATTGACAGAAAGATTTTGGCGCAACATATTTAAAATTCACTAATCAAAAGTTATCAAGAAAATCGTGATTTGTGGCGATTTAAAAATCGTGCCGAAATTTTTCTGTCGATTGTTTGTTCGGCCATTTACAAATAGAAATTCTTCGTTCTTTAAGAATTCTACCATTTAAAAATTCGTTGTCTAAAAATTTTGTTAATTAAAAATTCTTTAAAAAAAAAAATCTGACAAATATTAATTCGAAAAATGAAAATTCGTCTTAAAAATAATTATATCTAATAAAATTGTTGAAAATGAAAATTCTAACTAATGATTTTTATGGGATAATCATGCGTGCTCGAATTTTATTACAAAATATTGTTTTAAATATCTCAAAAGAAGTTATTAATTTAATAATTATTTAATTTACTGTTTTATTTTACATGGCCATCACAATTTTTAAAAATTTATAGAATAAAAAAAAATATTTCGTTTCTTTTGAAGGTTCAGAACTTTTATCTCATAATGTTTTTATTATACGAAAACAAAAAAAAAAAATTTACTAACTTTGGCTTAAAATTAAAGTTATTCGAAGATAACTGGCTTCTATAAAAATATTTATCTCTTGAAAATTTGTGCAAATCAAAATGAACGAATTAATTTTTTTTGGCCTATAAATTTTATTAAAATTACTACAGCAATAGAAAATTAATAGAAAAAATTTTGTCTTTTCTTCTAAATTCTAAAAAAAATTTTTTTTGTTTAAATTATGAAATATTTTTTTTTTTTTCTAAAGTTCTGAACTTTCAAACAAAACAAAATCATTTTTTGGGTGAATAATATTTTTTAAAAATTACTGCAGTGAAAAAAAAATTTATTTGTTTCAAATAATCGGTTAATTGACTAAATAAATATTTATTTTAACCAAATAATTTTTTTTTGGTTAAGTAGAATCTTTGGAAACAATATTTTATAAAATTCCCTGATTTTTTCTAGGTTTTCCCTGACTGAATAAAATTCCCTATGACAATATCAGATTTTCCCTGACCTGATTATTTTTTAGAAAGGAAAATTAAAATATTTTTTATATGTATATAGAAAAATTGTTTTTTTTTTTGTAATTTTTTGATCAATAAACAATTGCAAGAAATATTTTGGAAAATTCATAGAATTTTTCATTCAAAAAAAAAAAAATATATATTTTATTAAAAATCGTTGATTTTTTTTTCAAACATCGGAAAATCTAGAAAAAATCAGGGATTTTTATTTTTAAAAAAATTCCCTGATTTTTCCTAAATTTTCCTGACCAATTTCATTATTCCTTAGTTATCTCAGAATTCTCTGAATTACTGGAAAAAAAACATAAATAAAATTAAATAATTAAATACAATAATATACAAAATAAGAAATTTTTTTTATTGACAGTAAAAAAAAGATGGTTTTTTTTTGTTTGTTAAATGAACGTTATTGATTTTAGAAGTTTAAAAAAAAATCATTTGTCCTCGGTAAAATATAAACTAACATATAAAAAAAAAATATAAATATGTATACAAAAAATAATTTTGATGCTCTAAAAAAAATTTTTTTTTTTTGCACCTTTCTAAGTGACATAAAAAACAAACTAATGAAAAATGATATACGGCATGTTAATTCAAGTGAATATGCTTATGAGGGTGTGCTTTATCTTCTTCTAAGAAAACAATTTACTCGTCATTGTATAGAGTGATTAAATTTCTTATTGACAAAATACCCATCGAATTCTAAAAGAACAATAAACTATAAACAATTTTTTGTCTATTACAATCATTTGCATTACATTTCTTTTTTCTATTATAATTATTTGCATTATATTTTTTTTTTTTTGCCTAGTGTAAAAAAAATTTTTTCTCATTTTTGATATTTATCGATATTTACAATTTATTGTAATAATTAATATTATTATTGTTATTATTACTATTATTAATATTATGATTATTATTATTATTTAACATAAGTATCAATTTAGGTAATAATAATTATTAATAAATAATTGTATAAAACAGTTATCTTGATATAAGTATAGTTAAATAGAGAAACATGTTAGAGTAAAGTATAATTTGATGTGAAAGTGCTTTCATGTACTACTAGTTAAAAGAGACTTGTGGAAAGTTTGCAAAATGACCCAGAAAATCTATTTGATTGTACCTATTATTTTTTATGTAGAATTTTTTTTTTTTTTTGAAAAAATAGTTAAAAAGAAATAATAAAATTAGCTATTAAATTAACGTCAGTAACATTAAAAAAAAATAAATTATTAAAAAAAAAAATACAATTTTTAAATTAAATATTTTGTATATTAATATTATTATAAAACTTCTTTCTAGAGATATGTTTAATAAATACAAGAATATTATTTTCACATTGTTTAAAACAAGTTTAACAGCTAATTACAACGAAAACTGTTTAAACTAATTATGAGTCTTATGAAAATCGAGCTTGTAATGCAAATAACAATAGACAAGTTACATTTCTTAACAATATAAATTTTGTTATTCATTTTTTTTAAAGTTAAACAATAGCTTAGTCAAAAAAAAGAAGAGTAAGGAATTTTTGTAAAATGATTTATCAGCAAAATAAAGGTAAAATTGTGTATCAGTTAATTATATATATATATATATATATATATATATATATATACATATATGTCCGTATATTGTATTCACTTTATCAAAATATGATAAAAAAAAAGAAGTATCGCTAGTAACTTTAGCGCGACAAGAAGGGATATTTTCGATGTAATTATTATTTATTCTAATAATCAAATAGAAAATAATAATTGATAAAATGAAATTTTGACAAATAAATGCATAGTTATCACACTTACCCTGACTGTTAGTTTGTCCTTTCATCCGCTGCATTCCGTAGCATGGAAAAACAGACAAAATTTAGAATGGCTGTCCCCAGTGAATGGTTTCTGCCGGATAATGAGGATGTTGGTAGAAACGAATGAAGACAGGACTGACCTGATCTGAGACAGCACCTGATAATCCAGTTGACATAACCTGTCGTACGGTCCGTCAGAGCCGTACGTCGAAACACCGCCAATTCCCAACTATATATTCACAAAACACCCAATGCACAAAAGTATATATTCTATCGAGGAAGCGTTTTTCGCCGACGGCGGCGCACGTACACGTTTAATACAGAAAATAAAAACTTCTCTTTTTTTTATTGAAAATTAGTCTATTGTTCTTATAATGTTTTAACGTTAGAATATCACTTGAATTCCTCGTTGTACACGTCAAATCGACAGAATTCACAGTATTCTCACAATTTTTTATATAGCAACAAAGATAATAATTTTGTATGACGTGACCTCCCATCAATAGCCCATATAAACTGTCAGGATAGCCAATATTATAAATTGAATATTAAAAATCACGACACGACAATCACTCACGTGATTGGAGGAACATTGTTGTTCTTATAGAATTCTATTTTACCGATAGAGAACCGCGAAATTTAAAATACAAATATTTTTTATTAATAATAATATTTCATATAAATTTAAACTATTTATTTCTACGCAAGGAATATGTAAAACAAACAAATTAATTTAGATTAAATTTATTTTATTTATTGCAGATCAACTATAATACAAAAAACAGGGGTCGGTTGAATTTTTGAAAATGCACATTTTCAATACAAAATGAATTAGCAATTTACATTACATAATTATAATTAAAAATTAATCAAAAATCTGAAATATTTATCTAATTTGTCCAAAATATAATTCTTCTTTCGAGAATTACACGGAATGTTTAAAAACATTTTTTTTTTAAATTATGCAAAAAAAAGAGTTATTATTTTTTTCAGTTTTCATTGTAGAAATTAAATTTTTTAAACAGAAAAAAATTTCTTTTTATCAAATATTTAAAACGAACACTTTTTTGTGCGTTCATGTGAAAAAACAGAAAAATTCAACTGAAAAAAAAATACATTTCTCAAGAATAATATAAAATTGAGAAATTCTTATTAAATAATAATAGACATCAACTTCGTTTATTTCGCTTACGATAAATTCATTAATATATATATATATATATATATATATATATATATATATATATATATATATATATGGCAAATAAAAAATTAAATATATAGTCGACCTAAAAATAAAGAATTGATCAACCCCTAAATTTTTGTTCATTTTACACATCACAATAATTTTAATTCTATTTTCTAATTTATTTTTTTAAACATTTTTTTTTCTCAATGACTAGTTTGTGCTAAAAATACCAAACAATCTTTTTTTTTTTTATTTTAGAATCGCAGACAATTAATTCTTATTTAAAGGAGTTGTCGGATAAATTACAAAATTTATATTTTCACAATAATTATAATTTCGAAGTTTTGTAATTTAAAAATTACAGAATTTCAAATGCAGTTAATAATTACAAATGCATTTCAAAGTAAATAATATACAAATTATTAAATTTCCTCCCTTCTTCAAAAAAGAGATAAATAAATAAAAATAGAAAAATTGTAATTTTTAACAAACATTTGAAAATAGACAAAATTTTCTTCTTTAACAAAAAAACTGTTTCAAACACTTTCAAAAAAAAAAATCACTGTTTTTTACTTTAAAAAGTATAAACTTATTTAAAAAAATTAATTTATGCTGAATTATTCATTTTTACAAGTTATTATGCAATATTTATTGAAACATATTTTCTTTTTAAATCTATTCTGCAGAAAAAATATTTTTATAAAGTTATTTGATCTATACCCGTAATTAATTTTTATTGTATACTGAAGCTATAAAAATTGTATATTAAATATTCAATTTTTATTCCTTCAAAAAAAAATTTTTTTATTTTTTTGAGGGAAAAATATTCAAATTTCTTAAAAATAAGAATTATATATCTCACGACAACTCCAAATGACGAAAAAAAATTTAAATTATCAATCCAGTTTTATAAGTCTTATTTCTATATTCTAAGTTTACATTATTCGTTAACCACATTTTTTTTTTTTTTTTTTTTTTGGTTTTAAAAGCAGAATGCTCTTTCTTTTTTCAAAATACAATTTCTATACACAAGTTTGCAATTTATTTTTTATTAATATATGGAATTAAAGATTCCCTGCAAAATCGATATGCTATATATGTCAATGGACATAATTTAGAAACTCTTAACTGAAAATTAAAAATTTATAATTCTTATAATTATTATTTGAAAAATTAAGAAACTAAATATTTAATAGAGAAACTCTTAAAATGTACATACATATAGGGATAAAAGTCATTGACTCCAATGGATCATTAAAATTTTAATTTTAAAAAAATTTTGACTACTTTTTTTGTATTTGTACAAAATTTGTAGACTTTTTTTTTAAAAAAATAATAATACGTTCTATTGAGAGTTTACCATGATTAAATATAAAAAAAATTCAAATTTTTCGAATTTGGAAATACCAAACAATTATTTCAATAATAATATTTATACATTTTATAAATAAACTTATTTTGCCTGAAATAAAATTTTAAAATGTTGCAAAATGTATACAAATTAATAAAAACGATTTTTTTCGTTTTTACTTTTAGAAATAATAATTTTTTAATGTAGGTGAATTACGTAAATCTCATTTATATTTAAAGTTTGGTAGAGTTTTTTAAAATAATTTTTCAGATAGTTGAAATGATCCATTATAGTCCACCTTTCCTTTATATAAGTATAATAGAAGCATACAAATTAATTATAAAACTATTTTCTGATATTTTATATATAATAATATGTTTAATTGAAAAAAAACTCCAATTTTTTTCAAACTAAATCATTGAAAATATGGGGGAAAAAATAGAAAATAATATGACTAAATAAAATGATCTAAATATATGTGAAATATTCAGGGTGGCCATTATATATTTTTCACTGTTTTTTATTTTGTCCTTTTTTTGTTATTAAAATTCTGATTCAAATAATTTTAAGGCTCAAAATTTTATTTCATGTCAAAAATTGTCGATTTTTTTTTTAAAATATTGTTTATTGAGAAAAATATTATTTTATTCATATTTCTTTTTAAAAAAATTTATTTTCGCATAATTATTGATAAAATTGTTCTTGTCAAAAAATTTTCTAAATTATAGATCAAAAATCTAGTTTTGATTTAAAAAAAAAAAAGAAAAATGGAAGATTTTTTAATATTCAAATTTTAAGAACGAAAAAAAATACAATTTTTTTTTTTTTTTTTTAAGGCATAAATAAATTTACACTATTTTCCCAGTTTTCATGGCCACCATGTTAAAATAATATTCCATTTAATGAAAGTTAAAGGTTTCTGAATTTTGCACACGAACAATAAATTTGATATATAATTATTATAGGATCTTATTCGTTAACATTCGTTTTACGTGAATTATTTGTGTATTAATTACAGTATTGCTACGCGATTTCTACATTTCGAAATTATTAAAACTTCGAAAATGGTTTTTCAGGCCACTTTTTTTTTTTTTTTTTTTTTTTTGAAAAAAAAATCCATGACAAAATACTAGATCTGTTATTGTTTACTAAACGAAATTAATTTCTCCTAAATGAAAAAAAAACAAGTTCTACTCTTCCCAAAAGAATATTATTTAAAATTAATGAAATTAATTTAAATAAATAAAAAAAAATGGTTGAAAGCGTATATCAATTCTGTAACTAAAGTGCGAAAATACTTTCACTTTTAATGCATTTGATAATTACAATATATATTATGTTAAAAGTTATACTTTTTTTCCTCTATAATTTTTTTTTTTTTTCGTAGTGAAACATTTATTTCTAATTTATAGATACTAGAATCTAATTATTGATGAATCTATTTACTGGTCTTTTATCGAAGATTATTATTATTTTGTTTTCTTTGTTACGTTTTTTTTTTAAGGCCCCTCTGCTCGCACAATTCAATAAAATTTACGTCATCGTCTTTCAAAACGGAACGTTAACGAAATATATTATAATTCCTACACAATAACGACATTATTTGTACTATACGTGTGTAAGATATCTGCTCTCAAAAAAATTGCAGAGTTAGTAACAATACTGCAAACATTAATTTTGCAGTGAAATCGGCAAACATTTTCAAGAAAAAAAAAAAAATTAACTGAATGCCGAGAGAAAAATATATTTTTACATATATATTATGTCAAAAATCGACAAGCCCAGCAATATTTTATATATGTATATATATTTGGGTAATTAAAAAGTCGTTTTTGGTATCTACAAATGTTGACTTAATGATGGAATTTAAAGTTTTTTTTTAAGTTAACAAACACGAATTAATTGTTTAATTAAAAAAAATTTTTTTAATAATAAATTTAAATTAAATTTAAAATTGTTTAAATTTTTTTTTAATTTTGTTTTTTTTTAAGTTTTATAATAAATTGTTTTAAAGAGCAAGATGACATTTAAGAAAATTAGGGGACAATTGTTTTTTTTAAATGATGAAAATTACATGAATATATGAATAAAAAATTCTGTGTCAAAAATTTCATTAACATAAAAAAAGGAATTAAAAATTTACCAAACTGGAGAAAAAAATAATTATAATAATTGATGGGACACATTTTTTCGTTTTAAGAAAGAAGAATTATATTTTTTAATTAAAATTTTGAATTTAAGTAGAACAAGTGATTATGAAAATTGACTAAAAAAAAAAAAAGATATTTTAATTAATATTCTAGTTTTTTTTTGGCAGGATTCAAAAACGATATTTTAAATTTTAATCACCCACCTATATATATTTTATTTCTGTCGAAAATTTTATTGCACCCAGTAAATGAACTTTGATTTACTGTCAAATTTCTATTTTCCTCTTCACTTCAAATACTGATCTATCCATACAGTAAGTGAACATTGATTCACTTTATTAAATTCCTCATCATTTCATCTTCATGATAATTGTCCAATTGGTGCATTTTGCAACCATAAATCATGAATAAAGTGGTACAATTTATCACTTACGGCTACCTGAAAATTGAGAAAAGAAAAACAAAACATTACAATGGTTAGTATTCTATTGGAAATCAATGAATTTTTTTTTTGAAAAATTCAAATTCACTTACTTTATAAGGTGTTGGATTTAAACTCCTCTTATGATCACTGCGTAAAGTTTTTAATGATTCTTGTACTCTTTGTCGTGTTTCTTGTAAAGTTGGCAAAGGTCGACACAATTTACCATCCTTCCAGTATAACTTAAAATTTTTTTTTTTTTTTAATTTAATGAGTAAAATCTTTCTATTAAAATATTTGACCATGCCCAGGTTTCGAAATGACACACATTTTACTTTTTTGATACTTTTTTTTCGATAAGGCTACTTTTTTCAAAAAATAATTTTAAAAATAACAGAATTCAAAAATTTTTAACTTTAGCGAATTTTTTCATTCCTAAAAGCTCGACAAGTTGATGATTTATTATTGTCCGCGTGAACTACTGCTTTATATAATTATTTTTTTCACGAATTTTCATTTTTCAAAATAGCATTTAACATAATTTCTTTTTAAACGACCTTTTTACTCAATAGAATTTTTTATTTGGCAATTTTTTTTTGACAGAATTTTTATTTTACAAAATTTCTCTTTACCCAATTGTTTTTTTTTTTTTTTTAATAATTCTAATTTAACCGAAATTCAGACAATAATTGAATTTTAGAGTATTTTGAATTGAAAAAAGTTTTTAATAATTGAAATGCCAAGATTTTAATTAAAGTTATACTAATTATTTCAACAAAAAATTTGAATCAAAATTTTTAATAATAATTGAATTTCAGGAGATTTTGAATTAAAATTTTAATAAATTAGAATTGCTGAAAATTATTAACAAATTTTCAAACAGTAATTGGATTTTAGAAAATTTTTTATTAAAAAATGTTTTATTTAATTGAATTTTTGAATAATTGTATTGAAATTATTAATTTAGCAAATAATTTTAGATACTAATTTTAGAAATAATTGAATTTTGCAAGAATTCGAGTCAAAATTTTGAGAAATAATTGAATTTTTTGGAGATTTTTAATTAATATTGTTGTTTTAAAATACTAAATATTTTATATATGCTTCCAATTCCAAGTTCTAGAATTTAAAAATTCGAATTACTTAAAATTCTACTGAATGAGAATTCTAATAAATTAAAAATAGATTAAATTAGAATTCTTTTCAAGAAACAGTTGGGTAAAGAGAAATTTTATAAAATAAAAATTCTGTCAAAAAAAATTCGGTACTTTAAAAATTCTGTTGAGTAAACATTCGTTTAAAAAAATTCTGTTTTAAATGCTATTTTGTAAAATAAAAATTTATGTGAAAAATCAGTTTTATGGAATAATACGTTCCGATCGTTGTGCCAAAAACAAAAAGTTAATCGAAATTTAACAATAGATCGTTTTTTTTTAATAATTAGGAGAAAAATGATATTAATTTTATTCCTCAGAATTTTTCTTTCAATTTTTTTAGACAAGAAAATATTTTCATTTTAACGTCAAACTTCGAAAACTAATTTTACTTCATTTTAAAGATGCAACTTTTTTCATACTTTTTTCAATTTTGGGAATCCTTTTTTTTAAAACAAAAAATGATACTTTTCCATACTTTTCTTAGTCTTTTACTACGCTTCGAAGCCTGATATTTGAAAAAATAAAATTTCTAAAACACTTACTTTGTGTAGAACTTCAACTCTTGTTGGAGTAACATATGCTCTCTTTGACTCTTGAAAAGGATGTCGACAAAGGACCTTTTGTCCAACTTGTGGCGTATCCTCGTCATACCTTTGAAGTAAATCCACAAGTGCATGACCATCAGCACCATATAAACGAAAAGCATTCTTTCTACCTGGCATTGTAACCTTATCAACTTCCTGACTGAGTTTTATTCTCGGCAATTTATTAATTTCCACCATTTTATAGACACAACCAAGAGCTGGTTGTCGTTGGCATGTCACTAAATGTGTTCCAATTCCAAAGCTGTTAATTTTGTGATTCTATAAATATCAAATTTTAATGAATAAATGTTTTCAAATATACAATTACAAACATAGAAATATAAACTAAAAATAAATTAAAAACAAGATTTTTTAAACTTTTAATAAAATAAAATTAAAATGAAAGAGACAAATTTGAAATGCAAGAATAAGTAAAGTATAACAAAAAAAAAATATATTTTATGCAAATTATTATTTTTGATTTAAATAATTTTTGAAAAAAAAATTTAGGCAAAAAATTAGTTATTTTTTTTTAATCGTTGTCAACTTCAACGACGTGATTTTAAAGTACATTTTTCAGTGTGAAAATAAAAGAAAAAAATTATCAAATTATTAAAAAGAAATTAAATGTAAGAAAAAAAGAGAAAAAAAATTGCATAGAAAAAGAAAAAAAAAGAGAATGAAATTAAATAGAAAAAAAAATGTAAATAGAAAATAAACGAAAAATAAAATAAAAATTTCAATTATATGTTTGAAAAAAAGTTCACCTGTTCATTTAGGCTAATTATAGTTTCTTCATTGATATCATTTGATGCGACAATTGTCATTTGTGCAAACCAGGGAATATTGTATTTTTCGGCAATTTTTTCAAACGATTCCCTAGCTTCTTGACTGAGATATGCAAGATCACCGCTGTCAATTCTTATTCCAATTGCCCTGTAGCCCAAATCATTTAAAGCAAGTGCCACCGCGCAGAAATTGAGAAGACCACTTCTGGAAGCAATTTATTAATAAATCATTGATGTTCAGCACTAGAATCGAAAAATGATAAATTAAATTTTTTTTCAAATTATTCCTTAAAACTAGATTATAAATTAATGAGAAGAAAGTGAAACAGCAAAATAGAAAAAAAAGATGTGCGATTATATTTAATATTTACCAAAAATCCTTTTGCAAAATTGGTGATTTTTTACCCCCTTTTTTTTATTTAGAAATTAAATATATAATTTCTAAAACGAATTAATTATAAATAACAAAAATTTTAATTACTGTTATTTATTTACTATTATTATTATTTACTTTATCAGTATGAAATTTCGTTGAGAAAGAAATTGAAATCATTTTTTTTTGGTAAAGAAATGATATCAATTTCCAAAAACAAAAAAATTAAATAGTTTTGACAATAATTGAGAAATATTTTTTTGTTAAATTCTTCATGTCAATATAGAAAATATATAAAAAATAATTTATTGAAAAAGCTAAGCTGAATTGGGACGGCACTATATAAGGTTGAACACTAAATTTATACTTTTTTTTTTTACAATTCTTCTCTAAATTAATTACATTTTTCTAATACTTCAAACTACAAAAATTCCTTCATAATATTGTTAAATCAAATAAAGAATAATTTTTCTATTCTCTATAGAAGAAAACAAAAACATTCTAATTATTAATACATTAAATAATTATTTTTAATGGAATCAATAGTTAAATTATTATTATTATACAGGGTCGCCACAAGAATATATTTTTCAATTTCCTGCAAAAATTTGTTTTTATTAAATTTAATGAATTATAATAGAAATTTAATAAATTGAAGTTGGAAAACGCGATTTTTTTAAACTATATTTCACTATTTTTACAAGAACAGAGATCACAGTACATTTTTCAAGAAAATAGGTAAAAAGGTGAATTATTTAGCGAAAATAGGTGATAAAAAACTGATAGATAAAACTAATTAACGTGCAAAATAACTAATCTATTCAAATTTGGATTAATTGAAATTTTTAATCAATAATTGAAGCATAGTTTAAAATTTGGATAAATTGAAGTTTTGGATAAAAAATTCAAATCAATTAAAATTTAGGTAAATTGAATTTTGGATAAAAAATTTAAGTTCAAATCAATTAAAATTTAAGTAAATTAAAATTCGGAAAATTTAAAACTTAAATCAATTAAAATTGGGATAATTTGAAATTAATTAAAATTTGGATAAATTAAAATTCGGATAATTTGAAAGTTATATCAATTGAAAAATTTGAAAAAATTAAAATTTCAATAATTTGAAACTTAAATCAATTAAAATTTCAGATAAAAAGAAAATTTCGTTTATTTTAAATTTCGATTGATTGAATTTATATTTGATTAAAATTTAAATAAATAAATTTGTTGATCAAAATTTAGGTAAATTGAAATTCAGGTGATTTTAATCTCAATTCAATTAAAATTTAGGCACATTGAAATTCAGATAATTTGAAATTTAAAACAATTTAAATTTCGAATAATTAAAATTATCATAATTTGACAAGTAAATCAATTAAAATTTAAATAAATTAAAATTTCCTTAATTTTAGCTTTCGATCGATTGAATTTGCATTTGATTAAAATTTTTAATAAATAAATTTTTATTGACCAATAAAAATTAGAATTAATTGAAAGATGGAGCAATTGAAATCTACAATGAAAATTTTGAAATTTACATAGATAAAAATTTGAATTGAATAAAATTTAATTAAATTGAAATTTTGATAAATTAAAATTTTAATTAGAATTAGAATAAATATTTAAATTTACAAATAATTACAATTTTAATTATTAAATGCTTCAACTAATTAAAATTTGGATTTACTGAAATTTTGTCAAAATAATTTTTAAATCAATAAATAATTCTTGAAAAATTCAAGCTTGTGTCAATATTGAATAATGTAGAGAAAAAATGAAATTCTGTAATTTTTTGTTCTCTAAATTATTAATATAAGTTTAGAAATATTAAAAAAATTCTTTATTAAATCAATAATTAAATTTAATTCTTTTTTCAATTTTTGCAAAATCAATAGAATAAGGTGAAAAAGGTAAGAAATTATAAAAAAAAGGTGAAAAAAATTTTTAATAGGTGAAAAAAGATGAATAGGTGAAAACATTTCTTCTTGTGGTAAAAATTAAAATTTTTAACGCATACAATACTTTTTCTCTAAATTTATCAATTTTCCAAATTTCCCTGACAAAAATATTTTTTTTCCTGACATTTCCCTGACTCCTATTAAACTTGTGGCCACTCTGTATTATTATCTAATTTATTATTTTTCATTATATCAAATAGTCAAGAAAATAAAAAAAGAGAGCGGAATATTTGTTTGTAATTAACGAAAGCGAAAAATTTGTAAAAACTCTGTATTCAAGTATTTACAATGAAATAAATTATTATTATTATTATTTTTCATATTTGAAAAAATAATAATAAAAAAAAAACAAATATGAATATTATTATTTTGAATAATATTTGTAAATTTGATGGAATATTTAAATGCATGAATGAAAATGTTAACGAAATCACTGTCTGTTTTACGAGGTCAGGAATCTTTTTATTTTTTATTCTATTTATTTAAACATGTGGCTATATCTAAAATGATAACAATACGGGAAAAAAATATTGTCTCATTTTTGAAATCTACAGACGAAAAAAAAAAAAAATTGTGCAAAAAGATTCCGTCTAATGCAAAACTGACTGATTAGAACTAGATCGTACCTCACATAAAGCTCACCCAATTCGCTTCTTTTTAAAAAGCCATTCTTGTTAGATGATGTTGAGTCACTTTTGTTTGGGTTGCCACTCGCACTACTACTGTTTTGCAGTGCCTTATTATTGGGCCCTTTATTTAGAAGCTTATTCTTAACGACAAGGCTCTCAATTTGCGCCTTTCTCTTGAACGGTGCCTCTACGCTATAAAAACACTCGAATTAAGCTTCAATGCTTGTTATTTCACGAAATGAGTGTTCCAAATTGAAATGTGAATATTTAATCATCTATGCAAAAATGGCCTGTAATATGTTTTTTTTTTTTTTTAAAAAAAAAAAAACAAAACAAATTTTCCTACCCATCGCTCTATAAAAAGCCTTTGTTTTATTAAACATACATGCACACTTTTTTAAATCTACTTTTCTTTTTCTCTCATTTTCCAAATTTCATTATTTCCTAATCTATAACTTCTTTTTTACGGAAGCTTAAAAATACTACATAATTTTTTCAATTACCTCCTAAAATTATTGTTTTTAAAAAAAATTATTATATTTAAGATCTCCTGCGAAAATCTTGATCAAAAGTTAATGATGGAAATGGAAAAAATAGAATTATTATTTTTTTTTACTATAATTTTGTTTTCATAAAAAAAACAATTATAATAATAAAAAATTAATTCAGTTGAATGAAAATTTCACTAAATGTAAATTTATTGATTAAATAAAAATTTTTTGAAATGAAAACTGATTATCAAATAACAATTTGGTTAAAAATTAAAATTGGGTCAAATGAAAAATTTTAATAAAAATTTTGTTGAAAAGAAAATATCTGTCAAACAACAATTTTGGTGAAAAAAATAAAAATTGCATCAAAAGCAAAATTCGATGAAATGCAATTTTTGTTAAATAACAAATTGTTAAATGAAAAATTGAAAATTGGATTAAATTGCAAATTTTGTTAAATTAAAATCTAATTCAAAATTCATTTAAATAACCATTTAATTAATTAAAAATTTAATTAAATGAAAATTCGTTTCAAATGTAAATTTCGTTAAATTAAAATTTCATCAACAAATTTTATTTATATGTAAATAAAAATTCAATCAAAAACAATAATGAAAATTTACCTAAAAATTAAAAAATCTCTCCAAAAAACTTTTCAATTTCCAACATTAAATTTTAATAGAAAAAAAAAAAAATTTCGCAAATGATCTTTTTTTTTTAAAGCATTGTTCAGCAAAATAATAATTTACAGAGAATACGTGAAATACAAGCGTATGAAAAAATTGCAATGATGAAGAAAAAAAAATGGATAAATTAGCGAAATTGTGAAGTCAAGGTTAACAATCTTTATATATTTTTTGCAAAGTCATGTATTTAAATAAAAAATACTTTCATTATTTATAAGATAGAGAAATAAAAGTGCTTTCATGCACTGATTATTATTTAAGATACAAAAAATAATATGAAAAAGTTTAAGATAAATAGTTATTTTTATTAGGGGAAAAAAAATGCTGTTTCACTTTGAAAGGAAATTTATAAATACATTTTAAAAACTTTATATTTATAAGTAAAATTTGATAAGATAAAAAGCAAATAATCTTCCTTGATTTCACAAAAAAGCAGAGATTTTGAAATACGTTATTTTAAAAGCATAGGGAGTGAGATAATGAACGTTTGTGTTTTTTTTTGTGATAGATTGTAAACATATGATTTTTTTTTTAAAGGGAAGGGACCAGTGAAATTTTAATTCATCGAAATTAATGTTCTTTAGGGTTGTCAATTTTTTTTCTAACTATATTGAGAATTCAAAAATTATAAAACAATTAAATTGTTAATATTTTTTTCAATTAAAAGTTAAAATTCTCGAAAATTTATAATTTGAACTTGTCTCACAATTTTTCTTATTTATCATTGCCGATTTTTTTTTATAGGCTTTTTTCATTTTATCAAAAAATGAAAATTTTGAAAAATAAAAAAAATTTTGTAAAATAGTTAAAAATTACTTTCTTTTATTTTTCATATAGTGAAATGTGATTTCAGGTTTTGAAAAAATGCAAAAAGAAAAAAAATTGTTTACCCCTAAAACAGGGTTAATTTTAATTGTTGTAAATTTAACTGATGATTCTTTAAAAATTCCACTTTTTCCATAATTTTGATTATTTTTTATACCCACTTTTTTCATGATTTTGAACAATCAATCGTATGAATTTTAAAAATTGTTAATTTTTGCAAAAAATAAAATTTTTTAAATGGACAAAAATAATTTTTTGTAAATTTTATTAATATATAATCATTTTAGATTGTAAATAATGGCAGAAAAAAATTTTTTATCCGTTAACAATATTAATTTCGATAGACTGAAATTTCACCGTTCCCTCCGCTTAAATTAAATAAATGAAAAAAATGTGCCTTCAATTCAATTCATATAAGATTAACTTGCAGAGAAAAGCATATTTATATATATACAGCTTCAGAGAGACGATAGTATGAGATCCGAAAAAAAAAAAAATTTTCTTTTGAAATATTAATACCTTTTGACGTCGTAAGTGTCGACTAGAGCCATAAATCCATCTGGAAATGCAATCGCATAGCTGACAAGAGCCGCCAATTCTCCATCGGATGCTTCCAATTCCAATGCTTCCAAATCGGCAGCAATGTTTTTTCGATATTTACACGAAGCAGCTAATAAATCCTTCATTTGACCTGTCTCTTTATGAGCAAGTGTCTGTAAATTAAAATTTTTTATTATTTTTATAGATAGAAAATTCTCTCGATTTTTTTTTATTATTCTTTCAAATTAAAAATATATTTAAATAAAAAACAGTTCATCAATTTTTATTAAAATTATTTTCTGATTTCATTTTTTTTTTTAAATTCTGAAACTTTTTAGTTTCAATTCTTATTTTTTATATATTCAATTTTTTTCATATTATTAAATTATTTTATGAATTTTTTTTTATTTTTATCGGTTCAATTAAGAAAAAAATAATCCCAGATTGCTATTTTGATAACAAAAAATTTTAGTATAATAATAATATAGTAATATAATAATTTTGTAATTTATATAAATAAAATAATGATTTTTGTTATTATTTATCTAATTTTTCACACTGAGAAATATTTTGATTCAAATTCATATTATTAAAAAAAATAAATAAATAAATAAACAAAGAAAACAACAAAATATTTTATGTTTTCAATGGTTATACAAATTTTGCATATTTATCACAAACTATCAAAGTTTACATGTTCAAAGAGAATTTTTTTTTTATTAAAAAAAAAAAAAAAAAAAAAAAAAAAAAAAAAAAAAAAAAAAAATTATACTCACTCTATTTTGCAAATCATCTTTGCCGTTAAACGATGTAATATATGCATGAGCGTGAGTTCCATAGACGGGAATTGCAAATAATTTTCCTGCCAATACATTGCTGGTACCGTCGAAACCACCTTAAAAAATAAATAAATAATTATTTATTTATTCTACATAGTTCTCACCTTCTGGCACATTTCTTTTATACACCTCAATTTTAATGAAAGTAAATAGCAAATATTTTAATTTTAAATAATTCACAAAAATATAAAATTTAAGATTCAAATTTAAAAACAAATAATTTTGAAAATTATTTTCACAAATGTTAAGAAAATAATAGTGATGAACAATTTAAAAGAAGAAGAAAAAAAGTGAAATACATTTTATTATTAAATTCAAAACTCAAAAATTTATTTAAAAATTTAAAAACATGTTCTCTCTATCTCTCTTAATTAAATTATCATTCATATAATAGCTTGCATAATATAAATATGATAATAACATTTTCACAATGACTAATCAACTTCAAAATTTATCTCTTTTATTCTGTTAATATTAATTGCTCGAACAAATGACAACAGATTAAGAAGTATATTAAAAAAAAAATAATAAAATAATTCGGTTTACATTGGCATCTTGCTTCATCATCACCGAAAGTAAGAAATTGATAACTGTGCTAAGTTTCTTATGCAGTAAACTTTTTTTCTTCTTCTTTTTTTTCTCATTAAAAAAGCTAATAAATATTATTGCAACTGTAAAGTTTTTGCAAATATTTTTGTATTGGAAATTTATGCAAAAATATTTTTTTGATGTTACAGACCTCGGATCGATTTTAAGGGGCAAAAGAAGTCGATTTACATTCCAAAAAAAGTTGATTTTTTATTTTTAATAAATTTAATTAGTTAATAAATATTTTATTTCAAATAATTATTATAATTAGATATACTAAATTAATTTTATTAATTCCTTAAAATAAAAATAATTCTATAAAAATATTTTCAAGAAAATTTATTTCGAATATTTCAGAGTCGAACTAAGACAAATTTTCAAGATTTTAATTCAGTAGGAAAGATTTTAAAAAAATTCCTAATATTCTATTTTTTTTTAATTTTTGAAATCTAATAAAAGCAAATTATTCGAATTCAAAAAAATGTGGAAAAAGTCATAGAATCCGAGGTCTGGAAAATGTATCGGACCCCCCCACCCAAAAAAATACTCCTTTTTTCTAAATCGACCCTAAAGCTCTAAATAATAAAATAAGAAACTAAAGATTATAAAATGTAAGAAAAAATCAATAACTTGTTTGAACCAAAGTCACATTAATGTCCATTTTCAAAAAAATAATTCGATGAGTGAAAATGATGCAATATTCAATAATTGGGTTTTAAACAAAATATACATATATATTCCGCAGATATATAATTTTACTTAACCCTGAAAGTTCTTTCACATCACTTAAAGTAGATGATACCTACCGGTACCAAGTAATACAATATATTGATCTCACTTTCTTTGACCGGGTCTATTACTCATCGTGTAAATTTCACGAAAATTAAAATTTACCTCCTAATTTATACAACAAGAAATAGAGAGAAAAAAAATTACCACCTTAAATTAAAAAAAAAAAATAATAAAAATTTATTACTACAAAATGTTTAAAATAAAAAATTTCTTTTTAATTTTTTTTAAAAATAATTTTGTAAATTTATTTATTTAATCAAATATACGAGCTAAAGGGAACGTAAATAATATAAATGCAATTAAAAAAATAAATTATTAAAAAAATAAATAAAATCAAATTCAGAAAATAAAAGAACAAAAGTTAATTTCAAAAAAAAGACAAATCTGAAAAATTAAATAATTTATTAATTAAATATTTTTTTCTCTCTTTACATATAAAATACAACAACAAAAATCGTTACATCGATAATAAAAAAAATAATTAATGGGGGAAAATAAAAAATGCAATAAAAAAAAAAGTATTATTTTTAGAAATGATCTTTCACTTACCAATATAACTATATTTGGAAGCACTGAGTCCTCCGTCTGGTCCTTGTGCCCTTCTGAGACCAAATTCCATTAAAGTTACATTTTTTCCCGCTACCATTCTATATCGAGATGCATTTGTTGCCACCAAACTTGCATAGTTGACAAGAGTTAAAAATGTCGTTTCCAACAGCTGAATAATTATCAATGGACCCTCTACTCTTAGAAGTGGTACCCTATTTTTAATAATTAAAAAGTTGATTAATCAAAAAAAAAAAACCTTTAAAACAAAAATCAATTCGAAAAAATTAATTAAATTTTTTTTTTAATAATTTATATGTTCAATTAAATTTAATATCATTTAATATTTAAAAATACACAAAAAAATTTATATATTTTTCAATTTATTTGTTACTATAAAATTATACAATAAATTAATATTATACTTAAATAGAACATAAAAAAAATTAATTACATAATAATTAAATAGTAAAAAGTAATAAAATTGAAGGCAATAAAGAAAGAAACAAATAATATATATATATATATATATATATATATATATATATATATATATATATATAAATAAGAGATAACAGACAATAAAGATATATGAAAGATTTTTTTTTTTTTTAGTGATAAAAATGAAAATTTAATTTTACCTTGGAAAAACGATAGAGCCTTCTTCAATTGCGTATAAACTAACATCATCAGTTGTAAGATTTTTTAAATATTCAAAGAATTCTGGCTCTACACAGTCTGGCATTGTAGTTCTCAAATAGTCAATATCTATTAATAATTTGAAAAAAAATATATTTTAGCATTTATAAAATTTAATTTTCTAATCTTAATTTTTTTATTTCTTATACAATGAAAATAAATACCACTGTCAGAATAATGAAAACTGCCAAGAAATTTGAGACATTCTTCTAGTCCAGCAAAAACTGTGAATTCTCCATGAAAAGGATTTTTTCGAAAAAATAAATCGAAAACACCATAATCATGCATTTTTCCACTTTTCCAATAAGCATAAGCCATTGTGATTTGATAAAGATCTGAAAATTTTTAATAAATTTATTGTACGAAAATACAATTTTAATATAAAATATTATTAAAATTAAAATAGTCACGCCTTGGATCGACTTTAAGCCGCAAAAAAATTCGATTTTTTAATTTAATTAAATTTAATTAGTTAATAAATATTTTACTTTAAATATCTAATATTATTGTATATTATTTAATTTATTTTTTCATTCCTTAATAAGAATAATAAGGAATATTATCAAGAAAATTTATTTCGAATATTTCAAAACTGAACTAAGACAAATTTTCAAAATTTTAATTTAGTAGGACAAATTTATAAAAAAAAAAAAAATTTTTTTTTAAAGTTCCATTTAAAAATTTTTAATTAAAGTCTAATTTATGTAAATAATTTGAATTTAAAATTTTTGCATAGTTTTTAATTTTAATGGTCAAATATAAATTTTGGAAAATAATTAAGTTGAAGCTTTTCTAAATAATTAAATTTTGAAAGAATTATTTAAAATAATAATTGAATTTTTAAAGAAATATTAAAATTATTAAAAATAATAATTGAATTTTGAAAGAGTTACAGTTGAAATTTTAAGAATTGAATTTCAAAAAATTTTGTAAAATTTTACAGAATTAAAAATAATTTATCAAATAGTTTTAGATAACCTTTTTTTAAAATAATTGAATAAATTAAAATAAATAATTGAATAAATAATAATAATAATAATAATAATATAATATATAATAATAATTTTAAATAATTGAATTGAAAATTTACTTTAAGATAATATTGAATTTAAAAAGGAATTTCATTCAAATTATTGAAAATAATTAATTTAGAGAATAATTTTAGTTAAAAATTTGATAAATAATTGAAACAAAAAAGATCTGAAGAAGATCTGTAATATAATGAAAAATACGTATTTTGTTTAAAAATTTTGTAAAAAAAAGTACAAAAAAAGTCGAAAAAGTCGTATAATCCGAGGCCTGTAAAGTACAAAGTAAAATAATAACAATAATAGTAAACTAAAAAAAACATTCTCGTTAATGTGAATTACTTGCAAAATTCAGAGAAAATGATTTATCATAATTTTTTTATTTCTCTATTAATCAAATTTAGAAAAAAAGTAAAAAAAAATACTAATTATTAAAAAGAAATAAAACCTCTTTGTTTTTATATTTCCCAAATAAAAAGATTTTAATAATTTTAATAATATAACTTTACTATTGTATAAAAAGAAATGTGTGTAAAGTAAATAATACAAATGTATTTTTTTCATTATCGAAATCATTCATTGAACAAAAAAAAAAAAAAAAATTAAAAAGACCTTGAAAAATGATCAATCCTTGCAAACATTTAAGTACTTTTGAGATTAGTAAATTTTGCATTCTTGTCTTCAATTAATTCAAATGTGTCTTGAATATTTATTAAAAAATATATACTTGCAATGACTATAATATGAATTCAGTACTCAATTAAATAAAATTTCATCTGCATAATTATAAATATATATATTTTTTTTTCATCTTCTATACAAATGTCAATATAAGAAAAATGTCATTTACGAGGTGCGTTTTAGAAATTAATATCGCCTTGTGTCATAAAATAATTAACAATCAACGTCATTTGAAATGTAGTTCACGTGTTTAAAATTAATGACGCAAGAAAGGTTTTATATATTTTTAAAAAATTTCATTCTGAGCCAATGAACTTTAACAATCTATATAGAGTTTAAATAATTGAAAAAATTGACATTCTCACTCTATAATCATTAAGCGACATTAGTAAAATTATTCAATTTAAATTAGGATCTATTGTAAAAATTAAGAAAAAGAAACAAGAATTGAGTAAAATAAGACAATAGTTTAGAGGTTATATTACACATTGATTTTTTTTTTTTTTTTTTTTTGTTACAGAATGTAAAACAAATATTTAAGGAGAAAGTATTTTAAATACCTGTAAGGAGTGGTTGAACCACTCCATTTTGACGTGATTTACACCACGATTTGTCTTTGTCATTTGACATAGTTGTGATCTGTTTTTATTTTTACTTTAAAATTGAAAAAATAACCTCACAGGCACTAAAATTCTGTTTTTTAAATGGACTGTCTACTCTCTCGGTTAGTAAGCAACTAACACGTTTTATCCACTGAATCTACTCACTCTCACTAACACTTTAATCAACACACGAATGTAGCTATATGTACATATATATATATCAGTAAGTATGAATTCGCGCACTCATAATCGATAAAATGTTTCTCGTGTTTAGGAACATTTGAAGGACGTCATCGTCAATCAGAATCATATGAGTAATAGTGAAATTTTCCAATTTTCCGAAAATTTCATTGTGGAAAACAGTTTAATTCCCCTATTTGATTCCCCCAAATAAAAATAACCCTAAAGGAAAATTTCCAGCGCTACCAACCACGTGAAATGTAAATTTTCTTGTAGGCGCGAAAATTTGAACACACAGAAGACAAATATTTAAATAAATAATATTCATTTGGTAATAATATATAATTTATTAATAATATACAAATTTTCATTTATATATTATTAAAAAAAAAATATATATATATATATTCTTTAAAAATGGAAATTAAAAAATTAAAACTAATTAATTTTTAAAAATTTTTAAAAAATTTAAATAAATTAATGTATAATTATAAAAAATATATTAATTTAGTATGTAAATTTTAAAGCAGCAATAAATGAAATGCAGAAAAAATTTTGCATTACCTAAATATTATAATATTTAAAAGTGTCGAAGAAGTTTAGTCGATAAATCATGTTCTTATATTGTATACATATTTTCGTCTAAATTACAAAAACCTACATAAAACTAAAATATATAGATTACCAAAAATTTCTCATTAACTTTTATTACCGTAATTAATATTGATTTTTCTTTCCGAACTTTTTTTTTTTATCTGTCACAGGATACACAATTCTAAAAACTAATTATTAAAACACATAAAAAAAAGACTTAAAAATTAATCTTTTTTTTTTACTGTATACGAAGTTAATTTATTTTAATGAAGTTTACGAAAAAAATATTTTAAAAATGTATTTTTTTTCAGAATACAAAATAAAAAAAAATTAATTTAAAATTAATTAATTTTTTTCAATTTATTATCACAAATTTTTTATTTTGTATTTTATATTTTAAATAATATAGGCATACATTTTTCAATAATTAATTTTTTTTCTTATTTTATTTTAAGGAAAAAAAAATAAGGAGAGGTGATGTAAATTAATTAATAATATAATTTACGAGAAAGGGAAGAGGGAATATCTAAAAAAATTTAAATCGCAATATATTTAAAATTCTCAGAAATTAAATTCTAAAAAAAGAAATTCGTAATACATTACAATAGAAGTTAATAATACAAAAAAAAAATTGATAATTGATTAATATTATATATAAATTGATGAATATGGGATATGTAAAAAAAAATTGATATTGTCAAAATCAATAAAATAACAAATAAAAAAAATGTATTTTATACAAGGGGATTTATTGCAAATCCTATCTGATATACTGAATACATGTTATACATATATATTACGTCATATTACCTTGACTTCCATATATGAGAATCAATAAATCAATTTCAAATTTTTATAATTTCTCATCAAAAATTTCATGTGTAATTGATATTATGCGAATATTTCCTTTTTGCACTTGTTTATAATTTATTATTGCATTTGGCACTACTTTTCTTCACTTTTTTTTGGCATTGTAACAATATATAATTTATAATACGTTGTCATTGCTTTATATTATATTATTATCATTATTAAATTCAATGTTTATTATTTCAATAATAACATTAATGTCAATAATTATATTAATATATTTATTATAATATTAATACTAATATGTCGCGCTAGAAAATATATATATATATCTATATCGAGGAATTAAAATATATATAAATAATAAGACATCCTGAAGTCCACAGATTTCAACGAAAAATGTCAACAAAACAACATGTCAAAATTTAAGGTTATATTCTAGCATTCTAATTCTAACTGTAAGAATAAAATTCATAAATACAAGAGCCTTTTAATTCTGATTAAAATTAAAATAAAAAAAAAAAATTTCTAATCAAATAAATCGCGTGTTCCATATTCAAAAAACAGGTAACATTCAGAGATGGAAAACACGTGAATTTTTAGAAAACAAATTAAAAACATAATCTATAAAAATATGTCAGATTTTGTGTGAAAATTGTGAATGAAAATTAATAATTATTTTCATTTTTTTTTTCTTTTAATTGAAAAAAATTCAATTATTATTAAAATCATCGGCAAAATTCACAAAATTTATCCACGATGAACAATTGAAAAAAAAAATTGTTTCCATTTGGAAAATAATATAATTTGTTGTTGAATTTATTATTGAAAAAATTATATTATTTTTTCTTTTTTGTTGCCTACAAATTATTTTGTTTTAAAAAATTGTTGATTGAGAAACAATATAAATTTTTTTTTTTTTTAGACAAATTGTAATAATTTGTATATAGAAAAATATTTTTTCCTCTAAATCGTTGATCGAATAAATATTGTAAAATTCATCGACGTTAATAAAATGTAGTAAATCTATAGAAATAAAAAAAAAAAAAAAACTCGTGAAATATTTTTATTTTACGTATATTGAAAATTAACCTGAGAATTTTTAATGACTTTTCTGTAGACATCACAATGTATCACATAAAATATTCGAGGCGCTATGTAAAAACTTATAATCATTTTTTTTCGAAATTACACTTTTGTCCGCAAAACAGTAAACGAAATGATAAATTTTTAGAATTTCATTTTATCATAATCAATAGTTGACAAATTTTTGGCTTAACATAACCCTCAATGAAAACAAAAATTTTAAATGTGAAACTTATTATTACAGTATTTTTTGTTTTTAATTATTATTATTCAGCGTAATATTTATTTCTCTCAACTTACGATGCGCGTAATATTTACTTTTATTAAAAGGCAATAATTATATTTTTTGTTTATCAGAAACGATATTTACAGTTATTTTTTGTAAGTTTAAATACTGAGTGACAAAATATTTACATTACCAAATTGAAAATCGATATAAAATTTATTCAACTTGATTTCTCTTTAATTAAAAATTTATAAAGATGAATTAAAAACTGATAAAAGTTGTATTAAATCTAAATGTAAAATGATGCAATGTTCTTTAAGGCCAGGTCCAAGTCGTGTCAGCTGTTCCATTGAAACTTCAAAGGAACAGCTGACTCGACTTGGACCTGGCCTTAAATAAAAAAAAACAATTATCAAAAGGAACTTCTGGAATTCCAGAGATGGGAAATAACGACAATAAAAAAATTTCTGTTAGTTCCTTAGGAATTTTTTTTATCGTCGTAATTTCCCATCTCTGGAATTCCGGAAGTTCCTTTTGACAATTGTTTTTTTTTTTTTTTATTTAAAGAACATTGCATCATTTTACATTTAGATTTAATACAACTTTTATCAGTTTTTAATTCATCTTTATAAATTTTTAATTAAAGAGAAATCAAGTTGAATAAATTTTATATCGATTTTCAATTTCCTTAGGAAAACTTGCAATTTTGATAAGTAATAATTTTATATCAACTGTCAATTCGGTAATATAAATATTTTGTCACTCAATATTTAAACTTACAAGAAATAACAGTAAATACCTTTTTTGATAAATAAAAAATATGATTATTGCCTTTTTATAAATGTAAATATTACGCAAATTGTATGTTGAGAGAAATAAATATTACGCTGAATAATAATAATTAAAAACAAAACAATACTGTAGGTAATAATAAGTTTCGCATTTAAAATTTTTTTTTCATTGAGGGTTATGTTATGTCAAAAATTTGTCAACTATTGATTATATGATAAAATGAAATTATAAAAACCTATCATTTTGTTTACTATTTTTGGGTAAAGTGTAGTTTCGAAAACAAATCATTATAAGTTTTTACGTCGCCTCAAAATATTCCTTAAAAGTAATGATAAAAAAAATGGACTTGTACACACAATCGATGAGCTGTTTCTAAAAACTAAATATCACAAAACTGATTATAAATTTAATTTCCTAAAAGTAATTTTTTCTAAATACTGTATATATCTATATTTATATATAATTACTTTATACACATTTTTCTCTATTTAGAGAGTATTCTCTGGAAAAAAAACGTAATCACAAAATACATATTCAATAACTATTATTATTATTATGATATATATACAACTATTGCAGAAAAGCTCTATTATTCGTTTTTTTTTTAAATATTTTTTTTTAAATTACATTATAATGTCCTTGTGTTAATATTATTTTCTCAGGTTATGCAACTTGATGCATTTTCTTGTTTATTTCATTTTATTTAATTTTTTTTTTTGTGCTTTAGAAATCGTGCTTAGCACAGTAAATCAATCTTTACTCTCTTCTAAAACATTGGCATACAAGTGGTATTTTTTTTTTTTTTTTAATTAATTTCTTCTTTTTGGGAAGCACAAACTACGATTTTTTTATTTTTTATCTAATTAAATATATCTATTATCCTAAAACTATTCAGACTTCAGGATTTATATTTATTATAATACTTCTTTTTTTATAACTTAATTATTTTTAATACCTTTTTTGTTTACAAGAATAGCAATACGACTGTGTAGAATTCTAACTAAATGGTTTTTTTTTTTAATCTCATTATATTTTATTAATTATTACTTCTAATTGTATATAAATTCCTCTATACATAAATAACGATATACCAATTTGGAGATCTCGATAAGAAAAAGTTTTTCAATAAAATAATAAATTAAAAATCTTACTGACTAATACAAATATTTTTGTCTTAGAAAATTTTTTTTTTTTTTTTAACATTATTGACAGATTTAATTATTTTTTTTTTAATAATAACAGTAATAAAAATTATTTTTTTTCATCAAAATATTATGTGCTTTTTCAATAATTATTCTTTGCAACTCAACTTTAAATTACACAAAAAAATTTTCTAACAATAATTCCGCTAAAAATATAATTGAATTGTGAAATTAAATTATTAATATATGAATTTATATTTTTATATATAAAAAAATAGGCCGCTTTTTTTAATGAAATAATTCGTTTTTATATTTTTCCTTTTTCTTTCAGAGATCTCTTTTAAATATCGTACATATATTTTTTTTTTTTTCACACAGAATTGAACGCTTCTACTATTCCATTATATTCTAATTTGACACACAATTTTGCAAACAGTCTTTAAATATTATAAAATAAGAATTCCTGCATGTTTTTATAATTTGTAAACTATTATATAATAAAAATTAAATGAAATTTTTCACATATTAAAATTATAAATTCTATTTTATTTTTTAAATAACTCTATAAAAAATCATTTATATTTTTATATGATTATTTTCATTATTTTATTATTGATATATTTTTGAAATATCAATTTCGTGCTATAACGCGTGTATGGCTTATTATAAGATTCTCGCGTTTATAATGAGCTAAAATACATTTTTTGTATTATACTATATATATATACATATATAGTCATTCGCATCATACAGATAAAATATGATTTTTCTCATTCATCCCCCTCAAGAAATTCAAAAGCACATCTATAAAATTTTAACACATTCTCAATATAATATTATATGGCAATTATTAAAATAATCTCATAGTTCCAGTAAGCTATTAAAATTTCATAATCATCAACGACCAAAGCTGTTGTTGAATATTAATCTTGTGTGATAATAGATATTATTACTTAAGGAGAGAAAATACTTGTGACTTTAATATATTGAAATAAAGTCAATTATTCAACTGCAATAATAATAATAATAATAATAATAATAATAATAATAAATAATTGCAAATTTATATTTTCTTCAATTAATAATTCATTGAATATTCAATTTTGTTTTTAAACTGTTCATAATATTAATATAATTAATATTATATAAATAAAATATTCTTTAATTTATTTTTTTTTAAATAAATAGTTTAATGTAAATAATACCTAATAATTATATTATATTATAAAAGTCTAAATTAAAAATAATAACTTTATAATTTTAATTAATTAAGAAAACTGAAAAGATTTTAATTAGTTATGAAATTTTGAACATTTACTTTTTCATTTACTTATTATTCATTTATTAACAAAGATTATTATTCATTCACTTTGTATTTCTAAGAAAATATATGTAATTACCGCGTCAACCGAGGTTTAATTATACCCATAAATAAAATAAAACGGAAAATTTTTTTATAACTATTATATCCATAAAAGTTTATATAAAATAATGTACAATTTTTTTAAATTATTTAATCTATATGACATTTTTTCTATAGTCTAGAATGCAGTATAAAATAAAAATGTTTTTCATTGCTTTTGTGGAAATTGTTCAACAAATTTGAAAATTGACATTGAAATTTTACTAAAATCTAACAAAAAAAAAAAAAAAAAACAAACAAACAAAAAAATTAAGTAATTACAAAATTTTGAGAATTTTTAGTATTATTTAATTTTATTAATTAATATTAAAATAAAAATTTTACTCATTAAAAACTGTCGATGGGTATAATTACCCCAGTTGACGGTAAATTATAAGAAGGCTAAAACTGAAAAATATTATATAATTTTTAATTATAGTTACTAATATAAAAAACTTAACACACTAAAAAATTGTGTTCTAAATTAAAATTATCAGAATATCAATAATAATAATAACAAGATATAAAACATTGCATTTAAATTAAAAATTAATAAAATGTATTTCTATTATTTTAATTTAATTCTATTCTTCCTTTGATATATACCTTTGGCATAATTAATTAATATTCTTTTGCTATATGTTTAAAAAGCTCTTTCTCTCACAGCACTTATTAAAAAGTTACTCTATTAATTGTCTGGTTTTTGAAAATTCATCGATAAAATGATTTTCATTAATTTTCTAAAAATTGAAATAATTTTTATTTTTAATTAAAAAAAAAAAAAAATTCACGTTAAAATCTTAATTAGTAAAATTTAACGGACAGAATTATTTTAATTCGTCAAATTGAATTATTTCTTCCCAAATAAATAAATAAATAAATAAAAATATAAATATAAAAAAATATAAATAAATAAATAAAATAACAAATATAAAATATAAATTGTAGTCATTAACTACTTTTTCTGTTCAAACTTAAAAATACGAATTTGATTTTAATACAAGAAATTGGTGCTTGGCATAAAATTATAAGAACTACTAAATATCGAAATTTTCAAGTTAATTTTATAAACGTGAGCGCTTTCAAACTTTTCTGCTTTTTGTTTATTTTTTTCAAAGTGAAAAATAATATTAAAATACTAATATTCATTAAATAAAATTGTAATTTTATGTAAATTAAAATTTTTTCAAATTTCATATTTTTTTAAATCAAATTTAATGTTCAATTCATTTTGTTTCTATAACTCGAGAAATTAATTTAATTTCTATATTCTCCCTTTAAAATATTTCTAGATAGCACCATATATTAAAAAAAAGATATGATTTAAAAAAAAGCAATTGTCTTTAAAAAACGAAAAAATTTAAATAATCGAAAATAATTATATTCAAAATTATGAAATTTTGAACAAATCAAATTAAACAATTGCATAGGGGTCAATTCATTTTACATTATTTCGTCTAAAACGTTTGCAATTTAAAAAAAAAAAATTGTGAAAATTGGAATTTTCAAACCTTTTTAAATTAAATCAATTTTTCTTAAATTAGAAAAATTTAGCCAAAAATTAAAATTACTTTAAAATGTTTTTGATATAGTTTTATATTCTTTTCACCTTTAGTTAAGTTAAAGAGAAAAAAAAACACTCAGGAGATCTTTCACATTTTTAGTCTCAAATCTCTTTAGGAGAGAAAAAAGAAGATAAAATATGGAACTTTAAAAAAGAATTTAATTTAAATATAAATTCTTGAACAATTTCCTTTGACAATTTTTGTCAAAGTCCAATACATTGGTCCCATATAAGTCTATCTTTTTTTCTTGAAAATAAATATTTTGAAAAACAAGTGTACTGGTTAATATTTATTTCTAAGTTTATTATTTTCATGCATTGACTTTTTACAGTGGTAAAATGAATTTTAAATATATATATTGAAAAACATAAAATCCATATAAAACTAATAAATATTTATTTGAACCAAATAATTTGAATCAAATATCAATTATTATTATATTCGAATCATTAATTTCTATATTTGAAACAAATACTATTTTGTTAACAAATTCTATTGATTCAATGAGAATATTTTGATACAAATAAATATTTAAAGTAATCGATTATTTGGATTGAATAATTTTTTTCCAATATAAATTTCAATTAAAAGAAAAAAAAAAAAAACTCTTTGAATTATTTTTTATATTGCAATTGGCAGAACCGATTGAAAGACAAAATAAAATGAATTGACCCTAAATAGAAAAAAAACTCAATCTTAAGAATTTAGAAAAAAAAAATTAGAAAAATAAAAAATTAATTAATACTATTATATAGCCCCTACATCTCTAAATTGTTCCAGTTCTATTAAATATATATATATATAATTTCTTTTCCTCCTAAATCTACAACCACTCTTCGAAATGACCACCCTCGGTTCATCTCATTAAATCAGCAGCTCTCTGCCTATCTCGATGAACTTCTCGTGGATGCATTCTTTTTCTATGTGAAAAGCAATTACCTGAACTTGCGAAGGCTTTGGGACAATAGGGACACTGATATGGTCTGGCACCTGTGTGTTGATTTATGTGAAACTTCAAATCCTGATTTCGTTTAAATGTCTTGTCGCAAAGTGGACACGCATGAGGCCTTAAATCGGAATGTGTTATACTGTGCGCACGTAAAGTTGAATTTGTCGGATATACTCTTCCGCAAACATTACATGGAAATTGAATACCACCGTGATATTCTTTGTGACGAAAAAGATTCGATTGTGTTTTGAAACTGCAAAAAAGAAAATTACATTATTATTATTATTATTGATATTATTCAGTATTGATTATTGAAAATAATATATTATTTGAGAAATTGAAATTTTAAACAAAATTTTTATGACAATTAAAGAATTTCAGGGTTGTTGCGAGAATAAATTTTTCATTATTAAAAAATTTTCCCAGACAAAAAAAGAAAAAGTTAACTATTAAATGGATTTAACAGTTTCAACAAAAATGACAATTCGGACAAATAAAAGTTCGGTCAAATGAAATTTCGGTAAAATAAAAATCCAATCACTTAAAATTCAGCTAAGTATAGAATTTTTTTTTTTTTTTTTAATAGCTGACAATTATTAGTAACATATTTTTAAATTGTTTGAATAATTGAATTTTTAAAGAATATTGTAAAAATCATTTAAAATAATTGAATTTCAAAAGATTTTTTTAAATTTCAGACAATAATATTAAATTTTATAGAATTGAAAATAATTTATCAAATAATTTTAAATAACCATTTTTAAATGTAATTGAATTTTCAAAGATTTGGAATTCCAATTTTTGAAAATAATAATTTGAACTTCAAGTGATTTTTGATTGAAATTTTCTGTAATTTTTGTTGCTGGAGAATTTATTAGAAATTACAGATAAAAATTAAACTTTAAAAATTTTGTAAATAAATAAATTTAGAGAAGTATTTTTGTTAAAAATTTGTTAAATAATTGAAATAAAGAAGATCAGAAGAATATATGTATTTTACAAAAAGAACAACGTATTTTAATTTAAAATTTTGTAAAAAAATGTAAAGAAAAAGTCAAAAAAAAAAAAGTCGCATCTTATTAAAATAAGTCAAAAAAAAAAAAAAAAAAGTCGTATAATTCGAGGCTTACAAATGTTTTTTGCCAAATAAAATTTTTTTCAACATACAAAATTAGTAATTAAAGAAATTTGTCAAATTAAAATTTAGCTACATATAAATAGAAAAAAAATGTGTCTCAATAAAATAGAAATTCTCAATAATTTAATAATAAATAGCAATTTAATTTTATCAATAAAAATTTAATCAGATGAAAATTCAATTAAATAGAAATTCGATGATATAAATTTCGAACTAATGAATTTTAATGAATATTCATGAGTTTCGATTAAAAGTAATTTTTTCCCCTTTTTAAATTATAATTAAAATTAAAATTGAATTATATTAAAATATTCATTAATAAAAATCAGAATACACATATAAAAATTTTAATCTATAACAATTAACAAATGGACACTGTCTGTAAAAATGTTATAAATAAATTTTAATGAATAAAAATTAACTAATTTAACTGAAATTAAAAAAAAAAAAAATTAATAAAATTGAAACTTACATTCTTCCACAAATATCACAGCCATATTTTCCCTTAGGCCTGTGAGTTTCCAAATGCACTTTGAGATTTCCTTTTGTTGAAATTCTTTTACTGCAAATGGGACAAATAAAATTTCCACTTGCATTACTATCGGCGTTCACTTGAAGGACACCATTTGTTGAATAATGTGATTTTAACATTGTCTTTCGTTCTATTCGTCTTTCTTTTGGAATATGTGACCAGAGATGATCTTGCAAACTAATTTGTGACATGAAAGACCTAGAGCATATTGTACATTTATGAGATTTAATGGATGTATTTGAAATGTCCTCATCACTTTCCTCGGACGGTTTCTTATCATCAAAGTCTTTCAAGTCGTCTTTAGTTTCGTCTAATCTAAATAAATAAATATTTTATTTTTTTTTTAAAAAAAGGGTTTAATAATATTTAATTCAGAAGATTAAAATAAAAAAAAATCTTCAAAATCGTTTAGACCAAAACAATTGAAGATTTTTTTTTTTTATTCTAATTTTCTGAATTAAATATTTTTTTTGCGTGTAAAAAAAAAAAAGAAAATTTAATACTAACTTGTTAACTAATGATAATGGTTCAGTCGGCGACATTTTTAAATCTTGTTCGTCGTATTCGTTGTCAGAAATTTCAGAAATCTCAGATGAATGCTCTTCCAATCCGCATTGTAAAAATAACATTGGATCAACTTTAACTTCCATTTCTTCGGTATTTGGAGTATGTTCTTCTTGTGACAATGTTTCCGATGGTGGTTCCCTAGAATCGCTATCTTCCAAAATTTCAAGAGCACCCTGTTCAAGAAAAAAAAATGTCCAATTTAATTAAAACACAATTAATTAACTTTTTAATTAAAAACAAAAATTTCTTTTTTTTCTATTTTATTGAAAAATAATATGAAATGAATAGATATAAAAATTGCAAATTTTATCATTTTCAAAAAAATTCAATAAACTTCTTTAATAATTTAATTATTTAAATTATGAAATTAAAATTATTGCTTTTAATTTTAATAGAATAATTTTACATTTAAAAAAGAAAAAAATTTACATTTAATTTAATTTAATTTAAATTTAATTTAATTTAAATTTAATTTTAAATTTGTAAAAAAAAGTTATATACATATTATCAATTTTTCTTCAAATATTTTTATTTAAATTTATCGATTTATGTTGAAATTATTTTCTAAATTAAATTATTTTTAAAATTCAATTGTTTTTACAATTATTTTTAAAATTTATTTATTTTCAAATTCAATTATTTTTATTGCTCGTTAAAAAAAAGAAATACTTCAGTAGCGCAATTTTGATACCGCAAAGCACAAAATTTGGTCAAAAATTTTTATTTAAAACTAAAAAATGTTCAAAAACTATTTTTTAAAAATAAAAGTTTCCTGTGTGTAGGAAATTCAAAAAAATTTGAGAATTGAAATTAAAATTTAGAAAAATAGATAAAATAATCAAAAAGTACGATACATTAATAGAGGAAAAATCTCTAAATCAATGTAATTGAATTCACAAAAGAATTGAATATGAAAATAAATATTAGACAAAAAATAATTTGTAAATTGTAAAATTTATTTTATTAATTATATGTTCAAAATAAAATTGTAAATTATTAAAAATATAATTGAGAGAATATTCCAATTTCAATTAATTGAAATTAAAAACAATTAATTGAATTTTAATTAAATTAATTAAGATTAATAATCCTTATTAAATTGAAAGATATTTCAAATATAGAAAAAAAATTTTTATGATTATATAATTTACTTAACAATTTAAATAAATTTACACAATATTAAAAATAAAAAAAATTTTACCCGCATATATAATTTACTAATAATTTTATATAATACCTTTGTTAATATTGAATGTAATAAACTTTTTTCTTCAATTTTCTTTTCCGAATTTTCAATATCTTTTATCTCAGCATTGTCCACGTCTTGTGTTGAATCGACATTATCAAAAACTCCATATAATTTTAATTTCAACATTTCTTGCGTTCGACATGCCATCATTGCAAAACGTTGAATACCCTCTAACCTTTTGATGCACGTTATACACACCATTTTAGGCAATTTATCTTCGGATGATACCTGAAAATAAATCTCACCTTAGTTGACCTCATTTACAATCATAGGTATATTATTTTTAAGAACGCAATTTTAAATTCTCTAAAGTTTAAACATTAATTTTTAATAAATATCAAACTGTGGTAAAAAAAAAAAAAAAAAAAAATTCTTCATTTTAAATTCTCCAAAGTTTACATTCATGTTTAATAGCAACTAGGTGGTAAAAAAAAATTCTATATATTCTTTACAACACTGACATTTAATATAAATAATATCTAACAAATTTTAATTCAATGAAAAAATTAATTAATTTAATTTAATTTAATAATAATAATTTAAATGATTTTTATTTTATTAACTTGAATTATTAAATTGCAATTGATTCGATGAAATTCATTAAATGAAATTGACTTTAATTCAAAAATACTTTTTATTTTCCCTAAAATATTAATTTTTAATATTTTATAAAAATTATTCATTTTTATTATTAATTATAATAATAATAATAATTTTTATTATTATTTATTTTAATACAAACAATTTTTTTTATAATTAAAATTTATTCTCATTCTAATTAATTTGCTAAATAATTTTCGAGAACGGAGAATTTATAATGATTTTTTTTTTATATATATATGACATTTCAGCCAATAATGATTTACATATATGGCTTATAGAATTTTGTTTTATATTTATATAAAAACTCTCGAAGTGACTTTGATTTAGAAATATTTGAATGGAAAACTATGTTAAATAATTTTGAACAAGAAATCATTGGTAAACTGCATTATTTTGCCCTTTTGAATAATTTATTTCGTATCAGACGTCAGGTCCAGAAGCATCTCTGACGCTTTATCCCAATTATATTTATAGGCGCACTCGTGTATAGCGCGCATGCAGTACAGTATTCGAGGTAATCAATAAAATGCTAATTTTTAACACTTTTACATCTCCCAGGAATACAAAGGTCGCCGTTACGTTTATTCGTCGAAATATCCAAATCGCCATTCCGCAACTCTCACATTATTAACAATTAAATATATCCTTGCGGATAAAACGTTCTCAAAAAAAAAAAAAAAATTAGATTCCTATTTCTTTTTAATTAGCTAATTATTAATTTCTTATTTATTTTAAATACATTTTAATTAAAAAAATTTTTTTTTTTTATTTCTATTTATTTATAAAAAAAATAATTCTTGGAATATATAAACGAATTTTGTGAAATATAATTTGATAAAATTATATTAAAATTAGACATATAATTAATTATAGGTATTATTAAATAATTAAAGAATCGACTATTTTCTTTCTTATTGTATATGACGAAAATGTAATTATTTTTCAATTTATAAATTTTATAAACAAAATTGTAAAATTAGTGTAAAATAAAACCGATGTTTATGAAATAAAAAATTATTTAAAAAAAAAAAATTAAGACTGATAATTTAGGTATTAATCTACAATGTTTATTTACAATTTTCGGAGTTAATTTTTTGATAAATATAAAATTTTTTTATTTTTTTATTATATAATATATTCTATAATTAGTTAAAGTTACAGAAACTCATCAAACGAGAAAATTTAATGCTATATATATATAAACGTTGAAACAGAAACAATTTTCCTATATAATTATCATTGTTAATTAATTAGATACTAATTCATTGTTCGCATGATTATAGGTTTTTCGATAGTAATAATTAACCATCAGTAATAATTTTTGTCAATTCAGAAGAAATTAGGAATTATTAACTTAATATTTATTTCGAGAATTTTTATCATAAAATTTTTTTGAAACAGAAATAAAAATATAAAACTAATTTATCATTCTTCAATTAATTCAAAAATCTTTAATTATTTCTATAAATAAAATTTCATAATTGTAAATAAAATATTAATTTACAAAAGTAATATTTATTAATTACAAAAAAAAAATTAAGACCCTTTTTTTTCTCATTCGAAATATTAAAAATATATATATATATTAAATTTATTTTTTAGTATACGTAAAGCAATATTTAAAATATCGAAAATTATTTCAGATTTAAAAAATAAATAATTCGCACATTTTTTTTTTTACACGCATCCATAACAACAAGTATTATCTTTCCCTTTATAATTTCTATTTTTAATGAAAACTACAATCATTTTTTTATCAAAAATGCATCTCGATCCAATAATCACGATCAGCGATCAATAAAATAATAATCAAGATTCTGGACAGAAGAGGACGCGCTTCAAAATTATAGGTTGGCGGAACCGCGACGGAGACCGGTTTCGAAAAAAAGAAAACAGAAAAAAAATCTCGCCAATATGGCGCTTATATAGAGTGCAATTCAAACACTTACCAAAATGTACAAATATTTACGTATATTCGTCTGTAGATAGTGTCGTTTTCCCTCCTCGGCAAATATATGAACACCGTCTTTTCTTGTCACATCATTGGCACAAATTCTACACTGTTCATCATCCTCACGACGATCCCTTTCTTCGAAATCACGTCCCGCCGTGCCCATTTCAAAATAAAAAAAAACAAATTTTTTTTTTTTATTTTCTATCAAATTTTCGTATTGAAATTATTCTCCTTTTATTGCCTCATTATTATATCATTTATCATTATTTATTAAATCATTGTCATCATTGTCATCATTGTCATCATCGTGATCATCATTATTATCATTATGATCAAATAATAATTTCCATGATTTTTTTTGTTAAAATTAATTTTTTTCTCTCTCTCATTGTTGTCACACGCTTCATTTCTCAGCGCAGCATCCTTTTATACTCCCCAAGATTATTCCAACATCTATAGGCGCAGAGGGTTGATTATTCTAACGATCTTTTTTACTTATGACCTCTAGGATTGCCGAGATTACTACTGACACCGTCGACGCTTTAAAAACGACGTCGGCGCCGGGCGTCGGCGTCTCCCCCGAAACGAGTGCTCAATACAAAATATATAATAGCATTCGTCGATTTGAAAAACATATGTATATAGAACTATATATATATACATAAACTTTTATATATATATATATATATATATATATATACAGGTGTGTGTATATATACAAACACACATATCCAATTGTTTTATTTACGGTCCTCGTATTTCCCTTCCTGGCATTATATTTTTCCTCATTATAAAAATCCTCTTTTTATTTCAATATTTCTCTCAACATAGTTAAAAAATAATTTTTCTATATAATGATTTTTTCCACTCAAAATAACATATTAATACTATTATTAAAATATAGAGTGTATTTAAAGAGCAAAATTTATCACTAGAAAAGAATAAAATGTATCGACTCTCAGCTACTTTTTAATTGGTCCGCCATTTTTCTTTTTTCTGGGAAATTTTTTTTTCCCCCTCTTGACTATTTGTGTACAACATCATTGTTTATATGTATACAAATAAGAATAAATATTTTGTGAATTGTGTATATATATTTATTTTTTTATTATAAAGTTTTGCGCGGACAAGATTTTGAATATTTCAAAATATTGGCGGGCTTGAAAATTGAGTATATTGCGCGAAACTGTGAAATTCTAGCGCACGTGTTGTATGTATGTGTTTTAATTTGTTTGTGTGTGTGTGTTTTATTTAAACGAGGTAAAAAGTATAGTTCCGGATATATACTTACGCCGAACAGCCTCCCCCATTTTTCTCTCCGCGAAGCTACACGTTCCCATTAAAAAAAAAAATCAATACCTAATAATTAGCAATTAAAGCACAGATCAACGAATACGGTCGTGATTGGCAATAGTTTACGAGCCACATGAATTGCACTCTCTAGTCATTGTCAACAATTTTCGATGAGACATATATATATATATATAAAACAAGTGGGGAAAATTCACGTTAAAAAGAGGATTATTTCTCTCGCGCGGAAATTGAGGAATTCAACCGAGAATAAGGGATAAATTATAAATATATCACTATACTTCGATTTATATACTTGAAAGTACTGTAGATAAAAAATGAAAATTGAAATAAAAGAATAACATTTTTTTTTCTAATAAGAAATTATTTTTTAATAATATTTATTTCACATAATCGTTTATCAATTAAAGAAGCAAAAATCGAATAAATATTTTAAAAATACATTTTGTTAATATTAAATTGATTTGTGTGATATTTAATTGAGGTTAGGTTTCTTTTTTCGCTGATTTTATAAAATAATATATACCAATAAGAATTAAACCAAATAAAACTAAAATAGTATACGTATAATAATAAATTTCGACCGAAATTTGCTGAATACATGTTTAATTATTCATTTCAGTGATTAATTATTAATTATACAGTTAATAATTAATATATTATAAGAAATAAAAGAGTTATTTCTCATATATTTAATCGATTTTTATTAATTAAAAATCAAATTTACACTGACGGAGACGTTCTTTAAAAAAAAAAAAACTGTTCAATGAAGAGAAAAAACACAATTTTTCCGACTTTTCCTTGAATAATTTTTCTTCCTGGCTGACAGGATGACAAAAAAAAATTGAATTAAAAAAGTAAAGAAATGTGGCTCGATAAAAACGTTCCTGTACAAATATAAAAATAAATGAAAATAAAAAATATTTAAAATAAACATTTTTTTTTTTAAAAAACCAGTTATCAATTGTTCTTAACCTTTTTAAAAAAATCAATCAAAATTATAATAATATATAAAATATAAAAATCAATAACGTTTCCAAAAATAATTCTAAATTTATCAAAAACTAAAAAAAAAATATGATAAAAAATCATTCCTGATGGCAGAAAAATTCTTTCTACAATATATATTCTATATAAATAGAAGAAAAAAAAATTTCCCCATTCACTGAAAAAAAAAAAAATGTCAGAACTAAAACATTGTGGTTTTATATCACTTTTATATAGTATCGGAGAAAAACCACTGAATCTGTGGTCAAAACGTATTTCATCTGATGGGAAAATTTGTCGAATAATAGATAATGAGTTTTTAAATGGAGACAAAATAATTGCAATAACTGGCCCTCATAATGTTCCTGTTTATACAAATATCACTTGTCCCGCTGATTCAACTGATGTATTAAATATCAAATTGCCTATTCTTGTATTAATTATTAAAAATTTACAACTTCGTCTAAAATTGGAATTTCAGGTATAAAATAATAATAATAATAATAATTACAAAATGTTTATACTAATTAAGGTAAATCACCTGCGGCAAAATATTGTGAAATAAAATTAATTATGAAAATTGAAATGATTTTCCATTCCCATCAATTTAAAAATAATAATTATAAATTCACTAATAATTTCAATTATTATAAATACTAATTTTATTTATTATTCCTATTTAAATTTAATTCAATGATTTTAAAAAATTTTTATTAATAAATTATAATAATTATTGTTTTATTATTATCAATATAATTAATTATTTATTATATTCTAAATTCAATCTAATATGACAAAAATTCATAAGAAAAAATAAATAAAAAAAAAAAAAAATTTTTTAATTCGATATTGTACAGATATTAGATAAGGAGAAATTTCGTAGAAAATTGACATTTTTAAATGAAGAATTTCCACCAAAAATTAGTACAACCGTTGCTCGTTTGCCATTAAAATTAGAAGAAAATTGGAATAATTTAGAAATTAATTTTCAAATTTTGTGCCACGATATTTTTGGAACTGATTACGATGTCATACAAAGAATAGTTATTTATTCAAATTGTCATATTAGACGAATTTACATGCAAGATCGTCATTATGAATATGATGAAAAACCAGCAAAATTATTTCAAGCATTTTTCGATATGTATCTCTTAAAATGGGGAATAAATTTTGTCGATAAAACTTCACAAACAGAAAAATTCAATAATATAGGTAAAAATATAATAAAATTTTTAACTCTCATTTAATAATTAAAAGGAAAAAATAAAAGGGAATTTATAATAAAATAAAAAAATTTAATTTTAATTTTGTTCTATTTTTTTCTTATTTAGAAAAATAATTAATTAATTTGAACAAAATTGTTTTTTTTATGAATTTTTCTTTTTGTAAAATCGGGTTTTTTTTTCAAAAAGAAAATAATAACTTCCAATTATTTCAGAACCTGTACAAACAAGTAATACTAAAACTATAACAATTGCAAAAAATTCAAAAAGTTCCGTTAAATTCCATTGGACTCCATCGCAAAGCAATGGATCAAAACAGAAAACAAGACAATTTTCAACAAAAAATATTAAAACGAAACAAATTAAAAATACAAAAAAAGAAGAAAAAAAATTGATAAAAGTGGAAAAAAATATTAATGACAAAGAAACAAATGAATTTGAATTTCCTATTTCAATTTCAATAAATAATAATGAATCGTCAAGAGATATGGAAAAATTTTCAAATATTATTGAAAAAAGTAAATATCTTGAAATTTTAAAAAAATCAATTCCAAATAAATTTCACGAGGAAGGAAATATTTTTTCTAAATGGCCCTATAAATTTGATAATTTACACAAAACTACAAATAATGTCACAACAATTAATGATAGTATTATTAATAAACAACAAAATATTATACAAAATTTAAATAAAAAAATTGAAGAAAATATTCCAATCACTAAAGAATCATTATTAAAAAAGACAAATATCAATTTTCAAAATGAAAATGTGACAAAAATTAAAGAAATCATAAATGAAGTTCACAAAATAAGACAACAAATTAATGAGAAAAATTATGATTTAGAATTTTCAAATGACAATGACAATATAATACCTGAATTTGTTGAAATAGAGGCGAAAAATTTCAATAAAAAATCACAAAGTAAACTTTTAACATCCGACTTGATAGTTAATGAATTGTTCAAATCTCGTTTTAAACTAAAAACAATATTTGAGAGATTAAAAAGAAAAGGGTTTTCAATGAAAAATATGGAATTATCGATTCAAAATACAGGTGAACGAAAAAATAGTTATGGACAGGGAAAACTAATTGAAAGTTGTCGTGGTTCTGTAAATAAATCGACAGATTGTGATGAAATGAAAAAAAAAGAAAAAAAAAAAAAAACCTTTTAAAATCCATGTCTCTCTAATGGATGAAAAATTAAATAGTAAACAAAAAAAAAAGAGTAATGATAAAAAAAATGTTCCAATCAATGTTAATTTTTTTGAAATGATTGTGAAAAAAAAGGGTGAAATTGTAAACGAATTCAAATAAAATATGAAAATATCAAAAATTGTAAACCTAAAGTGATAAAAGAAATAAATATTAAATTTTAAAATATAATCTTATTAAATAAAACTTATCAACTAATAAAATATGCTTACAGTAGAAATTTAAATTCATAAAAAGCAGATTTTACTAAAAAAAAAAATTATTTTTTTTACCATTCAGAATTATTGTAATAAAAATGAAAAATCTAGATTGCCACAAGAATTAGTTTATCAATTTCTCTGTCATTAAAAAATTTTCCTTGACAAAAAAAATTGTATTAAATTTAATGAATTATAAATAGAAATCTATAATAATTTAAAGTAAGAAAAACGTGTTTTCTTACTAAATTTTATTGTTTTCATTAGAACATAGATCAAAGTACATTTTATCTTGTAAATAGATAAAATTAATTAATGTGCAAAATAACTAATTTGTATCTATTGAAATTCGAATAATTTGAAACCTAAAACAATTAAAATTTGGAGAATTTTAAAATTATATCAAAATTTAGATGAATTGAAATTCGAATAATTTGAAACTTAAATCAATTAAAATTTTAATAAATTGAAATTCAGATAATTTGAAAGTTAAATCGATTAATCTTTAGATAGATTGAAATTTCTTTAATTTTAAGTGGCGATAGATTGAATTTGATTAAAATTTTAATTAATAAATTTGTCATTAAAATTTAGATTCAATTGAAATTTAGATCGATTAAAATATTAATAGAATAAAATATTGAAATTGTAATTTAGTGGAATTAAAATTTAAACAGATTCAAATTTGAATAAAATGAATTTTCAATTGATTGACTAATTTGAATTTATTGAAATTGGACCTAAATAATTTTTAAAAATGGATAAAAAATTTTGCACTAAATTCATGAGCCAAAAGGTTTAAACGTTCAAATGAACAAAATTTTTTTTGCAACTTCTTTAAATACTAATTTTATTACAAAATATTGTTTTAAATATCTAAAAAGAAGTTATTAATTTAATATTTGTTAAATTTACTGTTTTATCTTACATTGACATTATAATTTTTAATAATTTATAGATTGAAAAAATATTTTGTTCATTTGAACGTTCGAGAAATGTTGGCTCATCTAAATTCAACCTTGGGTCAATAATTGTATCATTTATAGATAATATAAAAATTCGTATTTTTGCATTCTCTAAATTAATTTAAGTTTAGGAATTTAAAACAAAAATTCTGTTTGAACTAATAAATTATTTTTCAACACTCCTGAACTTAAATCAATGTTTTTAAATTTTAAATTTAATTAGTTTTTTTTAAATATTACATCCGCAAATTAATCGAATCAAGAGAAAGATAAAAAAAAAGTTAACAAATTATCAAAATAGGTGAAAACTTGTGATCACTTTTAGAGGCAAAAATTTTTTTCTGTAAATTTGTTCAATTTTCCAAATTTTCTAAATAAAAATGATTTTTCCTGACTTTCCTCTGCCGAAAAATATTTTTTTTTTTTGATATTCCTAACTAAAAAAATATAATAAATAAATTATCAACAAATAATTAATTTAACAACCATAATTAAATAACAAAAAAAAAAACTAAAAAAAAGAAATAATATTTTAATATTAAATTTTATAAATACAAAATTACTTTTTAAAAATATATAAGGGTGATTCTCCGCGTAGAGCACAACTTGCTTTTTTCATGTTGTGAAAGAAAAATCACAAATAATATTCACATAATATTTCGATTCCAATGTAAAAATGTAATTTCTGTGACTACAAACAAAAACAAATATTTATTTTTGTATTTAACATTTTATAATTTTTCGTGAAAAGTGGATTTTAAGGCTGAAAACGTCAAAATTTCACCTGTCCCCACAGGATTGTTTAAACAAAAAAGTTAATATTTTTAGCAATGTGCATTAATAAATACAATTTCTATTGCTATTTTAGTATTGTATATTGTAGTGGAATTGAATAAAAAAAACGTTTGATCAAAAAAATAATTATTTTCTTTTTTTTTTTTTTGCTATTTATTCTTGACTGCACTTTTGTGTGTTATTCTGCGTTTTATTATTAAACATTGAATTATTTAAATAAAAGTTAAATGTTAATATAGTTCTACTTCAGTAATAGCAAAAGTAATATTTCTTAAGTTGATCCATGAAGAAAGTAATCAATTTTCTAATTGATTTATCCTTTTTTTAAACATTTTAAGATTCAAATTTGTACAGGGCATCACAAAATCGTCTCCACCGGCATCCACCGACCCTTCAATATTATTTTAAAAAAAAAAATATATATAATTAAATAATAAAGGTTAAATAAAGTGTAGTTATATTATTTTAGTCTATATATATATGTGAAACATATGAAACCGATTAAAAATAAATAATAATTTTCTCAAAAAAAAAAAAAAAAAAATTATTAACATCAGTTCCACCCGCCACAAAATTTCGACCGTCACTAGTCCAAGTTTAATGAATGAAAGTTTAATGAAACAAACGAAATTAAAAATATTTATTATAAACTATCATAGCTCCGGTAAGTTTACTATAACTTACCAAATAAATTTCTATAAATTACCGTATAAATTTCCATAAATTTCCATAAATTACCAAAATAAAATTTTTAATTGTCGTTTGCGCTATATATATTTTTGTAAATTACCACGAAATTTTTCATAAATTAACGAAATTAAAATCTTTAATTGTGATTTATGCTTTACATATTTTTATGAATTATAGCTAAAATTTCTATAAATAACCATATAAATTTCCATAAATTACTGAAATAAAATTTTTAGTTGTCGTTCGCGCTATATATGTTTTTGTAAATTTCCGTAAATTACCAAAATAATAATTTTTAATTGTGATTTATGCTTTACATATTTTTATGAATTTTAGACAAAATTTCTATAAATTACCGCATAAATTTCCATAAATTACCTCGAAAATTTCCGTAAATTACCGAAATAAAAATTTTTAATTGTCGTTCGCGCTATATATATTTTTGTGAATTACCCCAAAAATTCCCATAAACATTTTAAATTAAATTTCAACTATTTTATAGAATTCAACAAGCAAAGAATTTTTTTTTAACTTGTTTAAAAAAATGAAAAAATTATAAAAAATTTTTCCGGCCCACCATGGATATTTATTTCTTGACACTTTATCTTCAAAAATATGTATTGATATTTTTGAAGATAAAAAAATATTTTTAAAGTTTCAGACACCAAATCGTGCGCTACGCGGAGAATCACCCATAATGTAATGATTTTCAATATATTGCAATGCTTGTCTCATAAAAATCATTTTTTTTTTTATGAAAAAAGATGTAAAAGATGTAATATAATTATCGCATAACAAATTTATTACTTTTTTTCAAAGTCAAATATATATATATATATATTTATGTATATGAAGGACACTTTTTACCTTATTAATTGAATAATATTCTAATCCTTAATTAATTTTGTACGTTAAACAAATTGTAACTGCAGACAAAATTGAGCTATAAAATATTAACACTTGGCTTTATTTTGAATTGGTAAAAATAATTTAAATTCAGCTGGTAATTCATCCTCGGAATAAAGTCTATCAGAGAAATAAACACGACGTATCCTGCAATTTGCATGAATTTGAACTCTCAATGTTTCCACATAATTTGTACCGTATGCACGACGTGTAAAATCAGCTAGATTAAATTGTATTTGATTCCAGCCATCGTCTAATCTCATTGGCATTGTGCAAATAAATGGTTTTACCCTTGTTGTCGATTGATAATTACTTGCTCGAAATCTTCTACGAACATTTTTGTCGTCAATCACCTGTAAACATTGAGATATACTATTTAGAATAATATTACCTTTAATTTTAACATATAATTATAAGAAGGAGAATAATTAAAGGTTATTGGAATTGGTTTAATACTTTGGTAAATTGTTGTTCTATTATGAGAGTAACAAATCCCTAAAATATTAGCTTATTAAAAAATAATAATAATAAAAAAAAATTTACAAACCTAGAGTCAAATTTATTTCATATACAAACGTAAATGTAAAAAATATATTAACATTTATGTTCAATAGTGTAAAAATATAAAAAGGAATAGTTTTTCAAAAATTTTCTAAAAAAATATCCCTCCCCTTTCTTATTTTTTACACTATTTTATTATTATTGGTATTAATGAAATTATTTTTCAAAAAAAAAAAAAAAAATTAGAAAAATTAATTTAAATCTAGTTTGCTATAATTTTTCGTCTAAAAAATATTTCTTGTACCTAGTTTTCATTGATCAAGAAATTATAAAAAAATATTTTTTAGACAAAAAAATATAGAATTTTTCATTTCAAAAAATTATTTCTTTAAAAATAGTTTATCATAAACTTTGCGTAGTTCAGCTTTGTATTGTTTTATCAAAACTACTAAAACCGGTAATTTCTGACATTTTTTATTTTCCGAAAAAAGTATATTTAATACAATTCCAAGTAGATTTGTTATGATTTTATGAGAATTACATCGTAATTAAAAATACCCCAAACAAAAACTATTCAGATCTTTTGGTTAAAAATTATCAGAGGGGGAGACCACTTTTTTCAAAAATTTTTCATTTTTCTTAATAAATTTTTCCTGTAACTAAGACAAATTTTCAAAATTTCAATTAAATAAGACAAATTGTCTAAAAAGAATTTTTTAATGTTCCATTTTAAAAATTTTTTGAAGTCAGTTTTAAAAGCAATTTATTTAAATTAAAAATTTTGGCATAATTTTTAGTTTTAATAGTAAAAAAAAAAAATTTCGAACAATAATTAAGTTTTACAGATTTTTAAATTAAATTTTTTTTTAAATAATTGAATTGCACAAGATTTTAAATTTGAAATAAATTTTCTACAAATTTAAATTGCTGTAGTTTTTTTTTTTTTTAATTTCTAACAATAATTCAATTTTAAAGTTTTTATTTGAAACTTTTTTTAAATAATTGAATTTTAGAAGTTACAGTTTAAACTTTTAGAAATAATTGAACTTTAAAAGATTTTATTAAATTTTAGACAATTAGTTAAATTTTACAGAATTGAAAATAATTTATCAAATAATTTTATATAATATTTTTTAAATGTAATTGAATTTTCAAATATTTAAAATTCAAATTTTTTGAAAATAACTGAACTTCAAGTGATCTTTAATTGATATTTTTGGTGATTTATGATTGATGAAGAATTTATTAGAAATTAGAGACAAAAATTGAATTTTAAAAAGTTTTTAAATGAAAAATTGTTTTCAGATATATGTAATTGAATTTTCAAAGAATATTATAAAAGTAATTAAAAATAATTGAATTTTGGTCAATGATTAAAAATCAATTTTTATTTAACACGGAAATTTATAAAATTGTATACCTAAAAAACTATTTTTTTGTAATAATTTGTTGATTAATAAAAACTAGAAGAAATATTTTTTGGGCAAAAAATTATATAATTTTTCATTTTAAAAAATTATTTCTTTAAAAATTGTTTATCATAAATGTTGCATACTTCAGCTTCGTAAAAGTAACAAAAATATTTTTGAAGTTGGAAAAAAGGGGTTTAAAATTAAAAATAGGAGTTAAGTTTGAAAATAATTTTTTTTTTTTAAATACTTTTTTGAGATTAAAAACGACATGAAATATGTTTCAATAAACCTTATTTACAAATTAAAATCGATAAAGATTTGTCATAGTAATACGGATTTGAAAATAATAGTTTTAAGCAAATATCTAGATATGCGTGTGTGTTTGTTTGTTTGTTACGCTTTTTTGTCGCCAGGATATCTCGAGAAACGATTTAATCGATTGTAATATAATAAAATTTGGTAGATTTATTATACTCATAATATAAAAAATTATATGCAAAAAGTTTTAGAAATACTACAGAAATTAATTTTTTATAGCACATTTTTTATTCAAAAAATATTTTTTTGCATATAATTTATTTCCTTTTTAAAATGCATTCTAATAATAAAAAAAAAAGTTAAAGTCCTTTAAAGTCCTACACATAAAAATAATTATGTATTTCATTAAAAATTGTAGAATTAATCGCGTTTTTTCGTTTTTGAAAAAATTGAAATATTCGATTTTTTTTATAACTTTGCAAATTTATATTATTATTGACGGTTGCTATTATCGAAAAAATATTTTACATGAAATGAAATATTTTTTATTAGAAAAGAATTTTTTTCTCTTTGAAGAAATAAAAATATTTTTTATAATTAAAATAAATATATAGAAGTTTGGATTTATGACATTTTTTTTAAACACAAAATCAAAAGGTTCAAAATTAAAAAAAAAAACCACTTACTTGTACTTCAAAAGTAAAATACTTTTTTAGATTTTTAATTATCATCACAAGAAATGGTAACTTAATTCCCAAAGTTTTTCGAGGATCAGCAGGACACGTAATATATGTTGTACTGACATTACTACCAAGAATTTCAAGCACTAAACTTTGAATATCGTTATCGGTAATTCTTTTAATATGTCCATTTCTCACTTTTTTGTCCCAAATTTGCAATGGTTTACTGCCAATACTATAAAGTATGGAGAGAAATCCACTTTGGAATGTGTTTTTAAACATTTTATTTAGATTTTTCTTTTTAATTCGAGAGTATCAAAATTCTATAATTTTTTTTTTTCTTTAAATTCCGAAAATTAATAAATTTATCAAGAAAGCATAATTTTATTTAATTCACGCTGTTTTATAACAACGTTTTAATTGTTTTTCGATTTATATTATAATAAACGTCGTTTAAACAAACATAACCTATATAACAGTCAGAAATATTATATACATATACATATATACGCCGGGAATAACAAACGCGATTTTATTATGCGCCACCACCAATGAATACACTTCTTTGGAAACTTTGACTAGTTGAAAATAGAGTTAATTATATTATGCAAACTTGTACTTTTGTTTATACACATATTTCGAATAATTTAAAAATAAATATAATAAAAATGTAATTCCGGAAAATTATGCTTGTTTGATCGATGCCCGGGCACTGCCATTTTGAATTTTCTATTTTTTGAGATTGCGCACATGTGAAGATAATTTGGCGGAAAAATTCAAAATTGGAGAAAATAAAAAAAAATAAATAAATAAAAATATTTTCAAAGCTCTCTTAAATATGTAAAATATGCAAGTGACGGAAATTAAAAAATTTTACCAATTTAAAAATTCAACCAAAATTACATTTTTAATTCATTTATATTAATAAATTATTGATTTTCACTTTATGGAAACAAAAATCTACTGTATAAAATTAAAAAAAAAAATTATAATTGTTAATTATAATAGATTAGTAATTATAATTTATTTTGTGTTATGCAACAACTAAGAATATAAATGCTCACATGAAATAAAAGACATTATTTCTATAATATATTTTTTAATTATTCCAAATAGTTCAAAATGCAATTTCTTATATTAATACAAAACACTCTGTTAAGTATATAAATAATATAAATATGCTTCATTTATGAATTTGTAACTTAATAAGTCAAAATAACTGATTATACACATTTTTTTTTTAAATCTAACAATAATATGTATAATGAGAATTTTCAGAGAACATGTTGCTGAAAATATTGAGTCATATATAAAAATAATCAATCAAATACAATAAATATAATAATATATATTTACGTTTTTTTCCCTTCGAGAGAAAAACGTATCATAAAATTTGTAAATTTATAATTAATTTTTTTTTTTTAAATACGTGACTAAAGCTGTGCTTTAAAACGTGTAAATAGATATCTATATTTATAATTGAATTTCATATTTCTCAACGAATATTAACAAAAAACATTCAACATGACAATATTATGTAATTTATAATTACTTTTAAGAACATTGATAATATATAATATTAAAGAACTGGTTTTTTTTTCTTTTCAATTCGACTCAATATAAGCACTAAATTATATAATATTTTTAAATAAAGCTTTGTTCTTTTTTTCAACTCTACAAAAATACTAAGATTAGGCAACTTGGTTGCTACTAGAAAAATTTCTCCTATCATCTATAAAATTGATTCTTATATCTATATGGCTATGAATGTAGTATAATAATAGAAGGATTTCTTCCACTTTTGTCTATGGGGAAAAAAAAAATCTATTAAATCAATTTTTGTTATTAAATTGATTAACTTAGAACAATGTTCAATTCTCATTGTTTTTCAAAATTTTAGTAACTTATCCTTTTACTGATTGTTCATCTGAAAAATAACAAATTTATTGTATTAATTCATTATAATTTTGTATAGAGTCGTTGCAGACTATTTCTTTTTTTTGAAAAAATCTTATAATTCGAAATTTACATTATTATTTTAAAAAAAATTTATTTCATAATTTTTAATAATTCTTTGATAATTGAATTACAGGCCTTGGATCGAATTTAAGGCACAAAAAAAGTCGTTTTAGTCAATTTACATTTAAAAAAAAATCCATTTTTTTATTTTAACAAAATTTAATTAATTAATAAATATTTCACTTTAAATAATAAATAATGAAACTAATTGTACGACAAATTTTCGAAATTTTATTTAAGTAGGACGAATTTCTAAAAAAAAATTTCTTCGTATAATCCGAGGCTAGGAATTATTTTTGAAATTTTTAATTTAAAATCTTTTGAAAATAGAAAAAGTCAAAACTTAATTGCAACACTTACAATAATAAATTATTTCTATTAAATCCATATAGTTATGTTATTTTGTATAAAATAAAGTTAATTAAAATTCTTTGTAAATTTGTTTAAATAAAATATTTTTTTATCCCTCTATTTTTTTAATTATTTTAAAAATAAAATTTGTCAAAATCAAATTAAAATGTTTACTTTCTTTTATAAAATTTAAATAAAAAAATATTAATTACCTGCTACTTTATTATTTTTCTTTTCTTTATTAATTTCCTTAACTATGTCTTCTTTTTCTGAATTATTTTTCTTTTTAACATCTTTAATTTTTCCATTTTTAGCTGAATTTTTACTTTTTTTATTTCCATCTTTTTTACCTTTTTTTAAATCATGACTTATTTCCAAATTGGATTTATCATCAATTTTTTTCTCAATATTGTCATTATTGATTTCGGAATTAATATTATTTTCTTCTTTTTCAATGTTTTTATCATTCGATTCGGTGATAATTTTTGTTTTTTCTTTTTCAATATTAACATCATTATTACTTTTTTCATTTTCAACATTCTCATCATTGGAAGTTATTTTATTTTCTTCTTTTGTATTATTCTCATCAATTAATTCAGAAGTGATATTATTTTTTTCTTTCTCCTCATTGTCAATGTCAGAAGAAATTTTATTTTTTTCCTTTTCAACATTGTCTTTATCAATTTTTTTATTATTTTTCTCCTTTTGTGAACTAACTTTATTTTTCATCGTTTCATCGACATTTTTTCCATTTTGTTGTAATGTATTTTTATTGTTGCTTTCGTGTTGAGCATTTTCGGAATTTTTTGAATTTTCCTTCTCTTGATTTAATGTCGCTTTTTTAATTCGTTTTTCTTGTGAATTTTCAATATTTGAATTATATCTTAATTCATCATATTTTCTATTTAAATTATTGCGCTTTTCTCCAATATCCATTTCATTCCACATTCCCTGTAAAAGTTTCTTAATTTCCTCATCCGTTGATTCTGGATAATCAGCTTTCCAAAAATCTTTATTTAAATTATAATAATCATCAAAATCAATTTCATCCCTTCTATTTTTTTCTTCGTCTGTTATTTTAGTTTTTTTTCTTAAATTCTGTCGCTTAGGTATGTCAATTGTTTCTTTTGAATTTTTATTTTGATTTCTCGTACTTTTACGTCGACTTGTACTTGCAATAATGAAATTCGATTCATTTTCCAATGTAGACACAATATTATTTGATAATGATTTTTCTTTTAAATTAGAAACATCAATTGATTCTGAAGTTTGTGATTGATCATCATTTTCAATTTTTTTAAACTTCTTAGACTGAAATAAAATAATAATTAACTAAATAAAAAATAGAGAAAAATTAATTTCTTTTTTGAAAACAAAATCGGGATTAAAGAAAAAATAAAATAGAAAGAAAATAGAAGAAAATAAAAATAAATCAATTAATTACAGTTGAATTTGTAGTATCGCTTGGAAATTTGGTTCCTTTTGGGGAAAGTTTTCTTTTCAACATATTTTGGAGTTGAACTTTTTTTTCAACCGGTGGAGGAGGTTCAAAAATTGATGCTCTATCTTCATTTGATAAATGCATAAGACCAGAAGCTTCAGTAACTCCGATTCCCCATTGTTTTTTAACTGCCATTTTTTGAGTGAATGAAGCGGCAAATTTTGGTTCTTTTTTCTTAATTTCAGGTGTTATGCTCTTTGCACGAACTTTAAAATCTTCAAGACCAGTGAATGGTATCATGTAATGTGATAAAACCCAATTGTGGCGACCACCATCGCCAAAATATTGAACATGAATCATCATTGCCTGAGATCTGCCTTTATCTAGAATTAAAAAAATTTTAATTAACCCGAAAATATTTCTAAAATTTAATTCTCAATTAAAATAAAATTTCAAATACTTTTTTTGTTTTTTAATTTTAATTTAAAAAGATAAATATTTACTTTGAACTTTAAAGTACAATAGAGTTGTTGGATCGAGAGTTACAACACAAGGCCAAAAAGGATAACTGCTGCCTCGAGCCCAAGCTAATTGACCAAGTATCCATGGACATTTTAATGTTAAATTTCTCTCTATTTTTTCTTTCTCCTCATTCATTTCGATTCCACTATCATTTATTGATTCCATGCCATTTCTTTCAATCTTATCCTTGCTTAGAGATTCTGTCGTTTTAATGCTTTCTGTTTCCGCCATAGCGGGTTTTGAAAAAATATTCTCCTTTAAAACAAAAAAAAAAAAAAAAACGAAATAATAAATACGATTTACAATACTACATTTATGTTTAAAAAAATAAAATCCAAATCACAATAGTCTTTCAATAAAAAACCGAATTACTATATATAATCAATCAAATTAATTCAATAATTATTCTACTTCAATAATTGGAAAAATTCAAACTTTACCACAATTAAACAGTAATTTAAATTATATAAAAATTTCATCCATTCATTTTAATAAAGAACTAACTCTGTCACACATATACGATTTCAATATACATATAGAAAATTCGAGAAAACAAAATACATTCTAGATTATATAAAAAATTAATTAAAATAAATGAGATATAAATTTATAAAACAGAAAAAATTTCATTCATTGTTATATTTTATATTAAATTGAAATTATATTCATTGTATATTGTTTTGTTTATAGCACACAAATTTTGGAGGTTATTTTAATTTCCGTTTCAAAATAATTCTATTAAACAATTATTCTAACACAATTTAAAATAGATAATAGACAAAAGAATTAATCTATTTTAATAATTTTCAAATACAAACCTTTCAAAAACACTGATTCACGGGAAAATATTGAAAATAAAGAAGCTTAATCAACTATAAACAAGACGAAAGCGTCTGACAAAAAAATAATTAGAAAACAACAGAAAATGTCCGACAAATGCCGGTAAAAATTTACGCATGCGTACTATTTTGCACGCGATGATTCGTTGATATTATTCATTTACGAGGCATTTATTTTTAAAAAATTATATTTAAAGTAATAAAAATTGAAGAATAACATTAAATTGTTGTTATTGGTAAATAAGTGAATAAGTTAAATTTATTTTTTATTATTTTTTTAAAAATATGGGAAATAAAATTTAAAAACACATTAATTGGATACTGGTTCCAACTCTTTTGTAACGAGCGACTATATTCTCGCTCGAATCATTTCGATGTATCGAATGAACGATACGATATGATTAAAGTTACGATTTAAATAACCTTAAATAAGTGTAATTATAAAACATTTTATATTACTCTTAACATTTTCTCATAATAAATAAAATAGAGTTTTTCACATAAAGGAAATAGCATGACTAATTCTAAAGTATTTCTGTTGAACTTTTAAGTTTATTTCAATATCGTATTTCTTTTAGCAACATAAAAGATTAAAAGAGAAATGTCATAAATCAGTACAAATAAATAAGAGAAAATATATTCACATATTTCCTCTTATTTCAATTCTAAAATGTAATCCTAGAACGTCATAAAAACCACTTGAAAAAATGTGATCCTTTCTATAAAAAAAGGGACACTAAACACATGTTGACCAGACACGGACTTTTATTACCTTCAATAGAAAAGTCGCGTACGGGCTAAACAATAAACGAAAGTCTACAACGGAAATGCTTTGTATTAGAAAGCAATAAATAATTAAATAATTGTTTATGCACATGTTTTAGTATATTTACACATTTGTATGTAAGCGTTATTAATATTGTTAATTAATTAATAATTGACTATGAGAATATTATAATTTAATATTATTATAACTATATTATAATAATATAATTATGGATTAACCATATAATGTTGTGATGATTAATGTTTATTATATTTTAATAAATAGTATGTTGTATGATGGGAGAGAATAAGTATAATCTCTCTTATGTATGTGTGAACGTATAAGTAACACTTAAGAACGATGTGATAAGTGTTAGTGAAGTGATACACGTATAGGAGTAGCGAATACGCTCCATAGTGAAGCATGCGCACAAACTCAAAATGGACCAAAAGCGGAGAGCGACTCCGCTGGACCAAAAACTCTCTAAGTTAGTTCTAATCTTGACTCTGACTTGAAAGGTTGTTTTCTAAACTCCTTAGTCAGCTTTGTATTCTATCATATTAATAAATTTACAGGGTTTTACCTTCGAAGGAAGAACTAAAGATTATTCTTCCTTTGAACGGGTTTCCCTTCCGTTGTATCGGAAATTAATAATCTTTTATTTAAACCTTCCCGCTTCCTTCTTAAAGGATTTAACTAAAGAGAATCCGGCCAATCATATTCCATTTTTAGAGTTGCGTAATAAAAGGTAACTCGGCTCGTAACACTTTCATGGAAGCTTTTACGTATAAAACGTAAAGCAAATTAGTTTCGTAAGAGACGTAAGAATAAAAAATTTCCCGCCACAATGATAATATTTATTTTTTTATTCAATAATGATTATATTTATTATAATAAAATATTTTTGGTTGAAAAAAAAATATTAATTACATTTTTAATTATAATTACTCATAGTACATTTCACAAAAGTATATATCGTACTTTGTGTAAATATTTGCATTGAGTAATTGGGAAAAATACTTTGTAGGTAGTACTTTTACAAAAAGCACATAGTACTTTACGTAAAAATAATTAGAGTACATACTTTATTAATATTACTCATAGTATTTTTTACAAAAAAATTGTAAAATTTCTATAAAAGTACTCGTAGATTTTTTTTACAAAGTACCAAATGTACTTTTTACAAAGTATCAAAAATACTTTAAATTATCAAAACTATTTTTATAAAGCACTTAAAGTATTTTTTTATAAAACACTAAAAGTTTTATAAAGTACTAAATGTATATTTATAAAGAACTAAAGGTATTTTTTATAAATTGCTAATTGTACTGTTATAAAGTACTAAAAGAATTTATAATGTACTAAAAGTACTTTTTAAGTACTAAAAGTATTTTTACAAAGTACTAAAAGTACCTTTACAAAGCACTAAAAGTATTTTTACAAAGTACTAAAAGTAGTTTTATAAAGTACTAAAGGTATTTTTTATAAAGTTCTAAAAGTATTTTTTATAAAGTACTAAATGCATTTTTATAAAGAACTAAAGGTATTTTTTATGAATTTCTAAATGTACTTTTATAAAGTACTAAAAGTATTTTTTATAAAGTACTAAAAGTATTTTTTATAAAGTACTAAAAGTATTTTTACAAAGTACTAAAAGTACATTTACAAAGTACTAAAAGTACCTTTACAAAGTACTAAAAGTACCTTTACAAAGTACTAAAAGTACCTTTACAAAGGACTAAAAGTACCTTTACAAAGGACTAAAAGTATTTTTATAAAGTACTAAAGGCACTTTATAATGTAAGAAAAGTATTTTTTACAAAGTACTAAAAGTAGTTTTATAAAGTACTAAAGGTATTTTTTATAAAGTTCTAAAAGTTTTTTTTTATAAAGTACTAAATGCATTTTTATAAAGAACTAAAGGTATTTTTTATAAATTGCTAATTGTACTTTTACAAAGTACTAAAAGTATTTTTATAAAGTACTAAATATATTTTTTATAAAGTACTAAAAGTACTTTAATAAAATACTAAAAGTACTTTAATAAAATACTAAAAGTATTTTTTATAAAGTACTAAAAGTATTTTTTATAAAGTACTAAAAGTGATTTTTATAAATTGCTAAATGTACTTTAAACAAAGTACTAGAAATATATTTTGTACAGTAACAATAATATGTTTATAAACTTCCAAAAGTACTTTTTATATAAATTTTCAAAAGTACTTTTTATTAAGTACCAAATGTACATTTTATCCAGTACTAAACGTATATTTTGTATTAAATATCAACAATATATTTTTATAAAGTAACAAGGCAACCTTTTTTAATAAAAGTACTAATAGTACTTTGACAAAGTACCAAAAGTACTTTTTATACCTAAAAAAAGGTAAAAATTTTGTTTTAATTCTATTAAGTGGGCCGTTCACTGCGGTACTGCAATGCAGAGACAACCCGTGGCAGAATCGGAGCAAGCCCCAGACATTCCGCCGATTTCCAAAAATCAGTTCGATATTCTGGCTCTTCAATGAAGAGCGTATCAGATATCAAGCTGATAAGAACAGATACTACACTTTGATCTTAGCCATAGGGCCGAGAAGCGATAATTTGCTATGTTTTTCGTCCCCTTATATACCCAAAATGTAACACAATAACTGCGAGAAAGGTGAAAAAAAGTTTGACATGCGCCCCTAGCGGATATTTTCGAAATTTTCATTTTGGCGCGAAAATTCAAATTTCGACCATTTACTTACCACGTTTTTGACATTTTCCACCGTTTTAATAATATACTACGAGTACTTTTGCAAAAAGTACTAAAGTACTTTTTTGCAAAAAGTACTATGAGTACTATTTGAAAAAATTCAGGAGTACTTTTACAAAAATGAGTACTTATTGAAAAATCACTACGAGTACTTTTTTAAAAAAGCATATGAGTACTTTCATGTAAAGTACTCTATAAGTTTTTACTAAAAGTACTATGAGTAATTTTTTAAAAAGCACTACATGTAATTTTATATAAAGTACTAATTTATTAGTAAAAAAAATTAGGAATTAAATTATATGGAAAAATTAAAAAATTTTAATTTTGATGTATAGAAAGATAGTTTTGTAGGGAGTTTTATGAAGAAAATTAAGTGTTATAAATAAAAAATAAATAAATTTAACCCACCTGCATACGCCCCTGCCCCCGCCCCCTAAGAAATCGATGTCAGGACCCACTATTGATCACTGATAAATGTGATTCATTTACTTAAGATAAGAATTTATCTTATAAAATCCATTTAATATTAAAGACAATAATTTACAGAATAGAAAATAATTTACGAAGTGAATTCATCTACAATTTATTTTTTATTGGTATGTATTCAAATAAAAAAATACTATTTTCAAAAAATTCCATTTTTAATCTCAATTATTTTTTGCACATTCTATTTCTTTTTTAATTTATCAATTATTTTTATTTTGCTCGATTTTGAAAAAAAAAATGAAAAAATTCCTGTTATGCGATTTTTACAACAAAAACTACATTGGTTTCAAAATTATTTTTTAAAATTTTAAGTGTTTTACAATTATTTTTTAAACAAATATATTTAAAAAAAAAAAAATTGTGTATTATAAATTTTCAAAAAAACAAATTATGTCTCAAGTAATTGAATTTCTCAAATAATTGATTATTATTATTAATTAATATTATTAATTAAATAATAGGAATAATTTAAAAAATTTGTTACATAATTTTTTAAATTTTGAAAAAAAAATTAATTCTATTAAATTTTTTTTTATAATTTTAAAGAATAATAACTAATTTAAATAATTTAATATATAATAATGAAATATTTTTTATAATTATTTGTATTTAGTTTAAAAAAATTAAATTTTTGAAAAAAAAATCATTTAATTTAATTTATAATTTATTTGTTACAAATAATCGATTAATTGACTATTATCAAATAAATATTTACTTGAATCACATAAATATTTACTAGAACAAAATAATTTTTATTCTATTTTTCGCACTCTACTTTTTTTTAATTCTCATCAATTATTTTTATTTTGCTCGATTTTGAAAAAAAAAAAAATGAATAAATTCCTGTTATGCGATTTTTACAACGAAAACTTCATTGGTTTTAAAATTATTTTTTTTAAATTTTAAGTGTTTTACAATTATTTTTTAAACAAAAATATTTTTACAAAAGAAAATTGTTAATTACAAATTTTCAAAAAAAATTGTTTCTAAAGTAATTGAATTTCTCAAATAATTGATTATTATTATTATTATTATTATTATTATTATTATTATTATTATTATTATTAATTAAATAATAGTGTGAAATAATTTATAAAATTTTTTAAATTTGGAAAAAAAAGAAATAATATTAATAATTTTTTTATAATTTTAAGAAATTAATAACTAATTAAAATAATTTAATATAATGATGAAATATTTTTCATAATTCTATTTGTAATTAGTTTTAAAAAATTCAATTTTTGAAAGAAATCTTTTAATTTATTTGTTTCAAATAATCGGTTACTTGACAATTATTATCAAATAAATATTTATTTTAATCATATAAATATTTATTTGAACAAAATAATTTTTAATAAAATTAAAAAAAATGTATTTGAACCAATAATTTCTATATTTTTTAAGCAAATACTATTTAATTGATTCAAATAATAATTATTTAAAATAAATAAATATTTATTTCATTATAGTCAACAATTATTTTAATTAAAATAAATTTTTTCCACCTGTTGAATATTATTAATTATTTAACAGTGTAAATTAATTGTTAAATTTTATTGAAAATTTGTTGAACTTGAATAAACATGATAATTTTTTGAAAAACATTTTTTTATCATGAAATATAATTAATAATTACTCTTAATTAATTAATTTATTTATTTATTTAAATATTATACCTAATTAAAAAATATTTAAAAATTATTAATATTAAATAATTTTTAATTTTTTTCCACTGTTTCAGAAAAAAAAAGAAATGGAAAAATAATCAAAATCACTGTAAATTAACAAAATAAATAAGATGTTGAGCCTATTTAGAAAATTTATCTCCAATTCAAATGAATCATCACAAATTCCATTTATTGATGAGACATTTGCAAGTAAATTGGAAATTTTTATTTTCAAACTATCAACAAAGGAATGGTTGGAAAATGTTTCAGGTACAATATTCATTGAAAAATTAGAACCACCACAAACATCATTAATGATAATAAAAATTGAATCACATCCCTATAATTTAATACGAAAAATTACACGTGATTTTGAATTATTAGAAAAAGATGAGAGAACATGGATGTTTCGTGTTTATGAAAAAACAAAATCAACCGACTACAATGAATCGTCTATAATTGCTTGTCGTTTTTCCACAAAAATAATAGCAAATAAATTTTATAATTTTATCAAAGATCTACAAAATATCAGTAGAGCAGGTTTTGAAAATCTTAATTTTCGACTTGAAATAATACGTAAAAAACATGAGGAAGAACTTTTGGAAAAAAACTATGCTTTAGCAGCAAATTTTCCAACGTGGGACTATTTATTGAATGGAAAATATTATCAAAATTTTTACAATATAAAAAATAATTTATTTCAATGTATGACTGAGATACGTGAATTTGATAATGTGAACAAAAAATGGAAGGAACTTATTTTGGGAATTGTGAAAATTGAAATAGAAAAAGATAATGCTGAACAAAGTGTATTGACAGTAATGGAAAATAATCATTTCATTAAATTAGTTATAACAAAAGATGTTGAATTAATAGCATTGGATAATAAAACATGGATGTGGAGAGGATATAAAAAATATGAGAATAATGTTGAAAATCTATTGATTGGTTGTCGATTTATAAATACAAAAATTGCTCAAACTTTTGGAATTAATATTTTGAAGGCACAAAAAAATGCCCCATCAAGATGTAATTATCGCGATGAATATATGAGTGAATTATTTAAAAAAGAAAATGAAATAAAATTATCAAATAATCAAATTGCATTGGAGACAAATTTTCCCGGTGAATATGAAATAATTGACAATGATGACAATTTTTCATCACCCACTACATCGAATATTAATCAATTTATTGTTAATAAATATACTCCAACACTTTCAAATATTTCACTTTCTTCATTTTCAATATCGTCAAACGATGAAAATTCCATGTTAAACATTTTATATGAAAATAGAGGAAAATTTTCTATTTTTAATTTGGAAATAAAACAATGGAACAAATGTGGCGATGGAACAATAAAAATATTAAGAAATAGAGAAATATCAAATATTTATTTATCGATGAAATTTAATGAAAATGAATTTATTTGTAAAATAACTCAAGATTTGGAATTGATGGAAAAAAATTCAAAATTCTTTATCTGGAGAGTTTATAATAAAAATGAAATGAAGAAATCAATTATTTTTTTGATGACAGAATTTGAAAATAAAGAAATTTCAGAGGAATTTAAAAATTGTATGAAAAATATAAAACAACATTATTCCGATGAATTGTTAAGCGATGAATTTGAATTGAATATAATGAAGGAATTATTTGAAATTGAATTGAATGAAAAATTATTAGCATTTGATATGAATTTTCCATCACATGTCGATATTGAATGGCTGAATGAAGAGATTAATAAAAAATTAAGAGTCAATGAGAATATTAGTGAAATTGATTTTACTAAAGGTGCAATATTTCATTCGAAAGTTGATATTTATAAATTTGATAAAATTTCAAATGAATGGAAAAAACTCACAGTACATTCAGGTACAATAATGATAAAATTAAAACAATTTCAAGAATTTCAAAAAACAATTATTTATACAATTATTGATGATTTTCAAGGAAAAATTGTGATTAAATGTGAAATAGCTGGTAATTTAAATTTAGAAATGAAAGACAAAACTTCATTTATTTGGAGAGGATACACTGAAATGGAAAATGAAAAAATGGAAACTCACTTGATTGCCTGTCGATTTATAAATTTTCATATTGCCAAAACATTTAGGGCAATTGTCGCCGATATTGTGGATAAACCCATGAGATGTTTTCTTCGCGATAAATATTTGTCATTAATTTTAAAAAATGAGAGAGAACAAATTTTTGAACAAAATCAAATTGCTCTCAATTCTATTGCTGAGAAAGAAGAATAAAAAAAAAAAAATTGTTTCTTTTTCTAATTTTTAAAAAAATAAAATTATAATTCAAAATTAAAAAAAAAATTATTACCTTTAAATTTTTTTCCCTTATAGAATTTTCCTTTAAAGTTCTTGTATTAAAAATTAGATTTTAATAATTCAATGTTTTCTTCGTGGTAAATTTTGTTCTGTAATTCTAAAAACTGAGAGAGAGAGAACAAATTGTTCTCAATTCTGTTGTTGAGAAAAAAAAATTTGTTTTTTGTAATTTTTATAAAATTTATAAAATAAAATTATTACCTTTTCCTACATTTTTTTTTTGATCCTTGAATTCACATTTTCCTTGAGGTTCTACTATTAAAAAATAAGAGCAATTAATTTCTTATAAATTTAATTACAATTTTTTAAAAAAAAGTTGAAAAAAATGTTTATAAATAATAAATTGAAATAATTTAATGAAAAAGTTAAAAATATAAATTCAATTAAAAATAAATTTCATATTATAATATAAAAGTATAAAATCAAATGTAAAAATGATGTTAAATATAGAAATATAAAAATTGTTATAGGAAAATTATTAAAAATTTATAATCATTATTTACATGTTTTATTTTGAAATATAGATATATATTTATAAAAAAATAATTTGTTAAAATTTAAAAATTTTCATAGAAAATTATGGTATTTATATAAAATTTTCTTATTAAGTAGAAAAAATATATAGTGTAAAATTGACATTTTCTTTTTAAAAAAATTTGCAAAAAAAAAGTTTTTCAAAAAGTTTTAAAATTTTCCGAAAACAAATTTCTTTTCTAAATTTGAAAAATAGATTATTTATATTTTTTAAAGAGCTTCAACCATAATTGCAATTCCTTGACCACCTCCAATGCAAGCTGAACCAATTCCAAATTTGGCTTTTCTTCTCCTAAAAAAATTTATTTTACATTATTACGATTTTATCACTTGCCAGTTTACCACAATAAAATTAAAAATTTATCAGTCAATTCAAGACTCTCTCAAAAATAAAAACTTTTTATTTTTTGAAATATTTGAATTGCATTATTTGAAAATAAAATTTACCTAAGTTCATGTACAATATGTGTAGTGATTCTCGAACCGGAAGCAGCGAGAGGATGTCCCAAGGCAATTGCACCGCCGTTTACATTCAATTTATTCATATCAATTTTTAAATCTTTAGCGCAAGCCAAAGTTTGTGCTCCAAAAGCTTCATTAATCTGTAAATTAAAAAAAAAAGAAAGCAATTAAAATACAACATTTCTTTTACTAAAATTAATTGCTAAGTATAAAAGATGAGAAAAAAAATGTTTTTTTTTAACAGAATTAAAAATAGAAAAAATTTACTTCAATTATTTCCATATCATCTAAAGATTTTCCAGTTATTTTAAGTAAATTTTGAATAGCCGGCGATGGTCCAATTCCCATAATAGTTGGATCGACACCAACCACCGAATAGCCCACAATTCTTGCCAATGGTTTAAGTTTTTCTGATTTCACAGCCTCTTCACTGGCGAGAACTAATGCTCCCGCACCATCGCAAACACCCTGAAAAAAAAATTAAATTAAATTCGCTTTTATTAAAAAAAAAAAAAAAATTTGTTTTAAATCAAATTACAATTTGTATTATTTAAAATTCTAATTTCAAAATTAAAGTCAAATTAAATTAGTTAATTAAAATATAAAAAGAAAATAAGAAACAATTTGAGAGAATATATATATTTTTTTTAAATTAAAAATCTCTAAATTGAAGAAATTATAGTTAAAAGAAATATTTAGCAAAATTAATAAATAATTAATTAATAAATTTAACGTTAAAAAATAACAATGTTTAAAAAGGTAATAAATAATATTAAATAATAGTAAAAAAAATTAAAAATAAAGAAACATAGAATTAGTGTAAAAGAAAAAAATATTAATTTACAGATGCTGAACCGGCAGTGACTAGGCCATCTTTTTGGAAAATTGAAGAGAGTTTTTTTAGATCTTCAATTTTTGTTTGCGGACGAGGATGTTCATCTACAGCAACGGCTACTTCTTGTCTTTTTACTTTAACAGTTACAGGAGCAATTTCATCCTTAAATCGACCATTATCATTAGCTGCAATATATTAATATTAATTTAGTTTTTGCTTTACGAAAGAACAAGAAAATATTCAAAAGTAAAGTATAATTTCTCTCTTTTTTTTAGAGAATTTTTTTGAACTGCCTTTTATTATTATTATTATTATTATTATTATTATTATTATTTTGTAAAAAGAGAAAAATTTTATTTCAAAATTATAGTGAATTGAAATTGAATTTTTTTTTTCTAAATCATATCTCACCGTCCTTCCACAATTGCTGACTTCGAAAAGCAAATTGATCAACTTCATCTCTTGTGACACCGAATTTAGCACCAAGTTTTTCAGCAGTAACACCCATTGGTAAATTACAATAAGAATCCATTAAACCGAGCCAAAGAGAATCTTCAAAATCATATTTTTGTCCTAAAGCTGTTCCAAATCTCACATTTCTCACAACAAATGGAGCTTGACTCATATTATCAGTTCCACCAGCTACAACTATTTTCGATTCTCCAACTAGTATACTCTGAAATATGAAAAATCAAATTTTTATCAATAGGGTTGTCACAAAATGTTCATTATTCACAGTTTTCTTGAATTTGAGACAATATTTTGTGTTTTTCCCTAACATTTTCGAATTTTGTTCTATTTTATCAATTTTAAATTCTATTATAAAAAAAAAAAATTGTAAAAAATGAAAATTCGTGTTAAACAAACATTGTATAAAGAACAATTCAAATTTTGAAGAAAAAAAAAATCAATTACATATTGTCAAATGTTTTATTTTTAATGAAATTCTTTTTAAAAATTCATTTATTTTCAAATCTATCAATTAAATTTTACAAAATTTCAATTATTTTCAAAAATATAATTTAAATTATTGTTATTTAAATAAATTTAATTATTTCAGAATAAAAAATTTGTCGATTTGTTGGTGGAAATTAAAAATTATACGAATTTGAATACAATCTTAAGTTACTTGAGTATTAATTGCCATATAATTATTATTTTCTTATTGAATAATTTTTCAAAAATTCTTTAAAAAATTTTGAATTTTAATAAATAAAATAAAGTATAAAATTTTATACCTGCAGGCCACTGACGATTGATTGAAATCCAGAACCACAAAGACGATTAACTCCAAGAGCATTTCTATCTTGTGGAATTCCACATTTCAAAAGTGTGTGACGAGGTAAAAATGCACCATCTGATGAAGAATTCTATTAAAAAATAAATTAAAATTGAATTTTAATTGAAAAATTATTTTCAATTTCTATATATATAATTTTTTTTATTAAATATAAATACAAACCATTAATACGTGGCCAAAAACGACACTATCAACTTTTTCAGGTTGAATTCCTGCGGCTTCAATTGCTGCTTTTGAAGCAACAACCGCTAAATCAGTTGCACTTTTATTTAAAAACATTCCGCCCATTTTTCCAAATGGCGTGCGCTTTGCGCCAACGATATAAACACCTTTAAAAAAAAAAAATAATAAATCACATTTTTTTTATATTTTAACAATATTTTCCCTTGGAAAAATTTCTCCAAAAATGTAAATATTTTCAAAAAATTAAAAATATCAAATAATTATTGTCGTAAATTAATTATATGCAGGTATTTATTTATTAGAAATGATTAATTAAAAAGAACTTTTTTTTTTAAGAAATAAAACATTTGAATAAATAAAATATAGAAATAATTATAATTGTGTAACAATTAAATTAGAATAAATAAAAAATATAATTTTCGATTTGGAAAGAATGATTTTTTCATCAATATATAATTCTCGACCGTGTGGTAAATTATATATTTTATATATTAAAAAATATAAAACTATTGGGACTCATTGACTTTTGAATCTAGGATTAAATATTGTACCTAATTAACATTCTTTAAATTAAGAAACATGAACTTGTTATTAAAAGATGCAAGTCAGCGTATATGATATCAATACAATTATTTTTATCAAAAAATAGTATTTAATATACTTTATTATTTATTAATTAATAAATAAATTATTATTTATTAAAAAATTATAAATATTAATAAAAATAATATTAATATATTATTTATTACTATTTATAATTCCAAAAAAAAAAAAAATTTCCAACTTTTTGAAATAAAATAACTCAAATAAAACATTTTTTTTAAATTATTTACAGTAACAAAAAAAAAATTGATTTCCCCATATAAAGAAAAAACCAGTTTTCACTTACCGTTATAAACTATTTTTTTTTAATTATTCTTTTTTTTTTATAAATAAACGTTCTATTAGGAAATAATTTAATTCAGAAAAATTACGATAATAAAAAATCATTCACATAGTCAAAACAATTACTTGTTGAAACAATTGAATTATTTATATCTATATTGAAAACTTGTTTTCATTGTTTATATATATGACAAATATTAATTTATATAATTTATAAATATTCAAAAAAAACATAATCTTTTGTTTCATACCTTTCACTGAAACGGACATTTTTCCAGTTGAACTTTACTTAAACACGAAGGACATACAACTAAAAATTTAAAATAAAATAATTGAAATAAGTCTTGACGATATTTATCACACACATGTATACGTCAGAAGTCTAACTTCCAGACGAACAAGGTTCAAAGTCTACATGGAAAAATTCCTTGAGAGGGGAGAAATTTCTTTATAGAAGATTGAGGGGGGGGGGGGGGGTTGATAGAAACTTTTATTTTTTAAACCTTGTTTTAATTATTCAACAAGTTTTGAAATCTAAATAACAAAAAATGTATTATTGTAAATGTATAATAGCGATATGTTTTGCTCTAATGGCTCGAATTATTCTGAGCAACATAACCTCTAAAAAACACGTTATTCTCAAACATTCGTAATTGAATGAAATTCCGTAACAAAATAAACATGTTTTTTTTTCTTCTTTATTCAAGAAAAATTTAAGAAACAAAGAAATTACATTTAAAGATCAATTTAATTAAATAAGATCATTATGAGTGTAAACATGAAATGAAAATAATATTATAGGCAACGGCCATTCCACGATGAATACACTAGTTCTCGTCTGATCACTAAAGTTAAGCATCGTTGGGCGCGGTTAGTACTTGGATGGGTGACCGCTTGGGAATACCGCGTGCTGTTGCCTTATTTATTTTTTTTTTTTTTTAATATTATTAACAATTTTTCCTTACATATTTACATTTTTTTTAGTATCTTTAATTTCTTACATAAAGAAACTTTTTTTTTTTTTTAATTTGCACAATTATTATTTGAAATCATTAATTTTTTATATTATATTAACATATTTTTTATGTACGAAATTATTATAATTTGGTAGATAAAAAAAATTTTTGCAAAAACTATGCGGATATCAAAAGAAAACTCATAACCACTTTTATATTTGGAAAATCCTCTTTATTTAATTTAATATAAGTTTGCGAAATTTATAATATGATAAAGTATCGTAAAATAATTTATACAAATTCCTATTATTATAAATAAAATTTAATCAAATTTAAACACAATTATCACGGGCCAATGAATGAAATAGTTTTTTTTTATTATTATTTTGGCGATCGTCTTCTCACGAAAAAAAAGAATATTTTTTTCTTTTTTTTTATTATTATTATTGCCGATATAATAGATAATTTTTTTTTTTTTGAGCCCTTCATTTATTAATGAAAAGCTATGATTAATCACAATAATTAAGTTTCCTGAGGATTTTTTTTGTTTTTATGATAAAAATTAGAATTGAGAGAAACAAAAATTACAGGCATAATGTATAAAGTAAATCAATTGTAAGAGAAGTAAAATTATCTATACATTAAAAATTATTAAACTTACTCATAAATAATCAACTACGTAATATGTTTCATCACAAAAGTTTCATAATTAATTATCGTATGCCATATCTATTTTTTTTTTTTTTTTTTATTCATCGTCCGGAATGTAAATTTCTGGCTGATCCGTTAATTCGGCTCCTTTCGCATATTCTTGACCCTAAAATAAAAAAAGAAGTATTTAAATATTAGTTATTTGTTGTTTAAGAAAAAAATGATAATTTATATTATTTTAAATATTGTAATATAGAAATGATAAATTTCTAAATAATTATCTAAATTAATTAATTTGTAAATATATAAAATTACATAATTAAATTTTATAAATAAATATAAATTATATAATTAGAATTATTTTAATTGTTCAGTTCTGTTATTTAATTACATTTCTAGTAATTTGCATTTTGATTTTATTTATTAATTAAAATTTATTTACTATAATTAAAATAAATAATACAAAAAAATACAAAAATTTCTTCAAAAATGTCGAGAATTTAAAATTTCAGTAAATAATATAATAAAAAAAAAAAAATTACTTACATCATCGAAGTTCATGTACATTTCTTCTGCGCCTTGATGAGATGAAAAAACGGCTTTTAATAATCGTCTCTTCGGAGGATTCAATGCATAATCGTAAGCTGTCCACATACACTCCTTTCCAACGACCTTAAAATTGAACAAAAATAAAATAAATCATACATTTTTAGGTAAAAATTATTATTTGTTGACAAAGACATTTTTTTGAATAAATAATAAAAAAAAAAATTATGTTAAAAAAAAATTTAATTAATAAATAAAAACAAACAAAGGCAGGCTTCGCATTTATCTACGAAAAAGATACTTATTTGCTTTTTTTTTTTTAGCCTTTTGTTACTAAAACATACTTTTTTTGAATTTATTAAATTTATATTTAAATTTATTTACATTTACAAATTGGTAAATTTTTTCAATTTTTCCTCAAATTCCCTTTTTTATTTGAGGATTATTAAAATTCTCTATTTTTTCTTCTAATTTCTTTGACTTTTTGTTTTCTTTAAATGCAAATATATATTTTTTCACGGATATTTTTTTATTTATTAACTAAGGAATGCAAAGCATGCAATAGCAAAAACAAAAATAAATAAATAAATAACAAAAATATATAATTCATAAATTATTAAAAAAAAATAATAATAATAATTTTCATTTAAATACCTGCATAGAAGTATCAATACTGATAATGGTGTTACTGACAATTTCACCAGTATTATCAGCCTCCATAATAATACGAGCGCCAAAAATTTCCGAATCATAAAACATTTTCAAATAACCCATTCCAAGATTTGTCCACGTTTGATCATTATTTTGTGCCAATAGTGTGGCTCTTTTTTCAAACATATAAGAGACTTCCTCTTCCTCCACTTCCTCACCATCAAAATCTTCCTCCTCATCTCCTTCATCCACGTAATCATCATCATCCTCATCTTGATCGTATTTTTCCTGATCAGTCGAATCACTGACATTTTCTTTTACTGCAAAAACAATAAACTCTTGCAAACAGTACAATTTTCCCAAATAATATCATTAGAATAAAAAATAAATAAATAAAATAAAATACAATAAAAAAGAGGATAAATAATGCGAAAATGACTATTTTTGTTTATAAAATTCCCATAAAAACTGAATAAGGAAAATTTTATAGACTTAAATATTTTACTTACACACACAAAATTCATAATAATATAAGAAACACACACACAGAGATTTCTTTCAAAAACTCTTCGGAAGAAATGAAATTTTGTGAAATTTTTTTTTTTTTTTGAAATTTAAACACCAAAAATTAATGTGATACACAAGTTTTTATTTCTTCTATTATTGTACAGAAACTTAAAAAGAATCTAAAGCAATTTATAATTATTAACAAAATCCTAATAAAGAATAGTATAAAAAACGTGACAAGTTTTTTTTTTTCTCCACAATTTTTGAGTCGAAAAATTAAATAACATAAAAGAAAATAAGAACAATCGTTCCCTTTCATCGATTAAAAAAAAAATAAAAATTATAATCTAATCAAAAAAAAAAAAAAAAAATATCGAAACTAATAGAAAAATCCATTATTATATAAATTTGATAAAAAAAAAAAAAATAAAAGCAGAAAAAACTCTTTACAATATCGAAAATAAATTAACAATTTTTTTCTTTCTTTTGATTTCTCTCGGAGAAAAATGAAAATATTTTACATAATAATAATAAAGTGAAAATGAAAGCACGTTATAAAAATTAATACAACGTTTGTAATAAAAAAAAAAAAAAAAAAAAAAAAAAAAAAAGAAGAAGAAGAAGAATGTGACACACATACACACACTTTTATAAAGCAAGGTATGAAGCATTTTTTTTTTTCGTTCATCACAATCAAATTCACATGGGAATTTAACTACCTTGCTTGATGCTTGGTCTTTCACGAAGATCCTGTTGAGCCTTGTCGATTGTTTCTTTAAATTGTGATGCCAATTCTGGATTTTTAAATCTCACAGCCAATTTTTCAAGATTTGCTTCACCATCATAATAATTCATTCCAGCCCAAATCCATGCTCTATCTGATGTTTGCAATGGCTCAAAGTCCAAATCAGCATTTAATAACATATTACAAACAATTTTGTGTACCTGCTCACGACGTAATAAAATTCTATAAGTCCCACCTTCAATATGATGAAGAATTTTCATTTCACCAACACCTCTCTCCTTCCATTCTTTTGTATTTGAATCGAATCTGTACAATTTTGCTCTCTGACAGAACACTGTAATGAGAAAATTAAGTTACATTAAATATTTTAATTTCAAAGATCCGTTTCAAATTTACCGTTTGGTACTTCAAAAGAGATCTTCATTGTTTTTTTTTCAAAATTTTTTCATCAAGCCATATTTACGAAATATAAATTTTTCAAAATTAGAGAATTTAAATGTTTTTTTATTTTTCAATTCTCATAATACGAAGCTGAAGTACGCAACGTTTATATAAACGATTTTTAAAGAAATAATTTTTTAAAATGAAAAATTCTATAATTTTTTGTCTAAAAAATATTTCTTGTATTTTTTATTAATCAACAAATTATAAAAAAATAAGGGTGTACTTCCGAAGTAGGGGTACCTCCGATTTTAATAAAACTTGGTATACTAACGTATTTTGGTGCGCTGATTACGAAAATGATAGTGAAAATTGGCGCAAATTTGATTATCATGGTAAAAACCATAAAAAACACCATAAAATCATGGTTTTTTACGATTATCTCGTAAAAAACAAAACATTTCGAAAAAAGTTTTAGACAAAAGTTGTAGATCTCAAAAAAAAAACACACATTTTATGTTTTATGCATTTTTTACCAAAAGTCATTATTTTTCGAGAAAAATCCAAAAAACGAAAAAAACCATGATAATGAAAACATATACAGCAGTCATGGTTAGACATATTATTTGACTCGTATGTAGTATCATATTCACCATTAGTCAGGATCTAACGAATTCCGCAAAATACTTTCGGCCATATCCACCCCCTCTCGTCAAGGTTTTTTTTTCAAAAGAAAAGCGAGCAGTACCTTACGCGGCCGAAGGCCGTGTTTACTATTTTGCATTTACCGCTGCTGTAGACTCCACCCCACAATTTCCGCAAATTACTTTCGGACCATTTTTCTCGAAAAATAATGACTTTTGGTAAAAAATGCATAAAACATAAAATGTGTGTTTTTTTTGAGATCTACAACTTTTGTCTAAAACTTTTTTCGAAATGTTTTGTTTTTTACGAGATAATCGTAAAAAACCATGATTTTATGGTGTTTTTTATGGTTTTTACCATGATAATCAAATTTGCGCCAATTTTCACTATCATTTTCGTAATCAGCGCACCAAAATACGTTAGTATACCAAGTTTTATTAAAATCGGAGGTACCCCTACTTCGGAAGTATATCCAAAAATAATTTTTAGGCAAAAAATTATAGAATTTTTTATTTTAAAAAATTATTGGGTAAGTCCACGTCAGAAATATCAGAATCTGCAAGTGGTTCTTCGATTTTAATGATACTTGGTAAACTTATAGCTTTATATAAGAGCAATGTGTAAGTAAAAGGATTTTTTAAAATATCTAAAATTGTAGGATTTATATCACTTTTAATTTTGAGACTGCATTTTTTTCTTTCCTTTATATCTTGGTCAATTTTCAACCGATTTTGATGAATCAGAAACGATTTTTTTCAGAAAATTACGTATTTTCAGAAAATTTTAAAATAAAAATAAAATTTTGTTATTTAAATAGAAAAAAGTAAAAAACAAAATTTCTTTTAGATTTTTTTCAATTTCGACCTCTTTTTTTTAATTTTTTAATAATATTCCTTTTTATTTTATTTTTAATTTAAAAAAAAATTCATCCTGGAGACTTTTTTAGATCTCGTGATATCGTTCTTTAAATATCCACATCTCAAGAAAACTAGGATCCAGATTTGTGTTTCTACTTTCATTTGTTTTATAATATTATTGTTACAAACTAGAAACTTTCGCATAATAATGTTTTTATTTTTAAATTACTTGACTAAAACAAGTGAAAATTCAAGCAAATCAATATTTTATTAATAGATTTGAAGCAAAGTTTTTATTTTTTGTAATATTTATAATTTAAAATAAATTGTAATGAAACCTTAACAATGCAACCTGAAATTGTAGCTGAAGTTTTTAGCGCTTTCTTTTAGAGGATTCTAAAACAAATAGTTATTCATAACCATAAAAAATTTCAACAAACAAATGAAAGTAATGATAGAAGCAAGTCCTGCGGTTTTCAAATTGATGAAGACTTATAATACTTAAAGGACGATATCACGAGATCTAAAAAAGTCTCCAGGATGAATTTTTTTTTAAATTAAAGATAAAATAAAAAGGAATATTATTAAAAAATTAAAAATTAAAAAATGTGGTCGAAATTGAAAAAAAATCTAAAAGAAATTTTGTTTTTTACTTTTTTCTATTTAAATAACAAAATTTTATTTTTATTTTAAAATTTTCTGAAAATACGTAATTTTCTGAAAAAAATCGTTTTTGATTCATCAAAATCGGTTGAAAATTGACTGAGATATAAAGGAAAGAAAAAAATGCAGTATCAAAATTAAAAGTGATATAACTCCTACAATTTTAGATATTTTAAAAATTCCTTTTACTTACACATTGCTCTTATATAAAGCTATAATTTTACCAAGTATCATTAAAATCGAAGAACCACTTGCAGATTCTGATATTTCTGACGTGGACTTACCCTATTTCTTTAAAAATCGTTTATATAAACGTTGCGTACTTTAGCTTCGTCTCATAACTTCCTTAAAAATGCATCAATTTTAAAAGTTTTTTTTCAAAATATTTCTTTTTAACTGAAATTTTCAAAAATTTCATCAAAAAATTATAAAATTAAAATTTACTTTATTTTTTGTAATTTAAACGTTAAAATCTTGTTTTTAAAAAAATTATTTTATTATTTAAAAAATAATTCAAACAATTTTTTTTCTTAATTAGAACATAAAAAAAACAATTAGAATAAAAAAAAAATTGACAAAAAACAAGTAATCCAATCAAAACAATCAAATGTGTAAAAATAAAATATAAATAAAAATATATTAACGAAATGACAGTATAAGTGAAAAAAAAACAATTAAAATGTAGAATTTATCGTAAATATTTGTAAATATTGAATAAAATTTGAATAATTACTTTTTTCTTCGTCTTCTTCTCCTGTTCGCACTTCAATAGCATCAGGCAGAGGAATGATGGGTTCAAAATGAGGATCATGTTCTTGCTCATTTTCACCTGCTTCATCCTCATTGTCATTTTCATCTTGTTCGAATTGCTTGGAATTATTCTTCGATGTATTTAATGTACTGCTAGTATTTTGGAATTTTGCGCCAAATACTGAGGAACCAGCTCCTTCAAATGCGAAATTTGGATCTGTAAATTGTCAAGAAAATTGTAATTAGTCAATTTTAAAAATTGTGTCGAAAATTTTCCGTCGATTGTTTATTCGGTCATTTATAATTTCGGATAACTGAAAATTTGTCGTCTCAAAAATACTATTAATGATAAATTCGTACAAATAAAAATTTAGGCAAATTACAATTTGGTGAATTGAAATTTCTGTCATTTAAACATTTGAATCACATAAATTTTTATTTAATCAAAATTTGGTTAAATTAAAATTTGATGAAATAAAAATTTTCTTCAATAAAAAGTCGGTTTAGTTAAGTAAAAGTTTATAATTAAAAAGAAATTCAGTCAAATGCTAATTTACACGAATTCTTATTTTGATATAATTTTGAAACGACGAATCTTCATTTGTCTGAAACTTGTTTGTTTGACCATTTGCAATTGCGGATAAATGAAAATTTGACGTTTTAAGAATTCTATCAAATAACAATTTGTACAAATAAAAATTTGGACAAATTAAGATTCGGTGAATTGAAAATTCTAGCATTTAAAAATTCGAAGCACTTAAAATTCTATTAAATAAGAATTCTGATAAATTAAAATTCAATTTAATTAGAATTCTTTTACATCAAAAGTTGTGTAAAAAAAAATTATGTAAAATAAAAATTCTACCAAATGAAAATTTGGCATCTGAAAATTCTGTAAAGTAAAAATTATTTTTAAAATTAATTTAAATTTAATTTTTTGAAATCTTCGAGATAATCGCTCGGGAATTTCGAACAAAAAATGTATGTAGCACTTTTTGATTGGTTCAGCGGATGCTGAGCTACATTCAAATAAAGTTACGAAAAAATATCTAAAATTAAATTTTTGAGATAAAGATTCGGGAATACCGCCAAAATCATTAGAAGAAAGTTCCGAACAAAAAATGTATGGCGCACTTTTTGATTGGACCAGCGGATGCTGAGCTATACTAGAAAACAAATTCGGAAAAAATTACAAAAAATTAAATTTGCGAGATAATAATTCGAGAATACCGCCAAAGAATTTAGAAGAAAGTTCTGAACAAAAAATGTACAGCGCACTTTTTGATTGGTCCAGTGGATGCTGAGCTACATTCATAATAATTTTGGAAAAATTTGCGAAAAATTAAATTCCCGAGATAATCGTTCGGGAATACCGCCAAAGTAGTTAGAAGAAAGTTCGGAACAAAAAATGTATGGCACACTTTTTGATTGGTCCAGCGGATGCTGAGCTAGGTCAATATAAATTTTGTGATTTTTTAAAACTGAGAGATAATCGCTCTGGAATAATACGGAAGTCTTAATCTGGAAGTTGTATTCAAAAAAGTACCCTGTCAATTTAAATTCTAGACTATTTCCCGGTTTTTTCCGGTTAGTAAATACCTTGAGATTTAAAAGATTATTAAAAAAAAAAAAAAAAAAAAAAGATAACATACCTTTTTTGAATGCATTTTGATCACTTTGAGCAGCAAGTGCCGAGAAAGAAACCGCATTATCCGTTGGAAGGAAATTAACTTTCTCTGATGAAGCATCATCAGTTTTCTTTGCGCCAAATGTACTGTCCGCTTGTTTACTACCAAAAATACTATTATTCGTACCGGATCCAAAGCCACCAAGTATTGGTGTACCACCAAATCCACGAACTGGAGTTGCACCAGAAGTTGGCGCATTTTTTAAAGTAGAAAACGAAAGCGATGAGGTAGCCGCATTTCCAAATACTGGCGTTGTTGTTCCTGTATTTCCAAATATTGACGTTGTTGTAGTCGTTGCATTTCCAAAAACACTCGGTGTTGTTGGTGTTGTTGCTGCCACTGTTGTATTTCCAAATATTGTCGACGCTGCTGCTGTTGTTGTTGTTGTTGTTGTTGTTGTTGCATTTTGTGAAAATCCCGAAAATAATGTTTTACTTTGCGCTACAGTCTCATCAGTATTTAATGAACCCAATGGGGTTGTAGTTTTCTGCGAAGGAGTAAAACTATTACCACCAAATATTGAGCCAGTAAATGGTTTTGAGCCAAAAATTGGATTAGCATTTGTATTTGAACTATTTGCAAAACTAAATGTTGCCGCAGCTGTTGACGTTGGAAGTTTAGTTGAAGGACTACAGATATTTTGTTTCTCCAATAATGTTTTTTGCAATGAATCATCATTTTTCTTTTCAATTGTCGATGGTGCACCAAACACTAAATTCGCTGACGCTTTCTCAACAATCGTTGGACTTTCTACTTTACCAGAAGTAGTTGTCGATAGATTACCAAAAAATCCGCTACTTGCCTTATTTATCGATCCTGAGAAACTAAAGAGATTAATTTTTTCCGTTGTTTTTTGATTTTGTTCCGCTTTACTGAAATCAAGTGCTTTTATTGGACTTGAGTCAATTGATTTATTAACGAATAAAGGTATCTCTGGTTCACGACAACCAATACAACCGGGACAATCATCTTTATATTTATAAGAATAGAAATTCTCGGGTAATTTTAATTTTTGTGCCTCTTCTTTTTCTTGTTGCGATACTTTCAATTCGTAAATAATTTCAATATCATTTGTTTGTGGTTTAATTGTTTTTATTGTCGATTGATTGTTTAAATTTTTTTCACCCTTCAATGCATTGTCTATTGATGTTTTAAATTCTTTGGCAATTTCTGGTGTTTTGAAACGACAGGCAAATTGTGAATATTCAATTTCACCTTCACTGTAATCAGCGGCCGACCATGTCCATGTTTTTTCATCTCTCACAGTGATGTCAATGTCTGATGTTAATGCATGATTTAAACAAAGTTTTAATATTTGATCACGTCTCATTATTAAACGTAATTTTTTTGTTTCATTGTGCTTTAATAATTTAATATCGCCAATGCCACGCTCTTTCCATTCTTTGGTATTTGTATCGAATCTAAAGAGTTTTGCACGATGACTGTAAATTATTTCCTCATTTTCCTCGCCAGTTATTACGTCAACTTTTTCAGGTAATGGAATTACTGGCGCAAAATAAATGTCATCACTTTCAACAACTTCATCTTCACTTGTCTCACCACCAGCACCGACACCACCTGGTGATTTAACATTTGGTTTTGCACTAAATTGAAAGTCAAATGATTTTCCTGGCGAACCAAAAACATAGGCTTTCTCTGTTGTTGTTGTTGGCGGTGTTGTTGGACGTTGTGGAATACCAAAAGTGAAATTTGTACTTATTGGTTCAGATTTTTTTGCACCACCAAATATTGTTGATATTGTTGAATTGACAGCATCACCGGCACCTAAAAATTTAATGAAAAATAAGTTTTTTTTCACATTATTTTAAGACAATAAAATAATGTTATTTAAAATAATCAAGTATTGTTAACAAATAGAACATTTAATATTTATTTAATAAGAAAATTGATATCTAATTTAAAACATATTTATGATTTTTCTTAATTCCTATGAACAGTATTAATATGTTCTAATAAGCTTTTTTTAATTAGATATTTTCTAAAAAAAAAAAAAACATCCTATGTTGAGCTGCTGTTATTCATAGGCAATTTAAAACTATAATAATTATAATTAAATTTAAAAAAAAATGATATTTCTAATTTTCTTAAATGTCCTTTACACTAGAAAAAAAATTTTACCTTTAATAATAATAAAATTTTTTACAAATTTACTATTGTAAAATTTCTATGAGTTTTACTTGATTACAAAGCAACAAATAATACAATTTCCACGATATGTATCTGTGCGATTCCAAGTGAGATTTTGACTTTTTCGGAGTAGGTTAACCGATTGCAATGAAACTTTGGAATTTTGTTATATATAGTAAGACTAATCTTTAACGTAAATTTCAGCCTAAAATATTTGTTAGTTTACGAGATTTGCAATAATAACAAAAAATTTTAAACTGCTATATCTTCCGTTCTAATAAACGGATTGAGGTCTACTTTTTTTTAAAATGTCAAGGAAAATGAGAGGAATAAATCTCTTTCAGAACATTTTTTTATAATTTTACAACTAAAAAAATTATTAAATAATAATTGAATAACTTTCGCGCGACTAACTAAAATTCAATCACTTAAACGCTAAAATGATCTTACCTGTGTTTTCTTTAATGTTCCAAAGGATTTTTATTGTAAATGTAAGTTTAACTTAAGAAATTTTATTAATTTATTAGTATAAACAATCGAGATTTCTGCTAGTTGACGTGCAGACGACATTGCGCACGCAGCATTCTCACATAGCCAATTTAGTCCACGAATCACGTCAGTTGGCTATGTGAGAATGCTGCGTGCGCAATGTCGTCTGCACGTCAACTAGCAGAAATCTCGATTGTTTATACTAATAAATTAATAAAATTTCTTAAGTTAAACTTACATTTACAAAAAAAATCCTTTGGAACATTAAAGAAAACACAGGTAAGATCATTTTAGCGTTTAAGTGATTGAATTTTAGTTAGTCGCGCGAAAGTTATTCAATTATTATTTAATAATTTTTTTAGTTGTAAAATTATAAAAAAATGTTCTGAAAGAGATTTATTCCTCTCATTTTCCTTGACATTTTAAAAAAAAGTAGACCTCAATCCGTTTATTAGAACGGAAGATATAGCAGTTTAAAATTTTTTGTTATTATTGCAAATCTCGTAAACTAACAAATATTTTAGGCTGAAATTTACGTTAAAGATTAGTCTTACTATATATAACAAAATTCCAAAGTTTCATTGCAATCGGTTAACCTACTCCGAAAAAGTCAAAATCTCACTTGGAATCGCACATCTAAAAAATCAATTTTTAAAAATAAATAAATATAATCACAATTAGATTCAATGAAAAATAAATGAAATTCGATTAAAGTCAAAATTTAATTCAAAAGAAAATTGAGTCAATTAACAATTCACGAAAATTGAGTCAAAAGCAAATTTGATTTCTAAAGGAAAATTCGATGAAATGTAAATTTTGTTAAATAACAATAATTAAAATGGAAAAAAATTTAAATTTGATTAAACAAAAATTCACTCAAATAAGAATAATATGTTAAATATTAATTAACTTTTAAATAACAATAAAAAAGAGGAAAAAAATTTTTTATTTTTAAAATATATTATAAAACGAATTTTAATAAAATTACATTTTATTTAACAAAAATTGAATAACATTTTTTTAATTCAAAAAAATTTTAATTTTTATAATAATTATACATTGAAACAAAAAAATATCAAATTTCAAAAAAAAATTGTAAATTGTAAATTTTTGATTAGTTTATAATAAATTTATTTGTAAATAAATAAAGAAAAATTCAAAAAAAAAAAAAAAAAAATTGGGTATATAAGAGGAAAAATTGAAAAAATAATAGAGAATTTTTTATGAATTCGCAAAAAAAATCAAAATTCTCAAAATAAAAAGAAATTTTGCGGGAAAAATTAAGAATTTTAGAAATCCTCAAATTAAAAAGGGAATTTGAGGAAAAATTTTGACAAATTTTTATCAATTCAGACCTCGGATCAACTTTAAGGCGAAAAAAAGTCGCTTTTTATTCCAAAAACATTCGAAAAAGTCAATTTTTTTATTTTAATTAAATTTAATTAATTAAAATTATTAAAAATAATTTAATTTTGTAAGAGATATAGTTTAAATTTTTAGAAACAATTAAATTTCAGAAAGTTTTATATTGAAAATTTTTGAAAGTAATTAAATTTTAGAAGATTTTAAATTAAAATTTTAGAAGTAATTGAATATCAAAAGAGTTCGAATTGAAATTTTTGAAAACTTTCAATTGTTGTAGATTTTTTATTAATTTCTTTGAATTTTGGATAACATTTTTTAAAAGCAATTGTACTTTCAAAGATTTTTTTCAATTCAGATTTTTGAAAATAATTGAACTTCAAGTGATTTTTAATTGAAATTGTTGGTAATTGTTGTTTCTGAACAATTTATTAAAAATTTTTAATTAAAAAATGCTTTTAGATAATTGAATTTTCAAAAAAGTTTGAGGGAAATCGTTAAAAATAATTGAATTTCGAAAGAGTAGTTGTTGAAATTATTAAATTTCAGAAAGTTTTAGATGGAAAATTTTAGAAAGAATTCAATTTCTAATACCAAATAATGGAAGGAAAAAATATTTAATATTAATAATTCAATTTTAAGTTTCAAATTAAAAATTTTTTTAAATAATTGAATTTTATGTGATTCTGAATTGAAATTTTCGGTAATTTTATTTGATGATTTTTGTTTTTAAATTTTAAATAATTGTTAAATTTTATAAAAATTATAATTTGTAATTGATATCTTTGGTAATTTTATTTTTTGAAATTGCTTTTTTTCAGAAATTTAAAACAATTATTTAATTTCTTTTTTCAAATATCTAATTGAAAAATATTTTTAGATAATATTCAATTTTTGAAGAATTTCATTAAAATTATTGAAAATAATTAATTTAGAGAAGAATTTTATTTAAAAATTTGTTAAATAATTAAAATAAAGATCTGCTTTGTATACGAAAAAAGACATTTTTTGTGTGTAAAACTTTTTGTAAAAAATGTAGACTGATATTTAATAAATTCAAAAAAAAAAAAAAATATTAAAATTTACTGAAAAATTGTATAAAAATTTTTTAAATTAAAATAAAGAAATTCAATATTGTAAAAAATTGGAAAAATTTCTAAATTTTTTTTAAAAAAGTATGTTTTAGTACCACAAGGCTGAAAAAAAAGTATCCGAATAGTAGCAAATTATAAAAAAAAAAGTAGTAAATAGAAATTTTTTAGTAGATAAATGCAAAACCGGCGCATACAATAATGTAAATAAAAAATTGTTTACCTTTAGGTTTATTGGTACTCAATGTAGAAAATGAAAATGCACTCGATGCAGGTGAACTGATTGCAGGAGAATTGACTGCAGGTTCCTTATTTGTTTGTGGCAATCCAAAAGAAAATGGACTTGGAGTCGAATTATCAGAATTTGTACCAAAAATACTTGTCTTTGGTTTTGGTGGAATTGATGAATCTTTCGGTGAATCACACGCTGGACAATATTGATCATTACTTTTATTAACCATATAACATCCTTGACATGTCCATGATCCAACGGCGGGTTTAAATAATTCCGAAAGTGATTTTTGTCCGCTAGCAATTTGTGTTTGTACAACTGGTGGTGAAGTGATTTTTGTTTCTAATTTTTTCTCAACAACAGCCGGTGAATTACAAGCGACACATTTTGTTTGATCGGCATTATTTCGAACGTAACACATTTTACATTCCCAACTATCAGCTGCTGGTTTAAATAAATTTGAGAGTGAATCTTTTGAATCTTTTTTCTCAATAGCCGGTGTATCACAAGCAATACACGTTGTTTTATCTGCATTATTTCTAATGTAACACATTTTACACTCCCAACTACCAGCACTTGGTTTGAATAAAGTTGATAGTGATTCTTTCGATTTATCAACTGGTTTATTTTTTTCAACTGTTTCACTCGCGTGTTTTGAATTTTTATCCAACGATTGCTGATAACTTTGAACTGATTCCAAAAATTTTTGCGCCTGTAAATTAAAAAAAAAAACAATTAATAATTAAAGTTGATAAATTTGTCTTTATTTCTGGCTTCACAGCATCAAATTTTCTAAAAAAAAAAAAAGGGGAGGAATAGGGAAAATTTTATTTGAAAAAAGGGGAAAAATAGGGTAAAATCTAAATATATATTTTTCTCAACCAAAATGCTTTAAAGTTGTTTAAATTTTTTTTTTTAAATTAATTGAATAATTAAAAATTATAAGTTTTAATAAATTATTGAAAATTGTCTTACCAATTTATGAGATTTAAATGTTACGGCGAATGAATCTGGTTTCTTAGTTTTTTCATTTGGAATTACCCAAGTAATTACTGTGTCACTAGTTGCTCTAAAGGAGAATTTCATGTCGCTTGATATTTGTTGATTGCAGCAAACTTTTGTATTATTTGCATTGAGCATTAAGAAACGCAATTTAATTGTATTCATATTGAATAATAACTGGAAAATTAAAAATTATTCGTCAAATTAATATTAAGTATAGTAGATAATATTTTTGCAAAAATAATATAGTTTTCATTTTTTTTACTTACGTTTATTTGACCTGATCCCTTATCTTCCCAAGTGTTACTGCTATTATTCAAATGCATAAGACTAGCTTTTTGTGTGAATACAGACATTTCACCATCAGCGATATTTGCTTCATCAGTTCCTTTTGATAGATTTGCATCTTCAACTATGGATAATTATTATAATATTATACTTAATTACAAATCATTTCATTTAATAGAAATTGTAAATAAAAAATTGTATTGGATTTATTAATTTTTAATTTAATTTTTACTTAAGTAGACTACAGTAATATAAATGAATTAAAAAATTACGATATTTTAATTTTAAAATAAAGAATTTTAATATAATTATAATTTTTAAAAAATGATTAACAAAAAAATTTTCCATTTTAGATATTTGTTGCAATTACAAATTGTTACAAAAGATACAAATCTTTAAAAAAATGAAACTTACCAGTATTAGCTGCAGGACTACTAGTTGCAGATGTATTTGGAAATCTGATAGTCTTAGCACCTCCAAATATAGTTCCTGAAACAACATTTTCTCCTTATTATTATTATTATCCTGATTATTTTTTAAAAAAACTATCTATTGTTAAATTTCGATTAACTTTTTGTTTTTGGCACAACAGTAGGAGCGTATGATTATTCTATAAAAATGATTTTTCACATAAATTTTTACTTTAAAAAATAGCATTTAATACAAAATTTTTTTCAAACGAATGTTTACTCAACGGAATTTTCAAAGTACCGAATTTTTATTTTACAAAATTTCTCTTTACCCAACTGTTTCTTGAAAAGAATTCTAATTTAATCTATTTTTAATTTATTAGAATTCTCAGTAGAATTTTAAGTAATTCGAATTTTTAAATCCTAGAACTTAAAATCGGAAGCTTATATAAAATATTGAGTATTTTAAAACAACAATTTTAATTAAAAAATATCCAAAAATTCAATTATTTTTAAAATTTGTAACTAAAATTCTTTGCTAAATTAATAATTTCAATCCAATTATTCAAAAATTCAATTAAATAAAACATTTTTTTAATTCAAAATTCTCTAAAATTTAATTACTGTTTGAAACTTTGTTAATAATTTTCAGCAATTCTAATTTACTGAAAATTTTAATTCAAAATCTCCTGAAATTCAATTATTATTATTAAAAATTTTTATTCAAATTTTTTGTTGAAATAATTATTTCTAATAACTTTAATCAAGATATTGGCGTTTCAATTATTTAAAACATTTTTCAATTCAAAATACTCTAAAATTCAATTATTGTCTGAATTTCTGTTAAATTAGAATTTTTTTTTAAAAAAAACAGTTTGCTAAAGAGAAATTTTGAAAATAAAAATTTGGTAAAAAAAAATTTGCCAAATAAAAAATTCTATTGAGTAAAAGGTCGTTTAAAAAGAAATTATGTTAAATGCTATTTTGAAAAATGAAAATTCGTAATAAAAATAATTATATAAAGCAGTAGTTGACGCGACCAATAATAAATCATTAACTTGGCAAGCTTTTAGGAATCAAAAAATTAGCTAAAATTTAAAATTCTTGAATTCTGTCATTTTTAAAATTATTTTTTGAAAAAAGTAGCATTTAGTGGCTTTTGGCCAAAATTAGTAGTAGAAAAAGTAGCCTTGTCGAAAGAAAGTATCAAAAAAAGTAAAAAAAAAAAAAAATGTATCACTTCGAAGTTTGAAATAGGTGAAAAAGTTGACAAAATTTGAAAAAAAAAATGGTAAAAAGCAATGCCTGTAAAAATCAAAATAAATCATACACTCCGATCTTAAGTGAAGGGACCGTTGAAATTTCAACCTTTACAAATTAAGACTGTTTAAGGTTGTTAATTTTTTTTTCTGACAATATTGATTATTTAAAACTGTAATATACTATAGATTGGAAATTGAAAAACAATTAATTCATTTATAATTTTTTAAACAAAACTCGAAATCTTCAAAAACTAAAAATTTTAACTTCTGTCGAAATTTTACGAACATAAAGTGAGCAACGTTTATGAAAAATGATTTTTAATGAAATAATTTTTTGCCCAAAAAATATTTGTTGTAGTTTTTATTAATCAAAAAATTATAAAAAAAAATATTTTTTAGGCAAAAAATTATAGAATTTTTTATTTTAAAAAATTATTATTTTAAAAATTGTTTATCATAAACGTTGCGTACTTCAGTTTCGTCAATTTTTATTATTTTTCATTGATGAATTTTTAAAATACTTTTTTCATAATTCTGAACAATCAATCGTATAAATTTGGAAAAAATTAATTTTTTTCAAAAAAATCAAATTTCTGAAAAATAAAAAAATTTGTTAAAAATGACTTTTCATTTTTCATAGTGAACTATGATTTCAAGGCTCTAAAAAAAATTTTTTTTTAAATTGTTACCCCTAAACCAAACCAATTATGTTTGGTTTAAATTTTATCAATTATTTCTTAAAAATTCAACTTCTAGAATTTTTATTTTTTTTATCGGCATTTTTTTTTTGTAGTCTTTTTTCATGATTCTGAATAATCAATCGTATGGAATTTTAAAAATTTTAATATTTTCTAAAAATAAAATTTCTAAAATGGTCAAAAAAAATGTTTTCTTTTTTAATTTTGATAATTTAGAATTAATTTCGATAAGTTGAAATTTTATCGGTCCCTCTTCTTAATACCCCTGTTAATTAAATTAATAATAAAATAATATATTTTCACCAGTTTGTGGAGATTCTGCCTGATTATCAACAGTAGCAGTAGCAGGAGTAGTATTATCAGCGCCTTTAACAAACGTAATACCACCAAGTGTTTGCGACAATGTCGTACTCGGTGAACTAAAACCACTATTACCAAATGAAAATTGTGCAAATGGATTAACTTTCGGTGTTTCTTCTTTTTGAATTTTCTTCTCCTTATCGTCGACAATTTTTTTCACAACAACTGGCTCCGAACTAAATGACAAACCACCAACTTTAATAACCGACGTATCAATATTTTTCATTTCCTTCTGTTCAATTATCTCTTTATTTTCTTTCTTTCCCTTTGCAGGCGATTCCGGTAACGATACAATTGCATTATCAAAATTCACCTTAAACAATTGTGCCTCTTCTTCAGTTTTAAATCGAATACACAATTTCTCCAATCTAACTTCCTCATCGGCAAAATCATTAGCCACCCAAATCCATGCTTTATTATTACTTGGCATTGATGATAATTCCATATCCTTTGTTAACATGTGATTTGCACATATTTTATGTACTTGTTCACGACGCATTAAAAGACGTACTTTGCCTTCGTTATTTTTTAATAATTTCACTTTACCAATACCACGCTCTTTCCATTCTTTATCGACAAAACGGAATAATTTTGCTCTAGCGCTAAATAATGTGGTTTCATTTTCCTCACCGGTTGTGACAACAACCTCCTCGGGTAATGGAATAATTGGCATAAAATCGGGTATTGGATCGTGTTCAATTTCAATGGAATGTTCTTGTGAATTATTAAGCGACGTTGACGATTGATTGGCAGCTTCAATGGATTTATTCATTGGCGATGTGATAGTTAGTGTTGCGGCCAATGGCGGAAGATTAACAGTTGTGGGAATTGTCGCTTGCAATGGCATTGAAATTTGATAACTATGTGGTGTTGTAGAAATTTGTGATGTTGGTATTGTTCCTAAACGATGTTGTGGTGGAATTGTGACACTCATTATTGGTTGAACTGATGGTACTGTCGTTGGTAGTGTATCAGATGATGTTATAACAACATTAACAGGCGGTGCTTTATTAACTGGAATATTTTTTACAATTTCTTTTGATTCAATTTTTTGTATTATCGGTTGTTGAAGGGGTAAATGTTGATTGGCAACTTGCGCCTGGGGAAATAGAGCCTGCTGAAGAATACTGTCGGGTATTTTTGGAATTTGATTCAATGGATTTTCAACAGGTAAACGGGGATATATTTGCGGTGGTACAGGATAGACATTTGCTGCATAAAGTGATGAATGAAGATTAGGATCGTTGAATGGCAATGCACCTTGATAATAGCCAATTGCTTGTCCCTGTAATGTTGCCGGTGGATAGACAATATTTTGATAGGGATGTCGTTGTGATTGAGCAAAAATATTATTAGTCATTGATGTTGTTTGCTGTTGGGTATTTTGATTTTGATAATTATACTCCCCGTAGTCCTCGTCATTGAGAAAATAAAGATCCTCTTCTAAATTATGTGGTTTTTGTTTTTGTGTATCGAGACGTAATTCAGCGACTTCTTTTCTCAGCTCTTCGAGTTTTACCATAACATTTTGATTTGATTCCATGAGGGCTTTGTTTTGATCCATTACCGTTTGAATAATATTGTCCTTGATGTGCAAAAGTTGACGAAATTGTGCATCGAGTCTCTCGGGACTTGGTCGTGCTTCAATACGATTTCTTGATAATTCGAGAACATCTTGATGTGGCATTCGACAGGGTGTACTCGATTGTTTTGGTGTTCGATGATGATGATGATGATGATGATTGTTTCTTTGCGAGGAGTGTAAAAATTGAACTGTATTATCCAATGATGTATTTATTATTGGAATTTCCTCATTACTGTGAGCTGATGAATAACTATCCTCGGATAAAACATCATCATTTCTTATTCCATTGCGTGAAATATCGGGATCAATTCTTTTTAATTCATTCTCAATGTCTGCGATATAGGTGACAAGTTCGGAATTAAGAGGATGTTTTGTATCAACTTCGGGACTTCTTAAACGATCAAGTGTTAAATAAAAGCAACTACGTGCTTTTGTCAAAAGAATTCCGTGTTGTGATCTTGTTTCCGATGTGAGACTTTCTTTTGATAAACAATTGACAAGATCATCGGCGAGTTGTTTGTAAATTTTTCCCTGTTCAAATGATGCTTCGGGACATTTGAGAATTTGCAGTGAATCAATTGCTCGTTCATATTCTTTATTTCGCACATATCTTTGAACGAGAATTAATTGTCCCTCCTCCATTGCTTTTGTTAATTCTGAACGATTCATATCTTTACCTTGATAGTCAAATAATTTATTGTTACTCGTACGGATTATTTGATTATTTTGTAATCTCTCAATAAGTGGAATTGCAGTTGACCAATAGAGTTCACAACGTGCTTCAAGCGCTGGAATATCACTGTGTTCAGGATTTTTATCAATTAATTCCTTCATTCGCGAATGAAATATTCTTGCGAGATGAATTAAAATATTTGTATGCAATCCATGATTTCCAATGCAACGTACAACTTCTAAACCACGTTGTATTTCTTGACGAATTTCACCCATATCATCATTTATTGTCATATCTTGTCTACGATACATTTTGTAAGCATTGTACCACCATTTCTCCTGTACTGATGAGCACAATGTATTTGTAAGATCAGCGGGTAATGTTGGTAATCGTTCGGGATTTAAAAAACTACTGCGTTGTTGTTCTTCAATTGTAATGTAACTACATAAAATTGCAGCATTTAAAAATGCATCAATATCAAGCCGACACAATGAATCGGGAGCACTTTGATTTAAATTATAAGTTGAAAATTGTAATTCTGGAAATAAATGACATATCTGCTGTGGATATTGAGAATTTTTTTTTACTATATTTCGTGAACGATTTGTTAAACCAAGCCAAATTTGATGATGTAACGATGCTGGCCATACTTCTTCGGATATTTCGTCATATTTTTTAAGCTCATTTTGTGAACAAAGTCTTAATGGAGAATTTGCCACTTTATGAGTTGTAAAATAAGATGTTTTATTCTCTGAATGTAGTCGACTGATAAAAATTCTTTGAAATATTCGTTCTCTCCATGTGCCTGTTGAAAATTTATCAATTTTCTCCAATAAACGATTTGGTTCATCGCGTGCATAATCTTGAAGTACATGACCAGATTGACTACATCGATATGAACCATCTTTATACCATAAATGAACTTGATTTTTACTGTCATTTTTTAAATGTACGGCCCATGGTGAAGTGGAATCAATTGGTGTAACATGTAATGCAGTGAGAAAAAGTGGTGCACATAAACGTCCCGCTTCACTCCAACTTCCCTGTTCACGTTTTGTTTTACGTAAAATTAAACATGCCACGTGAAAATGCAATTGTCCCCACATATGTGTAAACATGTTCTCCATAAAAATGGGATTTGTTGAAAAATTTTGTGCTTTTGCCTCATATAAAGATTGATCAAAACTGAAAATAAAAAAATTATTTTTATTATATTATTAAAAATACAAAGCATCCTCGGCAGGAGAGAAAGCAAAAAGTTGAAATTTTGTTTTTATTAAAAGTAAATTGATTTTGTTTTATAGTAAATGAGTAAAAAAATAAATAAATAAATATATTGCTATATAAATAAGAAACGTACTTGAATAAAGCCTGAGTAGCTTCAGATATAGATTTCTTTAAAATGCTGCCCTGCTCTTTGAGTGTTAGAGCAACAAATCTCTCCAATGAGGAAATATAAAATACCCAAAACGACCAGTCGTGCTTTCTGGGAGTTTTACATTTTGTTAATAAATCACATAAAACTTGATACCAAGAGACATCATCTCGGTGAAGTTGAGTTGTTTCAACTTCAAACGCATGTTTATACGCTTCGTCAAGTTTATTTTTTTCCATGTAATGTTTCAATAATTTCACACGTAATTGTACATCTTTTGGTCGCACCGATAATTCAGCTATAAATTATTTAATATTTATTAATTATTAATTATTTAAATCATTTTTATTATTATAATTATTAATTTAAGGTACATTCTAACCTCAATTTTTCGTAAAATATTTAATTGTTCTTTTTTTTAAATTAATTTTTATAAATTGCACGCCTCGGATCAACTTTAAGGCACAAAAAAAGTCGTTTTAAATTCCAAAAGAAATCGAAAAAGTCGATTTCTTTATTTTAATTAAATTAAATTTTACTTTAACTAATTAATGTTATTAGATATTAAATCCATTTTATTAATTCTTTAATAAAAATTATTCTATAGGAATATTATCAAGAAAATTTATTTTGAAAATCTCAGAATCGAAATAAGACAAATTTTCCAGATTTTAAATCAGTAGGTCAGATTTACAAAAAAAAAAAATTCTTAAGGTATTAGTCGCGCGCCGGCTCTAACCAAAAGTTTGTCTTGAGTCTGACTCAGTCTATGCTTAGCAAGAGGTATAGTTCTGAGTCAAACTTTTTGAAGGGTACAGGTAACTTCCACTCAGAGCGCCGCGTTATCGCACGTGTAGAACTAAAGTTTTGATCGCGGCAACGTCGCAATCTGAATATTATTAAAAAAAATTCAAATATGCTTCTTTAAAAGCTATTTTTGAATTATTTATGATTAATAATTATGTATATAAATGCTTAAACTTTTTAAAAGTATGAGACTTACTAAGAATAATTAATAATTACACGGAAAAAAAGAAAAAGTAACTTTTACTACTTTAAAAGTAAAATTGGACCTGTCCGAAGTTTCTGCGCATCTCTGGCAACTTTTACTCCAAAAATAGTAAAATTTACTTCAGAAATAGTAAAAATTACTACGGAAACAGTAAAATTTACTACAGAAATAGTCAATTTTACTATTTTTCGAGTAAAAGTTGCCAGAGATGCGCAGAAACTTCGGACAGGTCCAATTTTACTTTTAAAGTAGTAAAAGTTACTTTATTCGTTTTTCCATTTTTCTCCGTGTAAAGATGTGAATATTATTAAAAAAAATTCAAGTATGCTTCTTTGAAAACTAATTTTTAGTTATTTATAATTAATATTTACATCAATAATGTATTATAAATTGGTTTATAAAGTAAAAAATAAATATTTCATCAAAAAATGTTTTTATTTCTTAACTGTTGAAATATAACCAACCAATTTAACGTTTCTCATTCTTATTTTTCTTAAAATATATGATTTAATTTAAAAAATTAAGAATTATTTAATACTAATCTATGTTGTGAAATTTTAAATATATTATTTTTTTATTCTACTCTATGAGATATTCCTACTTTCTAACTGTGTACTTTGCATGATTTTGAATTTTGTATGCATTCGCGCGCTACAGCGTTGCCAAGTTTACTGCTTTCCAGCAGTGGAACTTCATATAATTTAAAATTTTGTTAACTTTCTCCTAATATATTTATAGTTTGGTACGGTCAAAAAATTTCAGTTTTTTTGTATGCATTCGTTTCATGAGAATGTATTATGTGGTAGTTTTATTTTAAAATCTGACGACTGGTTTTCATTTAAATAATTATAAAGCAAATTCCTTACATGCATTAGGTGCTCCGTCCATGTAAAAAGTATCAAGTTTGAAATGATATTTTAAAGCTTAGGAACGGTCAAAATCGATGGGATTGGTCTTATTTTGTAGATAATTATGTCAGAAACACTCATGCAAAATTTAAAAAATATCTGACGAAAATGATTTTACGCGACTAATACCTTAAAGTTTCATTTTGAAATTTTCACATACTGAATTTTTTTTTTAAATAATTCAATAATTACAGAAGATTTTCTTTTGATTTATGACAATTCAATTTTAAAGTTTCTATTTGAAACATATTTAAATAATTGAATTTTGGAAGAGTTACACTTGAAATTTTTAAAAATAATTCAATTACAAAAGATTTTGTTCAATTTCAGACAATAATTAAAATTTACAGAATTGAAAATAATTTATCAACTAATTTTAGATAACATTTTTTTAAAAGTAATTGAACTTTCAAAGATTTACAATTCATATTTTCAAAAATCATTGAACTTTAAATGCGCTTTTGAATTGAAATTTTTTGATGATTTCTGTTGCTGAAGAATTTATTAAGAATTAAAGACAAAAATTGAACTTTAAAAATTGTTTAATGGAAAAATGCTTTCAGGTAATTGAATTTTCGTAGAATATTAAAAAAATCATTAAAATTAATTAAATTTCGGAAGTATTATAATTGAAATTATTAAATTTCAAAAAGTTTTAGATGTAATATTTTAAAAGGTTTTAAATTGAAATTTTTAGTAATTTTATTTAATGATTTTTTTTAAATTGTAAAAAATTGTTAAATTTTATAAAATTTTTAATTAAAAAATAGTTTAAGATAATTGAATTTGCGAAGAATTTCATTAAAATTATTGAACGTAATTAATTTAAAGAAAAATTTCAGTTAAAAATTTGTAAATTAATTGAAATAAAGAAGATCGAAAAAAAGTCGAAAAAGTTGTATAATCCAAGGCCTGTAATTAATTAATTGATATCTTCAAAATAATGCAACCACAAAAAAAAATTATAAACAAATTGTTTAAAAAATTAATAGTCTTTTTAAGAAAATAATTTTTATTTAAAAGTTTAACCCTTCATCTGTAAACTAAGTTTTTATATAAAAAATAAATGCAACAATAAATTTTTTTTAGTATTTTTATGATTAATATAAGAAGTTGAGGGTTGTAAAAAGTACCATGGATTTTTTTAACATTAACACATTAAAAACACAGTGGAATGTTAATGAACCACGTTTATAGACGAAAGGTGCCGAAAAACGTTTACAGACGAAGGCTTAAAATCTTCTGCGTAAAAAACATTCTCAATATTTTTCTCTATTTTTTTAGTAGAGAAATAAAAAAATTTTTTTTAGTTATAAATAAAGCAAAAAAAAATATATTGCTAAAATTTGTTATTACAAATCCTATGTGGAAAAATATTAAAAATTAAAAATTTGTACATTCATTTACCAACAATATCACTACAATTAACCGAATTCTGAAAAAAATCCCGTATTTTCATAATGAAATTTATCTTCTATAAATAAACTTGTTAACTTACATGATATTAATGCTTTTAGATCTTCTCCGTCATTATTAGGTTTGTCCAGTGTTAGTAATTTTTCTTTTAATTGAAAAACTACAGGATGATGAGGAAATTGTTTGTCAGCTCTTTCGACCCAATATCTGGCTCTGTTAACATCTACTCCAACATCCATATCAGCAAGCAACTCACAAACTAAAAAATATTTAAATAAATAGGACTGCAATAATTTCAATCATGATTCAGGGTTACCACAAAAATTAATTTTTTAATTTTTTTTCTCACCTACAATTCTCTAATTTCTCTGACATTAGAAAATTTTCAAAATACATTAACATTTACATTAATGTAAAAAATAACTAATTTAAACTATATTAATTAAATTAAATTTTATTTGATTCAAAATTTTTAAAGTTTACAAGTTTCAATTCAATCTAAATTATAATTTAAAATTCAAGTGATCCAACTTTCAATCAATTCTAATTTTTATTGATCAAATTTATTAATTACAATTTTAATTAAATGCAAATTCTATCGGTCGTAATTTAAAATCAACGAAATTTCAAACTATTTCTAAAGATTAATCGATTAAAGTTTCGAATTTTTCAAATTTCCATTATTTGTCCACAATTTTAATTGATTTATGTTTCAAATCATCAGAATTTCAATTTATATTTCATATTTTTATTGATTAAATTAAATTGAATTTTTGATAAATTGAAATTTAAATCAAACAAAATTGGGGTAAATTGAAATTCGGATATTTTGAAAATTAAAACGATTAAAATTTGAATAATTTAAAACTGAAATCAATTAAAATTTGAAAAAATTGAAATTCGTAACTTAAATCGATTAATCTTTACATAGATTAAAATTTCGTTAATTTTAAATTACGATCGTTTAAATTTGCATTTGATTAAAATTTTAATTAATAAATTTGTTTGGCACAAAAAGAAATTAGAATAATTCATTGACAGTTTGAGAAAATTAAAATTTATATTAAATTTTAGATTGAATTGAAATTTGAAACGAATAAAATTTAATTGAAATGAAATTTTCATTAATTTAAAATTGAATAAAATTAAAATTTTGAATTTAATAAATTAATGGTTAATTCGTTAGAATGAATTTAAATTTAGATCGATTACAGTTTTAAACAATAAATGCTTCAATAGATTTAATTATTTATAGAAAACATGAAAATAAATAATAAATAATTTTTTGCCTAGAAATATTTTTTCAAAAAATTATTGATCAAGAAACGTTGCAAAAAAAATTTTTGTAGATCAAAAATAATAATAATAATAATAATAATAATAATGATTTGCATAAAAAAATTTATTTTTTCTCAATCGTTGATCATAAATGTTGTGAACTTCACCGACGTTAAAAAAATTTATATTTATATTTAAACCTTCTATGGTTATATAATATTACGGAGTTATTGACTTTTTAAAAATAAAAAAATTTTCAAAAACATTAATTGTTGCAAATAATTTTTGTTTTTAATTCAATAATATTATTATTTTCTTTGATAAAAATAAAAATATATGATGATGATATATATATATGATGCTTATATTATGCTTTTTTTAAATTTATCCTTTAAATATTTATTAAAATAACAAACTATTTAGAAATTAATTTTTTTTTTTAAATGTTACGTAGAAAAAAAGAAATTTGATTTAATTAAACAAATCAGATTTTTATTAGCCCTGTAAATAAATGTATAAAAATAATTTTTTTAAATATACTTTCTTGTTCATAATAATTAAATATTTCGATGTAATAATAATAGTAATAATAATTTTTCAAGTTACAATATTAATAATAATAATAATAACACAGGCGCAAAAAAAGTTGTCTGTTTCTTGAACTAGACATACCATTCCTATAGTATTTTGGCACGCTGAAAACGAATATGAAGTCAGAATTGCTTCATCATCCTCTGATTTTTTTTTTAATCGAAAAAACTACCCTTAACCGGACAAATTCAAACTTAGGAGATAAAAAAAAATAAATAACAGATTATTTATTAAATAGAACCCAACAACTACGTATTTTTGCTGGAGTAACACAAAAAAAAGCCAGAACTGATTCAGCACCCTCTGGATTTTTTTTAATCGGAAAAACCACCCTTCATCGGAAAAACTCAAACTTAGAAGTATTACAAAAGTAGCCATTTTTTTTTGGCATGATGGTTTCTTCCGTATCATAGGTACAGAAAATTTTAAATTTTTATGATTAAGGGTGGTTTTTTTCGTTTTAAAAAAATCTGAGGGTGCTGCATCAGTTCTGATTTTATTTTTGTGTTAGTGGTGCAAAAATACGTATGTGTAAGGTTTTGATTATTAAAGAAATCTGTTATTTAATTTTTTTATCTCCTAAGTTTGAATTTGTCCGATTAAGGGTGGTTTTTTCGATTGGAAAAAAATCCAAAAGGGTGCTGGATCAATTCTGGCTTTGTGTTTGAATTAGTGGAGCCAAAATACGTAGTTGTAAGAACTCCATGAAGTTGGCGTCGACGCTCAGCGTCGAAAATTGTTTATACAGGACCAAAAATGTCAAATTATTTTTTTAATAATATTTTCCGTACAAATAATACCTTGAGAAATATTTTTTTAAGGTATTATGTGGACCCTAAACATTTTTAAAAATGATTTGATATTTTTGGTCCCATGAAAAATAATTTTCGACGCTGAGCGTCGACGCCAACATCAGGGAGATGTTGTAAGGTTCTGTTTAATAAAAAAATTTATTATTTAATTTTTTTTATCTCCTAAGTTTGAATTTGACGATTAAGGGTGATTTTTTTCGATTTAAAAAAAAATCAGAGGGTGATGGAACAATTCTGGCTTCATATTCGTATTCAGCGGGCCAAAATACTATAGGAATGGTATGTCTAGTTCAAGAAGATCAGAAAACCTTTTTTTATTTGTGTGCCTGTGTAATAATTTAGAATAAAATTAAAAAATTTCTTTAATTAAATATTTAACTTTTGCGTAAAAGAATGAAATGATTTTGATAATAAATTATTTTTTAACGAAGCTGAAGTACGCAACGTTTATGATAAAACGATTTTTAAAGAAATAATTTTTTAAAATGAAAAATACTTTAATTTTTTACCTAAAAAATATATTTCTTGTAGTTTTCATTAATTAACAAATTATAAAAAAAATATTTTTTAGGCAAAAAATTATAGAATTTTTTATATGAGCAAAAAGTTTTGAACGTTCAAATGAACGAAATTTTTTTTCAACTTCTTTAAATACGAATTTTATTACAAAATATTGTTTTAAATATCTAAAAAGAAGTTATTAATTTAATAATTGTTTAATTTACTGTTTTATTTTACATTGTTATATTATAATTTTCAATAATTTATAGGTTTGAAAAAAATATTTCGTTCATTTGAACGTTCAGAGCTTTTGGCTTATAATTTTTTATTTTAAAAAATGATTTCTTTAAAAATTTTTTATCATAAACGTTGCGTACTTCAGCTTCCTATTTTTTATACCTTTTAGTACTAGGTCCTCTTGTCTGCTCTCAAGTTCTAGAGAAATTTTATATTGAGAAAGAGCCTCTTCCTTATGTCCAAGAGCTTCAAGAATTTGACCAAGAAGTTTGTGTGCTCCCGCTGACTCTGTCCGTACTTCCAAATAACTTGAGACATATCGTTTTGCAGATTCATAATCTCCAACTTGGAAATACAATTTGGCAATATTGTAGCAGCGAAGATTTCTCTGAAAATTAAAAAAAAAAAATTTATCTTTCATAAATATAAATATAAAATATAAAAAAATATATCTATACAATTAATAAAATAGTTCTTGTTATAAAATAATTTAATAAAATGCTAATAAAATATTTTTATCTAAGCTAATTTAAATACATATTGATTGAAATGTAAATAAGTTGTAAAAAAAAAAGAAGCCTCGATAAATTTTAGTTTGATACTATTTATTCTTCTCATGCAAAGTTATTAATTTTGACATGATTTTTTCTTTTTGACAAGGTCAAATCTGTAATCAATCTTTTCAATATAAATATTCTATATATACACAAATATATATATATATATATATACAAAAAGACCAAGAAAATAAAAATCGAGATGCCCGGGAAGGAACATAACCTAAAAAGTAGATTTTCAAAAAAAAAGCAACTCATTAATAAATTCCTCATATAAACCTCTTTATAATACCCCCCCCCCTTTTTTTTTATTAAATAAAAATATTTTGTTATCTATTTATCATTGTTGGATTACATCTGTTATCAAAGGCATTTTTAATTGTGACTCAAGGTGAGCGCGAAAAAATAACAGGTTAAATATATAGAAAATTAATGTTATTTTAAGAATATTTTAACTTGCATTATTATTTTAAATAAATTAAGGCATCTGTAATTGATGAGAAAAAGGAAAAAAAAATTGAGAGAATATAAGAAATATTGTATATATACAACAATAATGTACGTTGTAAAGCATCGCATATTAAAAGGTAAAAATGCTTTGGCTTACGTTCATGGAGGATAACCTTACCTCGCTTTCATCTTTTAATTTCCGAAATACATCTTGAACGTGGCGATCAACGTCCAATTTTGTTCGAAACATGATTTCACTTTTAATTAGCGTCCTTATTAATTGTAAAATGCGGTGGTCTTGTCAAAACTTTTTTTTTTATTTTAAATCACTATTGAGAATATTATAAAGCATGGCACACGAAAATTTCATTGCACGCAAAATTCACCAATCATTTTCAAACGGTTTTTTGAACTGCCAACTTCGAATCTTAAGGCGAATTTACACAGCATCTTTCAATAATGCAAAATTACCCGCCATTTTCAATTCCACCAATCATTGATAATTATTTCAAAAAGTCATTGGTCTGTGAGAAAAAATCCTACTTTTTTCCTTTTTGTTATTGGACAATTGTGGAAATTTTTTTTTACAAAAAAATTACGTAAATTCGTAATAAAGTACGTAGAAATACGTTTTATGTTTTTTTTTTTATTTGTGTCGGTGAATGTTTATAATTTTTTATTTGTTAAAGAAATAATGTATGGTTTATTGAACAAAGTGTCATCAATAATAGACAAAAAAAATATGATAGGTTATGTTAATATCAATTTTACGATGTAATAATTGCAAGAAAAAAAAACTGAAATTTTAAAATATAACCTCAAAGTTAGAATGTAAATTCTGTTTACACAATTTTTTTTATAATTCTATACGTCTTATTAAGTTAATTAGATCTTTGATTTGCTTTTTTATATTTGTCATTTTATCGAGAGGCACTTGTTATTGCTTTTATTTCTTCAAGTAAATAAAATTTATTTTTTTGACGGCTACAGAATATATTTTTATCACGTAAGTTATCTCAATTTACATTACTTACGTAAATTTTCAAAATAGTATTTTCAATTTACTTGAAATTTATTTATTTAACTTAATATAATATTCCAGTCTTTTTGATGAATTAAAATTAATATTACAAAAATTTAATTAACAAAAGAATGAGTTCACCTATTGAAAAACCGGATTTGTTTGGTAAGTAATGTTTTTTTTTTTAATTAAAAAAATTATTAATTAACGACATTATGTCGCTTTTGTTATTTATAGAATTTATAATAAAAATTGTTAACTTTTAGCTACAACAGCATTAACACTCTTGCAAAAGGAATCATATTTAACAAGTGGTTGTTCAAAAATTGATTCTGCTTTGAGAGGAGGATTTTCTCGAAAAGGAATAACACAATTTTATGGACAAGCTGGAACTGGAAAAACTCAAATTGCTCTTCAATTGTGTCTCACTGTTCAAATACCGACAAAGCCTCAAAATGAACCTTCTGGTAATTTTTGTCTTTAATTTTTAATAATTCTTCAGCTACAGAAATCACCAAAATATTAAAATTCAAAATCACTTCAACTTCAATGATTTTTAAAAATATGAATTGTAAATTTTGTAAAAATTCAATTACTTTTAAAAAATGTTATCTAAAATTATTTGATAAATTATTTTCAATTTTGTAAAATTTAATTATTGTCTGAAATTTAACAAAATCTTTTGTAATTGAATTATTTTTAAAAATTTCAAGTCTAACTCTTTCAAAATTAAATTATTTTTAAAAATGTTAATAATTCTTTAAAAATTAAATTATTTAAATATGTTTTAAATAGAAACTTTAAAATTGAATTGTCAGAAATTTAAAAAAAAAAAACTATAACAGTTTAAATTTGCAAAAAATTTATTTCAAATTTAAAATCTTCTGTAATTTAATTATTTAAAAAAAAATGCAATTAATTTTATTTCCAAATATTTAAATTATCAAAATTTAATTATCTTTTAAAATTCAATTACTTCAGAAAATTTCAATTTAAAATCTTCTAAAATTTAATTGCCTCTAAAATTTTCAATATAAAACTTTCTAAAAATTTCAATTATAACTCTTCTAAAATTCAATTATTTAAAAAAATGATATTTTAAATTAATTGTTAAATTATTGTCAACCAATAATTTTCATTAAATTCTTCAAAATTTAAGTATTGTCTAAAATTAAAAAAAATTCCCCAAAAATTTAAATTTTCGAAAACTTAAAATCTTTTGAAATATTACATTATTTCTAAAAAATTAAAACTGCATCTTTTTAAATTCAATTATTTTTATGATTTTTATAATATTCTTCAAAAATTTAATTATCTGAAAGCATTTTTCAATTAAAAACTTATGAAATTCAATTTCTGTCTGTAATTTCTAATAAATTTTTCAGTATAACAGAAATCATCGATTTCAATCAAAAATCACTTGAAGTTCAATGATTTTTAAAAATATGAATTTTAAATCTTTGAAAATTCAATTACTTTTAAAAATTTGTATGTAAAATTATTTGATAAATTGTTATTTTAAATTGTTAAATTATTACCAACCAATAATTTTCATCAAATTCTTCGAAAATTGAATTGCTTAAAAAATCTTTAATGAAAAATATCTGTAAAATTTAATTATTGTCTGAAATTTAATAAAATCTTTTATAATTCAATTATTTTAAAAAATTTCAACTGTAACTCTTTCAAAATTCAATTATTTAAATATGTTTCAAATAGAAACTCTAAAATTGAATTGTCATAAATCAAAAGAAAAACTACAACAGTTTAAATTTGCAAAAAAATTTATTTAAAATATTCTGTAATTCAATTATTTAAAAAAAAAAATTCAATTAAAAATCTGGAAAACTTAAATATTGTCCGAAATTTTTTTTTGACCATTAAAACTAAAAAGTATGCGAAAATTTTAAATTTGAATAAATTAAATTAGATTTCAAACAAATTTTTAAATTGAACTTTAAGAATTTTTTTTTTTTTATAAATCTGTTCTATTGTATTAAAATCTTGAAAATTTATCTTTTTTCGATTCTGAGATATTCGAAATAAATTTTCTTGATAATATTTCTATAGAATTATTCTTATCAAAGAATTAATAAAATTAATTTTATCTATTTATTACATGTAAATTATTTTTAAAATTTATTATTTATTATATTGTATTAAAATGATTTTAATTTTAATTTCTCTCAGGTGCTATATACATTTGTACGGAAGCTGTTTTTCCATCACAACGTTTAAACGAATTATTAATGAAATCACACATTGCCAAGAAATATTATATTACTGGTGATATAATATTTGTCGAACATGTTCCCATAATGGTATGATATTTTTCAATATTCTATAATACCAAAATTTATTATATATAAAAATATATATATTTACATTCATATTTTTTTTAAAAACATTTAAAGGAGAAACTAGAGGAATGTATTTGCGTAAAAGTTCCCTTTCTCATGCAACGTCGAAAAATAGGATTATTAATTATCGATTCAATTGCAGCACCTTATAGAGTTGAATATGACGATAAATTGTTAAAAACAAGAGCTAAAAGTTTACGAAAAATTGGTGAACAATTACATTCTATTTCCAGGGAATATAATATACCTATTATTTGTATTAATCAGGTAAAATTTTTGTTTTTATAAAATTAAAATTATCCAAATAGAAAATTAAAATTTAATAACAAAAAAATTATATTAACGGGTTAATTATTATTTCATCTCTTAAATTCATTACGGACTATTTTTAGAAAAATCTTAAAATTCGAAATTTGCAATTATTTTGTATATAAGATTTTTCTAAAAATAGGTCGCAAGAACTTTAAGTGAAGTGTAAAAATTTATTCCTAACAAGAATTATATTAAAAAGAAAAATATTTTTTCAAATTTAAATTTAATTTTTTTTCTCCACAGGTATCGGCTTTGATAAATAATGAATCATTGGGAATAAATGAAAACGATGAGATACCAACTTTGGGAATTGTTTGGTCAAATTTAATTAATCATTCATTTCATTTATCCAAAAATAATAATCGACGATTTATGCATTTTATGCATTCTTCATATTTACCGAAAAAAACTGTTGAATATGAAATTCGGGACATTGGAGTGGTCGGTGTGTAAATTTTAAAAATATGGAAAATTTATTTTTTATTTTTTTTTCCAGTATTTATTATTATTATTTGAAAATTAATTTATTATTTATTAATAATATTAATTTTAATTTATTATTAAAAATGTACATGCATACGTCATATAATATATAAAAAAAAAATTGTTTTTTTTTCTTTAATTATTAACGTCTGATTGCACTAATTCACTAATGTCAGTAAATGCACTTTCGTCTAAAGTTCGAACAATTTTTGATAATTTCCATTTATTTTGAGATATTGAAATATCAAACGGATCGGCTGTTTTTACATCCAAATTTTCAACATCAGTGAAAAGAATTATTCTGTAAATTTCGTATGTTTACTACAAAATTTTGTAAATTTTTAAATAAAATATTGTAATATATAAAATATGAAAAAAATATAATATTTAAATTTATTTTGTTTTACTTTTTTTCTAACTAAAATTAAAAAAATAGATATTAAATTAACGATGCTGAAGTCTGCAACATTTATCATCAACGATTTGAAAACAATTATAAACAATTATAAAAAATTATTATTTGAAAAAATATATTTTTTATAATTAAATAATTTATAATTTCAACCAATAATTTCCATCAAGTTTTGCGAAAAATCAATTATTAAAAATAGTTTTTAATTACAAATTCTGTAAAATTTAATTATTGTCTGAAATTTAACAAAATTTTTTGAAATTCAATTATTTATAAAAATTTCAACTATATAATTCTTTCAAAATTCAATTTTTTTTATTAATTTTAATATTTCTTTCATAATTCAATTGTTTAAAAAAGTTTCAATTAAAAACTCTAAAATTGAATTGTCGTCAGAAATTAAAAAAAAAGAAACTACAGCATTTTAAATTTACAGAAAATTTATTTCAAATTTAAAATCTTTTTGCAATTCAATTATTTAAAAGAAATTTTATTTAAAAATCCTAAAACTTAATTATTGTCCGATATTTTTTGTTTGACTATTAAAACTAAAAACTATGCAAAAATTTTAAATTCAAATAAATTGCTTCAATGTGAGACTTCGAAAAATTTTTAAAATGAAACATTAAGAATTTTTTTTAGAAATCTGTCCTACTGAATTAAAATCTTAAAAATTTGTCCTACATAGTTCGATTTTGAAATATTCGTAATAAATTTTCTTTGATAATATTCATATAAAATTATTCTTATTAAAGAATTAATAAAATTAATTTAATATGTAACAGCAATAGTTATATTTGAAATAAAATACTTATCATATAATTAAAACGAAAAATTATAAAATTTTTGGATTATTTGATAAATTTTGAATAATAATTTTTTTTTATCAATAAACATTGAAAGAAATGAATAAATAAATAAATAATTATCTTTAAAGCGAAAATTCATAGAATTTTTCATTAAAAAAAAAATATTTCTTTAAAAATTTGTTGATCTTAAACATTGTGAAATTCAGCATCATTTTAATTAAATAAATAAATAACCTGAAATTTTAATTTTCAAATTAAAAGAGTTAAGATAAAAAAAAAAGAAGTCAAGGGTTTTTGAAGCTTATATGACTATATATTTGTTTATTATTTATTTTAATATTTAAAAAAAAATTATAAATAAAAGTGAATTTGAAAATAATTTTTTTTTTGTACCTTAAGGCATGTAGAAATGTTCTATGAGGCTCGGTATCCTGTTTTCCACTATAAGTATAATCACCAATTATCGTGTGTCCAATGCAAAAACAATGAACACGTAATTGATGTCGACGACCCGTTTTTGGATACAATAAAATTTTGGTCGCTGGTTTATTATTAAAAAATCCAAGTTCAAGTATCAAAATTCCAGTTGACGAATCTCTTGGCTTATAACAAAAATTACTATCACTGGTACACATTTTTCGACTTTCGCTCATTTCCCTTATATCATGACCTGCAAAAAAAAAATAATAATTTTACAAAATCCAAATCATAAAACAAAATAATGATGAAGTAATACGAAAATATATAAAATTGAAATAAAATAAAAAAAAAAACAATAATAATAATAAAATAAATAAAATATTAAAATAAACAAGTTTATTAAAATAAAATAAAAATTATTTAATATAAAATGAAAAATTGTACCTATTGGCTTTGATATAATCATGTGTGATTTATGAATATGACCATGAACAAGCGCCAAATAATATTTTTTTACTTTTCTTTTTTCAAAAGCATTTGACGCAGCTTGAGCCGATGATTTATTTAATGCAATGCAAATAACACCACTGGTGGCATAATCTAATCTATGCACAAAATAAAATTCATGACGAAGACTCGGATTCACAAGATTTGGAAACATTTTCCCTAATTTTATTTGAAGCGTACTCTAAAAAAAATAAAAAATAATAATTAAATTATTATTTTTTTAAATTTTGAAAATAAAAAAATAAAGGCCAAAATTCTATAAAAATTTATATAATTTATAATCATTTATAATCGTTTATAATTTATTTATTTATTTAAATTTTACACGGGTTTACAAAAAAATAAATAAATATTAAAAATAATTTACAAAAATAATCCTATTTACAATTAAAATTAACAAAATAAAAATAATTATAATTATTTTAAAAAAATTACATTTTATCTCAACATTAAATCCTTTAATTATGAAGTTTTTCGAAAAAAATTTTTAATTATAAAATTATTGCAAAACATATAAAATAAATATTATACCTTAATATTTGGATCGTTGCTATTTATTACCATATCATAGGGTTTATTAACAACCAAAAAATATTTACTACAATGTAAAACTTCAACTCGATTTTCAACATTTTTTTGTTTAAAAATACATTTTGAAAAGTATAATTTTTCAAATAGATAATTAATTATAGAGTAAAAGGAAAAGATTAGAAAATTAAGAAACGTCAAAAATAGAAAAATAAGAAATCTCGTGTAAGGCCAAATATTAGATGAAATGCCCATATTTTCTTTTTATTCAAATAAAAAAGTCATTAATTAATAATGAACATTTTAATTTAAAAACTATAAATTTATTTTCAAAAAGAAAATAATTAGATGAATTCATTTGTTCTGTTTGTAAACATCAAAAGTGTATATTTAAACACGTGTGTCACATTTGTTGTCATTTAACCTTTGTCAAATATACAATAAATAAAAAAAAAATAAACTGTCACAAAAAAATGCACTACAACATTAAAGTGTATAAAAATAAAAAGGTTTTATTATACAACAAAAAAAATTAATTTTTATTTAAAAAAAAAAGATTATTTTCTTGTTTACTTTTTGCTGCTATGGAAATTTCTTTTAAGAGAATGTTTACCATTCGTAAAGCACCAATAAATAACTTTCCCTCTTCTCCGTTCTTTATCTTCATTGGTGGAATAATTATCATTAATTTTTTAATGAATAAATTTGCTATTTATAAATAATCTAAGTTTGTTAAATAAATATTTACACATTATTTGCATAAATTAATTTACAAATAATCAATTTGTTATTTAAACGCGCGATATTTATTCTCATAGAACTCAAATTTCATTGGCTGTTGTGAAAATCAAACAAAAATTTAATCTCAAACCCAAAGCGCCTAACGCTTAATACAAAAAAGTCGGATATTGTTTTTTTTTATTTTAATTTAATTTTTATAAATAATTATCACTTTGTTATCTTTATGTAAATATATTAATTTAATTAAATGTTACTTAAATTAAAAAATAAATCATTCGGAATAAAAATATTTTCTTTCTTATAGATGTTAAATTAAATAAATCTTTATAATTATATGTAATTTCTAATATAGTAATTTTCGAATATTCTTACTTGATAATTAACAACAAATTTAATAATTAAAAATTCTCCAAAATAAATTTTTTTTCACGTATTCAATTTAAAATGACCGCCGCGCTTATTTTCTATTATAACCGGAAATCGTCTGGTTCGAGACTAGGCGGCATTTCCCTCCTTGTTTTTAGTTATGTGAACCCCGTTTTGTTTCTATCGTTAATGTGAGCCATCTTGCTACAAGACGCCGATCGTTACTTTTTCAGTGGTGTAATATTTTAACTTTATTTTCAGGGTTTATCAAGTATTAAGTGAGGAAATACAAAAGCTACATAATTAAATAAATAAATTTTCAGGTTAGTTTTACTCATAATTTTTCAATTTTACTCTATATTGATCGTCCAATCTTAAAATGCGCATCCATACTTTATTCTCCGTAATTATCATCCTCGTTGCCGAACGTTTTTCTAGAAAAATACAAAAATGTCTTTTTTTATCTTTTTTTTCAATTTATTATCCAATTCTTTATTAATTTCTTTTAGAATTTAGGATATTCGGATCAGCATATTTAAAAAGGTTAAGATTTTTCTTTTTTTTTTTTTTTTTTTTTGTAAGTCACGCCTGTCATATACGTGCAGCTTTTTAATTAAGTGCGTCATTTCTAATAATTGCTGTATTTACTAAAAAAAAAAAAAAAATTGTTTATATAAATTTAATTACCCTTTGTAACTTGTTTTTTTTCCCTAATAACAAAACAATTTTTATTCCAAATGTTTTATTTTACTAATCATGTTTAAATATGTTACGTTTTGTTTTTTGTTAATATTTTATTTAGAAGCGTTTTTTTTTATAAACATTGTGTTTAGCATTTTTTTCTGTTCGTAAAATTTTTATTACTATATTTTTTCTATTAATTTATTGATAGAACGATATTTAGGTAGGCGTGTTGAAAAAATATTAGGGATTCACGGCGTCTAAAAAGAATAAATTTCACAAATGTTTTCAATGAAAATATTAATTTTATTATTTAGGTAGAATAAAACGTGTATGAAATTCGTTTTTGAGAGGTTTTATTTTTTTATTTTTTTTTACTCTGAAGATCAATGGTTATATTTTGCATTTAAATTGCCATGAGTGAAAGTATTCATGTGGAAAGTCAAATGAATCATCCCCTTTTTATCACGTGAAGATATTTTACAATTTATTACTGTTATTTATCAGTTAATTGTTAATTTTTATCATTTCGTGATTAATTATATAATTCTTATTTTTTATTTATAGAGTTAAATTTTTTTTTTTTGTTTATAGGATTAAATTAATTTATTTTATATATAGTAGTAATACAGGCCTCGGATTTTATGACTTTTTTTTCAAAAATACATTTTTTTTCAACTTATTTTAATAAGATGCGACTTTTTTGACTTTTTTCTTTACATTATTTATTTATTTATTTACAATAGTAAACGGGCTTACAAAAACAAAATCAAATGCTCTTTCGTACTAAGTACTAAATATTATTGTAATATTAAAATAAATAATAAAATATTATTTATAAAAGTTTTAAACAAAATACGTCTATTTTAGTATAAAATACAAATCTTTTTCAGATATTCTTTATTTCATCAATTATTTAACAACTTTTTAACTAAAATTCTTCTCTAAATTAATTATTTTCAATCATTTTAATGAAATTCTTTACAAATTCAATAAATTAAATTTTTTTTTTTTAAATCAGCAAATAAAATTATCAAAAATTATTATTCAAAATCACTTGAAATTCAATTATTTTCAAAATTTTCTTTCATTTAATAATTTTAAATAATTCTACCGAAATTCAATTATTTTTAATAATATTTTTCAAAAATTCAATTATCTAAAAGCATTTTTCAATTATAAACTTTTAAAGTTCAATTTTTGTCTAAAATTTCTAAAAAAAAAAATTAAATTCCTAATTTAAAAAATTTTTTAGAAACAAAAATCGAATTTTCAATTAACAGAATATTGTTACTTGACTGAATTTTTGTTTAATCAAATTTAAAATTTTTTTTCCATTTTAATTATTGTTATTTAACAAAATTTACATTTCATCGAATTTTCCTTAAGAAACCAAATTTGCTTTTGACTCAATTTCCTTTTGAATTACATTTTTTTATTCAAATTTGCATTTGAACAAATTTTAATTTTATTAGATTTGCATTGAATAGAATTTTTATTTGATTAAATTTTTTATTGAATCGATTAAATTTATTATTATTATTTATTAATAATTATTTATTATCAATAGTTTCAAATAATTCTACCGAAATTCAATTATTTTTTATGATTTTTATAATATTCTTCAAAAATTCAATTATCTAAAAGCATTTTTCAATTAAAAACTTTTGAAATTCAATTTCTATCTGTAATTTCTAATAAATTTTTCAGCAACAGAAATTACCAAATATTTACGAAGCTAAATTATGCAACGTTTATTATAAACAATTTTTAATGTACATAATAATTTTTTAAAATAAAAAATTGTATAATTTTTTTGCCTAAAAAATATTTCTTTATAATTTATTGATTACAATGAAAACTACAAGAAATATTTTTTAGGCAAAAAATTATATAGAATTTTTTATTTTTAAAAATTATTTATTTTTATTTATTATTTAATAAAAAATCATTTGAAATTCAATTATTTTCAAAAATTTGTATTTTAAATTTACGAAAATTCAATTATTTCTAAAAATTTCAACTGTAACTTTTTCGAAATTCAATTATTTCTAAAAATTTCAACTGTTATTTTTTCGAAATTTAATTATTTTGAATAATTTTAATATTTCTTTAAAAATTCAATTATTTAAAAAAATTTCAAATAAAAATTCTAAAATTGAATTGTCAGAAATTAAAATTAATTTTTTTCTGCGCCTTAAAGTCGATTCGAGGCCTGGTAATTTATAATTACTATATATAGTAAAATAATTTATTTTACTAAAAAAGAATAATTTTAATGTATATTAAAATAATTTAATTATAATTAATATAGATTATATTATTATTATTATTTTTATTATTATTATTATTATTATTATTATTATTATTATTATTATTATTACTATTATGAAATAAGTTATTTGTAGTACTAACAATAATTTTTTTTTTTTCTAAAAAAGATCGATAGAAGCCTTTTTCTTAATTTATATATCAATGCTTAACTTATTGATTTTTGTTACATTCGAGATTGTTTAAAGATACTTTTGTTTTGTTTATTTTATTTTCTATTTGAAATTTTAACATTTTATTTATTATTTTAAAATTAAAAAAAAAAAAAAAATTACGCAATTGATGATATTTTTAAACTTTATAATAAACTTTTGTTTTTTTTATTTTCAAATATAAAAATTTTCTCTTATTAAATTTTTTTTATTAAGACAACAATTAATTATTTTTCTATTATATATTAAATAATTTATTCTTAGTTTAATTTTCAAATTTATCTCTAATAATAATTTTTCTTTCTTCATAAATAATATAAAATATATATATATAATGTAGTTAAAAAAAAAAAAAAAAAAAATCGGTGATGCCTTTATTTTGTTTTTAATCGAATAACTTGCCAATTTATTTTTATGTTTATATAATGTGAATAAACGGCAGGTTCCCAAGGAAGCCTGTTATGTATGGTGTTTTTATATTTTCCTTTAAGAATGAGCACCCGAGTATTCGTTGGTGGATTAACATACCGGGTGCGAGAGCGCGACCTTGAGAAGTTCTTCCGGAAATATGGTAGAATCAAGGAGGTTGCTATGAAGAATGGATTTGCCTTTGTGGTAAGTCTAATGTGAATCAATTGTTTTTTTTACAGTATGGTAGGGACAAGGGTCTATGTCGGTGGGCTTCCATACGGCACCAGGGAAAGAGACCTTGAGAGATTTTTCAGAGGCTACGGTCGATTTCGCGATGTCCTCATCAAGAATGGTTATGGCTTTGTTGTAAGTATCCGTATATTCAGAGAGAAACTCGCATTTCGTTTCGCTCTCTTTGTTCAAAAAAAGAAAAAAAAAATTTCGTAAATTTTATTTTTCATAATTCTCGCGTTTTTTTTTTGTGTAAAAAAATAAGTTTTTTTTTTTTTTTTTTTTTTAAATTTGTCCGAAGGGGGTGAAACGTTTTGTAGTTTAAGAAAAGAAAATTAAAAAAAAAAAAAGTAGGCACACTCTCATGATCTGAAAAACCCTGAACCCTGCACAATGGTACTATGGCTGCTTAGATGAACGTCGATTATTCTACGAGGCTTTGTAAGTTATAATAGAAGCGAATCGATCAACAACGATTTACACGATACGACACTTAATTCTTTTTGGCTTATTAGAATTAATTCCATTTTGTTTCTTTTTTTGCATCGGTATTTGATTTTTCTATAAAAAAAAAAAAAAAAAAAAAAAAAAACGCCACGGAGGATTAAAACACTTTACATTAAAGTAAGTTTCGTAAATTATTTTTTTTCCGAAAATTAAGCTTCTTTTTTAAAAGGTGGGTAGAGAAATTTAAAAATCATGTATATTTATTAAAAATATATAAGTGACAATATCGTAATATTTTGAGAATGAAAATTGATTCGAAATGAGAAGAAAAAAAAAAAATTTAGAAAAAATAATTCGCTTTGAAAAAAATTATCTCTCTATAACTAGAAAAAAAAACAGTGCGAGAAAAATTTTACTTTGCTGCTTAGTAGAAAAAAAAATACAAAAATCTTCTTGAATACAAATTTTTATATAATAGTATTCTTTTTTTTTTCTATATAGGAATTCGAAGACTACAGAGACGCGGATGACGCTGTTTACGAATTAAATGGAAAAGAACTTCTAGGCGAGAGGTATGATGAAAATTCCTTTATTTAATATCAATCAATCAAAAGATCTTTATTGTGGTTGATAGTAGACTTGTTTTTTTTTTTTATTTTTTTTTTAAATTCTCAAAAACTGATAAGCTGTTTTTCTCAGTGCATGAAATTTCATTTAGAGTATTATTTGAAATCATTGCTTTTTGATCAATTATAAATTAATTTTCTTTAAATTATAATATTTTAATTAAAAAATAAAATAAATTTTCATTAAAAATTTTGCATGTTTGTATTAAAAAAAAAAAAAAAAATTGTTTTAAAAATAATTTTCATTCTAATATTATTATTTTACTGGATTAAATGTTGTTTTTGTAAAAAAAAAAAATTCAAATTTTTAAAATTTTGATTGTAAATGTATAATTTTTTCATTGTTTATTTTTAAATACCACAATTTCAAGATCTATAGAGAATGTAAATGATTTATTCATACAAAATTTATTGGTCTATTAATGCAATTTTTTTTTAAGCACTGCTAAGTGATATAAAACATTTTCTATTTAAAGTGTATAATTGTTTGTTTTTTTTCATGAATTTTATTAATTTTTAAATATTTTCGAAAAATTTGACAATTTCAAAAAATAAATTTCACTTAGCAATGTTTTTTAAGTGTTTTTCCTAATGATTATCTATGTTTTTCTTTTTTTTTTTTATTTATTTTTCTTAATTTGATAATTTTTTTAAAAATTAATTTTGTCGATATAAAAATTTACTAATATTACTTCTTTTTAAAAAAGTATTTTTTATAATGAATTTTTTTAAAATGTTTTTTCAAAACTTTTTTTTAATGGATTTTAATGAAAACACATTTTTAAAAATTAAATATTTGTAAATTGATTTGTCGATTTTTTGTAGTAAATGTTATATATTAATAAAAATTGTAAATAGAGAATCATTAGGAAAATTCTTCTTGAGCTTTGTTTACTCGAATCCCTGAAATCTGTAGACATAGTCTGCCTCCGTAAATGATGCATTAAGACGGTCTTGTTTAGTACATTGACCTGAGAGTGCGCTGTGACTTACCGCCATTTTGAACTACTTCCATCAATTCCCCCGGTTGAAAAAAAAAAAAAACAAACAAAATTAATTGAAACAGGATTTGAAATCTTAATTTACATTTTCTTAATTTTGTAAAATATAAGATATCGATTTTTACATCGAGAACACTTATTCTGAGAATTGAGTTTTTTCGCAACTTCCTTGTGATCCACTTTTTTTTTTCTCAACACTTGAGAGAATTTTGATTTCAATCAAAATGCAATCAAGATTCCAATTTTGGATCATATTGAGAATTAGGTGGAATGAGTTACCTATAACTATTGAAAATTTTTTGAAAACGTCAAATTATGTTTATTAATTTTTAATTTATTTGATTTTTTTTTTGGGATTTAGCTAAATTTTTGAATTTATTTATAATTATCCTCGATTCAAGAATCAGATATAACGCATTTAATTTTAATTGGGTATGTCTTGTTCTTGCATCAAGGTGTTCAATTAGGAATTAATTACGAGTATTAAAAATTCATGAGTAAATTAATAGTAGAATTCATTGAAAAAAAAAGAAATGTTGATTTCATTTTTTAAAAATTGAAATTATAAAATAATTCAAAAATTACAGCAAGTAATGTGTTTTTTTTTTGGAATAAGTAAATACGATAAAAACTGTTCCAAAAGAAAAGTTTCTTGGCTTTTTTTTTTAAACCTAAATTAAAAAATAAATTTTGTGTTTTTTAAATGTTAGCTTCTATTCAAAAATTGTTGAAATTATTTATTAATAATATAGTGCTGTAGACTTTTCTATTGTCGTAGTCTTATGTTGCACTTTTTTTTTTCTGTTGCACGAATTTTAGGCATCGTGAAATTTTTGGCAAAAAAAAAGAAAGAAATATGAGTCTACAGTATTTCTCTAATTGTTCAGAGTTCACAGTTAATTTATATTAAAATTTTTATTATTAATATTATTATTTATCTATTATTAAATAAATAAATTATAATAAAATATTAAAAATTCTAAAATAGAGAAAAATCAAATAAAAAGTACCTAATTTAAACTAAAGCATTTCAAAAGAATAAATTTTTATTTATTAAAATTGTGGATTTTTATATTTTGTTGAATATAATAAGAATTGTAAAAAAAAAATAAATTCTATACAAAATTTGAAAGCAATTTTGTGTAAAATTTCGGATTTTTGAAAGCACTTTGATCTCTGAACTTTTAATGTGCTTGAGGAGAGCAATTTTTTTTTTTTTTTTTTTTGAATGCTTTTTATTATTTTTAGTTTGAATATATTTTTTTTTCAATTTATATTTTCAATCCAACAATCAGTAATTGAATTAATGAAGAAAATAATATTCTAAATCTACTACTGTTGGATAAATAAATATGAATATTTAAATCTTCTAATGATAATAATATGAGAATTACAGGAAAATTCAGTCATACTTTTTTTTTTAAATTAAAAATTATAAAAGCCTTGATTTAATTAAAATTTTAATAATTATTAATATTATTATTGTACATATTAATTATCTATACACTGGGATGAAAAAGAATTCAATAATTAATCAAGAGTAGAAGTTGGTCCAAATTCTTATTTTCTTTATCTTTTATAATAAAAATTAAAAAAAAACAAACTATTTATTAGTTCAATTTGAGTAATTATTTAATTAATAAATATTCCATTTAAGTATAGGGAAAATAATCAAATATTATTTTTTAAATATTAAAAATATATATATAAATTATAATTTTAAATAAATGTTTTTTTTTCTTAATGTTAATACAACTTTATTTTTTAAAAGCAATAAAAATCATTTATTTCAAATAAAAATTTTTAAAATAATTTCAATATGTAATTGTTTTGCCAATTTACTGAAAAATTTAATTACTCCAATAAAAAAAAAAAACGGTATATTAATGTAGAATTTGATATTCTTTAAGTTTAAATTGATAGATGTTATTAAAATCGAATGTAAATTGCTGAAATAAAAGTTAAATGTTATTTCAATAGTCAAAAATTTAATTATAAAATTATTATAAATTAATAAATAATTAATATAATAATATATAATTATATTAATATAAAATAATATTAAGAAATTGGATTTAAATTTAAAGAAATAGAATTTTTGGAAATAATAAAAAGAGAGAGAAGATATCAATAGATAACACAATGAAAATATAAACAGGAAAAATAATAATAATAATCATTTTACTAATTGCTAGTAAAAGTCACTAATAATTAGTAAAATTTTACTAATTGAGAAGCAAAAAGTGAGTCACTAATTCAAATTAGTAAACTTTTTTTTACTAATTCAGATTTAGAGAGTAATCTTAAATTTATTTTTACCGCTTTGAACCATTAAAAGTTGTCTTTGGATAAAGAGTAAATTTTTCTAAGATTAACAAAAACGATTTCTACAACATAATCTAAAAAAAAATTTATCATTTTTAAATTTTATAACAATATCAGGGTGTCTAACGGTCAGGGAATTTCAGAAAATTTCAACAAAAATTAAAATTTTTTGCGAATTTAAAAATTTAAATTAAATTTATTTAATTTCTTTTTTTTAATCTAAAAAAAACTTGAATTGTTTTTATTACCATTTGTTACTACCATTAGAAATTAATTTATTGTTAAATATATCAGTAAGCATATTTTTGTCCAAAGAAAGCAGAAATAAGGTTATTAAAAAGTTAGGGAAAAATCAAAAAATGTCAGGGTGGAGTCAGGGAATTTTTTTTTCAATTCTTGTTAGACACCCTAAATATGTACAATTGTACACCCAAAGAAATATTTTATTGGCGTTTATTTGAAACAAATAAAAATATATTTGAGCTCTCAGAGCTTAATAACTTTTTATTTAACTCAAAATTTATTTAAAGCAAATATTTATTTGGCTCTGAGACAAATATCAGGATTGCCACGGGTCAGGGAAAACTATTGGAAAAATATCAAATTTCTAAAACTTTTATTAAAACTATATTTTTCAATTTCAAATTTTGCTTTGGAAAAATTATTGTCATTAATTTTTTATAATTGTAAACCTCTTGAAATATTTTCATTAAAGTTAAGGAAAAAAATTTTAATTCTAACTGAAAATCAGGGAAGAATAAAATTTTTTTTTATAGTAACCCTGAAATACATATATTTTCTTTGGGTGTTAAAAAATCAAATCTCATTGCAGATTTGTTGAATTTATTTAAATGATAATTTTTATTTTTTCAAAGTAATCGAAATAAAATTGTTCACACTGAAAAAAACATTTACAAATTTTATTTATAAATACATACACAACTATATTGAGTTGGACCAACTTATGATTTCACTAAAAAAGAAAAGGATTTAGAAAATTTTTGCTAAAAAGAAACAAATTATACAATAAAAAAAAAAAAAAAACTTTTTAAAAAAAAATCCTATCGAATGAAAAATTGTTTTTTGTAACAAGTAGAATTGGTTATAAGGTGACTCATTCCTCTGAAGAAAAAGCTTGTCGTGTGACTAAAATGAAAAAAGAAAAAATTGAAATTGGTCGTAAGTTGCAAACGACAGCAGTCAATAATAGTTTAGGAGATGAAGAGATTCGCGAAAGGAGACTACGCCTCAGAGGCTGGACTGAGTAAAAACTTGAAAAAAAAAACGGATGATGATGATGATGATGATAATGACGAGAGGAGGCTGTGGAAAAAGAAAAATTAAAGGAAGGAAGGAAAACTGCAATTAGAAGTAAGAATTAGTCGAGGACTTAGGCGGGGTTTTGTTGGGTGTGTTTCAGAGTGGCGGTGGAGATAGCACGGGGTGTTTCAGGGAGGCGAGGCGACCGTGGCTACGGACGCTCACGCTCCTGGAGAGACAAGTAAGCATATCCAATGTGTCTTGTTACAGAATTACTGTAGAGAGGGCCCGGGGTACACCTAGGGGTAGTGACCAGTGGCGCTATGGTGACTCCCGTGGTGGTTATGGGGACTCGAGGCGATCTGCGTAAGACACGCTATCCTTTTTTTTATTTTTATCAACAAACAAACAAAAAAAAAAAATGCGATTAATTATCCCCTCCTCCCCTGCAGCCATTCTTTTCGGGATGTGCGATTTTTTTTTTTTTTTTTTTTTAAATATGTGACGCTTCACGAGAAAAGGGACCTTACGTCCGAAAAGAATTTTAGGTTATGTTTGTGATTTTTAAACTGAAAATACTCATCTCTTTAAATATATATTTTATTTTTTTAAAAATTAATTTTTATTTTTAATTAAAAAAAGAAACTATCACTAAACATAACGTACAATTTTTTTTTATATATAAAGTCCCTTTTGTGGAATGTCGCATCTATTTTTTCTTCGATTTTACTTTTTTTTTTTTTTTTTTTTCTTTTTTTGAAATATAAAAAATAATTTTGTTTTCAAATTTTTTTCTTTTCTTGAATTTTTTTTTCCCCCGAATCTGATGGTTACGTAAAGTTATTTTGTGTTGTGAATTTTTATTTTATGTTCGCACATCACCGATTCAAGAGAGGAAATTATCGTTGAATTCTGAATACAAGAATTTCTTTTTTTTGTTTCGCAATTTTTAAGGTATTATTCAGAATATTTTTATATTATATATATAGGTAAAATATTGCTTACATATTGATATTGTTATTATAATTGTACTGTTATTATTTGCTTTTACGCTTTTTATTTTTTTTTTTTGTTTTATTATTGCAGAATTATTTTTTTTTTTTTGAAATTTTTTGAGGACCAGTGTTTTGCTTTTAGAAAACATGGATAATTTTTTTTTTTTTTTGCTTTTTTTGGCTAACTGCTGTATAACTTTTTTTTTTCTTTAAGGGAAGGGGCTAATGAAATTTACGTTTATAGGCGTTTGTAACTTTTTTTATCAACGTTTATCGATGAACAAATTTTTAGTTAATTTTATTACACTGAAAAAAATTTATTTGATTCAAATAATCGGTTACTTGACTGTTATCAAATAAATATTTATTTGTATCAAATAATTGTTATTTGAGATGGTATTTATTTTAAATAAAGAAATTATTGGTTCAAATACAATTTATTTAATTAAAATAAAAATTATTTGGTTCAAGTAAATATTTATTTGATAATTAGTCAAGTAATCGAGTTATTGAATCAAATAATTTTTTTTTTTCAATGTATTTTTTCCCATGAAAAGTGAAAAATATTTTTTATTTTTTTTATCATTGATCAATTAACGTTGCAAACTTCAACGACATAAAAATAATAGAAATTGTAAAAGAAGTTATTTTTACAGAATTTTCTAAAAAAAAAAAAAAATTAAATTAAAAAATTTTAAATTCTCAATAATGTATAAGAAAAAAATTAAAACCCCTAAAGAACGTAAATTTTGTTAAATTAAAAATTTCATTAATTGCTTTTTTAAAAGTCTGTTTTTCAAACAAAAAAAAAAAATTAATTTTCAAAAACAAAATTTTTTTGATATTTTTTACGATGCTGGATTCTACAACGTTCTGTAAAATGTGGTAAAGTCGGTTTATGATCAATGTTTAGAAATAAATTATTTTTTAAGACGATTATTTTTTGTTGATCAATAAAAATTGCAATATCTTTGAGACAAAAAATTCATAGAATTTTTTATAAAAAAAAAAAAATATTTTTTGAAAATCATTGATAATAAACGTTGTGAACATCAGTATCGTTTTTTTTTTCTTTTTAAAGAAAAAAATTTTGGTCCTCAAAGGGTTTTAAAATGTAAAAATTGTTTCTTATTGTAAATCATAATTTTTTTTCCCCCTGTAAGAAAATTAATTTTGAAAAATTTAATGGCAATAAGTGATTATCTACTTTCAAAGAAATTAGTAAATTGATATTTCTCATTTTAAAAATTGATAATTTTTTCTCGTTTATTTATTTAGGCGAATATTGTTTTTATTTTAATTTTTTTTGTACAGTGTAAAAATCAAAATTTCTTGTTTTCAAAATTTCCACGATAAATTTTTGAGATCGTATTTAAAAAAAAAAAAAAATGTGTTAGTACATTAAGAGAATTTTTTTGAATTATATTTCAATATTTACTTTTATTCATAAGTAATTACTTACTAATTTATATTTTTTTAATTTGACTTGTGAGAAATTCCTTTTTATTAATGGGTAAAAATTATTGAAAGAAAAGAAGAATTTTTATAAAAATGAATTTTTTTTCGCTCCCCCCATTTTAGAAGAAGTTTTTGTTTTGTAAATTTTTTTTTTTTTTTTTTTTTTTGAAAAATGTAAATGAAAAAAGAAAAGAAAAAAAAAACTGCTGCTAGTTGAGCGAGGTGGAGAGATATGTTGATAGGTGACTAATTGATATGTAATGTTATGTTTGTTACAGCCGAGACGAAATGCGACACGACAGGTACGCTATTGCTGCATTATGAGTAGATTTGATACGATTGGAACAGGTGATTGATTGTGTGCCTGAGCAATGAGTGCAGTACAGTAGTTATTTGCTGAAGGTTTTATCAAACAATCCGTTATTTCTGTTCACATGAGATCCCTTTTTGCAGAGATAGTGTGAACAGAAACACGAGGACTGCATCTAGCTACAAGCAATCATTGCCCAGGTACATACATCTATAATGTTACGCTCTAAAACTTTAAATTAAAAAAAGTATAATACATTTTTTTTTTCATATCTTCAATTTTATTCTTATTTTTTGTCTTTTTTTTTTTTTAATTTCTCTCTCTAAAAATATTTTCACAAAATATTCTTTTCTTTTTTTAACTGCAATTTTTTTTTCATTTTTATTAAAAATTAAAAAAAATTTAATTTAGTGTAAAAAAACATTTACATGGTATTTTAATGGACATTTTTATTTTTTTTAGATATGGACCGCCAACCCGGACCGAGTACCGCTTGACTGTGGAGAATCTATCGAGCCGTGTCAGCTGGCAGGTAAGAAATCGTCCTTTTTTTCCTTAAGACAAAATATATATTAACTGAATTGAGCTCGTCAAAAACGAAATTTTTTTTTCATATTTTCCGTATAATTTTTTTTTCCAAATTTATTAAGCTCAAACTAGTTTTTTTGATGACAGAAGATACATTTTTACAGTTATCATTATTTTTTTTTTTTTTCAAATCATTAATTTCATATTTGGGAATTTTTTTCTTTTATTAATTTCATTTTCTCGCAAAAAAAAAAAAAAAAATTTTCAATAACTCTTTTCGAATCTCTTGATATGTACATTTTGATCAAGTAAGTCTGGTGGCTAAAGCAAAAAAAGGGCTCATTCCGAAAAAGAGAGATGGAAATATAAAGAGAGAAAAAGAAAGAGAGAGAGAGAGAGATAGGAAGAAACAAACCAGAGGCACGAATTTTTTTTTCTTCAATGACGAGAGAAAGAGAGAAAAAAAGAGCGAGAGACTCCGAAGTCCGGGCCAAATTCCTAATCCAATCACTTGTGGGAAATAACCAGGACGCAATCGAAGGATTCAAAAGAAGAAGGAAGACACAAGGAAAACGAAAATAAAAAAAAAACGAGCTGCAAAAAATACCCCAAGCCTTACTTGATCAATTTACATTGTCAATCGTTACCTTTATCCGATTGGTTAAAATTGACAGAGATAGAAAAATAACTAGCTGATTTATATCGGCAAATTTGTTTTGTTTTTTTTTTTCAAATTTTTTGATTTTTTTTTTACGTTCCACAAAAAATTAGAATTGTGAAAGAAAGAGAAAAAAAACAATAAAAATTGATGTTCTTTCCGAAGAGTCATGTCCTCTTCGTCGTGGAGGAGCGACCGAGATAGGGCCACAATTGAGACGATGTTCGATGATAATGACAGAGAGAGAAAATAGTGACGATGCACGCGATGGGTCCCCGCCTTGATGGTCAAGTTGGGGGCACCAAGGTTGGTTTCTCTGATGTTTTCCGGTTGAGAGAGAACGAAAGAGATTGAGAGAGAGAGAGCGAGCCTCGAGGCACTGCCACCTCTATCTACCACCCACCTCTATCCAGTGATAAGCGCCAATACTCAGTGATAATCCAGAGAGAGACAGGTCGTTGGTTAACGTCGGGATTATTCAATGGATCTGCGATCTCCAGTCCCCTTTCTTTTTTCTTTTTCTTTTTTAAAATCCATTCCAATTATTCCCCTCATCCAGTGAAAATTCCTTTCTTTCTTTTTTTTTTTTTTTAAATTACCTTTTTAGCCAGTAGTTTTCCATAAATTTTTTTTTCTATATTTTAAAAAAAAAATACTACTGGAATATTTGTCTTGTATAACTTTGAAAGAATTTTGGTAAAATGTTCCTATACGTCTCGAGTGTGCCACTACCAGTCAGTACTACCACCATCTCACCGTCCTAAAGCTGTCTCTAAGTAATGTTCAGGCAGCGAATGGGTTGAGGGGGCCTCCTCCGACACGTGTGTGATGGTCCAAAACTCGAATCATCCGCGACTGTGCCACACTGATTCACAAGTTGGACCGACCCAACCACAAGCGCCGTTGTGTGTGTCTGGCCTTTCTCTCTGTCCGTAAGCAAGGTGGTGCCTGGGCCCAAGGTAAATGCGTCACCTTAACCGAGTGTAATCTTACAATTAGATTATTTATATTCACGTTCTCATAGTTCTTTAAAATTACTACTACTATAAAAATAAATACTTCTCTGCATACATGTATTTAATAATATATAAAAAAAAACATGTCTCATGTTACTGTGCACAATAGAGATTCAAGTTGTTAAAAGAAAAAAAAAAAAAAAAAAAATAGACGTCGAGCGGTAGGTAATTGGGAAAATATGCAGTTGAAATTTCTTCGAAAGGCTGGATTAGTTTTTTTTTTTCTTCAAATGCTTTTGCAAATTTTCTTTCTTTTTTTCGTCAGGATTTTTAAGGCTAGATGATAAATACCTCGGATTATATGATTTTTTTTCGAAAATACAACTATCTTCGACCTATTTTAATAAGATGCGACTTTTTTTTAAGGGGGCACTCACAGTTGTAATTTTCAAAAAATCGATTTTTTTTTCTTGCATTTTCTTAGAGTATATATGTAGTGAAAAATATGTTTACAAAATTTTAAGAACAGGCTAACGGCCGTGTGGGTCTTTATACCTTTATATTTGAATTGGGATTTTGGAAGCAGCTTCATCTGCGGAAGAATTATTATATGGTCCAGGAATTGATGATTCTATCTGATTTCAAAAAAAAAAAAAAAAAAAATTCCATCTTCATGTAAATGTGAGTTAAAACTTTAAACACGTTTTTCTCAAAAGTACATTTTTGAAGTCGGTGACCACTCTTATTTGAAAACTATTGAACCGATTGTCTTGAAATTTAACATATTTTTTTTTACGAAAATCGAACGTTAAACTTTGACAGGAGATAACTTTAAAATTATTTAATATTTTTAACTTTTTTTTTAAATTCAAGTTTAATATATGCAGGGTGTCTAACGGTCAGGGAAAAGTCAGGGAATTTCAGAAAATTTCATTCAAAGTCAGGGGAATTTCTGTAAATTTCTACAAAAATTAAAATTTTTGTTGAATTTAAAAATTTTTAAATCTAAAAATACTTGAATGGTTTTTATTACCATTTGTTACTACCATTAGAAATTAATTTATTGTTAAATATGTCAGTAATCATATTTTTGTCCAAAAAAGCAGAAATAAGGTTATTAAAAAGTCAGGGAAAAATCAAAAAATGTCAGGGAGGAGTCAGGGAAAAGTCAGGGAATTTTTTTCTCAATCTTTGTTAGACTCCCTGATATGTGACTTGGACAGTGAAATGGGGGCTTACGTAGAAAAAAAATTAATTTTTTATTGATTTTTTCGCACTTAAGCCCCCTTTTCAATGTCCAGGTCACATATGTACTTTTAAATAATAAATCGATATTTTGAAAAAATTTAATGGTGTACGAGAAAAAAATTCATAAAAAAAGGTCTATTTTTTGGCGCTACAACTGCGAGTGCTCCCTTAAAACAAAAAGTACGTCTTTTATTTTAGTATAATTAAGTATTTTCAATAATTTTAATGAAATTCTTGACAAATTCAATTATCTTAAACTATTTCTCCGATTTTTTTTTTCAAAAATACGACTTTTTTCGACTTATTTCAATAAAATGCGACTTTTTTTTACATTTTTTAAAAGTATTTGTAAACAAAATACGTTTTTTTAGTATACAATGCAGATCTTCTTTATTTCATTTATTTAACAAATTTTTAACAAAAATTCTTCACAAATTCAATTATCTTAAACTATTTTTCAATTAAAATTTTTATAAATTTTAATAATTGTTTATAATTTTTAAAAAATATTAGCAAATAAAATTAACAAAAATTTTTAATTTAAAATCACTTGAAACGACTAAAATTACTATTTTTGCGCCTTAATGTCAATTCGAGGCCTGGATAACAAAAAAAAAAAAAAAATTAATAAATTCTTAGTTTGGAATTATTAACGAAAATTATTATCAAATAAATATTTAATTGTATCAAATAATTATTATTTGAGTCGAATAAATGGTGAATTTAAATTTAGAAATTTTAGAAAATTATAAGTTTTAATTTAATAAATTATTTGTCACTTGAAAAATTACTTTCTAATTATTTGAAGCAATTATATGAGAGAAATATTTTGCGGGACAAATTAATTTAAAACGGAAATTTTAAACATTTTTTAGCAAATTAAAACTGTTCTTTTTTATGCGTGAAGAAATTTGCAGAAGCATTTAATTTTTTAGTTAGAAATGAAAAAAAAATTGGTAAAATAAAATATTTTAATTAATATAAATTTTTCTTAAATTGAAATTAAATTATTTATTTATTATATCTGCGGCGTTTCACCCTAAAAGAAATCTTACGTGGAAAAAAAATCGAATTTTCACTTTTTATTGTTAATTATCGATTTTTAGTTGATTTTCACTTTAGCATTAATAATAGAAAATTTATTTTTTTATCTCCACATAAGGTTTTTACTATCGTGGAAAGTTGTAATATTATTTATATATTCAAATTAATAATTGTAATTATTTTCTGTCAATATTTTTTTTATTGCATAATACAAATTTTTATAAAACAAAATAATCATAAATTACAATTAAAGAGATTAAAAAATTTGTCCAGCCATGAAAAAAAAATAGTCAAACGTTTAAAATCACATTATCTAAATTATATTGTGCTCGAAATTAGATGATTTGAATCTTTAATTGGAATTACATTTTTTTTTCTCATTATGGACAAAGGAAAATTAATTTAACAAAATTTTGAATGTTTTTTTCATGCAAGTAATTTTAACAAAAAAGAGCATTTAACTTTTTTCTCTATGCATGGCAATGTCGCAATTGTATAAATATTTTTAAGCCAGCAAACACAGGACGCAAAGCTTCTAACCAAAAATGAAACTTTTCATTGGACTACAACAATAACAACAACAACAACAAAAAGAAGAACAATTGAAAAATGAAGAATCACAGAGGGATGAAGTGACAATTGAGAGAAATATTGATAAAAATTTCAAGATGAAAAAACATCAATGGATGAAAATTTAATCCCACTTTTGTTGGCTGATTCTCAAATCATGAGTGGAAAAAAAATTGCTGCCATTGTTTTTGGATTATTGAGAGAATGATTTTTTTTTCCAAAAAAAACGTGCCTGGTTCCCACACGAGTATTTTTCATCCAACAATATATCTGTGGAATCGAAATTTTATCTGGGTCATCAAAGAGGAGAGAATTAATTTATATAGAGGAAGAAATTGAAATTGGACGAATTGCAAATATTCTTTCAACTTTTGGACCAAATTTCATTTTATTTCTAAAGGAAAAAAATTCAGAATATTATTATGGTTTCTTTCATTCTTTGGATTCAACATGGAGGAAAAGAAATTTTTTTTATTTATTCTGTCTTACTAAACCAATATTCATCTTCTTTTTTTCATTAATGATTTCTTAACAAATTGATTCTTTTTTTTTTTAATAATCATTTGTTCTTTTTCTATTGCTTGTAGTAACACAATTTTTAATGGTATGTTTGTTTATTTATCTAGACTGGATATTAATTTTAGATTTTCATCTCATTTTATTTATTTACAATTACAATATTGATTGATTGTGAGCCATTCTACAGAAATGATAAATGATTTTAAGATTTGTAGAATTTTTTTTTTTATTTGTGACACGCTCTGAAGAAAGGGACCTTAGAAGCAAAAAAAAAAATTATAGGTTATGTTTTTAAAATTTCGAAGTGAAAATAAGAGGATCAATTTTCGATACAAATTATTGATATTTAAGTCTTTATTAAATTCAAAATAAAAACTGATTTTTATTTTATATAAATAAAATAATTTTAATCAAGGTAAAATTATTATAAACATAACCTATAATTCGGTTCTTTCTAAGGTCCCTTTTCTTCAGAGCGCGTCACATTTTATAGTGTTTGTTTTGTATAATCAAAACTAAATACAATAATACAGAATTAAAAAATTTATTTCATAAAAACAGATATTTTAATTACTTAAAAGTTTGGTTTTTGAAATTTTTTTGTTATAAATTACAAAATTGTATGTAAAAAAAAATGTCTAGTTTTAACGATTTCTGTAGAATGGAGTGTTATTATAATGTACTAATCATATTAGCGAACATTGCACTGCATAAAAGAAAGAAATTATTTTACAAATTAATTATTCTAAATTCGGGCACATATTGTAGTAATAGGAAGAATGGAGAACTGTATAGACAGAGATAAAAATGTTTTTTAAAAAAAAAAAATTTAATGTTTAGAATTCAAACATTTTTTTTTCACAATACTTTTTAGATTTTATTCTTCTTTTTTTTATGTAATTAATAACATATAGTCGAAGTCTATGCAGTAATTTTAAAAAAAAAAAAAAAAAAATACACATCTTTCCAAGTAAATCTACAAGCAATCATCAAATGGAATTCCTGAAGGGATGTTAATTAATAGTGCACAGCGTTCCCTTTAACCATTCCAGTATCAGACTAAGTACACTACGTTATTAGAATTTAAAACAAAATTTATTTTTTCTTCACTCTCTTTGATAAGAGACTAATAGTTTTTATGCAATGTTTAGGACTTGAAGGATTACATGAGACAAGCTGGCGAAGTTACATACGCAGATGCACACAAGCAACGCAGAAATGAAGGGTAATTAACTAAATAATGTTATTAATTGATATTTTTTTGTTGTAATTATTACTTTTTGACCCCTTTACAATTTTTAATTACAGGAAGGTAATTATTTTGATAATTTTTAAAAATTCTCATTTTTTCTTTTCTTCAACATTTTATTTTCCTTAAATTTTCTATTTTCTCTTCATTTTGTAAAATAATTCTATAATATATTTTATTTCTTAATTTTTTCTTCAAAAAATTATGCTTATGATTTGTTTAAACAAATTTAAAAAAAAAACGTAAAATTATTAATAATGTTCAGTTTTTGGGTTATTAATATAATTTATTTTTAAATTCTAGTAATATTTTTGAAAAATCGATTTTTCTTTGCTTTTTTTATTTACTTTACTTTCTCTACTTTTATTTTTTTAACCACCTGTTATCTAGTTTTTTTTGTAATTTATATTTATTTCTAACTTTCGAATTATATAAAATATAATTAATTGATAAAATGTTTAATTTAAAATCCTACATTGTTTTTTTAAAAAAAATATTACAGAGTAGTAGAATTCGCTACATACTCAGACTTGAAGAATGCAATTGAAAAGCTAGATGACACGGAATTGAATGGTCGCCGAATTCGTTTAATTGAAGACAAGAGACGTGGACGTCGTTCAAGATCATCCAGTTCAAGGTCAAGATCGCGATCAAGGTCTCGATCTCGTCGTCGATCTCGTTCTCGCTCAAGGTAAATTGATTTTCTTTTCGCTCTTAAAACCCATTAAAAAACATTGAATTACAGGGTGTCTAACGACCTGGAAAAGTTCTTGAATTTTTCATTAGGTCCTGAAATTTTCATTTTTTTTCAACCGCATTTGGAAACACAAAATTCGTAAACGTTTTTATGTAAATATTCTTATGCAAAATTCAAACCTCGGATTGCACAATTTTTTCAACTCTTTTTCAATGTAATTGATACTATTTTCAACTTAATTTAATAAAATGTGACTTTTTCGACATTTTCTAAAACATTTTTTAAAGAAAATACGACTTTTTTTAGAATAAAATTCACAGCCATTCCAAAATTGAATTATTTAAAAGAATATTAACTAGAATTATTCGCAAAATTAATTATATTTAATAATTTTAATTAAATTCTTTAAAAATTCCATTATTTAAAATATTTTTCAATTTATAGTCCTTTTAAATTCAATTATTCAAAATACCTATGTAAAAAAAAATTCATTAATTAAAATTTATCAGCTTTAATTAAAAATTTCCTGAAATTCAATTATTTCTAAAAAAAAAAAAAATTTACTTGAACTCTCCAAAAATTAATTTACTTCTAAAAATGGTGACAGCAACTTTTTCAAATTTCAAATATTTCTAAAATTTTTACTAAATTCATTTTTTTGAATATTTTAATCAAGTTCTTCTAAAATTTAATTATTTAAAACATTTTTTAAACTTCTGAATTCGAATAATTTGCATAAATCATATTTCAAACATTTTTTCTTTTTTAAAATATAAATTATTTTTTAAAATTTGCTCTATACTGAATTGAATTCTTGAAAATTTGTTTAATTCTGAAATATTGTAAATAAAATTTCTTGAAAATATCCCCATGAAACATTTTTATTAAGGAATTAATAAAATTTATTTAATTTCTAATTACAATTGTTTGATAATAATAATAAAATATTTACTAACTAATTGTGTTTATTTAAAAATGAAAGAAGCGACTTTTTTTTGTGTTTTCTTGTAATGAAAATGGACTAAAACGACTTTTTTCTTCCTCTAAATTCGATCCGAAACTTGAAAATGCCAAAAATTAAATTTATTCATTACTAGTTTATTATAAAAAAAGACTTAAAGTAATTTAATATTCTACATTTAATCCTGGAAAAGTCAGGGAATTTTATTAAAAATTGTTTTAAAAAAACGTTGTTTCCAAAAATTCTAACCAAAATAAAACTTGAATTTATTTCATTTTTTTTACCTCTAATTTGAAAAAACTTCAATAACTAATTTTTCAAGTTAGATGCTGAACAAATTTGTTAGTTAATTACAAATGTTTTATTGTAAATTACATTGAATTTTTTATATAAATTAAAACTTTATTATAACAATTTGACATTCGGTCAGGGAATTTTGAGAAAGATGGTATAGAAATGTCAGGGAATTTTTAAATTTTGAAACCGTATCAACCCCTGTAAATTTTTGAAAAGATATTAAAAATTATTAATTTGACAAAGAATTTTAGATAAATATTTATAAAATACGTAAATTTTCGAATAATCCCTATTAAGATTTTTGTAATTAATTAAATTTCAGAAGATTTGAAATTTGAATTGCTGAAGATTTTTTTTTTTTACAATTTTTCAACAATAATTGAATTTTAGAAAATTTTTAATTAAAAATTTTTGCAAATAATTGTAAGTAATTTCACAGAATTTTTGTTAAAATTTTTTTAAATTAAATTTTCGAAGTTTAGCATTTATATTTTTTTGGTTGATGATTAAAGTTTAAAAGATTTTCAATTGAAAATTTGGAAAATATTTAAAAGTATCAAAAAAAATTTAAAGCTACAAATTTTTTGTAATAATTTATTTATAAAATTTAAAATTTCTTTATACAATGTTTGTTTAACATAATTTTCATTTGATCGAATTTTTTTTTTTTTTAATGGAATTCACATTTTGATAAAAAAGAACAAAATTCGAAAATGACAGGAAAAAACACAAAATATTGTCTAGAAATCAGGGAAAATTATAATGAAAATTTTATGGCAAACTTGAATAAACAATTTGAAAAAAAAAATTTTTTTTAGGAGCCGTCGTAGCTCTCGAAGCCGTAGCCGTCGAAGCAGCCGATCCAAATCTAGAGCTCATTCAAAATCGAAATCCAAGTCCAAATCTAAATCACCGGAACGCAGCCGCTCACGATCAAAGTCCAAGTAAGAATTTCCGTTTGTACATAAATGCGGTATAAAAAAAACATTTTTCGATCTGTTACTTTCACCTTTTTTTTTGAGTTTTTCAACAAAAAAATATTTTCATCTTTTGCATGCATTTTTGCACTTATTTGACAAATCTTTATAATTTTTGTAAAAATTAGAATTGTACATTTTTTATAAGTTTATTATTAATTTAGAAATTTTTTGTAAATTACTATTATTATTATTATTATTTTAACTAAAGTCAAATTACAAATATTTATAATTAATTATTTTAATAAAAAAAAAAAAAAATTAAACTCTAGTAGACAATTTTTAGAAAGGTAGATTTCTATAGTTGTAATTTTTGTGCTTTGCTCTTTTCGTCTTTTATATTCACTTTTCAAGCTGACTTTGTAGATGATATATTTTGATATTATTTTTATTTTGTATTGACATTGCTTTGGGCTGATTGCATCGATGTTGTGAAGTTTCATTTCAGAAAATTGAAAAAGGACATAAGAAGAGTCCTTTATATATGTGATTTTTATTTATAACAACAAAAATTTTTTTTTTCTGAACAAAAGGATATGATTTCCTCTTTTATATTAGAAAATAAATAAATTCTTCGAAAGGAACATTTTGTTTTTTCCTTTTGTAAGAATTTTTTTTTCTTCTTTATTGAAAATTTTTTTCATTTATTGTGAATAGTACGAGTTTTTGTTAGGTTTGTGACTTTTGAAACGCAAATCACTGATGAGAGATAGAAAACGACTCTGAACACGGCCTTTTAGATGTGATAATTATTTTTTGTGAAAATTTTTGAATTGCATTACCAAAGCAAAAGGCATCGTTTTTTTTTAAATCTAAATTTTACAATTATTTAAATTAACTATTTTTATATTGTCAAACTTATATTTTATTTCTTATTTAATTTTTGTCATTTTCATTTTCGAATTATTGAATCTCACACGAAATACACGAGGCACAAAAAAAAAAGTTGAAATTCATTGGAAATCAATGTTATCCTTTCTTTATTGGTAATATAATTTTACAGATCAAGAGACCGCTCAAAGTCGAAATCTAAGTCAAAGTCCAAATCCAGATCTCGTTCTAGGTCCAAGGCTGAGAGGTCAAAGTCCAGGTCGCAGTCGAAGTCCAAAGTGAAGTCACCGTCAAAGTGAGTTTTCAAAAGTCAAAATTTTAACCAAGCTTGAGCGCAAAAAAAAAAACAAAAAAAAAAACGAAAAAGAGATAATGAAAGACGAAAACAAAGTATAATTTTGAAAATATTGTCTTGGGAAAAGAATGATGTAAAAAAATGTTTTTTTTTTTTTTTGAATATTTTTTTAGGGAGAGATCAAGCCGGGAACGTTCCAGGGGTGACAGATCGAGATCACGATCCATGAGCAAGCACAGTAAGAGCCGTAGCCGTTCACATTCACCAATGAATGGAGACAAATCACCGGACTCAAAAATGAAGGACGATTAAATCATACAAGATGTGTGTGTGTGTGAAAGTCGTTATAATTCAGATTTAAGATCATTTTCTTTTATTTCCTAATTTTTTTTTTTTTTACATAATTGATTACATCCAAGAAGCCAATTTTGTCAACTTTTTATTTGGTTTATACAATTAGGGTTTTTTTCCCCCTTATTTTTACACCTTAATGTAGATTTTTCATATCACGTTTAATTGATTTTGATTTCTATATATACATATATATATATAAATATATACTTTATACGTAAATTCACCCTGCACCAAAATTTAAAAGCTTCTGACAATATAAGTTAATGTTGTAATCTAATTTTTAATTAGATTATTATTATTATTATTAATATTCTTAATTGAAACACTCGAGAGACCTGTATGAGTCATGCATTTAGATGAAAAGAAAGAATGAAAGATAGAAAAAAAAACTGCAAGGTTTTTTTTTTTCAAAGAAAACCTTAAATTGGACTCTACACAATTTTTTGATGTATCGACGTATGTCATAAGATTTCCCCTTACTGGCTTTTTGTATATATTCCAGATAATTACAATAATTTAAGGGAATATTAATATGTGATGTGTATTAAATTTAGCGGTAAGTCTTAACAATAAAGACAAGACCCTAAAAAACAAAAAATAATAAACTACAGAAGTGTTTCTTAAAAAAAAAAAAAAATGTCCAACAATATTCAAATTTTTTTTTTATTCTAAAAAAATGTTTGATTTCAAAAATAAAGAAAGCTTGAATAACTAAAAAAAAACAGTTTCTTCACTTTTGCCAATTTATATTTTATAACATTAGGTATCGTTATAACCGCGGCTAATATTGTACGAAAATCGCAATTTTTTTTGTTCTACGGTTAACAAAAATTTTAAACTCAGACCTCGGATTATCCGACTTTTTTTTTCTTTTTTTAATTTTTGAACAAAAAACGTCTTTTTTAGTATACAATGTAGATTTTCTTAATTTAAAACTATTTTTAAAATTAAACAAAAATTAAAAAATTATAAAATAAAATTACCGAAAATTTTAATTCAGAATCACTTGAAATTTAATTACATATTTTCAAAAATTTCAATTTAATACCTTCTGAAATTTCCTATCTGAAAGTTTTTGAAATTTAAAAATTTCAACTATAATTCTTACGAAATTCAATTATTTTTAATAATTTTTATAATATCTCTTTAAAAATTCAATTATCTAAAAACAGTTTTCAACAAAAAACTTTTACAGTTCAATTTTCGTCTGTAATTTCTAATAAATTCTTCAGCAACAGCAATTACAGAAAATTTAAATAAAAAATCACTTAAAGTTCAATTATTTTCAAAAATATACACTGAAAAAGGGTTTGGTATTTTTAAGCAACAAAATTTTTTTTGTTGAATCAAAAAAAATGTTGGTTGTCCCAATCAAACTTTAGTTAGGACAAAAAAAGTTCTTTTTTTTCTAATTTTGGTTGTGTCAAATAAATTTTTGATTCAGATAATTAAAATTTTGTTGATTCAACAAAAAAATTTTGGTTGTCAATACCAAACCCTTTTTTCAGTGTAAATTGTAAATTTTCGAAAATTCAATTATTTCTTAACATTTCAACTGTAACTCTTCCAAAATTCAATTATTTTTAATATTTCTTTAAAAATCCAATTATTTAAAAAAGTTTCAAATAAAAATTAAAATTGAATTGTCAAAAATGAAAAAAAAAATACAGCAATTTAAATTTGCAGAAAATTATCAGAATTTACTACTAATAACATTATAGTTACTTTATGGCCAAAATATAAAACTACAATCACAGCTTTGATGTCAAATTTTAACATTTCAAAATGAATATTTTACAAATTAAAAATAAGCGTATACAAGAAAAAATTTTTTGGTTTGATGGTCAAAAAAATTTCAGGCAATATATAATCAAGTTTTACAGATTTTTAAATAATAATTTTTGAAGAGTTAAAGTTGAAATTTTTAGAAATAATTGAATTTCAAAATATATTTTGTTAATTTTCAGATAATAATTAAATTTTACAAAATTGGAAATAATTTATCAAATAATTTTAGATAACATTTTTTAAATGTAATTGAATTTTCAAAGATTTATAATTTTGATTTTTGAAATTAATTGAACTTTAAGTGAATTTTAATTAAAAATTTTTGATGATGTCTGTTACTAAAAAATTTATTAGAAATTGCAGACAAAAATACAAAAATTTGAAAACGAAGAGAAGAATATTATAAAAAATTATTAAAAATAATTAAATTTCAGGAGAGTTATAATAATTGAAATGATTAAATTTCAAAAATTTTTTAGAAATTATTAAATTTTAAATTGAAATTTTTGAAAAAAATTGAATTTCTAAAATTTGTGTTAAATTTGTTTTAAATTAAAATTTTTGTTTAAAACTTTTATTATAAATTATAGTATTTAAAAAGGTTCAATCCAATAACAAAACCTCAACCTAAAAATTTATTTTTAACAAATAAAACTATAATTAAAATTGATTTTATCAAGTTTTGATTGATTCAGTTGTACAATTGTAAAAAAACAAAAAATTAATTACATCCAAAATTTTTTGTTAAATAATATTTATCTAACATTTTGTGTTGTTTGTTTAAAGTTAATAAATAATTTTAATTTTTATCCAATTTTTACAAATAGCTCTTTTTTGCTCTTTGAAAGTTTCCCTACAATTTTATTTGTTTTATTTTATTTAATAGTTATTGAACAAATAAAATTTTTATTTTTATATTTTTTAACCAAATTTTATATAACAAAAACTAATAAAAAAAAATTAATTAATTATTTATTTATTTAAATAATAAACGGACTTATAAAAAAGAATAATTATCTGACAACAACTTCTAGCTCAAAATATTTTTTTTTTTTTTATTTTAAAACTGAATCTCAAAATTTAGTAAAAATAAATTTAATTTTAGTTTCTTTTGGTGGGAAAACCAATTTTTTTTTAGTTTGAAGTTATGTTAAGGGGTTGAACAGCCTAAATTAGGTAAATTTTTGGAATAAATTTTTTTGTCAAAATTAATAATGTTTCTTTAATATTGTATTGTATAATTTAATTGCAATGTTATTTTTCTTAAAAACAAAAGGGATTTATTTATTTTTATTATAAATAATAAATACAATATTAATATTGTAATATTAATTCATAGAAGATAAAAATAATTTTAAAATTCAAATATTCTACTAAATCTAAATTAATTTGTAGAATATTTAATAATATTCAAATTTTGCATAAAACCATACTTAAATTTAAAAAAAAAATCAACTTTTTTTCAACGAATTTATCAAGTAACATTTTTTTAAAATAATAAATCTTTTTTTTTATACAGAAACTAAAAATCAGAACAAAATTTATATTATTATTTCTATATTTTCTTATCTTTAATTTTAAAAAAACCCAAAATATTTTAAAATGCTGTAGGGTAAAAAATAAAATTATAATACGAAAACTGGAATGAAGAATATTCGATAAAGGACGAAACAAGTGAAAAGACAATGTCGAATCCTCATTTCCTGTGTTATTTGATACTGCATTACAAATTAATTGTAGAAAATGAAAGAAATTTATGTGTAATTAATGTATATATACATATATGTGTCACACAAAATGCATGAGTCAGACTCCTTGACAACGCAATGACAACATTTGGGCAGTGGGCACATGGGGCACGGATAAGCGTATATTTAAGGGTGGAGGGGGGAGAGAATAACGTAGACGCCATTTTCTGATTGGTGCATTGAATAACCGGCGTCGGGAACCCAGAGAATCCAGCGGGGCCAAAAGGAAGGGACAAGAGAGAAACCGTTCAGATTACAAGCTGCGAATATAACGCTGCCTTACTGCATTCAACGTCAAATATATATTTCAGTATATTTTCTTCCTTACCCCTGAACGTATCGAGTGTTTTAGTTACACGGTCTTTGTGTGTGGAATATCCAGTTTCTCAGTTACAATTTTGACAGGTCAGTGTTTTATTTACTGAAAATTAAAATCCATTTGCCGGCTTTTGTCAGAATTTTCATTAGGATAGTTCTGAGATCCTTATTTCTGAACAAGGATCATGACGCGAGATTTCACAATATAGCATCCTTATTTTTTAAATTCAGGAATTTTTCACATTTTTTTTTTTTTTTTAATTGATTGCGATCTTTTAGAAAACTATTTTCTAGGATTAAATTTTAGTCAAATGCAAAGAAAAGTACTGTGTGTGTGTGTGTGATTTTTTTTAAATGCAACAATTTTGTGTTAGTTGAGAGATTATAAAATATATAAAACCGTTGAAAGGGTGCGGCCGATATTCAAATTTACACCTTCGCAAAAGCGTGAAAAATCAGTGATTTATCTTGGTTTGTACGCTTTGTTTTTTTTTTCTAAATGGATTTATTTATTAGTTTGTTTTGTTTTCTATGAATTTGAAACCATTGTTATAATAGTCTGACATTTACAGTGATCGCTTCGTATTCCTTTTCTATTTTATTTTATCATTATTCAAATTTGTTACTCTTTTTACCTGTTTTGATCAGTAATTTATTTTTTTTTTTTATGTATACCCTTTCAGATTTTTTTTTTTTTACATATTTAATTCGAGAGTAATTTTTCATTTATTTATAATAATAGCGACAATTTTTGTTTACGAAAAAATATATATTTTCATTTTGTTTTATTTTAGAAGGTTGAAAAAAATTTGTGATTAAAAAATTGACTAATTAGTGAAATATATTTTAATTTTTTTATCAAATTGAGAGAAAATTTGCAGAAAAAAAAGAAACAAAATTTTCGCATGCTTCTTTAACAAAACAAACTGATAAGAAAAAAAAGTATTTCAAAGATTATTATTTTTTGTCGGATGACTCAAAAATGCAGAAAATAATCTCATTGGGAGTGTTTAATTATAAAATTTAACATTGTTTCGCGAGATTTTTGAAAAAATTTATTAAACCTTAAAATTATTTTATTATTTAGAGCAAATCCAGCCCTCGGATTATACGACTTTTTCGACTATTTTCAACTTTTTTCGACTTATTTCAATGAAATGCGACTATTTCGATTTTTTTTTAAATTAAAAAAAAAAATATTTTTTTTAGTATAAAATGCAAATCTTCTTTATTTCAATTATTGGACAAATTTTTAACTAAAATTCTTCACTAAATTAATTGCTTTTTAATAATTTTAATGAAATTAATTACAAATTAAATTATTTCAAATTATTTCTCAATTAAAATTTTTATGAAATTAAACAATTGTTTATAATTTAAAAAAAATATCAAATAAAATTACCAAAAAATTTTAATTCAAAATCAACTAAAATTCAATTATTTTCCAAATTTTCAATTTAAAATCAAATAAAATTTAATTATTTTCCGAATTTTTAATTCAAAATCAACTAAAATTCAATTATTTTCCAAATTTTCAATTTAAAATCAAATAAAATTTAATTATTTTCCGAATTTTTAATTCAAAATCAACTAAAATTCAATTATATACTTAAAAATTTTAATTAAAAATTAATTATTATCAAAATTTTCAATCAAAAATCAACAAAAATTCAATTATTTTCAAAAATTTGAATTTAAAAGCTTCTAAAATTTAATTATTTCTAAAATTTTCCATAGAAAATTTTTTGAAATTTAATAATTTCAATTTTATAACTCTAAGGAAATTTAATTATTTTTAATTATTTTTGTAATATTCTTTGAAAATTCAACTATCTGAAACCATTTTTCAATTAAAAATGGTTTTCAATTTATTGCATTTTTGTCCGCAATTTCTAATAAATTTTTTAGTGAAATCATTAAAAAATTTTAATTAAAAATCACTTGAAATTCAATTAATTTCAAAAATCTGAATTGTAAATCTTTGAAAATTCAATTACATTTAAAATATGTTATCTAAAATTATTTGATAAATTATTATTTTTAGTTCTGTAAAATTTAATTATTGTCTGAAAATTAACAAAATATTTTGAAATTCAATTATTTCTAAAAATTTCAACTTTAACCCTTACAAAAGTATTATTATTTAAAAAAAAAAAATTTATTTAAAAATCTGTAAAATATTTTTGTTAAAATAAAAAAATAATCGCCTTTTTCGACTTTTTTTGGAATATAAATCGACTAAAACGACTTTTTTTGTGCCTGTAAGTCGATCCGAGGCCTGCAAATCTATTAAAATATAAAAATAAAATTAATATTCCTCCTACTATAATTAAATATAAAATTATTGAATGAAAAATATAAAAATAAATGAATAATAATAATAATAATAAATTTAAAATAAAAAAAATTAAAAATATCTTGATCTAAAAAAAATTCCTAATAATAAAATAACACATTATCCTTTTGTTTACATATTTATGAAACAAAAAAAAAAAGAAATGAAAATTATATTCTAAAAAGAAAGTTGTTTAATATGCACGTGTTTAACACTTGAGTCATTCATTGTTACAACAGATAAATTGAGATAAATTGTATATATGGAATATAAAAACAAAACAATGAAAGAAATTTCTTTTATTATATATATATAGATATATTATTAACATAAATTTTCCATCAAAATTAATTTAAAAAATTTTTATATTTGAAAGAGAGCGGAAGCAGTGACAAAAGAAACCGATAAAGTATTGTAGGGGCGTGGTTTTTTTTTTTTTTTTTTTTTTTTTTTTTTTTTTTTTTTTTTTTTTTTTTTTTTTTTGACAAGTATTATTTTAAAATGCATTTGCAATATGAAAAAAAAGTTTTATCTGACACATGAAAAGTACATATAAATAGCCTGCTTTGCGAAAATTAAAACACGAGTTTCAAAACTACAAATGAATTAAACAAATCACATAATATAAAAATTTGATATGTCAGAGAATTTTTTTTCTAACTTTTTTTTGTACAATAAACATTGAAATGCAGAACCATTTTTACAATAAATTATTTTTAAAATTTAATTTTTATAAATTTAGTAATTAATTAATATATATGTATATAAATAAATAATTAAATATTAATTTTTATATCTAAATAATTTTTTAGTTTTCCAAACAATTACACATTTATTTTCATTAAATTAAAATAAAATATATTTATTGAAAATTAATAATTAATAATTAAAAAATAATTAACCAATTATTCTCCCCAATAAATAAAAAATTTTGTCACTTAAATAACACAGCCACACAAAAAAAAAAAAGTACCCGGGCCGGGAAATGAGACCATCATTTTTTGATGTATTTTGATGCGCTGAACACGAATCTGAAGTCCGTTTAGCTCCATCACGTCAGGATTTTGACATAACCTCAAAAAACATAGCTGATTTTAAATGACAGGAGAAATTTTTTAAATAATGGCAGATTTGCTTGAATCTTGTTACTCGGGGGTTTTTGGGGTCGCTGATTACGAATTTAACGTCAGATTTAATAAATTCAAAATGGCGGATCCAATATGGCGGACGAATTTTTAAAAAGTAGTTGGATTTTTACGAAAATTGGTATCTAGGGGTTTTGGGAGTCGCTGATTACAAATTTATCGTCAGATTATTCAAATTCAAAATGGCGGATCCAATATGGCGGACGAGTTTTTAAAAAATAGTTGAATTTTTATGTAACTTGGCCGATACTGGGGTTCCGAGTCCCTGCATCGTAATACGTTTCCTACCTGTGTCTGCCATGACGGCATCAAAGCCATTATCCAGGGACTTAGCCGGATAGCGGACAAACTCCGTTGCCCACCGTCACCGCGTGGAGGTACCCTGGATGCAGACACATGTAGAAACATAAAGATATTTGACCACCGTACTATATCTGCCATTTTACATTTGAATAATCTGACGTTAAATTCGTAATCAGCGACTCCAAAAAACCCCATGATACCAATTTTTGTAAAAATCCAACTACTTTTTAAAAATTTGTCCGCCATATTGGATCCGCCATTTTGAATTTGAATAATCTGACGATAAATTTGTAATCAGCGACTCCCAAAACCCCTAGATACCAATTTTCGTAAAAATCCAACTACTTTTTAAAAATTCGTCCGCCATATTGGATCCGCCATATTGGATCCGCCATTTTGAATTTATTAAATCTGACGTTAAATTCGTAATCAGCGACCCCAAAAACCCCCGAGTAACAAGATTCAAGCAAATCTGCCATTATTTAAAAAATTTCTCCTGTCATTTAAAATCAGCTATGTTTTTTGAGGTTATGTCAAAATCCTGACGTGATGGAGCTAAACGGACTTCAGATTCGTGTTCAGCGCATCAAAATACATCAAGAAATGATGGTCTCATTTCCCGGCCCGGGTACTTTTTTTTTTTGTGTGGCTGTGTAATTTTAGTAACTTAATATTTGTAAATGTGTAATCTTCACGGTACGTTGAACTTGAAAATTATTCTTCAAAAAAAAAAAAAAAAAAAAAAAAAAAATTCTAATGTGCATGACTAATAGGAAAAAAATGTTTAAAAACTGTTGGTAATGCAATGTAAATTTTAATGTCTACTTAATTATTTCTATCTTCAAACTAAATTAGCCAATAAAATCACATAAAGACCAGAAACTAGTTGTAAAATGAAAATATTGCAAATATTTGCATTAATTGACACTTAATTAAATATGAAACAGAAAAATATAATTTGCCATAAAATTCAATATATTTTTTTAGCTACTCCATTTTACAGATAATATTTTTTTTAATGTAAATTTTGATTAAATTTGTCAAATTTATTACGCTTTAAAAAATGTTTTATTTTTTTATTATAAAAAATAAGTAAAAAAAATTCTTTTTTCCATAAAAATAATTTATTTTTAAAAAATAAGGAAATTAAAATTTTATTATAAAATAAAAAAGTCAATTAAAAAAAAAAAAAAACAATAAAAATAACGTAACATTCTTAATGGATTTCGAAAAATTATTGACATACATATCCGATATAATCTCTTATCCGAACATCTGCTTCTCTCTATTCAACGATTTCAGAC